ACGTGACTAGCTATCATTTAAAATATCCTGACTCACCTATACGGGATATTTTAAATAACTCAATTTAGGATTTCTACAATATTCTCTCAGCTATTTGTTTGCAACCAACAGATTACATAATTGTGTCATATACGATCCTGCATGTTTCTGACACAATACTTCAACAGATTGTAGTATTACTATTATTGGATAGTAATGACTGGCTTGATATGCTTGACGATAGCGATTTATCATTGTTCTTTTTTTCATTTTGGCTGACTATTATCCAAAATATCTCATCATACCTATCTGAAATATTTTGAATATTTCTAAAACTGGTTAGTTATACTCAAAACATACAAACTTACCAATCAAGGATGTTTTGAATATTTCCTCACCTGGACTATTTGTTTGCAACCAACAGATTACATATTGTGTCATACACGATCTCGAATTCTTATGACACAATACTCCAACAGTGAACTAAGAAAGTGGGCTGTTTGAACATTTAGTTTGACTTTGATATGGAGATCTATTTCATGACCTATTGTTTTAGTGCTCCCTTTGTATTTAAATTTTTAATTTTTAGAGTTGTGATTCAGCTTGGATTCCCCGTTCCATCACTCCAAATATGGGCTTCAATATTGGTCTCCTTTTTCCTCATACCGACCACGGTACTCTTAAATAAGCCCCCATAAATTTTATGCCGAGATGTCATTGATTCCTTAATTTCATCCATCTCTTACTTTTCCTAAGATACTCTAATCACTAGCAAAGGTGGGTTCGTTTGATTTGTGCAGAAAAAATCTATCATTTTATGTGAAAGAGTAAAAGTGTTCAATAAAAATACTAAAACAAAGGAACTCGCGATGCTACTCGTGAGTCTTAGCTCTCGATAGCATGTAATGTTTTCTCTATTCAATCAAATAGGTTGTCAGTAGATTATAGAAACCCTTTTGAGCAGCTACTGCTTGGATTCTTTACAGAAACCTCAAAATATGGAAGTTTGAAGGTCCCAATTTGCATAGAGAAAGTTTTAAAATTGATATTGTACTGTTTGACTTTATTTTCGGGCTAATACTATTACCTTATTTATCTTTATATATTCAACGAGGATTTGGGTACTTGCTTTTCGCAAAATGTGTCGATAACTCCCATAAACTGGTGATAGTCGATTATATTTGTAGAAATGGAGTATCTGCCAAATTTCCTACCTGCATATTGATGTTAACATTGGCATATATTCAAAAGTGCCTTCATACTAGCGTATTCAGGTTTTTTAAGCTTATATATTGAATTTTTTGGTTGAAAGTTTTTTTGAAAAGGAATTTGGGTGCAAAAGCATTTTTTCAGTACCTTTCGCACTCTGTAAAAAGGACAAATTTTGTGCACTTCGCACTACTACAAAATTGCTAGATTTGGCGACGAAATTATACATTGAGCAAGACACGGTTCTTTTAAGTTAACCTAATGGCCAAGATAATAGTAGATACCAAAGCTAAAATAAATAAAATACAAGAAAAGGTGGACCTTGTTGCATCGAGAATGGAAAACAACCTAAGTCAGGTAAATTTAATAGAAGCCTTGTGCTTTCAAATATTCAACAACCTGACCAACAGTGACGTTCAAGTCAGAGGCATCAATAACAAAGATACCGTCGTCAATTTTGGCTTCGCCCTCAGACTTGATGATCAAGGCGTTAGCAGCTCCAACAGCCTTAATAAGACCGCCTGTTGCTTCTTCAGTCTCAGAAGTACCAATGACTCCTGAACCAGCCCTGACTAATTCACCAAGAAGGGTGCTGTCATGATCATCGACTTTAACTTTAGTAATTCTACGGCCACCAGCGAATTGATTTAAAGTAGATTGTAAAGCATATGACAAGTATTCACCGGCCTTTTCAGCATCAATTAAGATAGCAAAACCTTGCTTTGATCTAGGAGGGTTAGTTTCTCTTAAAATACGAACGACTTCAGGATAGGAGAACCATTCTGGAATTTCTAAACCATCTCTTAATTTTTGTCTCAATTCAGTACCAGAAATGTTTGCTGTTTTAGTAGTAGATAAGTCAATGGTATCAATTGGAGCATATCTGTCTTCTTCGGGTAAGTATGTGACCATTCTAAATGGAACAATCTTAATCTTACCTTCCAATTCGTCTGCATAATTAGCTAACAATTCTTGTGCGTCATATGGACCGTAAAAGTCAACACCTTTAGAGTTTTTACCTGGACCAGCGTGATCTCTACCAACAATAAAGTGGTCCACACCATGGTTCAATCTAATTAAAGCGTGCCACAAAGCTTCACGGTCACCACCCATTCTCATAGCCAAAGGCAACAAGGACAATGAGGCCAAACCATCTGGAAACTTCTTTAAGATTTGTTGGTAAACCTTGACTCTTGTGTGGTGGTCAATATCACCTGGCTTAGTTAAACCAACAACAGGGTGAATCAAAATTCTACCATCTTCACCAATGTCATTAGCGGCTCTAACTGTCAACTCTCTGTGAGCTCTGTGCATAGGGTTTCTAGTTTGGAAAGCGACAACATGCTTTTCATTCCAGTTCAAAGTATCAACGAATTCAGCTCTCAATTGGGCTGGGGTCTTTCTTAACTCAACATAGTCGTAGTGCTTAGGATAAGACAAACCTTGCAAGGAACCACCGATGTAATATTCACCAGCAGTTTCATTCAAATATTTGACGGCTGGATGCTCTGGGTCACCTCTGAAAACCTTTTCAGCTTCCAATTGCTTGTTTGGCTTGTAAATAGATTCGACAGTCAAGACAGCTAATGGAGTTTCGTCTCTCAAGTCACGTAAGACGATTTTTTCACCAACCTTGTAACTGGAAGCAGTTGAAGCGTCAACATCCAAAGTGATAGGAATTGGCCACAACAATCCCTTACCGGTAGATTCATCGGTAACTGAGGACAATCTCAATTCGGAGACAACGGAGTTGTAATCTTCTTCGTTTAAGAAGCCAGCTAAGGGAGAGAAACCACCAGACAACAACAACTCCAAGTCACATAATTGTCTTTCAGTCAAAGTCCAACTGGTGAGGGAAGGAACAGATTCTAACAACTCTTTTTTAATAGATGCATCTCTAGCAACCAAGTCTTGTAATACGCCACCGTGGGGAGCTGGAATAGGCATTTTTCTATGTTTCTATAAATGGGGAAGCCAAAATCAACTAGTGAAAAGAAAGATGTAACTCTCTTCTTAAATGATCTTGTCAACCAAAGAAAGAAGCATCTTCAAGTTGTCCAAAACCAATATTCTGTTTGTGCATTCTATTATTCTGGGGCAAAAGTCACATTTCACATACAAACGAAAAAAAATAAATCATGAAGCCTACCCAGCCTCCTTAAGAGTAGTGCTTTCCTGTGCATTATCGACATTGTAACATTTTGATTAACAACCATCAAGAAAATATTGCAACCATTATATCTCCTCAGTTATGGCAAATCCAGGTGTTCAACTTCAATTACTACCTGAAATAAGGGTCACACGTTTTGAAACTACAATAGTCAGTTCTTAGCCATTAACATAGGCGATGATAGTGGAATCCTTGAAACGTTTATTATTGTTTGTAAAATCATTTCTAACTTATTACAAATCCGGAAAACTCAATCAAGATTTGTGTAATCACAGAAGTGCACGTGATTAATGGAAATTGCGATTGGGTCAAACCACGAGACATGACTAATGATCACGTGTTAGAGAACAAAATAGGTCCATGCACGTGACGAAGATGGTGATCAAAAACTCTTGTAAGTCATGTGATTGTTGTTGGGGTAGAAAGTGGGGGCCTGTCTTAAAAACATTTGCGAAAGAAAGTACTTGCCGCCACTTTATATGGGGGAATTTATAGAGGTTTTGGGGGATCTGGTACGGACTTCAAAGAAGGAAGCGGGGGACAGTTAGTGGGGTTCAAAGTATATACAATAGCATGGTCTGGCATAGTCCCCATACTCTATGGGGGACTTAATTAAGATAGGGAAGAGATATCAAGTCAATTTATTGAACGTAAAGTCTTAGGATAATTCAAAGTATTTTAAGGAACCACTTGGAAGTGCAATAACACTCCTTATAACCCTCACCATAATGAAGGATAATCTTGCAAATTACCAATGGGATGAAAAGGGGTATAACTTAGTAAAGAATCTAGCATTTGTAAAGTCTGTGGAAAGCGAATCATCTTCCCATTGTGTTTGTAAGATAACATAATATGTGGGGCATATTACTCATGTAGTATTAATTGTCACAATCGAGCAATCATAAAACTTATGGAGAGAGTGGCCCGTATACTCCAGGTCCTAAGTCCCACGCCATATTGATAGTGAAAGTGAATGTCACGTAGTATTAATTGGAAACCTTAGGACTAATTGTTTAGTAATTTGTTCCTGGTTAGTAATCTGTAAAAGGCTAATGCAACCAGTCTATCGTACAGGTTTGCTTACGAGAAAAACTAATTCATTACTACTTGCAGTCTGCGTATATCGTAGCACGGGAGATTGCCCGAGAACGGCCCGCACTGTCCGTAGTATGAACTATTGGCCCCCCAACGTTCTGGTGTAATTGTCCACCCAACAACGAAAATTTTGTAATTAGTCGGTAAGAACACGACTATTCTCAGTTTCATATTTAGTTACTCCCTGATCTCCTCCAGAATATGGACGGCTGTATTTCTTTCGGACTCTAACTTCGGACGTTAAGAATACTTCGAAGATACCTTTAAAGAGATCAATTGCATTATGTCTGCTCCAGTGTATGTACCAAACAAGCTCCGACTCTGTCAATGATGATCTAATTGTTGTTGGCTGTGACATCAGTGAGGGGCTAAATACCGAGGACTGAAAAATGCCGGTGATGTATGAAGATGCCGACGAAGATGTTCAAATTATGCTTTTAGTTTAAGCGGAACATTGCTTTCTGTTTTCATCATCGACATCAACATCTTATTTTCTTTTCTTAATTAGCATGCCTTCGTCATCCCCAACATCTAGATTGCTTAAGCAATGTTTAATAGTAAATACTAACTTGAATCCTAGTGGTGATATCGGTTTGATCGGTTTGGCCGTTATGGGTCAAAACTTGATTTTGAACGCTGCTGACAATGGTTACACCGTTGTTGCTTACAACAGAACCCAAGAAAAGGTTACCCACTTTTTGGCTAACGAAGCTAAGGGTAAGTCTATTGTTGGTGCTACTTCTATTGAAAACTTCATTGCTCAATTGAAGAGACCAAGAAAGATCATCATCTTAGTTAAGGCTGGTAAGCCAGTTGACGCTTTGATTGATCAATTGGTTCCTCACTTGGAAAAGGGTGATATCATCATTGATGGTGGTAATTCTCACTTCCCTGACACCAACAGACGTTACGACGAATTGACCAAGAAGGGTCTTTTGTTTGTCGGTTCTGGTGTCTCTGGTGGTGAAGAAGGTGCCAGATACGGTCCTTCTTTGATGCCTGGTGGTTCCGCTGAAGCTTGGCCTCACATCAAGGAGATTTTCCAAGCCATTGCCGCTAAGACTGAGGGTGAACCTTGTTGTGACTGGGTTGGTGAGTCAGGTGCCGGTCACTACGTCAAGATGGTTCACAACGGTATTGAATACGGTGACATGCAATTGATTTGCGAAGCTTATGATTTGATGAAGAGAGTTGGTAAGTTTACCAACAAGGAAATTGGTGATGTCTTTGCGACTTGGAACAAGGGTGTCTTGGATTCTTTCTTGATTGATATTACCAAGGACATTATGTATTACAATGACCCAACCGATGGTACTCCATTGTTGGAAAAGATCTTGGATACTGCTGGTCAGAAGGGTACTGGTAAGTGGACTGCTGTCAACTCCTTGGACTTGGGTATGCCTGTCACTTTGATTGGTGAAGCTGTCTTCTCTAGATGTTTATCTGCTTTGAAGGACGAAAGAGTTGAAGCCTCTTCCATCTTGCCTGGTCCCACCGTGGAAGATGTTTCCCCAATCAAGGACAAAAAGCAATTTGTTGATGATTTGGAACAAGCTTTGTACGCTTCCAAGATCATTTCTTATGCTCAAGGTTTCATGTTGTTGAAGGAAGCTGCTAAGGAATACGGCTGGAAATTGAACTTCCCATCCATCGCTTTGATGTGGAGAGGTGGTTGTATCATCAGATCCGTTTTCTTGGGTGAAATCACCAAGGCTTACAAGGCTCAACCAGACTTGCACAACTTGTTGTTCTACCCATTCTTCAAGGATGCCGTCACCAAGGCTCAAAAGGGATGGAGAAGTACCATTGGTAAGGCTGTTGAATTTGGTGTTCCAGTTCCTGCTTTCTCCACTGCTTTAGCCTTCTACGATGGTTACAGATCTGCTCAATTGCCTGCTAACTTGTTGCAAGCCCAAAGAGATTATTTTGGTGCTCACACTTTCCAAGTTTTGCCAGGTAAGGAAAATGAGTTGTTGAAGAAGGGTGACTGGATTCACATCAACTGGACAGGTAGAGGTGGTGATGTTTCCGCTTCTACTTATGATGCTTAAACTTGACAACTGTTTAGTAGTTTTATGAAATAATATAAGCTTAGTACAATTGCAGTATCCACTATATCAATTTGTAGAATTCAAGAATATAGTGTAACCTTAACCTTAAAATAACCATTTATGAGTGTGCTATTAAAAAAATTACTAAAAACTTAATTATCTATAATCAATGTTAAAAAGAACCAAAATTATTACCTAAATATTTATTTTCAAACAATAAATTGTTTTTTGCAAAGAATAATTGTTATCTTTGACATTATACCATCAAAAATGCAAACACAGCTACAATACTGGTAACGAATGATGCCGAATATTGCATAGCTCCGTTGACCGCAGAAATTGATGATACAGATGATGCAGCTGGCCTAGCAGTGCTACTCGACAACGTAGTTAATCCTGTGGCAAATGTGGAAACACTACTAGTTCTCTGTGCTCCAGATGTGGGTCCTCCTGTTGTTGATACCGCTGAAGAAAAAGTGTTAGCGGCGACTGAGGAAGAAGAAGTGGCTTCAGTAAGCGATGTCACAGTGGAGGATGAAGTTGAGGAAACAGTGGAAGTTGAGGAAGCACTGGAAGTTGAGGAAACAGTGGAAGTTGAGGAAGCACTGGAAGTTGAGGAAACAGTAGAAGTTGAAGATGATGAAGAAGATGAAGTAGGCAAAGAGCTTAATGAGGAGATTGGTGATGAAGTAGAAGAGGAGGGTGATGAAGAAGAGGAGGTTGATGAAGACGAGGAGGTTGACGAAGATGAAGATTTGGATGAGGATGAAGATGAGGAGGACGCTGATGAGGAGGAAGCAGATGAGGAAGAAGTTCCAGATGCAGAAGCAGAGAAGCTATTAGAAACTTCTCCACCCGATTGTAAAGTAGCGAATTCCTTTTGAGCTTCTTGAATTCTGCCATTGATTTTACCTCCATCAGATTTGATTGATTGCCAGGTACCAGATTTATCAGTGTAGGAATATGACTTACCTGATGAATAATCAGATACAATGATGGACTTGATATACATCTGGAATGGTCCTTTATTGTAGTCGGTGAGACCACCTGCCCACTCAATGGTACCAATTTGATTATTTGGATCACCACCAGCCCAGGCACCGGCCATGATGTACATTGGAGTTTGAGGGAATCCTTGAGGGTTTGTGCTTAATAAAGTTCTATCCAATTTACCATCACATGTCCAGGTGATTTGGTCTTCAGTCCATTCAATGGTGTAGGTGTGGAAATTCAGTAATGGACTACTGGAAGTGTGGTGGTATCTACCTCTATCATAAGTTGCGGTGTTACCCTTCAGGAAGAAGTTGGATTGGTATTCGTATGGATCACCACCAAATAGTTCGATGTCGATCTCATCTAAATCATCACTTTGCAAATAGAAGGAGGAGATGATACCTTGACCTTCAGCAGCTTGTAATACAACTTCAACTTTACCAAACATAATATAGAAGTCTGATTTAATGGAAGGATTCATACCCTGCTTGGCGATTTGGAACTCCAAACCAATGTCTGTGTATGATAAACCATTTTCCTTAACGGCAGTGAAGTATTTTGATTCCAGGTTAAAGGTTTCTTTGAAAGAAGCAGATAACGCTGGGTCGGGAGGACAATCAGAACTGATCAATGGGTTACAGGCCAAGGTTCTAACCAAAGTGGCAGCAAGTGCTACAGCCAGATGCCACCTCATAGTTGTATTAAGTTAATGTGGATTCTATTGATCTTTGGTATAAAGAGAATGAAGACTCAGAGATGAAGAATATTTATGGCTTGTAAGCTCCAGGATATCATGGCATTCTTATACCACAATGCAATGCAATATGACGCAAAAGAACATACAAGGTGCTTGGTTCGCTTTTTCTTTTCTACTATGAATGGCTGTGTTTGCCAGCTGTTCCTTCAAAATCTTACATTCACACATGCAATAATGTAAACACATTGTCGGCTTTGCACCGATATTCTGATTCCAAAGGGGGTGTTGTGCTGGATCAATGCTGCCCAGATACCATGTCATGCACCCTTGGCATCAAAACAGGAGGCGTAGTAGGTGAGTTTATTTCCTAGCCTGAGTAGTGATCGCTGGCTATTGTATCTTTAAAGCCATGCCAAATATAGAAACCGCATATATCCTGTACATAATGCCATCATTTGTATACTTTACATTTTTACGTACCCCAGAATGAATCAGATAAGCCCAAGTAATGATTAATGATCTGGGTGGAGTTTGAATCAAGCTCGATATATAACGAGAGAATAATAAACTGAGGCCATGCTATTAATTTTGGGTTTAATCTAGTCTTGGTGATCATACAATGTTAAGAGTCAATAATCTTGCGGAAGGTTTATTTTTAGTATACTATTATGTGCGTAAATTGACGCGTATTTGTGCATACACTAATTACGTGCATTAAATAATCGATTTTCGCGTCTGGCATGATAGGATGTCACTCTGCATCCTTTTTTTGCATCATCAGTGCATCATTTTTCGGTGTTACTAACATGAGATAATTTGTATTGTTAATGTTTGGTACTAAATTGTTATCACAATATAGTTACCCTTCTGGGTAAATTAAGATCTACCCTTGCAATGACGCTATAAACTGTTTTCTGCAATTACCTAACAAAACCCTCCTGGAATATATTAAGTTCTAGATCATACTGTTAGTGCTGGTGCTCAATCCAAAAAAGTTAAAGATTGTCTTGCTGCAACCTTTTCAGAGCCAGCGCAGTCCTTCTCGTTTAAGACTAAATTACCAGCGCACCAGCCATCTTCGTCTAGACCCGCATGGTCACGTGTGTGTCTTGGTTATTTACTTCCAAATAGGTAATGTCGCGACATAAGGAAAAGAAATTACAAAGCATGACGTAAGCAACACTAAAGGAAAAAAATCATGGGAATAAGAAATAGAATTCAGGACATACCTTCAAAGTCAGACGATATAGGAACTATTAAAGGATCCTCACAGGTTCATTGTTCTAGATCAATAATAATAATAATAATAATAATAATAATAATAATAATAATAATAATAATAACGTATCAGAAAATATTATCTGTTTTAATTTAAATCTTGAAACAGTTTGTCTTAATAGAAACCACTCCATAGCCCCTATTACGTTATCAAGAGTTTTAGTTCCATAGCGTTGTTTGAAGGCAAAGACTACCAAGACTACCACCACTCAAAAAAGAGTCATGTCACCACATAGCGCAATACTTCCGCAGAGTAATATGTCTAGTACTTTTTCCAGAATAGCGCCATCAATAAGCAAGCTCTCAAGTCGTCCACATGAAGCTGTTGCTTCAAAGTTAGATCCCCCAAATCTAAGATTCATGCGTCTAGGAGATATCCCTTCAGAAGCTGGAGATGTGACGGGAGATATAAATGAAGTGCTCTTTGTTGTGATGTTCTCTTGTATTGGATTCATAGTTGCATTTGTGTTGCTTTTGGTTGTATTTTTGATTTTGAGGCGAAGGATACGGTCAAGAGACCTAGATGATGAAGAAAGGGGAAGAAACTTTGCAAATAGGATATACACTGAACTAGATACAGATGAACAAGAGCTTTACTTCCAATCAGTTCAATTTTTTGAGTCCAACCCTTATTTCAGACATGATATTCCTCTTTCACAACTTCTTTCCATCCAAGAAAAGGGAATCCAAGCTTTCGAATTCAGAAAGGATCCTATGTTAACAAACAATGATTTACTTATAGTTAATAAGTGCGAGCTTAACTTTTTCAAGAACTTACAATGCTCAGCTCAAACCAATATACCGATCCCAATGATTAACGAAGTGTACTACTTTGAAGCCAAGATATATCTGCTCCCCGACCCAGAAGGTACAGTTATTTCTGTAGGATTGGCTCCTAAGCCATATCCTTGGTTCCGGTTGCCAGGAAGACACCAGTATTCCATTAGTTACGATTCGAATGGGTTCAGACGATACAACGATCCCTTCCCAGTCGATGGACCACCTCACTTCCCTAGTTTAATCCAAGGAGATGTCATAGGTGTAGGATATAGAGTTAGAAGTGGCACAGTATTTTTCACAAAAAACGGGAAGAAAGTTAGTGAACTGAGTTTGGGTGGACACATCAAGAAGTTCAAATTACCACAAGACGGTCATATTCATCCTACAATAGGTGCAAACAACTTGTGTTCGGTAAATATAAACTTGGGACAAATGGGATTCGTGTATATTGAAGCCAACGTGAAGAAGTGGGGTTTGGCTCCTCTTGAAGGTAATGGTCCATCCCCCCCTGCTTACAACAAGTTCAATCAAGACATTTTATTGGCTAGATCAGAATATGATGAGAGTGAAAGTGAAAGAGAGAATGATTTCCCACCTCAGTTTTGGGATGTCGAAAACTCAAGAGGAGATGGTATAACATCGGCACAAATGGCCAACCAAAGTTATGATGCATATCGTGATGATGAAGTGTCAATGAGTGGCGATAGAATTACATTAACAAGTTTACTTCCACCCGAAGAGCCTCCCTCGTATAGCGAAAATAATAGTGATGTTGAAGTTGAAGATGCTGAAGGTGAAGGGTCTCGTGCAACTGACCTAAGGCCTGCATTTGGACCAGACCCGGAGGCAGAACAGAATGGGGATGAGCACGTCCAAACACAAGACACAAACAAGAATCAATGTGCCACTACTACAGATGAAGAAGAAGAAGAAGTAGCAACTCTGGTGGACGGTAACGGGGAGAGCGAGACTGAAACCATCGGCGGCGTTGAGGATGCAGGGAATATCGAATTGACAGATGAAGGTTTAAACAATCAACGCCACGAATATGAAAACACTTTAACGGAACAAGAACCACAGACACCCCGTAATGATACCACTATAGAAAGTTTATAGATATTCTGATAATTATTCTCTATTTGGTCAATTAAAATGCTAAGTTCCGTACCGTATGACTGGTGACTAAGATTCGGCGACGGAGTACGAACTGCGGGCCGCATCGCCGTTTCTGCTTACAGAGTTAATTCATATCCAGCGCACAAAGCCCCTTAGAGTGCCTTTTTCCAAAAGTGGGGGAAACAAACTTTCAATCTTTGTGTCTCTCGGTTCACGAAAAGTGGAAAGCAGCTTTTTTAATGTGGCTCCGTATTCATACTTGACGTTCATTTACATCTTACATTATGTTGTAAATGAGTGTTTGCACCGAATTCGTACGAGGTTCATAGTAGACATACAATGATTACATGTCACACCTCTTGATTTCAGGATTTAAAGAACTTTCTGTCTTATACGGTTTTTGTGATACTACCCCATACTTTGGAGGATGTGACACAATAAAAACCGTTTGTGGGGTACTCCCTAAGTTGTTGGGAACCAAAAACATTGTGAGTACGGAAGAACTCGGAGTTGATTGAAACACCACCAAAAACCCACCTTTGTGAAAACGGGGGGTTGGAAAGGCACTTATATACTCCTAATAGCTAAAATATGTAGCGAATGACCTTACGGCGTTTTGGTTGTTTTCCCCGCAACTTCGTCTTATCAATCTATATAAATCATCTTATCGAAGCCCAATGGTTGGCTGATTTTTTTTGATAGGATATCCAATTCCACTAACAAAGAAAAAGTCTTTCAAAATGATTCAAAAATACATTTGCGTGCCTAAAACAGATTATGACGTCCTTATTATTACCAATGGTACAGCCGTGCAAGTGGAAGATAGGTTAAAGGACATTAACAATCAGACAGGAAACGACATTCCTGATAACGCAAGCTTAACCTATTTGGATAGCTTCCCTGCATTAATAGATTATTTAAGTATGCATTTTGGCACTCAAAGACAATTTGACGGAAAAGTGGTCTTTATGTTTTTTGAAGGCATAGAATTCATACAACAATTTCTTAATGATGTCATAGATTACTACAATACTTGCACTATGGGACCTCCTTTAACTCCCGAAAGTTACTTTTATAACACTTACACATGCGGTCGTCAACCTTCTTATTCTGAAGGAAGAGACCCTCCATCTCCTACGTACATTTCACCCTATTCCAAAAAGTCTTCATCGCACCGTCAACTGTGGCTGGATTCTACTACTTGTTTCACCATGTTGTCAAATTGCTACTACTACTTTGATAAGTCTATTTCAAAGGACTTTGATAACTCTGAATGTCCCTTCAACACAGTGTGCATTTTCGCTAACGACATTTTAAAGAAAATGAACTTCATGGTTGGCAGAATTAGATGCTTATTTATTGATGACGAAAACTTAACAGGAGGGAAGATATACCCCTTACAGCATTTGATGATAAACTTCCCTCGCATAGAGAAACTCGAGTTGAAGTCCTATCAGGAGTTTATGTTTAAGGATATGGTGTGTTGAATTTTGGGGTGCGTTGACGCACAAAAATACGAGAGAAGTATGATTTACGATCACGAGTTTTATGTCGGTAATTACATAAATAATACGATTTAAACCAATATATATAAAAGTGTATGCCATAACTAAAGAGAAGTATACTTTTCCGTTAAGTCATTGAGGTCACGGAAACCGGGATCCTAACTCCGTACAGTTTGCGCATTGACAATAATGCTATACGTAACTTCCGCTTAAATTTAGTTGTTGCATATTCAGAAAATCTTTCTATCAGGCGCATTTCTCCTAATTGGGAATAACTTTCCGCTTATCTTATGAGACCTCTCCATAGATCAAACGTTACTTAAACAAACTCAATTGAAGCTATTTTCAAAACAAAATTTTTCTACAATAAATTGACAATGACGATGCAACTACTATTGTTAATATTACTTGTTGCTATTGGGCTCCCATTGCTTACGAGTAGAAAGAAGAAACCGAGAAAGAGAAGTTGTCTTGAAAATGTCACGCCTGTTGATGTCGACTTTGATTGGAAGACACAAGAGCCACTCAAAGTCCGACCCTTTGTCAACAAGAAGTCCTTCAACCCTTCTATGAACTTGACCGATTTCACTGCCAATGATTGGATACTTATAGAAAAGACTTATCTGCAAAACGTCCAACTCCGTAGGGAAATCACCATCAAACATTCCGACCATACTGTGTTTCTTAACCCCGACAAACGGTTTGTTGCAGCCTTCCACGAGTTCTATTCACTTGTTATTCACTATTTGACCCACAGATATCCACAGTACTTTGTCCCAGATAAGCATAATAATGTCGTCAAAAATTTGATTACTGAAGACCAGATCCCCTTGGACCCTAACATCATCACCAAAGACAGTGTATTGGAACAAGACCACAACCGTGAATTGCTTTTATCACTAGCCAGAACAATTGAAGAAGACTTTATTCTCCTACACAAAGACGCACCAGACGAAGAGTATATAATGAGATGTAATGTCTCCGGGTTCCCTGCTGGATTTGATCCCAAGAATAACTTTGATAAGCCTATCTCGTTCATCCACACCCCCGTACCTCAATACCAGAAGCGACTTAAAGTGTCTATGTCCAAGTACTTTGATAGGCTAACAACAGATGAAGCGCACGTCCGTCATAACTGGTCCATACAAACGAATGCGAGTAAGTTTACGCTCCATTCTCATCATGGGCGGGAAGGTGAAACCCCTCCACCGCCTTTGAAAATGGAAGACATTGATTTTGAGAAGGGTTGTTTCCTTAGATGTGAAAGGCAGTGTTTCACCCGGTTGCCAGTGCTGGGAGCCAATCTCATGACCATTCGCACATACGTTACGCCGTTATCGGAGATAAAACATCTAGAGGACGATCACGTGACCAGAGAATTGATCAGAGGTATCGATTCATTACCTGAAGACTTAGCCTTCTACAAGAAAAGAGGCGCCTGGGGGGAGGCAGTGAAGGAGTACTTAAGATCGTAACTATAGACCTATATAATATATATTTATATGCATTTTTAATTGATGGTAACATAACTGGCAGGGAAAAGACCAACGGCTCCAGTAGTTGAGTGCTTCCCCTTCCACCAATCAGCATCAATCTTTTCGATTTCAATAATGACGTCTCCCTCTTTAAAGGAAAGCTCGTTGTCTTCGTCGGCCTCACAATCGTATTCGGCAACAGCGGAGATACCGATATCTGCAGCAGCAGGTGCCGGGGAGGCTCTTGCAGGTGGAGCAGGAGGAGTGGCACCAGTAGCAGCAGAAGAAGTCTCCTCACTCTTTAAAGAAACATAACTCGAAGGAAACAAACCAACATTACCGGTTTTGGAATGTTTACCCTTCCACCACTCTTCATCGATCTGTTCAATATCTACAATTAAATCTCCTTCTTTGAATGAGATCTCGTTACTTTCGTCGGCTTCACAATCATATTCAGCAATGGCCTGAAGGCTTCCTGATGCTCCGCTTCTAGAAGGCAAAACAGGGGCAGGAGCTTCTCCTTCTTCTCCCTCTTCTTCTTCTGGTTCTTCTTCTGGTTGAGGTTGGCTCCTTGAGGGAAGAGAAGGTGGTGCAGGTGTCTCCTCTTCCTCTTCTTCCTCTTCAACGTGCTCTGGTTCACTTCTAGAAGGAAGAGATGGAGATTTGTCTTCGTCTTCTTCAACTTCTGCTGGACGAACCACAGTTCTAATTGGAGGAGGTGGCAAATTACGAGCAGGAAGGAATTGTACAGGCTTTCTATCTTCATCTTCATCATCTTCTTCTTGTTTAGCAAACTTGTCGAACACATGATCAGATGGCTTAACAACGCTTTCTTCCTTTTCTTCATCGTTCACTGTTAACTTGTCCATATCGCTTTCAACATGACTGTGGTCTGCTGCTTCGTCTTCCTGTGGGACAGACTTAAATTTACCTTTCTTTTCAGCCCAGAGTTGTGCTGGAGTCTTACCATTTTCAGCACCAAAGATCTTGAAACCTCCTACAATCTTGTCGTTTCTATTTTCCACTGGATTGACAATTGAAGGTTTGGAACCAAATTTAGGTGATGTTCCAGAAGTGGTAACAGTAGGAGTGAATCTCAGACTCACGGTATTAGAAGGCTTTGGCTTAGGCAAGGAGGTCAACCTGCCATCAGATGACGAAGACGACTTTGACTCTGGACGATTGAACGAGCTCATTCTTTCAGAGAATGTCTTAGGAGGTTCATCGTCCTTCTTTTTTTCATCTTCCACAGTGGATTTGAAAGGAACTGGAGTAGATGAAACGGTATCGGATTTACCCTTTCTCAATTCTGCGATATCTACCTTCAATGGTTTGTATGCTGAAGGAACTTCTTCCAAAGGTTCTTTGGAAAAGTCTCTAACTTCCAATTCCTTCTCTCCACCCCATTCATCACCTTCAGACTTAGCAGGGAAACTCTTTCCAATGGTTGGAGCTGGAGCTGGAGCCACAGAACTTGAAGAAGTAGAAGCAGCCACAGGTTTACCAGTAGATTTTGGAACAAACGAAGGCTTGATAGGAGCTGCTACAGGCTTAGGTCTAATTGGAGTAGAAGTAGATGAGGAACCACCACCAGCAGACTTAGACGAGCTTTGAGCTGAATAATTGGCTCCAGCAGCAGCACACACACGACGTAAGAACTCATTAGCATCCAAATCGTCTTCATCTCTGGCAACAATTTGAACATGATAACCGTTCAACACTTTGGAAAATTCAGCAGTGTTTTGAGCAAATGACATTCTTAATTTAGCAGGAGCACTATCAGGACACCAACCCAAAAGCAAAATCTTGGTCACATCAGAACCTGGAACAGTCAATCTGGACAAGCCATATTGGACATGACCCTCTTCAAATTGGCTAATGAATTCATCCAAATCTCCATCACCAGTTTCCTTCAAATCCAACGTGGCCTTCTTATCAACACTGTACACAACATAAGTGGCCTCGGGATCTCCACCTACCACCTTGTTATAGGCTTCTTGAATACGCTTCAGATTGGTGGATAAGTCTATTTTCTCCATGGTAATTGGTATATATAATAGGAGTCTAGTGTGAATAGAGTCTAACTGTGTGTTTGATGTAGTGGTTGTGGTTGTTGTTCGGAAGTGGTTGGTTTTATATAAGTGAGTACGTAATTCCTGCACATACACATCACGGATCGGCCAGGCCAGCACAGCCGGGAGGTCGGCACTAAATTTGTATGGGGTATTAACCTTAGGGTAGTAGAAGAGAAAAGACATGAAATAAAATGACCTATACTACAGCATACTCTACAAAATCAATGGGTATCGTAAATGCCCATCGTATATTATTATAAAAGTCTTTTCCGGTAGCTATTATCGAACTAAAGCATACACCAAACACCACATCATCACAAACCCAGCAACACTGGTGCCCAAGGTATCAACAAAGATCTCTTTGATTGGAGACTCGAAAAAACGGGACCCCTTTCCTTCACAGCAAACCATATAGAATGCTCCGTTAACCAACGTTGAGGCAGCTACGTAAAAGGCTGCACCCAGGTAAGCTTCCAATGCGAGTATGCCACACGCTGTACCCAAGACTAGCGACATCACATCGTGGACGTGCTGTAGTTTCTTCTGGTTGGCCTCAATGGCCGCCGTCCACTGTAGCTTTTCCACTGCGCTCATAAGGAGTAGAATACAGTTAGTGGTGTGATGGTTACTAGTATATATTATTAGAAGATTAACTATCAATTGAGTGGGCTCTAGGGGACGAAAAGTTGTACGGCATCACACAAAAATGAACTGAAAGCAAATAAATTCCGAGGGTAGTTCCGACCGCACAAAATCAGCACCGAAGGCAAAACAGTGGATACTACCATCTACTATATAAACAGAGTATGCTGCTGATCATCACCGTTTAGAATTATTATTAGTCCAACGACCTATTAGCATGACAAGCATCCCGGAATTGGATGATCTTAGGCGGTTTCTCTTTTTGCTTCCTCGAAAGTCCAACTTTCAATTCACCAAGGAGACTCGGAAACAAATAAGAAAGGAACTCTTTTGCACACTCTCCAAAAGAACAAAATACATCAATTGGATCTTCCCGAACCTAGAACGTTCCATCGGAACCAACGATAAGCTTACGGTCTTGGATAAGGAACTCGACTGGAGCTTCTCTAAATATTTCAAGCGGGTCTTGAAATCTCGTGGCGATACAAACTCCCATGATGATCGGGCCTACCATGTCAACTTAGCGTGTGCTAGGATCTTCCGTAAGGGTGAGCCCATTTATCGGTGTTTGACTTGTGGCTACGATGATACCTGTGCGCTCTGTTCTCATTGCTTCCGAGAAGAGTACCATGTGGGTCATAAGGTCAACATCAACATATGTCAGCGAGAAAATGGAGGAGTATGTGACTGTGGAGATCCTGAAGCGTGGGTAAGGGACTTTGTGTGTCCCTACACGAAATATCTGCATAATAATGACGATGTTTCTATGGAAAATGATGGTAGTGATGGTGTTGCTGACGGGGATTCATTGCTCAAGAGCGAGATGCCTAAAGAGTTGCAAAAACTATTACTAGGAGTAATGGAGATCCTATTGGACTACGTCATTGACGTGATGACCTCGAACGACTTGCACTTTTACGACTTCAACTCCACAAATATAAGTACTATTACCAAGTACTCCTTTTATGGGGAATTGGACGGAGAGAAATACGATACCCGTGGCATGAGAGACGTTTCTGATGGCAAGTTCGCCCTCATGGTGTACAATGACCAAGTTAGACACTACAGAGATGCAGTTCAAAGAATCAGATTGGCCAGTAAGAAAGTTAAAGCATTTGCTACAATGGTAACAGATAGACTCCAGAGTTATGGTAAGGCCAAAGTGTTGGTAACTGAAAACTTGGAACTCCTTAGAGAACGACAAAAGATTTTATCTGCAACCGGCTTGGCCACATGTATCAGATGTCTGCGTGATGTTTTCCGAGAAGAAATGGTTGACGAGATAGTGCGATGGATATGTTCGTTTACTGAGTCGGAGTTATTCAAATCAAACGTGACTACAAAGGATTTACTATGTCAGGCCTTTTGTAAAAGGTGGAAGAAAGGTCTAGCTCAACCTGAAAGGATAGCCTTATCCACTGAATACATCTACAGAACAGGAACATTAGATTTGAAATATAACATTCCCAAAATACAAACCACCACCAAGGAATCATTACGCAAAGATGACCATTGGTATCATCAAGTTGAACGTTGGAATTTACCCGAAAAGCTTTGCCAAACTTCGGAGTACAATACCGATACGACAGACTTACAACCCAACACATGCCATTTGGGATCTAGATTCCAATACTTTATTTATTTTGATATTCGATTCTGGAAATCCATTCGAACGGTTCTTCATGATATGTACTCATGTTCTGTGATCACCAATTTAAACTTCAAGAACGTATTATGTGCTCAATACGTTGACATTTATCCAACTGTGGCTGATATGTTGTTAACAAAAGACAGAGAACCCGAGACCAATGTAATGGGAGTCTTATCTACTCAAATATTCACATGTCCTTCCAATTCTACGTTGATTGTTCAACATCATGATTTATCCAGGATTTTTGCTTCCATATACAGTTTCCTTACAGAAGAAAGAATCAGAACACTGGACGATATTACTATCACTCATAAAATTTCCATCTGGAGCTTGAAGATCCGTCGTTGGTGTCAATGTTTTTTTGATGTTTCATATATACTTACTCGAAGCAATGATTTTAAGTCGATAGTGGAATATAACATCATCCCTATGGCATGTGATATAATTGCCTTATTCCAAGGTCGCCCAGTGATAATTCGGGAGGGGAAGACTCATGTGGAGTACGAAAGTCCTGATTATACTGCGTTCTTTCAGAATGTACCTGTGATTTACCTGTTTGCAGAAAACATAGCCCATTGCTTTTCTACAATGAAGAACATCAACAAACATGAACAGAAAGTGTTATGCAAAAATGCCATAATGTATGTGGTGACATTCTTATTGAAGTTGGAATCCAATAACTACCCAGGTTTACTGGATGATACTATAGATATTGACTTGAAGGTCCAAAGGAATGCCAAAAGAGACCCAAGAAGCAACGAATTAATTCAAGAATACAGAATCGACAAAGAAAAGGTCAGTTTCTTACACCCATTACATTCCCTTCTTGCATTTTTAATTCAATTTGCAGAGTTTGAAAGTTCCTTCGAAGTCAAACAAATAATTGACGATACAATCAACAAGATGGGCCAAACAAACATACCCAACCCAACAGTATCGATTTTTGACTACTCAGTAAGAACCATCGTTTTAATGTCACAAATCAAATCAGGGTTTTGGGTTAGGAATGGGTTCAGTGTTCGGTCCCAATTGCAACTCTACAGAAACACCAACCTTAGAGAGTGTGGTTACATGCGAGACTTGTTCCTTATTCAAGTGTTTGTAAACACTTATGAGCCCGATTTTGTATGTAATCTCCTCTTCGACAGATGGCAGCTATTAGAAGGTTGGACGTTAAAGAGCGGCGGGTTCCCCATAGACCAAAATGAAGATGCTATCTTTCCCTATGATCATCATACATTGTCATACATATTAGATGAGTGTTTGAACTTCTTCATCCAGCTTCAATCGGAGGTCTTGTATTTACGGGGACTTAAGGAGAACAACCTTAATGAGACCCACATAAGAAATGAGTTGATCCATAATTTATGTTTTGGTCCTATGACATATTCCAAGCTTTGTTCCAATATTCCAGAACATGTGTCGATGGAAAAGCGATTTGATTTGATGCTTCAAGATGTTTCAACCTTCTCTGCACCCACAGGAGCAAATGATGTTGGTATGTACAAGTTGAAGGATGAGTTCATTAACGAGGTCAATCCTTATTACTTCAACTACACAGCCAATATGAAGGATGATGTATTAAAGTTATTGAAACATCGTATCATGAAGAAAACCAACAAGACCATGAATAAGATAGTCATTGAGCCCAATTTAAGAAATGCAGAAGAATTAGGAATATATCGCCATATTGGGAACTATTCCTTATCCAGTTACTTCTCTGACTTTATTATCAAGACGTTGCTTTACATTGTGGATCAAGGAGTCGACAAGAGTGACAATTTATTGGAAACAACGTTACATTTGATCCATATTTGTGCGCTAGAACGTTACATCAACACAGATGATGACAACAATACAGGGAAGACTTTTTTTGCAAACTTCACTCGTCAATCTGACATTCACGGGACTACTATTGCCCAATTGCTTTTCAACATGTTGGATGGAGAGGCCATGAAGGACCACCGAGCAAAGATCCGGTCTATATTTGCTATTTTCGACACCAAGTACTCCAACGTCAACAACATGCTTCTGGGATGCATTTCGCAGTTTGATTCGATTAAACTAACAGATAAAACCAATGAGGGGGACCCCCAGAAGGCCATTTCTCGGAAGAAAAGAATTGCAAAGGATAGACAAGCACGATTAATGGCCAAATTCAAAGAGCAACAGTCTCTGTTCCTTAAACAGAATCAAAATGAAATAGAAGAGACTAGTGATGTTGAAATGGTAGAATATGGTGATGATGAAGGCTGGCAATTTCCAGAACCTCACTGTTTGTACTGTCAAAATGCTCTGGACAATGCAGGGCCCTTTGGAATCATCACCTATGTGTCCAAGTCATCTGAGTTTAGAAAGGTCCCCTTTGATGACCCTTATTGGTTTATGAAGGCCTTCTCTGATAGTCATAATTTGGATAATGATGAAACCACAAAGGAAGAAGCTGAAGACGAAACATACTCGGAGAAATGGAAGCAGTACATGAAGTGGATCCGGGAATCCAACGTCATGGGTCCTGGGTTTTCAAGCCATAAACATGTTGAAAGTAAGGTTGTATCTCAAAGTTGTGGTCATGGAATGCATTTCCAATGCTACGTTAACTTCCTCAACACTAATAGGAACAAACAGCAACAGATCTCCAGAAATGTACCTGAAAGCATTGAACACCGAGAGTTCTTATGTCCCTTGTGCAAAGCTATTAACAACATGTTTATTCCTATTCTTTGGGTTCCCAACAAGAAGTCACTTGAGAATTTTGTTCTGCCATTAGAAGCTACTGCCACTGTCAATGTGTTTGAGCAATTGGGGAACCAAGATCTCCATGAACCCAAATGGCTAGAGAAGTTTGGGTCTTTGGCCACCAAAGATTTAGAAGAGTTGTCTCAACTCACAGCCACAGCAAGTAACATGATTGGGCAGAACTCCAAGGAGATTACGACTTCTGACCAAAAGAGTTTCAGATCAATGTTAACCAATATGTTTCAGATATTAACCCTATTAGTGTTCCCGCGAGTGTTTAAAGCAGATTCTACTTTAATCTTGACTAACACTATCAAGTCCACAGAAATATCTTTGAGAGGTCTAGGCTCCATAAGCTGTGTGATAGACCAAATATCCAACAACGCTCTTTTGAACCTCCGCGCCATCAACGAATTCAGAAACAACGTTCTCTTGATGAAGATGAAGAACTGGCTCTCCACCCCTGCAGCCAAAGCAGACGTCTACATGAAGTTGCTCACTGGTCTCAGCCAACTATCCAATAAGCAATTACCTTTACAAGTACAAAGTGCTGATTTCTTTGAGATTCTAGTGAATGTCATTCCCTTACCCAGTTTAGGGTTCCTGTTCAATGCCATCTTTAAAGCGTGTTTTGTTGGTCATATCTTGCAGGTGCTTAGTATTCTTGTCACTAAGTTGAACACAAGCAACAGTAGGACTGACAATGAACATTACGGTTTAAGAGATATACCCTCTATGATGAACTCCAACAACGGTATTTATACAGTAGAAGTTTTCCGGAGACTATCCGAAGCACATGGCTTGGATCACGTCAATGCTGACATTGGAGCGATACTCTATACGATGCTTATCAAATCTGTTACCCCATTTCTCCGTCGAGCAGCGATCTTAGCCTATGTTAACTGTGCAGACATCGAGTCACTACCAGTGTTTGAAAGCTCACAACGTCTCGAAGCAGACAGACTCTGTGACATCTTAAAGGTGCCCTCGGTAGCTCAAATGCTACAGGAGTTTATCCAACCAGAGGGTGATAACTGCTACAATGGAACCATCTTCAATTCCTACGTCCAACATCTCAAGTCAAGACAGACTGTTAATTCCAATGCTAATGCGATGCAATTGGAACTCAAATACGAATTGGAATATCCCGGGATCGTCAAGTTAATCGACCTCCCGGACCGACTTGACTACTTCTTCACTAACTACTACTATCTGGACAGATACAACAACCCCCACACCCGAATGGAGAACCCGGCGATCTGCTTGTACTGTGCAGAAGTTATGGATGTGCAACGGACTTCTATTGGCGAACAAGAAGGTCAATGCACAATCCACTACTTGAAAGAGTGTGCTGGTTGTGTTGGGTTGTTCTTGTTACCCAAAGATAGAACCATACTAATTTTAACTAGAAACGGAGGTTCATTCCATGCAGCTCCGTATTTGGACAAGCACGGTGAATTACCCAGTGAGATGAAGAAGTCTAAGCCACTATATTTGATGAGACCTCGGTACAACGACTTCTTGAGAAACGTATGGCTACTGCATAACGTTGTCAATTATGTTGCCCGGAAGTTAGACAGTGTGGTTGATGCTGGAGGTTGGGATACTTTATAGAATTACATAAGTATGCGACACAAATTACCCATTCGGGAAACAGTTCAAGATATACATATTTAAACTTATTGTAAAAATTGATTAACATAAGCTTCATCATCATCGTTATCATCGTCGATAGAACCTTCATCCCAATTGTCTGAGAACTCATCCACAAGATCAACAGGTACTTGGTTGTTCCCTCTCATATGGAACAACCCACGACTAACAAGAGCATATAAGCCTTGGTTCAAGAAGAGCTTGCTTAAGTATTTGTACCTATAGTCATTCAAATAGGCCTTCTCCGAAAGAGAGTTCGACTTAACTTCTCCATGTTTGGTCAAATATGGAGCTGGGATGGCGTAACATTCAGATAAGGGACCCATTGAGTTACGGACGTCAATGAAGAGTGTATTCTGGATGGGGAAGAATAAAACACAGGGTACAACACAGACAGACGAGTGTTTCACCAGTTCCTTCTGAGACATCTTGTGGCCACAATGTAAACAGATATAGAACTCGGGGTCACGTTTGGTTTCCAACAAATTCCATGTTTCACTGTACATATTGATCCATTTACTATAATCTTTGGGGATGTCGATCAACCGGATAACTCCCGGGTACTCGAGAGTCAAGATCCCACTAGCTTCGTATCTGGACAATTTGGCTTCTAGGACAACCTTGAAGATCTTGGACTCAAAGCTGGTGTCGTAATTGTTGGATATTTTGTCCATCAACTCCGACAACGTGGACAAGTCCAACACTTTGGTGAGTTCCATAATGGAGTCTGGTCTCACAGTGCTGCTGTACATATTTGACTTCAAGGAGGAGAACTTGTCCAGACGTTCGTGTTCGCTGCCACCACGGTATACAGTGGTCAAGGAGTCTTCGAAGATCACATACTGCCTTAAAAGTGGTAGCATCAACCTTTCGATGGCCAGATACAACCTGTTCCAGAACTCATTATCGTCGTAGTGAGCTAGTCTAGGAGCTTCTTGAAAATAGTCTGAATCCAAGATAAGCCTTACAAGGTATCGTAACGATGTAAAGTCACGACTGCCACTATCAAGGGTATCCATGTCCTTATTGTGATCACAGATGAGCTCATATTGTCCACGGAACGACAAGAACCGTCTGAGTAATGCTGTAAGAATTATAGTCAAATACTTCACGTACCCAACCAACTTGAGAGTATGCCAAGATTCATCTGTCTGGAAGAATAACACAATGACTTCATTGAAAACACCATCAAGATGGTAATCATCAACATCAGCATCTACAACGTCACCGTCCCAGAAGTCTTGGATCTGGAAGAGTAAACCCTCGGAAGTCTCATTATCAAAGATCTTCTCTGCTGCAAAGGCTCTGAATTGTATAAGAGATTTGAGTAGGGTTTTGGTGGTAGTTGGTATCAAATCCAAGAATGAATAGAGACCTTCTTCCTCTTCTAGTCTGGTAGTAATCTCTGCCATTCTCACAGTGTTAGCCAAGGTTATAGTCATGTTCATCAAATTGTTGAAGGCCTTATCTCTTTGACTATTACCCCTAGTGTACGACCTAAAGGTTGCCTTCTTGAAGAAGGCGTGAGAAAAGTTTTTATAGTCCTTTAACTCCGATCTTGAGCTTAAAGAATCGTACTTCCCATGGATCATGTTGTACATCAACTTGCCACTCTTTAAAGTGCCTGAGTCCACCAACAATTCATTGTACCTGGTAGCAATTGGAGGGTAGTTCAACTCTTCTTCCAAAATCATAGCTCCTCTAGGTGGTGGAACAAACGTAGGTATGAAGAAATTGTGCAAACAACTGCACAATGGACACACAATGAACGATGATCTATTGAAATGATCAATGTAACATTTATAATGTAATCCGTGGCCACAAATAGATATCACTTCCCCTTTAACCTTTTGATTATTCAAATACGACTTAGCACCATTCAGGTAGTTGTACCCGATCCCAAACAATTGTTGATCTTCCCTAACGATATCATTCTGATTATCAAAGTCTTCAAAGGCTAATCGGATCCTATCATTGTCATCGGTAGGCACTTTCCAAAATATACTAGCAGTTGATATCGTAGCCATTAAACCAAATGGTTCACCTGTTGATTGGGGTTCACTACAAAACACACAATGATGGTCATTATCTGTTTCATTTTCATCATCAACACCTTCAGTAGCTGTATCAGCAGCAGCAGAGGTAGCATTAGCATTGGAAAGAAACTTTTGCTGTTGCTTAGCAAACTTCTTCATGATTTTGGCTTTCTTCTGTTCTGCAATGCGTTTTCTCTTCTCTTGGTTAGTTTCCATGGCTTCAAGCTTCCTCTTCTTGTATTCCACAATGTGAGTCTCTCCAAAACAGTCAACCAAGTTCTCCACAACTTCATTGCACTTCATCAAAATACCCACAAGGTAATCTGCCTTTTCAATAATGGTTCTGGCCATATTGGATTCGACAATAATTAATAATAAGTCACATATGGGTATGGAGATGTAATGCTCACAAATATGGTCTTTGCCATTTATGTTTTCATCATCTATCAAGATAGCATGAATTAAATGTAATAATTGAGGCAAATAAGATTCATTGGAATTATCAATGGATAACTGTAACAATTTGTAAATGAACTTTGCAAACTCTTTTGTTCTTGTAAATGCCCCTAATCGAGTATTAATATCTGAATCTTCAATAAAGTCCAACCGAGGTTCAAGAATAACTTTTTCTTCCTTTATACCTCCTTGCTTGGTAGCATAATACTTTCTTAATGATTCGGATATACTATCAAAATCATTATGTCGGGTGCAATCAAGATAAAGACTCATGGGATCTAATTCCTTAAGGTACTTGGTCTTTAACAGATACTTCCCACTATCTGTTAAACCTGTTGGTTCATGATAATCTCCATATTCAAGCAATGCACTGTCCAAATCATCACCATCATCAAGTGGCATGATATGCTTCAATCTACTGAAAGATTGAGGATCTCCCGCAAGCGTATATAAGATCATCTTTTTGGATAAATTAGCTTGTCTTTCCTTTGGGGAAAACCCTTTAAAGCAATCTTTATTTGCAAACAAATTGTAAAAGAAATGAACAAGTTTCTCCGCAATATAAAAGAACTTATCTTCATACGTTGTTTCCAAATAACTCTTTTTATTAACGTACCAATCCAAAAGTTCCCATCGTTCCATTATATTCAGAAACACTACTGCAGGGTTGTCAACCAAGAGTGCAGTTTGACATAAATGCACATCTCTCAAATAAGCCAAATCCTTTAAATATGAAACATACGCTTCTGCATGGTAAGACACCGTGGTTCCATTTCTTATCCAAAAACCGACTTTGATCTGAGACATCAACACAATACTTCTCAACAGAATATCGTAGATCTTGGAGATCTTATGGAACATGCTTATAAAATTCTGAATCCCATAATATTCAAGAATTAATGATAACATTGAATGAATAGGATGAATGAATGAAACCTTTTCCTTACTAACTTTGAACTCAACTATTTCAGGAGCTAAATAAGGGACATTCCTGTCATTTAAAACATCTATTATTAAGGAAACAGCCTTCTTCACCAATTCAATATCGTCAGTTTTGGAATCCACAAGCTGTTGTACAAAACGTAAAACTCTTAGAGAATAATGAGCATGTACGTTGGCATCAAACACTTCTATTTCCACATGCTCACCCCATTTTCTAACCAATGGCCAATATTCTTGAAATAAAAGTAAATAATTCAATGTGAAAACCAAATTGTGCTGTTCAAAGAATGCTTTACTCATGCTGATGTCTAACAGTTTATCCACCAAGTTTTCAATAGCCTGTAAGCCGACTTTGATGGCTCTAATGATTGGTTTGTCGACCTGAGGCTTTTTCATTGATTGTTCTCTGTTAATAAAGATATCATGGCCTATATCAAAGTCCCATTTGGAGGATGCATTCTTTATAAGTTCAGCTAATGGTCCAATTATAACACCAACATTGTTCTTCTTATAAATGGACAGAACTGACTTTGGACAAGTGAAAACTTGGATTAAAATATCCCAAGTTACATTCAACTCTTCTTCAATATCAGAATATGCCAAGGTTGACAACAAAAGAGGATATAACTCAACAAATTGATCACAGAACATCTGCTTGGAGATCGGATCGGAGATTAAAACTGGAATAAATGCCTTATTTAAAAGCTTTCTTGGTTTCTTGCTTAATCTTATTTGGAAAGCGAGAAAATATTGTAACCGAGAATACGTCAAGTTGTTCAAGTCTTCACGAATGACAGAACCATATTTCTTGATCGTATTATTCAGTGAAGGGTCAACCACTTCAGCTGTAGTCGGAGTCAAGTTAAGAAATTTGTCGCCATATAGCATCCCATTGCGATACAACAGTTTCTTTCCAATGCCCATACCCGTATTTAGAGTGGACCGTAACTTTGGAGTGGGTGATTCCAATAGCAATTCTGCAAGGTATTTTTTTGCATAGTTACTGAAAGTTGCGTTCTTATGATGGGTGACTTCAACAATCCATTCCAATATGGATCGACATATTTGTTCTCTCATAAAGTCTCTAGCACTTACGATGGTCATCACAAGTCCATCGGGTTCTGCTATAGCCTTTTGAGCCACAAGTTTGCCATAATTGGATGATTCATTGACCACAGCATATCCTATCTGGTCGATTGTATTAGCCAATTGTTTAGCCTTTTCATGACCTCTATCTGAAGCAGCCCTGATTGTTCTTGTGGCTTGTGTATAGTCGTGATGTTCATCATTCCAAAGAACCAAATACCATAAATCGTGGGAGTTCTTATCAATACCTCCACCGTACTTTTCCGACGACAACGTTGAAATATCCGATACCGTTCTACCATATTCTTCATGGCCATCGTTCACAAAATTCCTCATTGCAGGAAGCTTTTGTACTGAACCATTTAAAACATCAAGGAAATAATCAAGAGCAATTCGTATAGTTGCTTTTAGAGCCAATTGCCAGTCTTCATACTCAGCTATCTGTTTCTTTGCAGAGCCATTATTGTTATCGCCATCATCATCAGTTGATATTTGGGTTCGACAGTTAAGTGCAACCTTGAACGCCTCAACATCGCCACAATCACATATACCAGAATTGGATCCAGAACTGAAATACATACGCACATCATGCCCTTCATGATCGTCAGGGTTATAGCATTGGACACAGAGCACACACGTATTATCGTAGCCACACTGATCACATTGATACACTGGTTCTGACTTCTCAAAACTATGACCACAGGCATGCCCCTTCTCATGGTAGTATCTTGTCTGAGAAGTCGTTGAGTCTTTGGCACGATAGAACGGCTCTCCTTCAAACAGATTGTCAGGGTGTATGAACAGATAGTTTTCTAGCAACGCTAGTTCTTCCAAACTCATGTGAGGATACAACTCCGTTAAGTAGAGACTCTCCAAAGTTGCAGCATGGTACAATCCCTTAAACACAACGTCATGGATCAAACTAAAATTCTTGTACCCAATGCGCCATGGTAACTCAATAAGGAACTTCTTTAGCGAGTCCTCCAGAACAGATTGTTGCGACTTCATGGTGGAGCAATAAAGCCATAAGGAAACAGTGTACCAGACAGATCTATATGTGCGTCTATACCCATCATTACAAGTATGACATTGATTACGTAATCTTGACTCTCAATAACATATGTATGAATGCTTCCTTCTAAATTCCTGTACATAAACTTTTCACTTGAGAGATAAACTTGATAAAAATTTTCGGAGTAACTAACAGAACATATTCATTCTTATCCAAACAAAATGTCGGCTGTCACAGACCCTGAAGAACAGTACAGATTGATCACCAAGAACTTACAAGAAGTTTTAAACGGACAAATCATAAAGGATGTTCTTGAAAAGAAAGAGAGACATTTAAAGATTTACTGGGGTACTGCACCAACAGGTAAACCTCATTGTGGATACTTTGTTCCTATGATTAAGTTGGCTCATTTCTTAAAGGCTGGATGTGAAGTTACTGTTCTTTTAGCTGATTTGCATGCGTTTTTGGATAACATGAAGGCTTCCTTGGAAGTTGTCAATTACCGTGCTAAATACTATGAATTGGTTGTCAAGTCTATATTGACCTCAATTGGAGTTCCTATTGATAAGTTGAAGTTTGTTGTTGGAAGTTCTTACCAAACTAGAGAGGATTACGTAATGGATTTATTCAGAATGTCTAACATTGTTGGTCAAAATGATGCTAAGAGAGCTGGTGCAGATGTGGTTAAGCAAGTGAGTAACCCATTATTATCAGGGTTGATTTACCCCTTGATGCAAGCTCTTGATGAACAATATTTGGATGTTGATGCTCAATTTGGTGGTGTTGATCAAAGAAAAATCTTTGTTTTAGCTGAAGAAAATTTGCCATCCCTTGGCTACAAGAAGAGAGGTCATTTGATGAACCCAATGGTTCCTGGGTTAGGTCAAGGTGGAAAAATGAGTGCCAGTGACCCAAACTCTAAGATTGATGTTGTAGAAACTACCAAAAACATTCAAAAGAAAATTAGTAGTGCCTACTGTGCTCCTGGTGATGTTACAGACAATGGGTTACTTTCATTTACACAATTTGTCATTCAACCCATTCAAGAATTGAAGAATGGTAAAGAAGGTTACTTCAATTTCCACATTAAAAGACCAGAACAATATGGTGGGCCTATTCAATTCAATTCTTTTGAAGACATGAAGAATGCGTTTGCTAATAATGAATTGTCTCCAATTGACTTAAAGGCTGGTGTTGCTTCATACATTGATGATTTATTGGCTCCAATCAGGGCCGATTACGAACTGAATAAGGAATTCCAAGAAGCTGCAGAAAAGGGATACCCTGTTGCTCAACCCAAGCAAAAGGTTAAGAAGGTCAAAAATAAGGGTACTAGATACCCTGGTGGTGCTGCTGCTGCTACTCCGGTAAGCTTAGATTCAGTTGAGGCTGTAGACGCCGCCGCTACCAAGTTGCAGAGCACTACCTTAGAAGAATCCAAATAGATAGAGCATGGAGATAAGTCAGAACATAGTAATAATAATAGTAAGTAAAGGCATAATAACAGTTGTAATGCTAACAGAGGCTGTCTTATGGCTGTTTATATGAGACTTATACTAGCTGTAGTTAGAGCTACTACTATTACTGTGTAATTAGTCACATATCCATTGACAAGCGGTAGCGCCACTGGCCAATCAATGCACCGCATTTAGTTTGCGACAAAGTAACAAAAAAATTTGAACTTAGAGGTAAACTGTATTGACTAACAAAGTGGACTATTAAGACTACCTTAACAGAATATAGCACAAATGGTATGTGATACGTCATCAGCCAATTAAGCTGGTGTTAAGATATTTATTAGGAGAGTCGTTGTTTTAATGAAGTTGATTCTGAGTTCATAGTAGTGGTGGCAGAAGCAGCAGCATCTGGCAACCGCGTACTTGGAAAGTGTTTGATAGTAACTAGCTCCAATAGAGAAGTGCTTGATGGGAACAGAGATATGAATCCACGACGATATAAAATTAGGCAATTATGTTGGAAATACTATAAGTCAATGGAGTGATACCCTTATAATTCAGATGATCTTCTTCACTTTAACCAATGATCTTGTTCGCTATAAGCTTTTATACTAACTAAAACTCAAAATAGATAGCTTCTCTTTTCCGCAGAAACTCTATTTACGTTGCCACCATCTTTGGTGGTGCCTTTGCCTTCCAAGCTTTCTTCAACTACGGTGTCACTAGTTGGTACGAAAACCACAACAAGGGTAAGTTGTGGAAGGACGTTAAGGGTAAATTTGTCGAAGGTGCAGACTCAGAAGATGACGAATAAACATGACACTGTTTATATAAATTACATATTCTTCCAATAGATACTACAGAAAGTAATACTACATGGATATACGTTAATACATAATTAAGTAGTAGGTTCAATTTCCGCGCTACCATTGCAGAGATGGTCTTTATTGAGATGGTTATAACTGTTATAACTCGTTACGATAGCACTATACCCCATCTCTATTCCATCATCATGGCTGTCATTAACCAACCCAATAGTCAGATTCGATTGACCAACGTGTCGATTGTTCGTATGAAAAAAGGAAAGAAGAGATTTGAAATTGCATGCTACCAAAATAAGATCCAAGATTGGAGGTCTAGAATTGAAAAAGATATAGATGAAGTTTTACAGATCCCCCTGGTGTTTATCAATGTAAGCAAAGGACTTGTGGCTAATAATGAAGATCTACTTTCGTGTTTTGGGAAGACCAATCAAGATGAAATCATTTTGGAGATTTTAGATAAGGGAGAGATCCAATTGAATGAAAAGGAAAGGAATGCCAATTTACAACAGAAACAGAATGAATTTTTAACGATTATTCTGACGAAATGTATTAGCTCTAGAACGAAAAAGAAGTACCCCCCCTCTATGATTCTTAAGGCACTTAATGAGTTGAAATTCCATTTGAACCCGGTGAAACCAGCTAAAACACAGGCTTTGGAAGCCATTAGATTATTGGTTTCAGAACAACTCATCCCCATTGCAAGAGCACAAATGCAGGTCAAGGTTGTGCTTCTTTGTAAGGTTAAAGACCAAGTTTGGGATGAGCATATAATGCCGTTGTTTGACCATATAGAAGATGAGAATCAAGGTTCCAAATTGTTCTCTGTTACCGGGATAATTGATCCTATAAATTATAAAGCCATTCTGGATTTGTTGCAGGGAGAAAATGCCCTAATACGTAAAGGTCAAGGTTCTATTGAGGTATTGAATATGGCTACGATTAAAGAAGATTGAAGAAAACAGTGAAAGTACTCTGACAGTTTTTTTACTAGATGGCTCAAACACACTCAATTGGTATCTTATAGAACAGAAGAGCAATATATATAAGCTTTAACTAATTGCAAATGAACTTGATGTAACTAGCTTAACACCAAGTGCCTCACTTGAATATCATCAGAGTCGTGTAAATACCGATATCCCATCTCTCCTAAAAATTTTCAGGTAATCTAATATACTACTATCTACTACCTACATAAAGGCAACCATCTACAGATACTTAAACGACCATGTCTATTGTATTACCTGCTGCCACAGGCTCTGCTGCCACATTTGAGGCTGTATCCAAGTACTCGGCTCCTACACGTCGTCCCATTGAGCCAGTTGGTCGTTACTTTTTGGCCCATGCTACCAGAACTCTTAGAGGCCACACCTGGTCCGAATATGAAAAGTTAGAAGCGGAAAAGAACGTCACTGTTGTTGAAGAAAACGGTGATGAAGACATTGGTGACGAAGAACAAGACGAAGATTTGTTGGCACATGATCCTAGAGAATGGAAGACTGCTGATTTATATGCTGTTTTAGGTTTGAGTCATTTGAGATGGAAAGCTACCGATGACCAAATCAAGAGAGCCCACAGAAAGCAAGTTTTGAAACATCACCCAGATAAGAAGTCTGCTAGTGGTGGTTTGGAACAAGATGGGTTTTTTAAGATCATTCAAAAGGCTATGGAAACCATGTCTGATGTTACCAAGAGACAACAATATGATTCTGTTGATACCAATGCTGATGTTGTTCCTCCAGCTCCTAAATCAGAATATGATTTCATTGAGGCATGGGGACCTGTTTTTGCCAGTGAAGGTAGATTTTCCAAGAAGCAACCAGTGCCTTCATTGGGTGACATGAACTCCACCAAGGAAGAAGTTGATGCCTTCTACAGTTTCTTTGGAAAGTTTGATTCATGGAAGACTTTCGAGTTCAAAGACGAAGATGTTCCAGATGACACCTCCAACAGAGATCACAAACGTTACATTGAACGTAAGAATGTTGCTGCCAGAAAGAAGTTGAAGCAAGAGGACAACAAGAGATTGATTGCATTGGTGGAGAGAGCATATTCTGAAGATCCAAGAATTAAGTTATTCAAGGATGCTGCTAAGGCTGAAAAGGCCAAGAAGAAGTGGGATAAGGAAGCTGGTTCTAGAAAGGCTGCTGAAGAAGAAGCCGCTAAGAAGGCTGCTGCTGAAGAAGCTGCTAAGAAGGCTGCTGAAGAAAATGCCAACAAGAAGGCTGACTCCAAGAAGGCTAAAGAGGCTGCTAAGAACGCTAAGAAGAAGGCCAAGAGAACCATTAGAGCTGCTGCTAAGGAAGCTGAATACTTTGGTGATGCTGCTAAATCTGGTGACATTGATGCTGATGTTGAATACCTTGTGGAGAAGTTGGATGATGTTCAATTACAAACTGTTTCCAGTAAGGTTGCTGGTGGAGATGCCACTGTTACCAAGAGTGCTTTCAATGAGATTGCTGCTGAATTGGCAGGTGTTGGTAAGTTACAAGCTGCTCACTTGAAGTACTTTTCTGCTTAAGTAATACTCAAATAATAATCATATACTTCATGAGATATACATAAATGGTTCTTAGTAGTAGTGGTGTAGATTACGTCCCCTCTTCTTCATCAGGTACCAGTATCTTATGTTTCAAAGGTAAGGCCTTCAAATGATAATGTGCTTTCCGTTTGGCTTCAAAGAGTTGATGTCTTTCTTCAGCTGTCAATTGCCTTTCCTCTGACTCTTGCTGCTGTTGCTGTTGTTGCTCTTCGAGTTCGGGTGAGCGGATGACTTCTCCTCCATTCAATGATTCATAACGTTCTGTGTCATTCTTGTCGAATTCTGAATCTCCCAATTCAAAAGCAGGAATATCTTCCAACCCTCCCTTTGCCAGGGCTCCTCCAGCTTCATCTTCATCATCACGATAATATTCACCCTCAGGATTGAACCCACCTTCATAGGGAGTTTTAGGCTCATCGATCTTCATGGTAGCAGCTTTCTCTTGTTCCGTTTGGTACAAGTTGATTTCATCCCATTTCAAATGATCATCTGATCCCTTTGGTTGTTGGTTGTCAGATTGTTCTGATTCATAGCCTGAATTTTCAGCACTTCCAAATGACTTCTTCCGAGCTGCAATCTTGGCTCGGATTTGATCTCCTTTCAGTTGGCTTTCACTTACTAAATGAGCATTCAATTGGGTGTTCCTAATCACTTCTTGACGATCTAAATGATCTCCAACTTCATGTACTTGCAACGGAGAAGTATCGGCTTTATTCCGAAGAATTCCTCTAGGTTGTTCCATAATAATAATATAATAATTTTACTTTATTTGTGCTTATGATAATAAGACAATTGACTAATGAAAGCACCTTTAATACATTTATTATTGTCGATGATCATGACTCCCAATAATATGTGTGACATGACACAAATTGGTTTTAAATCACTTTCCCTTTTCTGTCACGTGGTTATTCACGTGCGGTATCTCGTGACACTAGCGAGTGCCGCGACGTTTGTCAAGAGTTTTGTTTTTCCCACAACGGACACCACCTCCAAAATTTGTCATCTTGGGCAATATGGAACACCGGGATTTTTCTTCCGAATAGACAACTTATTCTACATTGTCATATTTAAAGTCTTCCAAGCGGTGTTTTCTAGGTACATTTGCCGATTTGTGTAGCCTCAACAAGAAGACAAGTCAATTGAATTTCTGTTAGTTTGACTTCATTAATCGGATCAATAAAGTTGATGAGTGGCAAGTGTGTTGGTGTATAACTTTAAATTCATAATATTCATTTGGCTGGAAGGAACTGTTTAAAAGGATCTACAAATTCAAATCTAGCTTAGTTTATTTTTTATTTTTTATTTTTTATCATTTGATACCTGTCATATTACATCATGGGACAATCATTCAGTGGCATATTCAATCGATTGTGGGGTGTCAACAAGGAGATCCGTATATTGATATTGGGTCTAGACGGTGCTGGGAAAACCACCATATTATATAGATTACAATTGGGGACTGTGGTCACCACTAAACCTACCATTGGATTCAATGTGGAAACTTTGAAATATAATAATTTAACCCTTAATATATGGGATTTGGGTGGACAAACATCTATAAGACCATATTGGAGATGTTATTATAATAATACTGCGGGGATCATATTTGTGGTTGACTCTACTGATCGAGAACGAATGGACGTGGCATGTCAAGAGTTACATACTATGTTGAAAGAAGAAGAATTACAGGAAAGTGCATTGTTGGTGTTTGCTAACAAACAAGATCAACCTAAAGCCATGACTGCTGCAGAAGTAAGTAAGGTTTTGGATTTGACTGAATTGAAAGATAGAAGTTGGTCCATTGTGGCTTCTTCAGCTATAAAGGGCGAAGGGTTGACTGAAGGGTTGGATTGGTTAATGGATGTAATCAAAGATGAACAATTACAGTAATCAACCATATAATACAAATAAATATATATATATATACCTTAATGCAATCTATCTATAAGCCGCGCTCCTTAACTCTTTGTAAAATGGTCTTGATCATCTCATTACCAATAGCATTTGCTTCCGTCAACATGGGTTCAAAGAACTCTTGTGCGCTTTCAAACTCCTTCTTATACAATTCAAAGTTGCCAAATTCAATAATGGCTGCCCAATTCCGTGCGGCTATGGTGAACTCCAAATCATCATGTCTAAAAGCTGTATCATCAATTCCGACATCAATGCATTCTTGAAGCAAATCAGGTGATTGGAATAAGTACTCAGTGACACCCAAAAAGATTCTAAATAATGGTGTGGAGCAGATCATGTGATCATAAGGAACTATTCCTAACTTACTCCAGGAATCAACAATTGCCAATAATGACAAATGAGAATTAGGTTGTCTACCACCTGGTGGGGTCTTGGATAACGAGAATCTTTCCAAGATATCATCATCTAAAAGAAGTTGATGAGAGTCACTCAAATGCCCAAACACAAAGTCTTTGGCCTTCATGATTCTCTCTTTGAGTTCTTGTTTCTTCCCTTGGATCATCAAGGTGAATAATTCGGAAGTACTCTTTGAATATTGAAGTACTTGGATCTTGGCAGAAGGATTAGTAATAGCTAAGCCAGCGTAAACATGCCATTTATTGGCATAAATACGTAATGAAATGTTGATTTTGGCGTTTTCAATCCCACCAGTCCATTTAGGTGTCTCCCAAGGGTATTGGTGGATCTCTTTCCATGCTACACCCATCGAAAGAAATGCGGCATGGGTAACTGCTTGGGTATCAGCAGTGATCTTATCGTGTTCCTTTGCTGAAAGATATACTCTTTTAGACATGAGACAGCTCACAAGTGCATTAACAAATGTCGTATTCTCTTCCAGTGCTCTATGTTCTATTATCACCAATGGTTGGCCTGTAGTATCCACTTTGGGACCATGAAGTGAATGTAACAGAATAATATCAACATCTTCTGGAAGAACAGCTTCAAAGGCTTCAATCTCAGGTGCCTTACAACTGGTTTGACCGCCAACTATAGCTCCTACCTTAGTACTAGGACCATAAGTCTCAACTATCTTTCGAATGTTCTCGGCCTCCACTGAATAAATTATATAGTCTGCTCTCCGTGATACATAATGACCATTACGTAGAACCTCAAATTGCTCATTGGCGGCAAACTTTTCCAACATTGATTCGTACTTGTCTTCACGGTCACAACCAATTACCCTCCAACCAGCAGCAGAGAACTTTCTAGCATACAAAAGACCCATGTCTCCGAGTCCGATTATTCCAATGGTCTTGGTCTTTTGCAATCTGTTGATAATATCATCTGCCATTTTTGTTAACGTGTATTTTATATATATATGTGTGTGTGTTAGGAACAGCAGGTAAATGCTGTAGTTTATGCCCTAATGTGACTGGTCAGATCAACGTTATGAAACCTAATGTATACTATCTTATGGAAGTATGTTACAGTTATATCATTGAATGAAAATTATGAAAGTTACAGTCCCCAATATTCCGCGCTACCATACCAAATTCTGAAAACAAACATCCTAATAGTATATGGATGTATTCCACTACTACTACTGCTACTACTTTTCCCGTAATGGTTTTACAGGCATTTTCTGCTCCCGGAAAGGCCCTTTTGGCCGGAGGATATCTTGTTTTAGACCCAGAATACAATTCATATGTCACAGCATTATCATCCCGTATGCATTGTGTATTTGATTCGCACCCTTCTGAGAATGAACTGAAATCAATAGTTTCTATTCTGTCACCTCAGTTTGCATATGGAAAGTGGGTTTACGAAGTAGGCTCCAATTCGGATTCAAAAGACCGAATTGATAGTGTTGATGTACACCAAATTGAAGGTCCTAGCAACCCATTTGTTGAATCGGTGATTCGTGTCATTACAGCATACGTTGGTGGTAGTGATATTCAGAAGTTTGGTGATGACATTCTAATCACTATTTTCCTGGATCCAGAATACCATACTAGAGATGGAGCTCAAGCTCAAACATCATCTAATGGTAAAAGGCAATTCTTATATCATCAAGAAGATATAACAAGCGTACCTAAAACAGGTTTGGGATCATCTGCTGGACTTGTTACCGTTCTCACTGCGGCCTTAGCCCAAATATATATCAAAAAATCTGATATTGATATTCCATTGGATTTGATTCATAATTTAGCTCAAATTGCCCATTGTTATGCTCAAGGTAAGATTGGAAGTGGATTTGATGTTGCAGCAGCAGTTTATGGTTCTATTAAATACCGTAGATTTGATCCAGAGTTGATTGCCGACGTAATTGATGGCGCCAAGTCGGTAGCAGAAACAGCAAATAGAGAATGGAATTTTGGTCATCAAGTGGTACTGCTTCCTCCACGGGTGCGATTAGTTATGGGAGATATAAAGGGAGGCTCCAATACTCCTAAGTTGGTGTCTTTAGTCTTAAACTGGAAAAATTCAAAGCCTTCTGAAAGTGATGTAGTCTATGAAAAGTTGAATAATGCCAATGAGCTGTTAATTGCAAGTTTACAAGCATTGAATGCATTACATGAAGAGAATCCTGAATTATATGATGAAATGATGGACTACTTTTCTCAATTGACTCAATTACAAACTCATTGGTATCTTGGATTCAATGATAACCTCAAGGAACGGTATCTGGCGATGTTAGGATTAATTAGTGCCATTAGATCCATCCGGTCACAAATGAGAACCATGACACGACTTTCCGCTGCCTCGATTGAACCTATACCTCAAACATTTCTTCTCAACCAGTTGGCAGCCCAAGTACCTGGTTGTATTGGAGGTGTCGTACCGGGTGCGGGTGGCTATGATGCAGTGGCGCTTTTGGTTGTTACTAGTAAGGAAGCCTCAGGTCCACTTGCACTCCCTCTAGAACCAGAAGTTGAGCATCGTGTGTCTATGCTTCAATTACGAGAGGAAGCACAAGGTCTTAAACCGGAAGATGTGAAAAACTATACAGGCTTGCTCTGACATAGCAACTTTGTAATGATCTGGTACAATCTTTATTTATAGTAGTAGCAGCATGTATTTCACACAGAAACGTATTCACAATTACGAATGAAACACAGGGACTACCCCATAACCAATCGAGAGCCATATGGTATGCTTCTTCTAAGCCATGATAAGCTACTTTGTTACAGAAGAAGTATGACGGTTATCACTTACTAGTAGTGTCGTGACATTTACACTAATTGACTTGATCATTTACGAGGCGTTGCAACTTATTTATGAATGTGATTGAAGATGATTAGGTCGTGTCGGTACCCGACGTAAGGCTGCTGCTATTGTGGGGAGAAACAATCACAAAACTCATTCACCATCACAAAAGTTTTCACTCTATTTATATAAGAGCAGGTAACTTTCATGATAAGGTCATCTTTATACTGTAGTATACATTTTGTTTCGTATATATATATATATATATATATATATATATATATATAAAGAGAGAGAGAGGGAGAGATCTACGTTTGGTGGTCTGACCGTTGATTTTACCTGGTTCTTTTTTACCTTAGCACGATCTTCCCCATACTCCTGTGTGTGTCTTACTTTGTGTCTCATTCTTTAGACGATTAAAGATTGCTATTAGAACCATAGATTCTACCCTTTGAGCTATATAATTCCATCCTTTGATCCATATAAGCTTGTGGCTCCAGGAGAATGGCTCTAAATAAAAGTCTGGACGACGAACTCGACTTCAACCCGAGGGAGAAGGGATCTATTGAACGATTAAATTCAATCAAACCATCAAATTATGATCCACAATACATTTATTCCAATAATAATGCCAATATAAGACGACCAGATACAAGTTATAGTGGTCTGGGATTCTCTCAGGATAACAATTATTCTGATGAGTTACCAGAGGGAAGTATATTCAGAGGTCTGCCACCATCACCTTCACCACCACCTCACATAGGAGGAACACAAGATGTAAATGTCGCTGCCAAAAAATGGCATTATAAACACACATTGATCTATTTTGGTACACTGATTGTATGCGCATTGGCAGTAATATCCTTTGAGAGTTATATCTATGCGGCCATTAATGTCCACCGAGTTCAAGAGGAAAATAAGTACATTGAAATGTCGATCTATTTAAGTCTTTTCATTTTCAGTGGTGTTTATCAAGTGATTATGACTTTCATAGGATTGCGTACAAAGTCAATGATGTTACTATCTTTCCTTTTGCTATTCTACGTGTTGATGGTAATCTATACCGGGATACAATATGGTGAATTGCACAAGTTGATGAGTAAACTCCATAAAGGTGGTTGGAAAACAGGTATTCAAGTTCTTATGATCTGTACCATTGTTGTCATTGGTGTTTGTTTAGTACTTCAAACGTGGATGGTGTTGTTTGTCTTACGTCCCCAAGTTCGTTGGCTTCGGTATAAGAAAATTGGAGGAGATTATCAATTAAGAAGAATGTATGAAGTCTTCCAATTCCATAGACTGTTATTGTTATTTGACTTCTTTTTCTTTTTAGGGTTCACGGTTCAATTTGTGGTTATTATGGTTGGCAAACGTAATAGCGTTGAGTTCATTTTAACTGTCTGTGTATTACCTTTAACGATAATACTTTTGGTATTGGCAGATTTCGCAGCCACTCGGGAACTATTATGGTTAACTATCTGTTGTATGGTATTATTTGTTTGTGGAGGAGTTTATGTTGTATTTAAGGTTGTTCGGTTATTTACTAAGTACACTCTGGCTTTCAATGTGGCTATTAAACCAGGTTCTTATTTCCCCGGAAGGAAATCTTTAGTGTTATTTGCTGTTATAACCTTGGTGGTATTACTAGTAACTATAGTCACCGAAATTTGCATGTGTTTCACATATGGTAAGGGTTTAAAGCCTCTTGTTGATGGGTACTACCGAATTGGATCCAGCAAGTCACGTGGAAAAAAGAATCAATTACAACAGATTGTGAGTGATGGAGAAGATGGAATTGATGGTATTCGTATGCAAGATATGCTGGACTCAAGAAGTCTTGTGATTGATTGATTAGGAATGAATAATAGAAGGATCATGTTTCAGCCACTTGACATGAGTTTATCCGGAATAAAGAGGAACGGAATGATGAAGGTATGATGCTCCTTTGTATGAACGTGTGCACGTGACTGGTGGATTTATTCGGAATAACTAGGACGATCAGCACAGTGTTTTCTTTTTTCCGGATACTTAATCGCATGAATGTTCAGGTTTTTTCGTGGATGACGCCTCCAAAGCGCATAGCTCACGACACAGGAAATGGTGTGTTATGCGGTTTCAGGTCTGGATGCGATTACAAAGGCACATTAAAGTCCGAGAGATTCAGGAGATCAGTACTCCGAAAGAATAAGTGTATGGACATCAGGGACCCATCTGTAGGTATATGTAACATTAATAACACTAACACATACTTAAATACATACATGTATTACTACATAATATTGCTCTACCGTATTATTGCTTTACAATATTATTGCTTTAATCCAATGGTAACATAAATTTAAACCCTAAAATATACTATGACAATACACTGTATACAGTCTTTGTATCTATTAGGCAATAGCCTCACTGAGTGTTCCGGTCTTTTATACCCGCTCAACCCCGTCGATGGCCTGTTCTCATGCATATGCGAACCATAAGCGCATCCACCTTGGACCATGCGCTTAAAACGCCGGCATTGACCGGACACTTTGAAGGGGGGTATTTTTCAGCACTTTATTGAATTTTCAACAAACGTATATATTCTAAGGGATTCTCTCACTGATTGGAAAAATTTCATTAACCTTCTTCTTCTTCTCCTCATTCAATTGCATAGCATTTGTCTACACTATTAAAGAAAATTACATATTATGTCTGAAATCACATTAGGGAAGTATCTCTTTGAGAGATTACATCAAATGGAAGTTTACACCATCTTTGGTTTACCAGGTGACTTCAACTTGTCTCTTTTGGATAAGATCTATGAAGTCCCCGGTATGAGATGGGCTGGTAACGCCAACGAATTGAATGCTGCTTATGCTGCAGATGGTTATGCCCGTGTTAAACGTTTGTCTTGTTTGGTCACTACCTTTGGTGTTGGTGAATTATCTGCTTTGAACGGTATTGCTGGTTCTTTCGCTGAACACATTGGTGTTTTGCATGTTGTTGGTGTCCCATCAATTTCTTCCCAAGAAAAGAATTTACTTTTACATCACACCTTAGGTAATGGTGATTTCACCGTTTACCATAGAATGTCTCAACAAATCTCTGGTACCACTGCTTTCATTAGTGATATCCATTCTGCTCCAGCTGAAATCGATCGTTGTATTAGAGAATGTTACATCACTCAAAGACCAGTCTACCTTGGTTTACCAGCTAACTTGGTTGATTTGAATGTCCCAGCTTCTCTCTTGGATACTCCAATTAACTTGGCTTTAAAGGCAAACCCAGCTGAAGCTCAAGAAGAAGTCTTGGATTTAACCGTCAAGATGATCAAAGATGCTAAGAACCCAATCATCTTGGTCGATGCTTGTGCTGGTAGACACGACTGTAAGAATGAAGTTAAGGAATTGGTTGAAATCACTCAATTCCCTGTTTTCACTACTCCTATGGGTAAGGGTACCGTTGATGAAGGTGGAGTTGATGGTAGTTTACTTGCTGATGATCCAGATTTAATTAAAAAGGTTGCTGCCAAGTTGAAGACTGGTAAGAACGCTTCTTCTCGTTTCGGTGGTGTTTATGTTGGTACTCTTTCTGATCCAGCCGTTAAAGAGTTTGTTGAAAATGCTGATTTGGTTATCTCAGTTGGTGCTTTGCTTTCTGATTTCAACACTGGTTCTTTCTCCTACTCTTACAGGACCAAGAATATCATTGAATTCCACTCTGACCATACTAAGATCAGACAAGCTACATTCCCAGGTGTCCAAATGAAGGAAGCTCTTCAAGCTTTGATTCCTCTTGCTAAGGATGCTGCTTCTAATTATGTTGTACAAGAAGTTCCAAAGATCAAGTTGGTTAACACTCCAGCTGTCAAGGACACCCCAATTACTCAAGAATGGTTATGGACCAGAGTTTCTTCTTGGTTCAGAGAAGGTGATATTGTCATTTCCGAAACCGGTACCTCTGCTTTCGGTATTGTTCAATCTCGTTTCCCAGATAACACCTTAGGTATTTCTCAAGTTCTTTATGGTTCTATTGGGTTCACCACTGGTGCTACGTTAGGTGCTGTTATGGCTGCTCAAGAAATTGATCCTAACAAGCGTGTTATTCTTTTCATTGGTGATGGTTCATTACAATTGACTGTTCAAGAAATTTCCACTATGGTCCGTAATGGTGTTAAGCCATACTTGTTTGTGTTGAACAACAATGGTTACACCATTGAAAGATTAATTCACGGTGTAAATGCTGGTTATAATGACATTCAACCTTGGGATAACTTGGCCTTGTTACCATTATTCAATGCTAGAGAATACCAAACTGAAAGAGTGTCTACTGTTGGAGAAATTGAAGACCTTTTCAACTCTAAGCAATTCTCTACTCCTGATAAGATCAGAATGGTTGAAGTTATGTTACCAAGAATGGACGCTCCAAACAATTTGGTTAGACAAGCTGAAATTACTGCTGCCATCAATGCTACCCAATAAGTAAGCGAAAGTCATTCTTAAATTTTCATTTCCCAAAGGTCAAAAAAAGGACCTTTCCGTTTATGTCATGATGTTTTTATACGTACGATTTATATAATAGAAAATAAAAACAACGAAGTTAATTGAATAAAGTAATTAAATTAATTATCAATGGTATCACTATAGGTTTTTGTGTAACAAACCTTTCGATCGGCATCAATTTCCGAATTGGGAACGGAATTATACACTAAATAATACCCACTATCAGTGTGGCTCCAAAATATAACACTACCTAAATACTCCCTTTCTTCCACTTTCTGTCGTCTCTTCGTTATCTTCTTACTTCCCGATATCCGTACACTCTTTTCCACAATGCAATTGACCGAGAAGAAGCCAGTTCCAACTGGTTCTAGTAGAAAGTACGGCTTCATAGTGACACTGCTTGGTATTCTTGTGCTTATCACACTCTCTTTATATAAGGGTGGCAGCGGAACCTTTAACAGTATTATTCTCCTGACAGTCCCCAAGCAACCCGATAGCTTGTGTCCATTGGTTAAAAAGATCAACCCTATCCCAATTCTTAGTTCCAATGGATCCCTGGACACTCTCAATGACATCCTTCATTCCAAGGAGTACCGGAACAAGTCATTGAGCAAATTCCAAGGAGCTCTTCGGATTCCAACGCAAATCTTTGATGAAATGGCTTGGACTCTGGATAAATCTGACGATGAAGTAACTTGGAAAGACCTTTTTGAATCCGATGAACGGTGGCAAGTGTTTCAAGAGTTTCATCAATACCTTAAGAAGACATTCCCTTTGGTTCATGAACATTTGAAGTTAGAAACTCCCAACAAATTGGCTTTGGTCTATACTTGGAAGGGATCTGACACGTCCCTTAAGCCAATCCTTCTTACAGCCCATCAAGACGTTGTACCTGTTCCTCCTGAGACTGAAGCCAAATGGCATCACCCTGCGTTCGATGCATTCTATGACGAGGAGACAGGCTATGTTACGGCAAGAGGAGTAAGCGACTGCAAAAACCTTTTGATTGGACTCTTGGAAGCAGTAGAAACTCTTTTGGAAGAAGGTACATTCCAACCAAAACGTACTATCATCTTAGGGTTTGGTTACGATGAAGAATCAAGAGGTGAAGGTGCTTTACATATCCATGATCATTTGATCCAAGTTTACGGTGAGGACTCTATCCTTATGATTGTTGATGAGGGCAACGATGGTTACTTTGTTGAGCAAGGATTAAACATCATTGCCCCATCTGTGGGGGAAAAGGGGTATTTGGACCTGTCTATCCAATTGAATACTCCTGGAGGTCATTCAAGTATTCCTCCTGCTCATACTGGTATTGGGTTGATGTCGTTGTTGGTAGCACAGATTGAGCATGCACCTTTCAAACCTCAATTGAGTGGTGCCAACCCTACATTGAACCAATTGTATTGTCTTGCCGAACATTCCCCCACCATTGGAAAGAGTCTTAAATCAGACATTTTAAAGAGTCACTTTGATCCCGGTGCTAATGGAAGAATCATTGATTACATTAGTCAATCCCATGTAATGTCGTACCTTCTTAAAACATCCCAAGCGGCGGATATAGTGCGGGGCGGACTTAAGGTCAATGCCTTACCTGAAGTAGTTGAACTCTTGGTCAATCATCGTATAGCGGTTGAAGACTCTGTGGCTTCCACTAGAGATAAAATCGTTAAAGATATTTTGGTAATTGCCAGAGAATTCGACTTGGGGGTTGTGGTTGATGGAGAGGAGATACGTGAAACATCCATTCATGGGTACTTCAACTATACTTCACAGTCTACGCTTGAACCAGCTCCAGTCACGCCCACTTCAGGACCAGTCTGGGAACTCTTTGGAGGCTCTTTGCTTTATCTTTATGAAGATCTCTTGAAAGTTGACAATGGCAACCAATTTGTGTTTGCTCCAGCTCTCTCTATTGGGAACACGGATACTAAACGGTATTGGGATCTCACTAAACATATCTATAGATATCAACCAGCTGTGCCTCAAAAAAATAGTCAGATTCATGCTATTGATGAACAACTTTTATTTGATTCACATTTGACTGTGGTTGCTTTTTACTACTACTTTTTACAAGTAGCAGATTCATTTAGAGAAGCGTTGTGATTGTTAAATATATATATATGACTGTGTTTTCCTATTTAGGTAATTTGTATCTCGATGGCTCATCGCATTAAATTTTAGAACCAACTGTACTAGCTATGTAATACTATAGTCCTGACCCAAACCATAATGCCTACAGAACTGGAAGAATTGGTGGCTTTCCTCCACTCGCCTCAACCCGCAGTTGTTCAGATTGCCTTGGACAACCTCGTGGGCTATTCGCAAGGCCAGCATCAACAGATATTTGCGTACGACGACTACAGAGCCATCACAGATCTCAAGCTTTTAAGTAAAAGCAAAGGAAGGACCCTGGTGAACCAAAGTGTGACGATCTTAATCAATCTCTGTGACGATGTTCGTATGAGAAACTTGATTGTGGAAGACACAGAGTATGTTAAGTTTCTTGTGAGTCAAATCATTAACTTGAGCAATGCCAACGCTGATTTGATGACCATACTCTTAACCAACATTGCCAAGAACGATAAGATCACTCGAGTGTTTGGGTTTGAAATGGAGTTATCGGAAGACCAACATCAAGTGTTCAAATCCACTAAAGCCATGGATTGTCTTATGGACTGTTTTGTTAAGGGAAGTGATCGTTCCTTAAACAGATATGCCGATTTTGACTATTTATCATACTTTTTTGCTGATATCTCCCGGTTCTCCTTGGGAAGAAAGTACTTTATTACTCGTCAACAATATGATGATGTGGTTCCTATATCCAAGTTGTTGGTATTCACTGAGAAATACGACTCCAAGATCCGTCGAGAGGGAGTGGCCTCTACCATAAAGAACTCCTTATTTGACAGTAAGGAACACATGGAGCTATTGACCAATGAGGACATCAATATCTTGCCCTACATATTGCTACCTCTTGCCGGACCGGAGGAATTGGACGAAGAAGACATGTTCAATTTACCGGACGAGTTGCAGTTACTTCCAGAAGATAAGCAAAGAGACCCCGTGGAAGCCATTCTCATCACCCATTTGGAATCGCTCTTGTTGCTCTGTACCACCCGAGAAGTCAGAGAGTATCTTCGGGAAAAATCCGTTTATCCGTTGGTCAGAGAGTTACACAAGACCATGGAGTCAAACGAAGAGTTCCAAAATCACTGTGATCGAGTGGTTCAATTGTTGATGAGAGATGAAGCCCCAGAGGGCCATGATGAGATTGACATGGAAGAGTCTGATGATGAAGATGAAGATAAGATTGTGGAAATATTATAATAATAAGAATCGTAGAGTAAAGTATTACATAATATATTAATCTTTCGATACCAACTTACCATCAACTAACTTCAAGTTCAGACGTACGATACTAATGATCCGAGGTCTGTTATCAGCATGCGCATTGACTTTAGCTTTCAACTTGACCAATAACTCCTTAGTGGTTAAAGGAGCTTCTCTCACAATATCAAGTACATCCTTGGTAGTCACAAGGTTCCCATCAGGTCCGCTGGAATTCAAATCAACTGCCATTCCAGGAGGAGAAGGTGATTTGGTTTGAGCTCTATTGCCAGGACTAGGTGTATTCCGTGGAGTATCTCTTGCTCCTGCAGTTGCTCCGTTCTCTTTCTTGATGTTTATCTTCAATTTAGGCGTACCATCCTCGGTCTTAATTCTCTTTCGGGGTGATTCGTTTGTCTTTGGTAATGGTCTCTTAATTCCGACATTAGGATTCCATTCACCAGCAGGGAACCCTTCTAGAAATGTTTTAGGGGCTTTAATAACCACAAAGGCATCTCCCAAGTAACTAACTGAAAAGGCTCGTGCAGTTGGTACTTCAGGCTTAAGGTTATTATTATACTCTCCATCTGTTGGTTCTGGCTTCACAGCCACTTCGTTGGTATCACTTTCGTCATCACTCTCAAGATCAGATTTACTCAAATAGGGATTCAACTTATCATCATCGTCGTCACTATCATATACTCCACCTTCCGTCTTGTGCAATACTTTCTTTAATTTCTTACCCTCAGCATTCACTTTCCGTGACTTTTCAGTTTCAAATAAGTCATCAATGTCTTCGTCGGATCCAACATCTTCTTGAGCATCGAAATGTGAAGCCTTTAACATCTCCTTCTTCATTTTCCGTTCGACAAATTTGTTTTCTTCTTCATCTCCATCCATAACAGGTGCTTCCTCATCATCAGCAAACTCTTCATCATAATCCAATTCATCTCGATCTGAATCAGGATCTCCACCAGTTTCTTCACCTGCAACAGTCCGTAATCGCCTCTTTGAGGAAGCACCTCCACCACCTCCAGAACTTCCAGCAGGAGAAATGACTCCGGTGGAAGAAGACGTACTGTTTCTGAATCGAGAATCCACTACTCCACCAACATTGGCATTATCTTCCATTCTTCTCATCAACCATCTGGGAACCAGAGAATTCTTCTCCATTCGTGATTCTGCTTCTTCAAGAGTTAAGGTGGCATATTTGTTTCTTGGGGTGAATCTGTAGACCTTTTCGGTGGGGACCATTTTGAACCCATCCTTATCAAATACAAATAAAACCGTTGTTGTATCGGAAGCACCTGCTTCATAACTTCCAACGAAAACATTCTTCCCTTCATAATCTTCAACCACCCATGGATAGTATTCTTCATAACGTAATTTTCGTTTGTTATCATCCATAAGATTTATTTGTCTTGTCTTACGTTTGAAAACTGCCTTCTTCGACTTTCTTGCTCCTCCATCTGGTGCAACTTGAGACATATCTGGTTTATTCTTGTCCTTCTTTTCCTTGTTATTATCATCTCCATCTTCAGGAGGACCTTCTGATCCGTCTTTAGGTCTATTTGCTGAAGCTTCTGTATTATTATTATTATCAGCATTATTATTATTAATATTATTATTGTTATTACCACCTTCTTGCTTAACTTCTCCATCAGTGTCTTCATTCATTCCAGAATCATTAGCTTCATTGCCATCACCATCCTCTTTATTCAAACCTTCTCCATTCCCTTCTTTAAATTGTGGTTGTTGCTTTCGGTTGGAAAATCCATTCCCCCCACTAGAGCCAGCCCCCCCTCCAGCAGCTTCTTGCTCACGTTTCCGTTGATCGATTTCCTTTCTGGTCAATTGAAACTGAATGTTACGAGGGTCCTTACGATGCAATCGAACAGGCTTTTCAAAGTTTTTGACTATATCAACGTTTTGCTTTGTCAGAAACCGCATCAAATGATACCGAATATCTTCAGCTTCCTCCTTGGTGCAAGATTTTAAAGGAATATCCTGCCATCCATCAGCTACAGAATACTTCGATGAACCGCTTGATGATGGTGGTGGGTTATTGGAGTTTGTACCTGTAGAAGCATTCTTATCAGTTCCAGATTCCTTCTTCACAGAGGGTTCTTCTTTACCAATAGAGCTCTGGTTCATGGTAATTGGTTCCAATACTTCTTGACGTGAGTTCCCAAAATCCTGACTCTTCAAGAGGAGTGCTTGAGTTCCAGTAGTGAAGACTCTTTACTTGAGATTAAACCTTTGACCTTTTTGGGCAAGTGTGCACGACCCTTCTGAAAAGTTGCAAGTATGTACAATGTACATACTACACTTTGAAGTCAATAATCTGATGGCTTCTTCTTCGTTTCTTGTTGGATGTGGCCTTCATTGTATTAATTGGTGAATATCAAACGCAATATGAGAAGCCAGCAAATGAGACACGAGAGCTGAGTTAACGAGAGACAGAAGGGTATAATTTGTAAAGATCTTGTAGAATTATAGATCATGATCTTGATCATAGATTGACTGCATTTGTTGTTATCAATGAATACAACACCAACATGCATACATATATATATATGTATATGTATATGTATATGTATAATGTATAGCTACAAATACATCCATATGTATAGCTACAAATACGTCCATATGTATAGCTACAAATACATCCATACATACAACCATATTTGTGTTATGATTATATATGTGTTGGAGTATACGAGTTTTATTGTGTCGACAGTTGGTGCTGATGATCTGATCGCATTCATTCTTTATATCCTGATAACATTTTATGTGTATATTACTAGCGTGGAATTGCTGCAAATGGTATGCTGCCTGGCCGGTCCGGTACCGGCTACAATACGCACCGTTAGAAAATTTATGCAACCAGATCCAAATCACTAAGAAGTACAACCTTCATTGAGGGATACCAAAGATGCTGACTATTGCTGTGGTTGATGAAGAGGACCAGATTCTAGACATGAGGAATTCGGAACCCAGTCCGCCTCCAAGATACCTTGGGTTTGTTGCAGGGATGTTCTCTGGTGTAACCAAGAATGCGGTAGGACATCCATTTGATACCGTAAAGGTGAGGTTACAAACTGCACCTGAGGGGAGATTTAAAGGTCCTATGGATTGTGTATTGCAGACGTTCCGTAACGAAGGTCTCAAAGGGTTTTATAAGGGGTTCACTCCTCCATTGGTTGGATGGGTCCTCATGGATTCTGTCATGTTAGGATCATTGCATTTATATAGAAGATTGGTTAAGGAAAACTTTTACCCTGAAGAGAAAAAATTGCCTTTATTAGGTCATGTCATAGCAGGGCTAGGAAGTGGATGGACGGTATCATTTGTTGCTGCTCCTATAGAACAGTTTAAGGCAAGATTACAAGTGCAATATGATGCAAAGACTAAGTTATACACTGGTCCAGTAGATGTCGCCCGTAAGCTTTATCAAACATGTGGTATCCGAGGTATTTATAGTGGGTTATTAGCTACCATGATATTCCGAACCAATTTTATTTTCTGGTGGGGGTCTTATGAATTGTTCACTCGTTATTTTGAAGACAATACTAAACTTTCTAAACCCTCTATCAACTTCTGGTCTGGTGGATTATCTGCCACGGTATTCTGGATCTTTGCTTATCCAGTTGATGTGGTCAAGCAGGTCATCATGACAGACAATCCCAAGAGATCTGAAAAGAAGTTCCCAAGGTGGATTGATGCTGCCAAATACATTAAAGACACCAGAGGTTGGGGTGGTTTCATGAGAGGGTTTGGACCTTCAATCTTAAGATCTTTCCCTGCTAATGCAGCTGCTTTAGCTGCCTTTGAAGCGGTCATGAGAGTATTACATTGAGACACATAGAAACTTATATATTAATAATAATAGACTTAATTTATTCGTTAATAGCTTCTGACTCCTCGGGTTTCTTTTCCCAAGGCTTCAATCTTTGAGACGCCTTGGATTCCGATTTCTGGTCTGATAATACTGTATCTGGGATATCCTTTATACCAGGAACTGGTTTTCCTGATACGATAAGTTCTACTAGTTCTTGATAATTGGATGAATATGGTGTTTCATTAGCAGTGGTAGTAGTAGTACTAGGATTGTCATCTTCCTTTATTTCGCTTATTTTAGTGGACTTATCAAACTTATAACCCCCGTCTCTTTTCCATTGCTCAAAGTCGTCTAGATTAAGTATATGGCCAGTTTGTGAACAAAAGAAAAAGGACTTTGCTTGATCAATTAGGAGAGCTCTTTCCCCTGGTGGGATGGCTGTAGCCAGTGCGTCCCTTTCCTTTAACAGCTCCAAATAGTTACTAAGAATCTCTTGCAACCCCAGTTGGAAATCGTCAAATGAATCCCAGTCATAGTTTAAGTATTCCTTATAAACCTCCTCCTGTTCATCCATAGTGTTTGTTGATATCGTGTAGTTTAGAATAGGAAGCACCAAGAATGTAAAGTTTCCTGTCCATTTCGCATAGTTACCAAAAAGGGTAACTGAATAGATAGATCTGTATTTACTATCATGTTTCTTTCTGTTGAACCAATGGATTAGATCAGGTATCATTGGACCCATGCTTAGTAGACTACAAAATATGATCTGTCATATACCTCACAATGTATCTATATATACGTACATGTTTGAGTGTACGTGTTTGCACGTATATGCAAAAGTGATGCCATAAGTTTGCAACCTTGATGTTACTTACTTAAACCTTAGCAGTTGATTGGTCATATTCTTACTTATCAAATAAAACGCTTAGATTGTTACTTCTACTATTGCTTCCTATATTGGAATAATATATAACTTGTTACTTGCTATAACCACTGCAAGTTAGTTCTTAAGATTGACAGTGTTTTTGTGCGATTTTTCACAGGTTTCCAAACTTCTCTTAGTATCAACACTTTAAGAAGAACCTTTCATACTTGTCCAATTGGCCAAGTTACACAAGTATGATATCAACTATGAAGTTTGGGGTAGCTGAGCTTATGACAATTTCTGTCTTGCTTCGAATTGGGTTCTTTGCCTTTGGAGTATATCAGGACACATATATGACAGTAAAATATACTGATATCGATTACTTGGTATTCACTGATGCAACCAATTATGTTGTGAAGGGTTTCTCACCGTATTTAAGAGAAACTTATCGTTATACTCCATTGCTTGCATGGATGCTTGCTCCAACTTCATGGGGTGGAATGTGGTACAGTTTTGGTAAATTCGTGTTTATGGCTGCCGATCTCATTACAGGATGGATAATAATACAATTACTCCCCACATCATTAGGATCCGTCAAACGAAATATCATGGCTTCTATATGGCTATTGAATCCAATGGTCGTTACTATTAGCACTCGTGGATCCTCAGAAAGTATCCTTACAGTAATGATAATGTTATCATTATACTTCATACTTTGCAAAAATAATGTCATCCTTTCAGCGATATTCTTGGGATTAGCTATTCATTTCAAAATATATCCAATTATTTACCTTCCAAGTGTGTTATTATATTTATCATCCAGGGGGAAACCAATAATCAACCTACCATTAATCAAATTAATCAATAAAGTCAATTTGATGTATTTAGCAATCACAATTGCAACAATGGTCATTCTTACCGGGTGGATGTATACTTTGTATGGCTACAGTTTCATTTATAATGCTTATTTATATCATTTGACCAGAATCGATCATAGACATAATTTTTCAGTATATAATGTGGCATTATATTACAAATCTGCAGTTGAACAAATTGTTAATGATCGACAAACAAAAGGATTAATATCACATGTTGTGGACAATTTTGAAAGATATGCATTTGTTCCCCAACTTTTGATTAGTGGAATTCTTATTCCATTATCATTTGCTAAAACTCAGTTACTTTGCTCCCTTTTCCTTCAAACGTTTGCATTCGTTACGTTCAACAAGGTCATCACATCTCAATACTTCATTTGGTTTCTTATTTTCCTTCCCAATTATCTTGCTGGCTCAAAACTTCTACAGAAATCATACTTAGGACTTGGTTTAACGTTACTATTGAGTTGGGTCGCAACCCAAGGTCTTTGGCTATACAATGCCTACAATTTGGAGTTTCTAGGTATCAGTACTTTTGACTCGGGATTGTTCTACTCCGCTTCACTTTTCTATCTCAGTAACTGTTGGATATTAAGTGTGTTCATAGATACTACTACCTGAACACTGGACGTTCCTGTGTATAAGTTTACTTTATTCACCAGAAAAAATTGTGCCCTTTGAACTCAAAGCTATCATTGGTATTAAACTAACAGGATCTCGTATTAGCAAGGAATTGATAGTTGCATCGATCAAGATGTCACGAATGGAATTATATTCACCCGAAGGGTTGCGTATAGATGGAAGAAGATGGAACGAATTGCGTAAATTTGAGTGTCGAATCAATACTCATCCGAGCTCATCGGATGGTTCTTCATATGTTGAACAAGGAAATACAAAAGTTATATGTATGGTACAAGGGCCCATGGAACCAGCATTGAAGTCTCAAACTGATTCTGAACGGGCGACTTTGGAAGTTAATCTTTCGATAGCATCATTTTCCACCGTAAACAGACGGAAACGACAGAAGAATGAAAAACGGTTAACTGAATTAAAGTTAACCTTGGAAAGAACATTCGAACAAAGTATTATATGCAAATTGTATCCTCGTACGATCATTCAAGTTAATTTAAATGTTTTGGCCCAAGATGGAGGGATGTTAGCAGCAATGACAAATGCAGTAACATTGGCCATGATCGATGCAGGTATTTCAATGTATGAATATGTTTCAGCGGTGGCTGCTGGATTACACAACGATTCACCTTTGTTGGATCTTAATACTTTGGAGGAGAATGATCTTAGTTGTCTTACTGTAGGTGTTATTGGAAAGAGTGAGAAGTTGGCTTTACTTTTACTAGAAGATAAGATGCCATTGGATAGAATAGAATCTGTTCTAAGTATTGCTATTGCAGGGGGCCATAGAATACGTGATTTGATGGATAATGAAGTACGGAAACATGGTAACTTAAGAGTAGCAAAATTGGGTAACAGTTAATGTGAATGCATTCGTTTTATTTTGTATTGGGTTAAGTTTTAGATAGTTCAATAACACATAATTGTACTTTATGGGATATTATTAACTCCATTCATATTGTTATCACACTAAGGAAATTCGTACAACAAAAAAAGCCAAAAAAAAAAGGAATTGACACGGACAGGAATTGAACCTGCAACCCTTCGATCTGGAGTCGAAAGCTCTACCATTGAGCCACCGCATCACCCTTAGGTAATAAATAGACAGGTTATGTTAGTGTACGTCCACAATTATTTTTTAGTTTATGACAGGCCGCCGGTAACGGGCCGGAACCGGCGTTGATACATACTGTTGCAAAATAGTATATAAGGAGGTAATCAACTATCGTAGTCCAGAGTAACAATTTCCTTTCCAACATCATTAACACTATAACAATGTCACAGTATTCTCATAAAGAGTTCAACAGTAAAAGGTACGATAGTGCTCGTCCCACTTATCCTGATGAACTTTATCAAGAGTTGCTCAAGTATCACCAAGGACCCACAAAGTTAGCAATTGATGTTGGTACTGGGTCTGGGTTTGTAAGTTACAAACTAAGCTCTTTCTTTGACAAGGTTATAGGAACCGATATCTCTGAGACGATGATCAAGTCTTGTTTAATTAATGATAAGTATTCCGGAGCAATTGAAAATGGTAAGCTTCAGTTTGATATCGGAACTGGTGAGAAGCAACCACCCCAGATTGAAGATCAGAGTGTTGATTTGATAACTGCAGCTGAGTGTTGTCATTGGTTCAACCATGACGCCTTCTTTGAAGAGTCATCTAGAGTTCTTCGTACTGGAGGAACATTAGGGATTTGGTTTTATAGGGATCCTGTTTTCATTGGCCACCCTGAGGCAGATGAGATCTATTGGAATTACTCTTACAATTCACTTATTGAAATTGATGAAGATGGTAAGGAAATTGAGCGTTGGATGGGGCCATTCTACGAGCAACCGGGCCATGAATTCTTACGCACTTTCCTCGGTGATGTTTCTGTACCAAAGGATAAGTTTAAGGATGACCTTACTGTTGAGTATAATCCATTGGTAGATTCTGAATCAAAGAGTCCATTGTTCATTAAGAAAAGAATTACCGTGAAGATCTTTGAGCAATATGTCAAGAGTTGGAGTGCATATTTGACTTGGATGAAAACCTATGGTCATAAATATGATGTTGCTGAAAGAATGACTCAAGAACTTAAAGATAAATTAGGTTGGGACGATGATACGGAGTTTGAGATTGTTTTCCGCACTTGGTATAAGTTTTTAAGAAGAACTTAAAGTTACTGTACAAAAGTCGGTATGATTTGATAGAAACTTTTTAGAACACAACTTTAGAGTACACGCTTAATATGTTTCTAGGCAGTTTTATTACTTACACCAGCTAATGCTTATGCCCGACACCCTAACACCAACTCGAAAGAAAATCAAGTTAAATGGTAAGCTTTAAACTAATACACAAAGATACAGCCACACCAACAATGGAATTATTCGGCGAAATGAAGTACAAATCGCTAGCGAGGCCTATTATGCCATTTTTGTTACTAAAATGCAAAACCATAATAGAAATATTGTATGACGAAAGTGGTGTATATAAAACATTGATTACTACGCAAACAACGATTACGTAAGCCATAATAGAAACTATCATCAAATACCTGACATAATTTTTAGTCAGATCAGCCATCGCGATTTAATAAGCTTCACTATATAAAATGCAACGATGATGACTTTGATGTCAGCATTTTGAATTTTTTTGTCAGCAGTCAAGAACCTACTAGAAACCAGACACTGGGTATATAAGGAGACGGTTCAAACCATTGAAGGTGAATGAAGAATTTTTTTTACATATTAATTCTATCTATATCAGTCTTAGTGATTTCATACAACTTAAACACTAAAACTACAACAAAACAACAACAAATGTCGTCAACCAATAAAGTCAGAACAATTAAACAAATTGTTAATGCCATTGAACAATCTGAAGGTGCTGGAGCACGTGTCAGACGTTCCATTGGAGTTATGACTCAAAGAAAGTTCAATCCATTCTTAATGTTTGATCATTTTTCCAGTAGTGGTACCAATGGATTCCCTGAACATCCACATAGGGGACAAGAAACCATTACTTTGGTATTACATGGGGCTATGGCTCATGAAGATTTCACGGGGTCCAAGGGTGTTTTGTATCCTGGTGATTTACAATTTATGACTGCTGGTAAAGGGGTGGTTCATAGTGAGATGCCCATTGCTAATAAAGACGGATCTCCAACTGTTGGGTTACAATTATGGGTTGATTTGCCTGATAAATTGAAGGACTGCGAACCTCGATACCGTGATTTAAGAGAATGGGAAATCCCTACCGTTGAACAACAAGATGGGAAATTGAAGATTAAAGTTATTAGTGGTAAATCATATGGAGTTGAAAGCGTTAAGGATTTGGCTTATACTCCTATTGAATATTACCACTATACTGTTGGATCAGGAGGTCATTTCAAACAAGATTTGGACCCCAAGTTCAACTTCTTTCTTTATGTTTTAAGAGGTGATGGTCTTGTACTCAATGGAGGTGAAAGAGTCAAGCAATTCCAAAACGCATTCCTCAGTGAAAATGGTGATCATATTACTGGTGAGAATAAGGGTTCAGATGAAGTGGAATTCATCTTAGTTGGTGGTGAAAAGTTGGAACAAGAAACCGTTCAATACGGTCCATTTGTGTCTAACTCATCTCTGGGTATTCAAAAGGCTTTTATGGATTACCAGTATGCTCGTAATGGGTTTGAAAATATCAAAAAATGGAAGACATTGATCTCTGGTGGTGTTACCCAAGATATGATTGACGGACCATTAGGCGGGAACAAGGAAGCTCGTGAAGAGATGAAGAAGGAGTATCTTGAAAGTCATTAAGATTATATATAGTTTATTGAGAATGGAAATGTACCTAATAAGTCATAGTAGTAGTAGTAGCAACCGTAGTTGCAGGTAAATCTGAGAATGGAGTATGTGTGAGTACGCCCAAAATCACATATATATGTATATATATGTGTATATACAGTAGTAAATTACCCAAATAGTACTTGAATAGTCTCCATTAGAAACAGTAATGTTATGTTTTTTTGGCATAGTAGTGTCCACACCTATATGTGTAAACAGAGTGAAGTAATACATGTATTTGCATTCAACTTTAGTAGTAGTAACATATTGGAGATTAGTGGTGCCTAATCGTAGTACACCTGGATGTCGCATATAGCAGAGGCATTGTACTGTTGTAAAAAGTCGTAAACAGCTCGTACAGTATAAATTTGTTTCAGTGAGTGTTTGCCCTAACTTTTTGCGCGACATATGGTGTCAGGGTTTTTCGCGTACATATATCACCTTCAATTGTGAATCTGTTTTGCTGTCGTTTTCTGTCTTCTTAACAGTTAAATAGACAACAGTGACTGGACTCATCGATTGATTGCAACCACTACAACGAAATGTCGTATCGAGGTCCCAACACTAATCATTTCAAACTGCTGTTCCAACACAACGGTCCAATTGGAGTCCCCCCAAGTGGGTTCGCGCCACCACCACCACCAATTTCATCAGCATCATCAACTTCTCCAGGAGATGCCAACATTTTGGAACGATTTGAAGCCGTGGCTAAGAAAGTGGAAGATGCCATTGATACATATTGTCTGCCATTAAAGCCTTATGTTCCTGGAATTGGCAGAGCATTCATAGTGGCCACGTTCTATGAAGATTCTCTTCGAATCATTAGTCAATGGGCTGAACAAGTGTATTATTTGCATAATTACAAACACCGGTGGAGATGGTTGACGGTATTGTTTTTGTCATTGAATGTTCTTTTGATGCTGGTTGCTTCCTCACTTTTAGTGGTTAGAAAATTAACCAATGTATCAACTTCAGTCTTGGTTGGTGTCGTGGTGTTCCAAGGGCTCTTCTATGGGTTGATCTTGGACCCTCAATTCTTATTGAGGAATTTGTCAGTTGTGGGGGGATTGATTTTGGCATATTCTGATTCCATAGTTAGAGACATTAGAAAGCTTTCAATTGCTGGGATCCCTCAATTACAAAATCAAGATAATAAGAAATACTTTTTACTTGCTGGTCGTTTGTTATTGATTGCCTTATTCACCGGGTTTGCATTTTCAGCCAAGTTTTCCTTTGGTAGATTGCTTATCATTGTTGTTGGTTTGATCAGTTGTGCTTCAATAGTGGTTGGCTACAAGACAAAGTTTGCTGCTTTTGTGCTTACAGTTCTTTTGTTCACTTACAATATGTTTGTCAATCAATTTTGGAACTATTCAAGTCACGATCCCAACAGAGACTATTTGAGATATGAGTTCTTTCAAACTTTGTCCATTGTTGGGGGTTTGCTTTTGATTGTCAATGCAGGCGCTGGAGAATTATCCTTTGATGAGAAGAAGAAGATCTACTAGGAGAGAATAGTTAATTAGATAGTTAATTAAATACTATATTTCAATATAATTGTCGACCCCACACTTTATTGTACTTGTGCAATTCCGGGGACAAATTCCCGTCGGCACGACCCTCGGACCTCGGAACTCTCACTTGTTCAATTACAAATCGATTGGGTAAGAATAACCTTCAGGAATACTCTTTTCAAAGTATATAATACTATACTTTGTTATTTAAACGTTCTTTATTCATATGTCCGATAGTACAGACAGTAACGAGCCCCGGTGTCCTGTAGATACCTCCAAATGGGGCTCTCTCAGTCTGTGGTTCTATAAGCAGAAACCACAACCCACCTCATCATCCTCATCCGCATCACCAACATCAGAAGAATCGAAATGCCCTGTTCCTCATAATGCACGAGAAGAGTGGCTCAGAAAGGTTTCTGTGACTGTTCCCGAGGCTATAGAAGTCTCAGATAAAGATAACTGTAACTCAGATAGATTTTCCAATACCTTAAAAGATACTACTACCAGTAAAGTGGATCTTCCTATTGAACGGGAAATCAGTCTGATTCCCAGAACTCTGACGTCTGGCAACTGGATTTACCCGTCACAGAAACAGTTTTTTGAAGCTATGCAAAGAAAGAACTGGAATCCTGAAGCCCAAGACATGAAGACCGTGGTTCCCATTCATAACATGGTCAATGAAATGGCATGGCAACACATTCTTAATTGGGAACAGTCTTACCATGAGGAAACCGTAGCCAAATGTGGTGGAATTACGTTATCGTCTTTCAAGGGAGATGCTACCAAGTTAACCCCCAGAGCTTGGATCAAAGCCAATGTGTTTCAAATGGACAAACCATTTGATAGACACGATTGGAAGGTTGATAGGTGCGGAGTTAGCATTGAATATGTCATTGATTTCTATACTGTGCAAAATGCCAATGGGAAACCGGGATTCTTTTTAGACGTAAGACCTAAATTGAACAGTTGGGAGGGGATCAAACTCCGAGGACTCAGAGCCATGGGAATGGCTTAACTCAGGATAAATAATATCTCCCTCATGTAAATACTACAAATATATACATTACAGTATAAATATCTCCGTCACTCATGTATTGAATGTTATCATATATACAAATAGATCATGCACTATGTAAATGTCTGTGTGCCTTTTTACTGTCTACCCAAAAATGCATTGGATTGCCCAAGCTTTTGCATGTGTTCTCCAACCTTAACGTTGGTTTCAAAGTATTTGGAAACACATCTGTCTAAACACAAAGACTCTTGCTTTGTCAAGTCTGAGTCACCATATGGCTTGACGATACATTTTTGGTGGCATTTGTCAACCAAAGTGTTGAACATGTCGGTCACCATGTCCAACTCGGCTTCGGCAGCAGCCAACTTTTGTTGCGAAGAAACCTGAGGGGCAGATCCACCAATTCCAAACATTATTCTTAAGGTATTGATACGAGTAATAATCAAGTCTTCCTCTTATACTTGCTGAGTAGTAAAGTATATTAGCTTTTGCCTTTGGGGAAAATTTTTTCGGATCGGTAAAGACACGACACATGGAGTTACTTCATTACACCTACAACCTAAAACTGTCATTCTATCTTGTCCAGCTGTTCCTTTTATAGTCATTATTACTATCATTATCATTAAATCTATTGACTACATTATAGGGAAGGTAAAGAACACATGAGCACCCCATAACAAATAACCTTGAGGACAGTCTTTTTTTAGTTTTTCCAAGTCTTCAAGTCTTTCAGGGACAGGAACAACTAATCCATGACACATGGTGATAACCTTGCCGTTTATGGATATGGACCCCCCATAATTGGAAAACCTGGCATTGGACCAACCAGAATTGGTCTTGAGCAACTCTTGAAACTCGTCACTTATCAGACCATTCACATCATAGTAGTAACGTAAAAATGACCAAGTTTGAGTCTGGAGATTCAAGACAGGGATACGAAGTAGATTAGTATTGTTGGTTGAAAATTGGAATCTTGTGAATCTGGTGATATCAAGCTTATCACTGTAATAAGGCTCCTTTTCATGTAATCGAAGAAAATCATTCATGAAACCCCCAAGGAAAAACAAGTATCCTCGGTCTTCCCATTTATAGTATAACATTGTATGGTGACAAGCACGGAGTTCTGCTTCCATTAAAGGACTATCATTGGCTTCTTTTTCTTTAGTAAACATACTAGAATCGTCATCTTCAAATGGTTGTTTGGGTACATTGAAGTAATCATGACAATAAGTAGTCATCAGTTCCCATCTTCCAGTCAGGAAAGAGAATACAATGAAATCTGCAAATGTCTTACCTTCAGCATTGATACCTCCATGGACAACCAATACCTTCTTACTGAAGAATCCAGCTGCATTTACACTGATACTTGAAGACGTGGGGTTATTAGACCCTTCATCCCCTTCACTTAGTTGTGAATACGAAGTGTTGGATTCCACTTTATATAAAGACGTATCAAACACTCGGATCTCACAGGCCTCAATAATATTGGGGAAATCATCAATCAATGCTGATGCAAAATACCCTCGAGGTTCGGGCCACCAACAACTATCACATACTTCTTCAGTAGTAGTATCATCGTTTCTGCGACATGGGCAATTCTCTGCTAATCGAAGCGATTGAATCGTAGCCTTGGAACTGAAATGAATCTTGGAATAGTTCAGACCATGCGTCTGGTCCGGATCTTGAGGAGTAATCAACCCTAATTCAATCTTAAGCATTTCAGAAGTGGCAGAGAAATGATATATGCCATCATCATCAGGTTTTAAGTCTAAGACAAACCCTCCAAATATGAATATGGTAACTCCCTTTGGCTCCTTATCAAGCAACGTGGACTGCTTGCAACTTGATTCGGAACGGAAGTTATCCTGTGCAACTCCATTAGACCCAAAATAAAACTCTTCCTTCTTTGAAGGTGGCATTTCTGTCCTATTATTATTATTATTATTCATATTGGAAGTCACCGACGCTGTTGATTTGGTTGAACTCAACGATGCTTCATCTTCAGCAAACGATGCTATCTTTGATTTACTGGCATTGGAACCGCCAGTGTGAAGTGCAGATGGGGGGATCTTGTAATCTCCAGTTTTGGTTTCTGAAAGCCCACGTGGTCTAACAACAGGTGATGGAGTCGTGGTTGAACTGTTGTTGGAACTGTTCTTTACTGTTGGTGGTGTCAATGATCCTGTAGAGTTCTTATGAATAATGTTCTGTGGAGGACTTGACACTGTTGTATGTTTGCCAGTGTTGCTACTGGAACGGTGGAATATACTTTTGGATTTGTTCAAAAGTGCACCAGCCACACGTACTGAAGGAGAATGAGTCACTGCACTAGCCTGAGCTTTCATAGAGTCCAAGGTCGTAGTTGCTTTGCCCGAGTCGTTTGTAGTTATAATTTTCAACTTATTATGTTCAGGGATCTCAGGATGAACAGGTGGTAAGAACATTGGAGGTGGAGAACGTCGTGAAGCAGCCGCAGATACAGCACTGGGATATTGCTGTGGTGGTAATCTACTGGTTGGACTACTAGTATTATTCTCAACAACAGTCAAAGGTGAAGATGAAGATGAAGAAGAAGGAAGCACTTCTGTTGATACGGTGTTTGAAGAATTGGAACTGTGAACCATCATATGAGAAGGTAATATTCCGTCAGAATTCCCTTCGCTCTCTTCAATGGTACTACTTACCATACATGTACCAATTCTGGGTCTTGCCATTTTCATCTGTTGGTGGTCTGAAGATTTGGAACTCTTGGAGTGAATCTCCACTCTGGTGAATTTCAAGGCAAAAGCATTAAGAATATATCCATATTCATTTAACTTGAAACTCTTATAAATGATCCATCTATCTTCCTTTTCATTATATTCGACTGAATCAACAGATACAAGCCAGCCACCATAGAAAAAGATATGACGATCAGAGATCTTGGTGCTCTGTAAGCAATTGACATTGAAAGGGTAGTTTTCATCGTTGATGTTCTCAACTGCAACTACTCTTGAATTGATAGGATCAAAACTGAAAAACAAATTACTCTGATTCATCAAGGGGTTCTTCATGATATCTGAATTAACATAAGGAGGTAATTCATACGGGAAATGAACAGAGATCTTACTTAAATCCGTGTGGTTGGGGATCCCTAAAGTTTTAAGAGAATCAGATAAATAAAGTCCTCCAAAGGTATAGGTTGTTTCATTGAGATCATAATGATTCTGGTAACAGATTTTGATGAAATGATTCTTGAAATCAGCATACTCAGGGTTATTTATCACATCCATAAAACTGGGGACTGTAAGGGTTGCGGAGGGAATGGAGAAGTAAGGAGCCAAGTTACTTCTGGCCACATCCTTGGTCAAGACTTTTGCCTCCTTCCTGGAATCAAGCTTCTTATTGGTATTAGTACTGTTGTGGTGAAATACTGATACACCATTGTCTGTGTCTTCTGAATCAATTGAGTTATTACGAGTGGAGCCACCGTTGGCACAACTCTTGGGTTCTCTCAACACTGCTTTAGGAACATAGACGATATCTTGGCCATCAACACTGATGTTTACCTTTTGTCTCGACTGCTTTTGACGATGGTATTCAAAGAACACATAGGGCACTTCGAACCCATGGGTCCAGGCCTTTTCGCACTCCTTATCTGTTGGAAGTTTCAAGCTATCCTTCTGTTGATCAGTGGTGGTGCTAGTGCAGGCAGTGGTGGTCCTGCTGGTGGCAGCACTAGGTGACGGCTTATGCAGAAACAAAGAGTCATCTTCCTCTTCTACTTCCTCAATGGGCGTAGTCTCACCATCAATATCATGATCAATATTATTATTATCAGTCGTATCTGATTTAAGAGAGCAGCCACTATGTTTGGTGGTATCAACCTCAGCGGGAAACATCATTATCCGTTCATTGTAGTCGAAATCTGATTTAGAGATTCCTATCGAACGTATTTGTGGAACAGTCGTTTCTTTCCTAAGAGCTCCTCCAACCATCATTTATGTAAAGGTGTGCAACCTGGCACAGACCAGACAAGACCAGATCAAAGATATTACAAGGAGAACGATAATAATAGTATAGCTACAAATTAATCAAGGCTCCTCCCTTGTGGTGGAGACCAAGTACTAACTTTCAACTAAGTGCTTAGCGATAGACTTTTGTGTCGCTCCCTAGAAAGTAGCTACACGGAGTACCCACCATACAGGATGTACATGACTCTATTGTATAAATAGTTGTAGTTAGTTTGGCACTATCATAAGTTATACTAGTCAAACAGTACCGAAGTTCACAACAGGTGTACGAGTTCTTATTAGTTCAATTGGTCCGTTGAATGTTCTCAGTTATCGTTGAAGTACTTACCATCTGGTGGACTAACCATGTTATGGGCAGCAGAGGACGTTGCTTGTGTCGCGCACGTACCCTGCGGGGGAGGGGGAATACAATAAAAACTTGTTGTTGCTCCAGAACACTTTTAGTAACATTGAATGTATTACCCTGTACAGGCAACAACGTATACAGTAGTAATCCATCATTAAACGTTGGGTGATAACATATCAGATTTGACCAACAAATTAATCTTTATTTATCAGTTAGTAACAAAAGTCGTCGAAGTAACGAATGTCGTCGCAAGGTCGCGATAAATGGAATACGTACATCTTGAATAGAGGCATGAATAAGCTGTCTGACTTCTAAGGCCAACCACACTTTGACCATGTTTAAGCTGTCCTCATCTCTTAATAACTCTATTCCCTCTTTCAGAACTCCTAATTTCCGTAAAACAGGTAAGGAACTAAAGAAAAAAAATAAATGGTTAGCATCTTTAATCTATAATAAATAATGTGTTTTCAGTTGGGAACCCAAAAACAAATGCATATACGAACCTTGCAAATAAATCCAACTGAGGATCTAACTGTCTTCCTATCCCCTCCAGTAATAAGATTGCCACAACAATACTAACAAAATCTCCTTCCATTCTAACATGATGTGTTCTCACCATACTCAAGACTTTATCTAATAAATCTCCAATGCTAACACTTCCTAAAGTAAATGTTCTTTGTTTAACTCGATCAACTAATTTCTCCACTTTGAGTGCAAAAACTTCTTTATCTATAACTGTTTGTGGAGTTCTAGATCTTTCCACCATTAATTCCCCTGCTCTATATCCATCAAATTCACTCAATGCTCGGAATAAATCAATAAAATTAATTCTATCTTCATGATTCAATTCAGTAACAAGTCCCACATCAAGAAAACAAATCTCGGCATGATATCCATCTTCATATAATTGATTCAATTTATTATACCATTCTTCATTTGTCTTTAATTGTTTCATATCATCGGTAATTCTATTGGTTTCTTCCTCACTATTGCTTGACTTAACAATCTTGTATTCCTTTTCATGTTTGTATAACTCATTCTTATAAAACCTGACCATCATATTCCCCGGATGTAAATCTGCATGAGTGAAGTTATCTAGAATTAACATCTTCAAAAATGCGTCCAAACCTTTATCACTAATTTCTTTAAATAATGGAGGACTTTGGAAATCACGGGGCTCTTCAGATTTTAACTTAAGCATGGTACTCATAGGAATAGCCTCAATAAATTCTTCCACCAATATCTCTCGTGTTGTATAATTCAAATATGGTTTAGGAAAATAAACTTCCAATTTATCTTGAAAATTCCGTCTAAATCTAGCCAAGTTTAAACCTTCTATCCTCAAATCTAATTGTAACTTCATTAATAAACTAAATTGTTCCACTTCATCAGGTAGTGATAACCATTCCATGGTAGGAATGGCGTTGACAGCACTAGCGAAAAACTTCATCAACTTTAAATCACGATTAATTTTCACTTCCACATTGGGATGCAACACCTTTATAGCTACAAGTGTATTGCTTGAAAGTTTATGTTCAGTAACCACGAGATTCTGCCACCATTGTTGATCTTTGTGATCTTCTGAACTCTTCTTGTTCTTCTTTTCTTCTAATTCTCTCTGCTTTGTTTGTTCAATGACTTTAGCTGACAATTTCCCCACATATACTTGTGCAATAGCTCCAACCCCCAATGGTGTTTCGTTGAACTCATCAAAGATCTCCTCAAAGGGGAGTTCAAAACTACTACTCACAATCTTCTTGGTCTTCTCCAACAGATGAACCGTAGCATTCGAGTGCAATTCACTTAATTCATCACATAATCCTTTAGGGAAAATATCCGTACGACTAGCAGCCCATTGACCCAATTTGATGAAACTGGCTCCGGCAAATTCTGCAGCAATACGAACCAATTTGAACCATAACAAGGCTCCCAGTCTGACTGTTCCATCGCTACCAGAAATAACAACTTTAGATCCAAACCAACATATGGGGCTTGAAAGCAACACAGGTACAAAGATCCCCAGTAACTCCAAAAATCTACCAAAGGTTATCAAGGGATCCAATACCCAATCTTCAAACGTAAACCAAGCTCTATAAAGTATCCGTAACACATATGATCCTTTCTTTACCCGCTCCTGGCGGTAATGATCGTATTCATCCTTTTCCTCTGCTTGGGAAGACTTGAAAAGTCCCATTTCAAATGTCTCTTCGTCCTTCTTGGGTATAAGTTCATGTATGGTAGAATTGACTGAGTGCACATCGTTATTTAGCATCAGTTGCAGTGTATGCAAAGCATATCCACATCCAGAGACTAACAAACCCAAAGCTCCACCCATTACTTTCCTTCCTGTTCGACTGGAATTCGAACCGGAACCCCAACCAGGGGGCAATTGGTGGAACAGACGAAATGAGGGAGATCTAAGAGGTTTCCCCACGAGTTTCAATCGTATGTGAAACTGCCTTCTACAAATCATTTTGATATTGTTCAATTGCAACGACAACAACGAAAACACAACAATTATAACAAATGTCGTTGGCTTGTCGTTAAAAGGATGTGATATTGAGTGTACCGTTAAGCTTGCTAGTTTCAGCACTTGTTTGTGTCACGTTTACATTAAATTTGGTGTTAGGGTGTATATACATGATATAATTATAACTATATAATTAGTGTAGAACGTGATAAACTAAACTCATTTCTCCTCTTCTGGAAGCTCATTACGTAAATGAAGGCGAAGAATAGTGCACCATAAATAAACAGTGGCAGATCCCTTATTATTAGATCGGATTCCTCTTCTGGAAACAATACCATCATGTGCATTCCATGCATCAATATATATGGCTAATTTAAGCCATCCTAAATCATTCAATGATTCAACAATGAATTGACGTTCTTGATTCAATGGTAATCTTGTTTTTTCCTTAAATGTAGAATACTTTTCAACTTCATTGGCCAGACAAATCATCTTCCAATGTTCCAAAATGGAGTTTTCATAGGCCTTTAAGTCTATTTTAACAAGAGGACGAGAATTCTTAGTGAAAGTTTCTAAAATTGTTTTAGGAACTGGCATATCTGAATCAGGTAATAAATTGTCTCGACTTGATTTACCACTGACTCCACTAGTACTACTTGAAGAATAAGTATCCTCCTCCTCATCTTCATTATCATCTGTAGTTTTCAATTCGGAGTGTCCAATCATTCTATCTTCCACATTCAAGAATCCTTCAAAAGTATTTTCCATAAGTTGAGCTGTCCCTCCAGTAAAAGCATTTTCTTCATCATCTTGAGAATAATTTGTTTCAGTAGGATGATCTTTATCCATTAACTTCAACCATCGTTCACTGGAGTTCTCTTGATAATATCCATAGCTTCTAAAGAATTTGATCTTGACGATACTAAAAATTGTACCACATATAGTTGAAGTTAGCACAAATGGTATCCAAAATGGTAATATAAAACTAGCAAGGAAAATCATCAATGAATACCGCAAGTATTTATTTCTTCTTATCAAGCTCGTGTTTTCTTGCTTGTTACCTTCGAACCCTTGGATTTGTTCTGGTGTAAGAACTTGTGATCGTTTCAAATCAACGAATTTTGGTCTAACCAATGCATTACCAATAGTGACCTGAGGTAAATTCTTTAAATATTTGACTTTAATAGCATTAAACTGATTGAAAGGTGAATAATCAGTAATAAAAGATGTATAGAAGGCCACTGTTCTATCATTTTTTATATTAGCAAGAGCCAATCTTAATTCAAATGATTTAAGAGCTTTATAATAAGGTGAATCTGGAGTTGACATGGTAACCAAAAGCTTCTCTTTATCAGCAATAAATAATTCTCTACCACTATACCCAAATAAATAAGGACCCAAAGTATTGGCTATTTTAGGAAATAACCCTTTATCATAGAATTGGATCCCCACATGAGGTGTAGCGAATGTCGTGAAATAAATCGGCTCAATAGATTCAAAAAATCCAATCTTATACAACTCTCCAATAACGTATCTTGATATTAAACCTCCTAAAGAATACCCCACTATAGAGAATTTGACCACCTTATAATTTTCATCCTTCTCTAAGTTCTTAATCCAATATAAAATCTCACTAACAACCTTGCTACCAATAATTTCTAACCCATCATATGATTTGTAGTAAGCATATGTTGAAGGCGAAAGAGTCAAGATCTTCTCTTTAGATGAATCCGGTAACATATCCTTGATGGCACTTTCAATCGTACCCATATGTTTCTGATTACCCCATAATCCATGACAAAGGATGAAAATGTGAGCTGGCTGTTGCTCAGTTGACATGTCCATATGTTAAGCTTGATATGAGTAGTCTCGGGAATAATTGAAAGGATACGATCAGGAAAAACCGCTTGGTCTTATATACTACTGGTTAACTCGTATTAATGCCCCAAAAAAGGTTACTGGCGACCTATAGGAATTGCTTAGACCAACACAGCAGCAAGCAAGTGAATAAGAATAATCCCACTTGTTTAGTTGTATAGAGACGGGGATAAAGAGACGGGGATAATAAACACAATTACATTTAGATATAAAGGTACCTAAACGGATCTCCACATGTGATTTCGGAAATGTGACAGAAACGAGGGTCATCTACGAGGCTATAAACGAGGGTAACGAGAGCACGAGGGAAACATGGTTCAGACACGACAATGGTTTTTCTTTACTACATTTTTTTTTCATTGACTACATACATGAGAATATGCTCTCTACTACTAGAGATTAATAGACATATAGTGCTATTTAACGATGTTCTCCAGTTCCAAGTCCACCAAGCCCGACGTGGCTACTATCAAGCAACAACTTCAAACGCAAATCAGTCAAGAATTAGCCGTTCAAAACGCCACAGAATTGGTTTCCAAGATCACAGATAATTGCTTTGAAATGTGCATCAATAACCCTCCACAAGAAACATTGAGTGGTAGAGAGAATGCCTGTGTTGATCAGTGCTTGGAAAAGTATATGAGATCATGGAATATAATTTCCAAGACATATATCTCCAGAATCCAGCAACAAAACAAGATCTAAGTGTGAAGAATAGAGTAACTTGTACATAGAGAAATGCACGCAAAGAGACTATAGTATTCAATGAAAATGTAGTTGTAACGTATTAGACTCGAATGTGTAATGGTAGACCAATGTAGGTAGTAATGCTATAGAGCATTAAACTTAGAGACTATACCGTATGTAACTTCCTGCAGTACACGATAAATTTCCCAACCTAAATCTAAAATAATCAGTGGCGAACGACACTACCACCAACTACGTTAGTTAAAGACCAACGGTATACAAGCTCGTATAGCCCAGAAGGTATAACGTAATATCACATACAACTTACTAGTGAATTGATCATATTCACAGCAACAGAACAACATAAACAGCAATGAGTAGAACCACAGTGGCTTCAGAGTACTCTGCTGAGATACAGTCTACGCCAATTGAACATCGGTTTAATCCTTATAGTGATAATGGTGGTACGGTGCTAGGAATCGCAGGTAAGGATTTTGCTGTTCTTGCTGGTGACACAAGACATGTTACTGGATATAATATCAACAGTAGATATGAACCTAGAGTGTTTGATGTGGGTGATAACATTGTTATGACAGCCAATGGGTTTGCTGCTGATGGTAAGGCATTAATTGATCGGTTTAAGAATCAAATTAAATGGTATAAGTTCAACAACGGAGGTAAAAAGTTGGAAATGCAATCTGCTGCTCGTTACATTCAACAATTGCTTTATGGTAAACGGTTTTTCCCATATTACGTTAGTACTTTAATTGCTGGGTTAGATGAGGAAGGCCGTGGTGCTGTATACTCTTACGACCCTGTAGGATCATATGAAAGAGAACAATGTCGTGCTGGAGGTGCAGCAGCTAGTTTAATCATGCCATTTTTGGATAATCAAGTCAATTTCAAGAATCAATTTATTCCTGGTACTGATGGTAAAGAAAAGAGACCATTCGAATATTTGTCATTACAAGAAGTGATAGAATTAGTGAAGGATGCTTTTAACTCTGCTGCTGAAAGACATATTCATGTTGGTGATGGATTAGAGATTTTGATTGTCACTAAAGATGGAGTTAGAACTGAGTACTCACCATTAAAGAGAGATTGAAGTAGAGATAATTCTAATGTTATATATATATTATTAAAATAATAATAATACTATGAGTATTTAGACTGGCAATTCAAACTTCTTACCATGCAACACTCTCGAGTAATAGATGTAGAAGAAATCTGAGTAAATGGCTGTTTGAACAATACCAGCAACAATTGCTACCCAATCTAATTTAGCCTCAGTGAAGTACCTGTAAATCCAATTGGGGATGTACAAAGCTCGATATAACCCCAAGCAAAAGATATAATGGGTTGTAATATTCTCAGCTTGACCAGTTTTCTGCAACAACATCAATTGGGGTAAAATAGCAAATGCTTCTAACCAAATAGAAAATGTCCATAAGAATTCAGAAGGCGCATAATTATGACTAGTCAAACCTGCTAATACCAAAGTACCTCCTAGGATATATTTAACTGGGAAAATGTCTTTTGACGATTCAATTTCCTTTTTGAACTTATGGGTCATCACATAAACTGTGTAGCATGATAATCCAATGTACACGATCTTCATCAAAGTGGTATACAAAGAGTGGAACTTATAAAATAGATCAAGATAACGGGTAACGAACACCACAACATATAAGATTTGAGTTTTCAATGAGATACCCGCTACTGAATTGGTCTTGTCAAATTGCAAAAGCAAAATGACAAAACTAAACAAATGAAACAAGTCAGCTAAGAACCGGAAGATATTCATGATGTTGATTGTTATGTGATGTTGCAAGACCAATGGTGACAGACTTTTCAGTTGGTCGTCTTTCTTTTGCTGGCACTAGTCACAAACGTGTCTTCTGTCAAGAAAAAGTCGCGTGCTTAGTCAGCATCAGAATGTAAACATTTGGCAAGAAGATAGACTAGATCATATAATTGAAGGTAAGGACTCAGTATCATATGTAAGACTGTAATCAATGTTATGTACATAAATTTTATTCAAGACTATGCTATAGCATACACTCTATACAACTCATATATTTTATGTTTCTTTAATGACTTTAAGACAAACTGATTTATAGTACTCGTAATAATAAGTATTGCCTGTAACTATCATCACTTAAACTTGAAACTATCAACTACTATTATGAAATAGACGACACTAATTCAATGTATGCGGCATTTATTCCCATTCTAACCAATGCGAAAGTACAATACATTTATATTCTGATGCAATTCAATTACCTATATACTCTTAAAACCCAATACCATGCATGACACCAAAACCCAAAGACAAAACAGCCAAGAATGCCAAAAGGGAAGCAGGAACACCTACAGTAATGAACAAATTCACTGTAAGGTATCTCTTTCGAACTTCATCTGTCATACTAATAGCAGTCACATTAGGGAATCCAGAAGTGGGCAAACCCATAGCAGCTGAAGCCATAAGGGCAGTACCCATAATTAAAATCAGTGGGTGAGGTTGTGGCAAGTTCTCGCCAACTTCCTTAACAAGAGGAACAACAATCAAAGCAGCAACAGTATGAGAAACAAAAGTAGCAACCACGAGAACTAAGATTCCAAAAATGGCAAAGATTGCAAAAAGTGGGAAATCTTCAATCTTATGTTGTAATGCAATAGCAATTGTCTTTAAAAGGCCAGATGATGTAATAGCTTTACCAAGAGCTTGACCACCCATAGCCAAAAGAACAATCGACCAAGGGAAGTTGTTTAAATCATCAATACGTAATAACCCAGTACCAAAGAAAAGCACCACTGGAATGCAAGAAATGATACCCAGTTCACCCCAAGTCAGTTCAGTCTTGGTTAAAGTACACCACAAAATAATGGTGACAAAGGAAACAATGGACACAAACCATTGTTTAACAGTAAATCTATCTTTAATTGGTTTGAAAGCCTTGATTTTAACAGACTTGATATCGAAAACTAAAATCAACTCTAACCAAATAAGGATGGTACCAAATATACAAACTGGTAACGCAACTGCAAACCAGTTACCCCAACCTGGATTTGGAGTCATAGCTTCTATAGCAATCATGTTTTGAGGTGAAGAAATAGGACTGGCCATACCTGCCATGTTAGATGCAAGAGCAATTCCAAGAACTAATGCCTTAGAAAAGGGATTGGTGGTGGGTAAACTTCTTAAAATTGGTTGAATTAATGAAAAGGCCAACACAGGTGCAGCAACGTTAGAGATCCACATGGAAAGGAAAACAGAAACACACATAATGGCTAAAAGAATAATTCTAGGATCTGTTCCAGCAAGGGCTAAAATGAATGAAGAAATAACTTTGGCAACGTTATATTTAGATAATGCAGCAGCTAAAGTGAACCCACCAATTAAAAGCATAATAACGGATGACCACATAACTCCAAGAATGTATTGTGATGCATCCTGACCATACATCACAGTACCATCTTTGTTTTTCAAGACCTTGCATGTAACAACAAGTAATGGGACAAGCATGGAGGTAACAAAAAGAGGAAGTGCTTCTGAAGCCCAAAGCATAGCTGAAGCAACTAAAACTGCAAGAGCTCTACCCTGAACTGGATCCTTAAAAGTCTTGACTGCCATTAAAACAGAAAATACAATGATAATGATAATCAATTTAATAGTTTGGGAAGTCAAGAGGGACTTAGGGACTGGGAAGGGAATAAACTTGATCCTTGTCCATTCAATATTTAAAATGTCGTCATCCAAGTTTACTGCTTGGGTATTTGGTTCAATGTTGAATGTCTTCTTTTCCAAAGACAACATCTCTTTCCAAACTGTGTTTCTTTCCCAGACAATATGGTCTCTCAAGTAACTTTTCAACTCGGTACTGGCAGCATCTTTACTAGTTTCTGAAAGGGATGCATAAGCTGAAACAACCTGGTTGATTTTAAACGAAAGTGAGTTGATAGTGGCACTCTGGAACATGGAATAGTTTGAAATGAATTGAGTGACAAATTCCTCTTTGATTTTATAGTTCATGGTCTTGTCGAACTTTTTACAAATCTTCGTGAACCCAATTTTGTTTAATTCAATGAAAGACTTCAATTCATTCAAGGAGATGAACAAAAGTACAGACTTCTTTTTCAAGGTGACTTGCTTTTGAACAGTTTCATCGAAGTCATTGTCAGTAAGCAAAGAATGCTTGCTTACTTCAAAATCATCAATATCTGAATCATCTTCATCATCACTAACAATGGCACTTTCAATAGGATTCTTACCATTCAGCTTTTTGGAAGCATTTGAACTTCTGCGAGTTAATTTTCTATCCAAATGATTGATGGTTTCAAATACAGAAGATCTTCTTCTATTTGAACCTCTCAGTTGTCTACGGCCAATAACAGCACCTCCAAGTCCATTATCACCCAATTCTGCACCAAATGGAGCATATTGGATGTTCATCTTTTCAATATCTTTGAACAAGTTATCGTAATCAAGAGACAATTCCAGATACTTTGATTCAAAGAAATTGGAAACCTTGGACAACTCTGGAAGCAACTGAACAGCAAAGGCTCGTAAGACATAGCCGTTGTTTAATGTCGGCTTGACATCACTTATGGATTCCAAAAGCTCTTCAACAATTGCAGCCATTACCAAAGTGTCTGTAAAGTCCACAGGCAGGCCGTGAGACCCACCAGAGGGTGAAAACAGAGCTACGCTGTAAGTATCAGATTCAGCTTCACTTCCTTTATTCTTTATCGAATCAATACCCTTTTCCAAATCATGATGTTCTTGTGGTTTGTTACGCTTAAGTAATGCGGAAATCTTGCTCCATTTTTGCTTTGAAATCACCTTCGTTTTTTCTGCGTCAGATGAAAAAGCATTACCAGAAGATTCTGAAGTTGTCTTTGCATTGTCTGAAGATGAAGCAGCTGAATCAAGATCTTTCTTTAACTGAGCTTGGGCTTCGTTGACTAAATCTGAAATAGTGGTCGTGCTGATGTTCTGACCCTCGGGCCCAGCGAATTGTTCGTAAACTTGCTCTTGAATCTGATAAATGAGCTTTTTAAGCCCGTCATAGTTCAAATAGTCCTGTTGCCATTCTGGAACAGCATTGAAAGTCAACGAATGAGAAAATTTCATGGCAAGTAGTTTTACTTACCTTTTGCAACCGTTTTATTCGTTTGACAGGGCTGTCAAAGGTAGTTCTAAGGTATGTGGGCCTAAGAAAAAGTCTGTCAAATGGGTTCCAGCAGCAAAATTTCTTATGGTCACACGATGACTTCCCAAATTCTTAACTCCTAACAAAATTTTCTGCCGCCTGAGATACCTCTAAGTGGACCGCCGTACAATCTAACCTTAAGCCTGGCTCCAGGTTTGCACCCAATCGGATAGTAGCATACAGTGCCTACAGGTGTGCGCATAACATTTACAAATTTTTTGTTTCCTAAGCCGTGAAGCCAGACAGGTGTTGCCTAAAGGAGTAATCGTCCACATCTTGGCATCAGATGAGACACAATCTGATATTACGAGGGACATTCAGAAGTGGATCAAAAACTAATATACACGAATGACTCCAACTCACAATTAACTTCGTTCACGTGATATAGCCCACTGAAGAAAATAATACTATATAATATCAATTCCCCTTTAAAGTTCCGTCAGGTTGAATACGAGAACGATATAAGGACATACATATCATCGTTTGTAATTCCATGCAAGATCACGTGACTGCAAGAACAGTCTGAAGATTAAGAATTCGCGGTCCAACCTTGGACATATTTGGTCCTTATAATGCCACAGTTCATTTTAGCTGTTTTATAAGCAGAAACTGTAACTTAAACCCAAACCATTCTAGACGAAAGTTTTGAGGTCATTGTTTAATCTTCATAATCAATAGGTTTCTGGTTTCGTCTAAGAATTGCATTTAATCATTCAGTCCCAACATTGCTTCGCATACCAAAGAAAAGTGAATGTTTATTAAAGAAACAGCTTTTCCATTGTCATTTGATCTTCTTTCCATCGGTTCTATATAATGCCTGGTTACCACGAAGATAGGGGACTTTACTCCACATTTCATGAGTGCGAGTCAGCGGAAGAAGAACGATCTCCCTTGCCTATAAATAATTCCAGTTCCCGCTCAGCATCTATTTCCAGAAGCCAAACTCCGAGAATAGGCACACCACCTTCAAGTCATCTGCATCAGCATCAATATCACCAAATCCCAATCCCCTCAGCCAATAAACCTTTTTTCAATGCTTCGAATCCATATACTCATGCCGATAGTATAATTGGTACCCTGCCTCAGCACAGTCATCATCAATTCCCACTTTCTGGTAGTTCATCTGTGGATAGTTCCCACAGCGGTGGCTACAACATCAACAGCGCATATCCACCTTCTTCCAGTAATTACGTTGCATCAGCTAACTCTGCATCTCAACTAGACACGTATGCTCCTCAATTGGTGCACACTTGGTCTCCGAACCATTCAATTCTTTGTGTGGCCGCTTCTCCTTCACGCAAGTTACTTTTCTGTGGAACTCAAGACTCTTACATCTTGATCTATGACTTGGAGTCTTATTCCTTAGCCAGATCAATCAGCAACGGTCACAATGCGTCGGTGCTCACTTTAATATTGAGTGAGGATGAAAACTATTTATTTACTGCTGGCTCTGATTCCTTAGTTAAAGTATGGGACGTTGGTCTGCTCGTTGAGAACTCTTCAAAGAAAGAATCTACCACGACGACTAATAATGATAAAATGTTTTGCAACGAAGAAGATGAAGTGTGTCCCATATACATTATATACACGTTTATTGATGTTGGTGATATTTTTTCACTTTCCTGGTCTCAAGAGTTCAAGACACTTTTCATTGGTACTCAGAATGCATCGATCTTGTATTGTGACTTGCTGTTTCAACTTGATCGGAAGAATCACAATCCAGATTCCATTCACAATCTTCCTCATGTGAGATTCGATAAGTTCTTTGATTCCAAGGGTCCAGGAGGAAGCGTTAACAAGTTACAGACACAGCAACAACTTCTTCGTTCTCAAGTGACTGGATATCATCATAAAGCCGAATTAATAGAGATTAACCAGAATCATATTATCAGGTTTGCTCATAATGGATTCATCTATTGTATGGTATTGGTTAAGAGGGAAGACATTCTGAAGATGTTCAATACGTCTATTGATTCTTCTTATGACATTATATTGATTAGTGCGGGTGGTGACTCAATAATCAAGATATGGGGAGTGAAAAAGACCAACGATTGTTATAAATGGACTTCACTCGAAAGTTTAGATAACGATGATGAATACGAAGTGTTGTCCATGAGCATTGAAGGCACTTGTCTCTATGCTGGTTTGTCAAATATGATTTTAAACGTGTGGGATTTGACTACCTTCCAATTGGTGAGAAGCATCTCATGTGGTGAAGAAGCAGAGGGACAAGAAGATGAAGATGATGATAAAGATGATGATAAAGGAAAGGTGGGTGGTTCATCATCAGATCAGTTATCCGATATACTTTCATTTGCTGTTTATCGTGATTGCGTCTTCAAGGCAAGCCATTGTGGTGTAACAAAATATAAATTGAATCAATATCCTGAATCATCGTCTTCCAAGCGGGAGTTTAAGACCAAATTGGATAAAAAGGGAACTAGTTACAACATTCTTTTTGTTGAAATTTTTTCTTCTTCAATCACCAACAAAGCGTATTTGCTTGCTGGTGGGAATAGACTATTGAATTTATGGGACATTTCTCAATTGAATGATGACGGTCATAATTCATATTCAAATATAAGAAACACGTTAGAATCTACTTCTTCTTCTTCTGTTTCTAACGACAGACTTCTTCAAGAATTAAGTACCTTTATCTCCTTTAGAACAGTTTCGAAATTCCCTTCGTTGTATCTCGAAGAATCACGTCGGTGTGCTCAATTCCTTACATCTTTATTTATCAAGTTGGGGGCATCTCAGACGAAACTTCTTCCTGTCCCCAATGGGAATCCCATTGTCTATTCATTGTTTCGAGCAAACAGTCCCAATATAGCAAAAAAACAACCAAGAATCCTTTGGTATGGACATTACGATGTTGTTGATGCCGATGACGATACGTGGAACTCCTCGCCATATCACATGACAGCAAAGGACGGGAACTTGTATGCTCGTGGTGTCTCTGATAACAAGGGTCCTATTCTTGCTGCGCTATTCTCGGTGGCCAAACTTTATAAAGAGGAGCAATTGGGATGTGATGTGGTTTTCATCATAGAGGGTGAAGAAGAATGTGGATCCATTGGATTTCAAAAGATCATAAGTGAACATCGCGGGTTGATAGAATCTGGAGGATCTATTGATTGGATTATGCTTCTGAACAGTTATTGGTTAGACGATACAACTCCTTGTTTGAACTATGGTCATAGAGGGGTGATCAATGCACTGATAACCATTAAATCCGAGAAGCCAGATAGACATTCTGGAGTTGATGGAGGGGTTTCCCGAGAGCCAACTATGGATTTAGTTCATTTGTTGAGTAGCCTTTCGTCTAAAGATGGCAAGATCCAATTGGATAATTTTTACGATAATGTTAGACCCATTACAAGTGATGAAACTGAATTATTACTGGAGATTGTTGATCATCATGAAACCCTTGATCCATCGAATTTAATAGCCAAATGGTCAAGTCCTTCATTAACCATTCATGCCATGAATGTCAGTGGACCTCATAACAATACCACTGTGATACCTCAAACCGCTACTGCGTCGATATCGATTAGAATCGTACCTAACCAAGACTTGAACCATATCAAGGCATCATTGGTGAAGTATCTCCACACCAGTTTCGACCAATTAAAGAGCGAGAACCTTCTTTCAGTGAACATCTTCCATGAAGCAGAACCATGGTTGGGGAACCCTAAGAATGACTTGTATCAAGTGTTGTACCAGAACTTGACTAAACATTGGAACATGACTCCGTTGTTTATTCGTGAAGGGGGGTCCATTCCCTCGATACGTTTCTTGGAGAAATGCTTGAATGCTCCAGCAGCTCAAATTCCTTGCGGTCAAGCAAGTGATAATGCTCATTTGTTGAATGAAAAGTTACGTATCATAAACTTGTACAAATTGAGACAAGTTTTAACCAGCACATTAACTGATCTTGCCAAAAAGAATAAGCATAATTAATTCATTCGTTACGTTATATACGTATATATATATATATATATATATATTCATGTGTCTTCTTGGGCTTTCCGTCTTCTTTCCTCTTCATCTAAAAGGGACAATCTCAAGGCCTCTTCCACCATTCGATCCTCCATGGTTCGCAACAGAACACTGCCCGCCTGTGAACTTCGACCGCTATTGTTATCATCAATTAGTAAGTTGGAAGCATGAATGGCTGTGGCAGTAGCTGCTTTACGGGCCAATCTGTTTCTGGCAGAGATCAACTTTTGTTCCCAATCTGGACGAATCATATCAATAGTCACCACTGCTGGATCTGAAGCTGCTAATGAAGATCTTCTTCTGGCAGGGTAACCACCACCAACGGGACTTGACCCAGACATCCGAGACCGGCGTTGTGGAGATAAAGAAGATGACCCGGTAGCAGGCGATGACGGAGACACATCCATAATGACGGAGTCGTCTTCTGGAATATTAGCAAACGATTTGAATAACCCTGGCTTGGTCATCCCTTCAATCCCCGTACTAATATGAGAAGGTGAGGTGTATGTTACACCAAAATCCGGCATGGCACAGAAGGGACAATTGGCAGGTTCTGAAATCAAAGTATGAGGAGTCTCATTGGGGTTGGAAGATGTTTGAGAGGGATCATCATGAGGTGGATGAGGATCCAATCTCTTGATTTGAACAAAACATTCAGAACAAATGGGTTGATGACAACACCGAGAAATGTTGAAATGTTGAGGAAAGTATAAGAAACAAATGGGACATTCAGATGCATTTCTGTATAATGCAAGTAGCAAATCACGAGAAGGTAAATCAAGAATTTGACTTTGATCTTGACTTTGGGTTGATTTTAATTTTAATTTATCTTCTAAAAACACCTGTTCTTCATGTTTTTGAGTTTCTTTGGCAACAGCAATGATTTGCTTCAATTTAGTCCGTTGTTCTTGTCGCCTATAATAGTTTGCCGATTTATGTAGTTTCCGACTATCAATATCATCATCTTCATCTTCATCTTCACTATAAGCAGTTTCAATCAGATGTAAAGTTAATTGACTTAAGAGTACCACCAATTCATTATCTGACCAACTTGGGTCGAAATCTTGCAATGGAGTATAAAAGGGAGCCAACCGTCTTGCAATCACCAAATTACGGACTATTTCAGTATTAAAATCTAAATTTGATTTATAAGTACCATAAGGAGCCAAATAACCTCCATCAACATTTTCATAATATCGAACAACCAAATCTTGATAATGAAGTTCCTTTTGTTTAACCTTTTCTTCTTGACGTTTCTTCTTATCGCCTCCGGCACTTCCGATACTATTTGACCCCCCTAAAATCCCTAATAGTCCAGCACTATTGGTGTTATTAGTGTTGACACTGAATGCTCCACTATAACTGCGAGCTCTTGACCGACCGGCTCCTAACGATGACAGAATCGTTGGCAGCAGGTTGGAAATCATAGACGTAGTTGATGCTTGTGAATGAGACCGACTACGACTCTCCTTTGCCGGTGCGTTCCCCATAGTGTATTGCCCTTAATTAGTACAATTTTTTGTAAATAGATGAAATGTATCGAGAATATATACACTGGAAAGTATATACACTATAAAGTATGATACAAATCCATATATATATACATATATATATAGATATACGTGTGTTTGAAGAAGATATCCGTAGTGGTAATTATGGTTCACGTTTTGGATCAGTTTCCGTACTTTTCGGGCCGGATCTAAATTTCCTAACATAGCCTTGACGACACACGACATATATCATGACATATAACAGTTATATTATGGCATGTATGATAGTTTACTATATAGTGTATTATAGTGTATTATAGTGTACAGGATGTATGATAGTGTATATGATAGTACATAATTCTGTGGACTCTTGAGTATATATACCAAGTAACCACTCTATCCTCTAGTTAAAGCTAATCCAAGACCAGTTCCTATCATGGAAACTATCACTGAAATCCAGAATAGTCCAAATAGAAACGATATCCATTTCTGTGTACGAGTGAACTTGACCCTTCGAGGCAGTTCTCGATTATGACGACTGTATTGTTGGAAGTAATAGTTCAGACGAAATTGTTGAAACTTATTGTTCACATCAAACACTCCACAGGTGATTAAAAAGTATACTGGAGGTACAAATAATCCAAGTACCATAAGAAGTCCAAAATACCACCAGGGATAGAAGTTGAAGTATCTCGATTGATCATATATACGTTTCTCATCAAAGATCCCATTAGAAGAGCTTGATGCATCAATGGTATCTTGTAAATCATCATTTAAATCATCACTAAAGTTATCATGATATGAAGTGGTGGAGTCATCATGATGTTGTTGAGGTATCATATCCTCATGACTGTTTTGTTTACGCAATCTATCGGCAAGAACAGTATTGGGGATTATGGGGGGTGGAATAGGCATTCGAGTTCTTCCTATCTTGGTACTAGTCCCTGTAACATTAATATTATTATTGGATGAACTACTACTGTGTTCTTTGGTGAATGGTGGTAATTGCCCTGTGAAAGCTAAGGAATAATCTTGATGTTCATATTCTTTTAAGATTTCAGCATTGGTCATGGGTAGTGTAACATTGGCCTTATTTATAGAATACCCAGATCCAGAAGAGGTTCCACTAGGTCCTCTACTCGGAGGGGTAGGTACATCAAACCCTTTCTTCTGGAAGAGATCACCGGTTAAATCAGATGATATATGGTATGCTCGACTTGGATGACTTATAATAGAAGATCTCAGTCCTCCATATCCTTGACTTTTACGATCATAGATCCCGCCACGGAATAAGGTTTCAGATTCAACAGCCCCCATCACGTCATTTAATTGACTCAAGAGTTCACCAGTTGACATGGAAATATCATCACCAGTTGTACTTTGAGAATTATCCATTGAACCAGAAGCATTGGAATCTCGATGTCCTGGTGACGACCCCCCACCAGTAGATGGATGTCTAAGTATGGAAACCAAATTTGGTTTCTGTCTAACAGATCTAGCATGAGTAAGCGAATGAGTACGAACAATGGTAGCTTGTTCCATACCTTCATAGTTTATACTCAGTCTATTCTCAGCACCACCAGAAATAACTTTTGTAGGTGGATTCTTTATACTTGCTGATGATGATATAGTTGTATTATGATGATTAAAGGGATCTCTTGCAGGAGATAATTGTATTGAGCCCATGGAACTATTTGGAGTTGGATGATCTTCTTCCATTATGCTTGGGATTTGAAACGAACGGTATTGAGGTGATAATGGCCTTCTGCGGAATGGTGCAGGGTCTTCTCCTTCTATAACTGATTTAAATGAAGGTGATGATGAACTATGCAAACTTGGAGAACCACCACCAGATGAGCTTGTTGAAAGTGAATGAGTGGTGGAAAATCTAACGTTAGAAATTGGAATTGGTGGTGGAGAATTGGAATTAATTAGTTGGATTGATTTTTGGAAAGAAGAATTATTCCCATCAGTAGAACTCTTTGTTTCATCAAACTCCTCAACAAAAGTACTTTTGTCTTGAGAGGAACGAGGTAAATTGAAATAGTTTTCTAAGACGGAATCAGAATCATAGGGTTCATATTGTATAAGAGGTTGAAGATTTTTGTCTGTTGTTGGTTGCTGTTTAAGTGAATTGGCATATTGATTTTGGTACTCGTGCAGCTCGTTACATTTCGCCTGTTGCAGTAGTAAATTCTCGACCCCAATTTCCCCTCTATGCATTGATGATGTTCCTGCCTGATTCAGCAAGCCACTGGGATCTAATGTTGCGTTTACATCATATTCATTTGTTTTTGATCCTTGACTGTCTTCATCACTAGTATCAGCAAAATCTTCAAATGCTGGTGCAGAAAGTTTCTTTATAGGACGTTGTGGAAGTATATGAAATGAAGAAGACAGTTTTGAGTCTACTGCATCTTGTGAATCATTAGCGGGTTGTTTGATAGGGAATATGGCTTCACTTTTAGATGTTTCATTGTCACTTGTTTGGTGTCTACTAAATACACTTTGCAGCTTTGGGGATGACACAAGACTCAGATTAGACCATATGGAGTTTCTTGAGAATAGCCCAGCAAATGAGTGACGTTTCTTGCCAGGAGAATTCTGTAACCTTTCCATTTATCTTCTATTTCAGCAGTTTGATACAAGGAAACAACAAGTTAATCTGAAACATATCAGAGTGATTCTTAAACAGAAGGTACTGCCACAAACGATTCTTGCCTTAACCTAATCTTTACCTCTACACCCAATACTTGCAACAGGGTCCGAGGAAAAATGACTCTTCTTTGTTACTCTAATTTCTGCTGATTTTAAACAGTATCAGCTTCTGCAATAGCAATCTATTACTGACTACACTACAACTATAGCTGCACTTATTCATTGACGAAAGGTGCCTAATGTCTCAGGTAAGAATGGTATTTACCTTTTTCCCAATTAGGAATATTAATTAGCATATGGCCCGATCGGGAGATGAACTTACCCCAATCGGGATAGTGCGGGTAACACTAAGTGGATTAAGCTGCAAAAAATAAAAGATAGTAAGGACCAAAGCTTTGATTACATAATAAACATTTAGAAGCATTTATAAACGAGGATATTTAGAATTGAAGGGACAGTTTGGGGAATAAAAGAAAGTTAGTGTTGGATATGGAATTAGTGGAAAGCTCTCTTTCTTCTTCTTCTCTTACAAACTAATTGTCCAGTACCGCTGGGACTTGAGCCACCATTGTTTCCTGTGCTTGTGGTAGTGGTCCCTACACCTGAACCGGAGCCGGAGCCGGAGCCAGAGCCAGAGCCAGAGCCAGAGCCAGAGCCAGAGCCAGAGCCAGAGCCAGAGCCAGAGCCAGGGAAATAGGAACCAGCCTTTGAACAATCACCAGCAAATGCAGCAAAGGCATTACCAATAACAGTTTGGAAAGTATTCACAGTTGCAAGTTCATCAAATAAACTGACAGCCAAACCTGAATCCTTCAAAGCATTAATAAGCGAGGTCAAATTCAAAGACTTCGAAGCCAATAAGGCCGAAACCAACAGGATAGCAAAAGGGATATAAGAAGGATCAGTTAAAATATCCTTGACAACAGATGTGACCAAACCAGATTCTTTTAATGATTCTAAGAGATTCACAGCAATATTGTAATAATCAATACGTTTGTCAATTTCAAAAGTATCAAATGGTTGAATTTCACTTCTTCGACTCATTAACATTAACTCTTCTTCAAGTTCTCTTTTTGATAACCCTCCAAGAATCTTGTTGATCACAAATTGAGTAAGGTTACCAATATATTTCTTTGCAGAATTGAAAAGATCAACATATAATGAACAATCACTAATCAATTCTTTAACTGTTGCTCCAATCAAATCTGAAGCATTTAACGCCTTGAAAACAACAGTCAAATTGATTAACCCTGATTTCAGAATAGCAACAATTGTTGCCACAGCTAAGGGAGAAAAGAATGGATCAGTAGCAAAATACTTCAAAATAATTGGAGCTAAGTTGGTATCATTAATAGCACTTAATACCTCAGTAACAATTTGATATTCTCTCTTACTTAATTCTTTTGTTTGTTCATCCTTAGTAACACGATGCTCATTCAATCTTTTGATTAAATCGTTTATACGATCCATATCAAACTCTTGCAATTCTCTTTTGGCTACTCCTTCGGGGATACCCATTGGTTGTAATGCAAGATCCTCTCTCTTGAACAGAACCTTGTTAACACCATGGTTTGATTCAATGTGGATAGCATCAGCAGCAACAACTGCTGCCATCATACCGATAGCACTCGTGGTAGCCACCTTCATTTTCAATGTTATTAGTATTTTCTCGTGTTAAGGTAGCGAAAGTTGGGAAGTGTAATGAATGACTTTGGATTCTCCTTTAGTAGTTTCGTGTTTCAGTTTTCGCTTCGTTTGCACTTGCCAAAAGGAAGAGAAAAAGGAGTCTCCTTTCCAGCAATTCTTCTCTAGTATCTTTCCTCGTTTATTATATACTTCCCCATGGTTTTCCCATCGTAATTACTGTATCAATGAACTTACCTAATTGGGTAATTTTTCACCTTGACACTGTATGGTAGTCGCAATAAAATTAAGCTGCGAAACTTCCTAATTCGGCAATCTTCATCTTAGACATTGACCATTTATATCTTCTCAGCGTAAGAGGGGGGACAGTCGAAAATTTGTAGGAAGTATTCCATTGTTAAGGAACTCTGTTGAAGCCATAACATAACTTTATGCCGATTCAGTAAACAACTATTTCTGGTTGTTTCTTTTGTTGTTAAGGTACTATTTATTTTTTCCTTGCTGTAACCTGGTAGCGTCAAAGTTCACTCACCAATACCAATTGTGGAGTAAAAATATTACTTGTTAGGCTTAAAGAAACTTTGAAGTGTTGCTTGGCCTTTTTTCCTTTTCGAGTTGGCTGTAGATGTAAAGGGAGATCTTGCTCTTACACGAGATGACAGTGGAACAGGAGTAGGCTTATTATTGCTATTGCTTTCAATAGGCTTTTTTATAGTTTCAAAACAACCATCATCATTTACTATGGTGACAGTCTCGTACTCCACTGGATATTCGTTCCTTGGTTCACTCAAAGTTTCAGTAGAAGGTTTGGGCTTTTCATCTTCCTGATTCTCTGAAGGGAATTCCAATTTGGTTTGTTCTTCGACGATAATTGGTTCAGCTACTTCGATGGTTTCCTCTGTATCATCAAAATCACTTAAATCATCGAAAAGGCCCTTCATGGATGCTACCTCTGTTTTATAAGCCTTTGGTTCTACTTCTGTCATTTCAATATCTTCTTCATTGTTATCTTCAGCCATAATGACCCTTTCTTTAGGTTCTACCTTTTGTACTTTACGAGATTGGTATTTCAATGCAGGCTGCTTCTTAGAATTGACAGATGAAGTATTCGCCGATGCCTTCCGGGAAACATATAGAGAAGATAAGCTTGATGATAGCTTCTCTCTCTTTGGTTCTTTAGCATTGTGTTTCTGAACATCATTTGTAGTAGTCTTAGATGAAGGAACAGCTTTTGATTTAATTGGCTCATTGGTTTTAGTTCTACTAACAGGATTAAACTTCACACTGTTGCGTATAATACCCAAATTATCAATAGACAGTCTATCTAAGGGATTGCTGCTTTCTACGATAGCCAATTGCAGATTTTCAACACAATAACGGGACACATAATAAACGTGAACAGCTTCAACACGTTGTAGGTCTTTTACCACTGCATCAACATTATTGGAATCACACTTGATGATGCAAGTAGTTTTAATTGATTTTTCCTTAGGTTGACCAATGACAATAAACGATGCATAGAGCTTGGCTTTATTAGCGACATAGAAATCATAAAGAATTTGCTTAGCTTTGGTCACCAGTAGACCTTGGGTACGAGCAAATGTATTATAGGTGACCGTCCCATCTTTGGTAAGGATTTCTGATGACAAGTACTCCATTGTAACAATAGGATGAAAGTCTGAAGGAATAAACTTAGTGGTATGGATGAGCATTGATGTGGTTTAAACTTACGCGTAAACCTCACACCGAATCACATCACTTTGGGTGCACTATTCATATGGTAGCAACAACATGAATAACGTTTGTCCTCGAAAAAAAAAAAAATAAAGTCCAACGTTTGTAAGATAACCCAGTCCACAGAAACGCTAAGTTGATTCCTCAAACATAGTAGCAGTAACTAATTGTGTAAAAATCTTGGTGTTGTTATATATTTTTAGTTGATTGTAGTTACTACGTTTTATTCTTTCAAAGCCATTTAATGGTACTGAAGCGAAGGTAGATGGAGTAAACTATGAAGGTCGTTACTGGTATGGATAAAACGTACTAAAGTTGAATCAACTTCATATATTAACTCCGCAATATTGAATAATTTTGCTATATACTTCTAGTTCTAAAATCAAGTAGATAATTATAAAAAATTATTATATAACTAGACTGGAAGATCATACTGGTGGTTTGGTTTTTTTGCACCCAATTTTTTATGACCCGTACTTACACCTTCAATGAAAATAATACTCCAAGGAAACACACTGCTGAAAGAAAAATGCACGTACACATATAACAATCATTCATTCTGCTTGAACACCAAAGTTAATGTTATCTCTAGTAATGGGCAACTATAAAAACTCGACGTCAGATTCAACTGTTAAGTTCATGTTGACTATCCCGAAGTTATATACGTAAGTGGGCGGGCTCCAGCTTATTTGAAAGGTGACTTTCCTCATATTTAGGGACACTTTCGTCTTCTTTAGGGTCTCTATTGTTCCTCGATGGACAGTGTTACTATTTGAACTCATTCTTATGAAACCTAATATATTAGTAACTAAGAATGAATCAGCCTAATGAAAGATTAGTATTGTAATGTTTTGAATATGTATTCTATGTCGGATGTGTCTTACAGTTTTATGTCAGTTATTAAATAGGCACTCTAGTACAAATAAGTTACAAGGAAAGCGATTTTATGTCTGAATTTCTAGTCTACTCAACTTCTCAAACAATGCATCTTTGCATGGACAACAGACTAGGGCTGCTAGATTATTATTAGGATTCATTCCCGTACTCTGGGAAGTTTGAAGTGGGAGCTGTCGGAAATAGTGGAGAAGAAACCGCTAAATATAAAAGTCAGTTCAATGGCTAATCACTTATACATACTAATAATTACACGTAGTATAAGCATCCACTATAACTAGATCGTTGATGATCTACCGAATTCCCTTCTTACTCCATACACATTGTGAGTTTGGTTTATCAATACTCACATAGATAAGCTTTGAGAATACTTACTAAACACAAGAGCCCCGCACACCAAAACCGTAAAAGAGATGAGCCGCTCCATAACCAAACACACAAGTGCAAACTCCAAAATATGGACCTAATCAAGGCTATCAAGTCAATAACAAAACCATTGTCCGCCTCAATATGGTCAACTAACAATAACACTTTACCCTCCGCCTCAACCTCAAAATCAAGGAGTAGTGGTTCAAAAACAAAGTGGTAGTAGTCATGGGGTCATTTCAAAAAGTATGGTTGTCAACTTGGAAACGCAAATTTATTCGGTGTTGGTACATCAATTGGTCCAATTATTGTTAGTCCTATATTAGATTAAACACTTGTGTTCATTTAAACATAATTTATACACAAGTGTTTGTCAGGTACCTCTTCTCTAGTATGCACATTCAGACACAAAAAATCACAGCGACAGAATAGAGAATACAGAGAATGAAAAGCGATACTCCTGAAACTCTTCAAATTAAATGTCTACCAATGAGAAAGCCCTGGAAAGAATATAAAAGGCAAAATTCCTCATCCATTTCACTTGATATTTTGTTACTACCAGAGGTAATATTAGTTTCTGCATTACTTGAGTGAGCTACAGGAGGTATTAGCATGTTCGCTAAATTTTTTTCCAACTTATTATAAGATGACTTTTACAATGTCGGAAAATTGAATTAAGAAATGTTGAAGGTAGGCATCCTTTTACAACATCCTGATTTGACCATCAGCTGAATAAAGAACTTACGGAGTTAAGTTCATAAGCAGATCAAAACCTATTGACTAAATAGTGTAATAGATTAAGTAATTAAACGTTGTAGGTTAAAAAACTCCAATCTCACATACGAACATATCATGATGTACTATACTGGTTACTCATTCATCCAGCAAAACATGCTTTTAAATAACAAACTCATCTGGCATGCATGCTACCATGAAATAGGTTTATCTTCTGTGGGTCCTTACAGAAAAGATGAAGAAGATAATGACTATGACGAGAATTCTCTTTTCCAGAAAGCAAGAGGTTCTTCAGGAAGACTGCATGGTTTAAGTCGTATTGGGAACACAAAATAGATGATAGGAACCGTTGTTTATCTCAAACGATTTTCCAAAATTGACATACCCTACCAGAATCATATTGCAAAATTTCAAATCGGTAGCGCCATTTGTGAGGTATAAAATGATAATGTTTTAAGGGACTGAGTCAGTTTTCTTGTTGTTTCTGATATAGATGAATTCTACTAAAGTTATATCGAGCTCTTCTCTTTGTATTAATTAATTAGTATTTCATGTATTGAGTATATTTAGCTACTTCCCCCTTATGAAAAAGCATACATCTGCATCCTTCCTATTATTTGGACTATTTGCAGCCCAACTTTCGAACCTCAGATGTCCCGCATACAATAGTTTGGCTACGCTATAGAACCCCACAGCAAAAATACAGAGTAAAACAAAAATGGCAAGCGACAACTATAAAGCTGAATCTTTAGATAAACCTCGAGTGTATACAATAAGAGCGGCTAAGAAGCTTGAATATGTTCAAGAGACACCTTAACATAAGTGAAACTCCAAAGGTTTGAATGCGGATGCCTATTATTAACTTATTTAGTACTTAGCTACCGTAACTCGTTGACCGCGCCAGGTAACGGTTTTGCAAGTGAAATATCCCACGATAGTGTTCTTAATTTGGCGGACTTCATTTTTTCAAAGAGATACCTCCACCAACTTTGGGGACAATATTGTCTTCGTTGAGGAGACTATTGTCTACTTCAAGGTCATTATTTGGATTCATTCTTATGATAGTTGCCCCATGGGCTGCCAAATCATCCTGAATTAATCACGAATGAGGTAATCAAGAAGGGAGCAATGGTGCTTAGAGTCACATGAAGCATTGGTGAAAGATCACGAAGGTTAATAGATGACGCTCGCTTAACACCTAACACCCACTAAAAGAAAGACTACTCATCTGTTAATAAATGGCGTGAAGTGGGGGGGGGGGGGGGGGGGATTTGGAGGTAAGATAGGGCACATCGACCCCTAAAAGTGGTAACTCATGACTAGCTCCTTGAGCTGGAATTAACCATCCTGTGACCATACTCTTGGTTAGACAAAAGTGGTTTAATATAACTAGAGGTGTTGGACAAAACTGAGGCTTGTCAATTGAAGGAATAGAATAATTTATGGAATCTATTGCCTGGTTTAAAGAATATGCGTTGTTAATCAAGTTACTTGTTCACTTTCTAGATGAATGTATTTGATTTTCTATAAAATTATTCAAACTCAGTGTAAGCGCAGATTGTTCGAGTGTTAGATCATCTATGAAAGAGGTTAAGCTATAACTATAAGTAAATGGAGCGTGAGCTACTACTTAATATTTGAAAACATGAGTAGAATCTGAAAGATGATTTTGTAACAAAGGAGTCATATAATTAAAGGGTTCAGATGTATTGTAAGACTTACCAAATACACTAATAGTTGAAACACTGATCACGCGATCACTAGAAAATTATGGAGGCACGTGATGCCTTAAAGTCTACGCACATGACAAATATAGTGGTGTGATTAAACTGTTATTAAATATTATTAAACATTGAAATCGTATGTGCAATTAAATGGTCCATTAACAATCCAGTAGTAAAAAAAGGACGACTAAATCAACAAATAATAAAAATATAGAACAAACATTAACGTGTGCTTATTGTTTCTTCTTTTGTTTATTATCCAAAAACTCCCTATACTTCTTAAAAGTGATTTGTTTTTGAGTTTTCTTATATTCTTCAATGAAATGATATTCTGTACCATTGATTTTATCCCAAATAATGAAGAATGGTTGGGAGAAATTTGATTTGATCCCCCAGTTTTGATGATGAATATCATGGTACACTGAATTATTGGGGAAGATGATTTGGAAAGGATCCCAGGGGAATGCATAACCACAGTGATCATCAATAGTCTTCATGGTAGCAAACACATACATAAAAGTAGCTTCTCTTTGACTAAGACCCGTAACTAAAGCTGCAATACCAGTTCCCAAAGTATCCAAAAGAAACCCTTCAACCGGATTATTGAAAAGAGCTCCATAAGCATATGGCACATACAACTGATGGTGACGAGAATGGAACCATCTATATAATTTGGGATGCTGATGCATTGTTTTATGAAGCCAATATTGCCAAGTATCAACAATGAAAATAGCCACAAGAAATTTGATAATTGAAACTCCATAATTATAGCCATAATAAATTAAAGAAGCAGGTAACCAAGGAAGAAACTGTTTCCAAGTCCACATATGATAAAGCTCATCGCCAGTCACAGGAACTGGCTCAAACAGATAAAGAATACTGGCAGCTATAATTTGAATAATATGCTGTACAATAACATCTTGAACTACCCGATGTAATGGAACCTTATTACGCAGTTGTTCTTCTTCAGATGGATGTATTCTATACTTTTCAGCCAATTCATAAACATCTACTAAATGGAACACAGTGGAATAAGACCAATAAGCTATCACTGGAGCTATGATGGCAAGTATACCATCAGGAATTCCAGACATAAGTGGATCTCTGGATTTCAACTTGATTTCCGGTGGTATGTCTCCATTAATGGCTTGCAATATTGTAGTCGACATAATGGAACAAAGAATGAAAAAAATAAATAAACCTGAAGATAAATTTCGGGGAAAATTCAGCAATTATTTATAACTAGAGGTTTGTATTTGTTATGAGATGTGACGTTCAGGTACCGTGATATGCTTTTAAGTTTCCTGATGTTATTTTTTAAAATGTTTGACCCAAGTTCCGTGTTTCGCACAATGCGCTGCGCTGAGTTCCTAGTAGGGAAGTCTACGGCTGTACCCAATGAGTATTTTTATTGCTATTACCAGTATTAGTATGGTAATAATATGGTAATATTATGGTAATATTACTCTACTACTATGCTACCCCCTGTTACTATGCACTAGTGTGGGATTGATTGCTCGTTCATGATACGCGGATTTAAATTTAGGGGTAACATTCAAGCGCAATCCAAGACATCGGTTAAGCTCCATGCGGACTGCATATTAATTGGTTGTGATAAACTGAGTAGAAAATCACGTGATACTAAACACAGAAAACTTATTGGGAATATAAGCCATATTCAATTAAGCGTTGATATATGAATGAAACCTAAATGTAACAGATATTTGGTACTAGTATTAGCACTAATTTTGATCACTATTGCTCAGCGGCATCTTTTTATGTATATCATGTAATACTCAATGAGCCTGGATAACACACACGACTCAAAGTCATTGGTAGCACCCTTTGAAGCTACTAAATGAAATGAAGGAAATCTGATTGTATAATGATTCAATATTGAATATATTCACCCAAAATTTTCAATCCCAATCATAATGTCACGATCCGGTGAAGAAGTGTGGAAGAATAGCACAGAAAAGATCAACTCCGAACTCTTCACTTTAACATATGGTTCAGTGGTGGCCCAACTATGTTCAGATTATAATAACAATTATAATTTGGTCAATAAACAATTAGATTCTATGGGATATAATATTGGGATTCGATTGATTGAAGAGTTCCTTGCGAAAACAGGTGCTGCCAGATGTCATACCATGAAGGAAACTGCAGAAATAATCCTGAAGGTTGGATTTAAAATGTTTCTTAATATAACTCCTCAAGTTGATAATTGGTCACTTGATAATAGACAATTTTCATTGATACTAAATGAAAACCCCTTGGCTGATTTCGTTGAATTGCCTTCAGATGCTAAAGATTTATGGTATAGTCAAATTCTATGTGGAGTATTAAGAGGTGCATTGCATATGGTACAATTGGATGTGTCTGTATGGTTTGTTAAAGACGTTCTAAAAGGTGATGATATAACAGAACTCAAACTCAAGTTAAATAAAATATTAAAGGATGAAGTACCTGCTGGAGAAGATTAATTTTAGCGTATTATCTTCCAATTCAAATATAAATCCATCGATTTCCCGTTAATGGTTTTGATAATTTTGGTCTTGACAAATAATTCAATGGTATCTCCCGTAGTAATACATAAAGATAAATCTGGCTTTATTAATAAAATTTCATGATCCATTCCGGCTACTTGACATGAAACAAGATATTTCCCCAATTTATGTATATCATTGATCTTTGCCACTAAACTAGGCCCCATACTTCTCTTATATCCATACCCTTTAATAACCAGTGCTAAAGATGTATTGGTAGGAAGTCCACTTATACTTTCATTGGATCCATTAAGATTATTATTCGTATTCTTATTACTACTATTACTTTTATATTGGAATTGGTTTATTTGCATCCAATCCACAACTTGTTCCATTAACTTTTTTGTATGATGACCCTCAATAGATTGACAGAATAAATCTTTGGATGCCATAAACATCTTACACATATCATTAGAAGATGAAACAGATTTCACCTGGAGAGGTGGCTGTGGTCTTTTCAACTCTCTTAGTGACAGGGTTAAACAACTCATGGGTATTGATGTTTGCTCTTTCTTTTTATTCGTGATGGTACGTTTGTTTGTGTCAAGTGGCTGTAATGGGACTCTTTTCTTAGAGGTAAGTCTTCCTTCGCGTCTCATTAGCTTAAGACTGCGTTCCACCCGTTCGGAATGGGCCGTGAATTCATCTCTACTTCGTTTCATAGCATCATACATAAATCATATAAATAAAAGTACCATAAACAAACCACAACTTTAATCGATTATCTCACTTCCACGCGCGCTACCACGTTCGCACTCTGGAAAACTATAAACTCCAAAAAGTGATTCAGTCACATATATCTATACTGTTCTCTTTCAACAATTCAAACATGTCGTGGGATCAAGTCAAGTTCTCACTTGCCCCAAGGGCTAAAGGAAGTTATCTTATCACCCAGGAAGTCTTAGCAGCAGTTCCTCAAATCAAAGATTACCAAGTTGGAATGCTTCATTTGTTCACCCAACATACTTCATGTGGTCTTACGCTTAATGAAAACTGGGATCCAGATGTACGTGCTGATATGACATCATCATTTGATCGCATAGTACCTGAAGGAAACTTCTATATTCATTCTGATGAAGGCCCTGATGATATGCCTGGTCATGTCAAGTCCACATTGGCTGGTGTTAGTTTATCAATCCCTATTTCCAATGGGAAATTGGCTTTGGGTACCTGGCAAGGGATCTACTTGTGTGAATTTAGAACCTATAGACACACAAGAAAGTTAGTAGCCACTATCAATGGATTAAAGACCAATTGAATGATCATTCAACCTTTTGCTCATATACTTGAACGCTATAATCTCTTAAAAGAGTTTTGGTTTCTAATTGAAGACTTTCAATTGACTTATTAAATTCATTGATTTCTTTTTGAGTCTTATCAACCAACAAATTCCACCATCCATTGTGTCGTATACACTTTTTACGTTCAATAGTGCAAATCTCAGGTGCCCAACATGTACTACCATCACCATCACCATCTTCATCATCATGATGTTCATTATTGCTATCATCATCATCTTCATCATTTTCTTCTTCTTTGGTCATTTCTTGAACAATTTTATTGATTTCATCTTCAAAGTCCTGTTGAATATCAGTTGATGACACTAACTTCGTCATATACTCCAATGCTTTTGAATTCGGGTTATTGAATTGTAAGTTTCCATGATACAAACAAATTTCGTATTTCTTGACTTTTGGTTGCTTGCCTTTTCTCTTGGTTTGTTTGTTAGAAAGCGTATTTGAAGAAGCTGATGATGTTGTATCTGATGGCACCATTCTGTGAGTGTATAACTCATTGGTGATCTTCACCTTTTCTTTATATTTTGCAAGGAATTGTAATATAAAATCCTTGTCTTCTCTTTCCGTTTCAAGCAGTTTCATAGCTTCATTGATGACCTGTAACTTTTGTTGTATATCTTGGGGAAGTAATTCCATATTGTGAGACTCAAAATACTTTGTAACTTGAGATAACTCCGGGAATGAGCTCCCTAAAGTCATTAACTTCAGATGAACCCCTCCTGTAGCTTCTAACACTCTTTTTATATCCAATTTTCGACTATCATAAGTATTTTGTATACCATATAATTTCAGTCGTATATATTCGATTCCATGGTCACGACAGCAATACTTGGAGTTATTAACAATAGGGTTCCGACACCCTGATAATCGACACCGCCGTTTCCACATAGTCTCTCCAACCTCCTTCCATTCACAAAACTTACAATAAAACTTGTCAATCAACAGAGCATCTTGAGTGTCGATCTTCATACAAACAAAATGAAACCATTCATCACATCCATCACATGAAACCATCAACTCGCCACCATGATCTGGTCTCCGACAAATACAAAACACTTCTTCATCCCTTGAATTGAGTCTAGGACTATTTTGGAATCGATAGTACTGCGTAGCTATATCTTCTTCCCCATCACTTTGGTGGAAAAGATGATGATCTTCATTTAAGTTTTCATGTTTTGCCTTTTTAGTGCTGATCCCGGGCGACTTAGCTTTCCGTTTATTCCCGGTGAAGTAATCAGCATCACCATTGGATGCTAAATTTGTCATAGATGAAGAGAAAGTGATCAGTCATATTTCAAATAGTTTATAATACGTATGCTTTTGTGTATAAGTGCGCGCTACCATAAAACAGTACGTATATATAATAAGGTCATATCCCCCACTACAATATAATCACCTCATACACTTTTACATTTAAAGAGTATCGTCGTTCTCTTCCATTCTAATAATACAAAAAAAACTATTTCATTTCAACATCTTCAGAAATCTTCTCATCTATTTCCATGGTCTCTGGTGCAGCTTCAACTTTAGTACCGAGCTCTGTAATTATCTTTTCTTCAACATCCTTTAGCGATGAGTCTTTGACTTCTTTTTCTTCATTATTATCAACGTTTCCATAATTTTCTTGCTTTATATCTTTAATCTCTTTATCAGTTGTTTCTTCGTTCTTTTCTTCGTTCTCTTCTTCATTCTTTTCTTCGTTCTTTTCTTCGTTCTTTTCTTCGTTCTTTTCTTCGTTCTTTTCTTCGTTCTTTTCTTCGTTCTTTTCTTCATTCTTTTCTTCATTCTTTTCATTCTCCTTTTCCTTTTCCTTTTCCTCCTCCTCCTCTTCCTCTTCACTTTCATCATCGTCCTCCTCTTCAAAAATATGTTTGGGCTTGTATACTTCCAACAACGTATCATCTCCAACAGAAATCATCAAGTCACTGATTTGAGGATGAATATCAACAGTACTAACCCTATTGGTATGGCCACCATGAATAAACTCCAAACATGGATCCACCTTGGTGATGTTATTTCTACGTCTGGAGTTTTCATTAACATCTGTAGGATAAACAAACTCTTCATCCAAATTATTCAAGTTCCAAGTTAAAACTCGACGATCCAACCCCCATGAATATAAGGAATCTCCATGTTTATGTTTATCCCATAATATTCCAAATACACTATCTGTATGACCAAACAATTTCCGAATGGGTTTATTGGTATTTCTCATATCATAAATGGATACTATATTATCCTTGCCCCCTTGTGCAAAAATTGTTTTGATTTCTGGATGAAATTGAAACGAGTTTTGTATATGGGAGTTTGTAAGCTTGATCACTGGATTTAAATGATTACTATTATCAACAACTCTAATATCATGGATTTGAGTAGAATAATCATCAGAAACTGAACCAAAAATGTTTTGTCCTGGTTGATTATATGAGATATCATTGATTACGGCATCATGAGTTTTGAAAAGTTGGATTGGGGTAGATGGTTTGCTAACATCCCATAATGCAATCTGAGAATCATTAGCCCCAGATAAAAACTTGGAATTATCTATCCATTCCAAAGCAAACCCTTCTAATTTATGATGACTGAATTCGGTATCTTCTGAAGAGTTGACATTAAACATATGAACCAGTCCATGATTATCAAATGTAAGAAATTTGGTGGAATCTGGTGATACTCTTAAACAGTTGACCTCACCAGGATGAGACCACACACTAACAATATTGAAAGAACTTTTGGTATATTCCTCTTCCAGGGGTACAGGTAATGGCTTGGTATGACCAGGTGCTAAGGTAGCAGGTATTTCCAATTCACCCAATTTAACATAATCTGGAGCATTCAATGAAGTGTTAGTACCATATAAAAACTTAACCTTAATTTTGGAAGTATCATCAGAAACAGAATACCCTTCAAGCCATTTCACTGCTAAAGATGAATATTCTAAGGCATGAGTATGAATATAGTCATACAACACAGGCACCAGTTTCTTCCATAGCTTGAACTCCTCGTTGGTGACTTTTTCTTTTGTCTGATAATCGTAGACAATCTGCTTCTCAGCCAAGGCGAGATCACTAGTTGAGATAGTCATTAGGGGTACGTGAATGAAGAACGAAGGAGAAGAAGAAGATACGGTTAGTCTGAAGTTTGAGATTTGCGATAATCAAAAGTAAGTTTAATCGTTCTGAAATGTACGTCTACATCCGCGTAAAAATGAGTATGCCTCTTACAAATGTACATACATACATACTTATAAATCATATGTTTGCCATGTTACCTACATCGTCCTCTTCTTCCTGAGGATCAAAGTAACTGCTGAACGTATAGATCGTTCCGTAAATAAGCATCCCACCCAATATAGTCAAATACATGGCTATATGTGATAATATGTGCAGATGATATAACAAGATTGGAAGATATAAACCAGTAATCACAAGGAAGGCAGAAATGAATTGACCTGCTTCCACAGCAAAATTGGCAGAGTTGCCAGAAGCAGGATCGAAAGTAAAATCATAATCAACCGATGCAGCCAATGCCTTTGTAATACCCGCTGGAAGATGAGCAGAAGCAAATATTAATCCATCAATTATAGGGAACCAATTACCTTGAATGCATGCTAAGACAACCAATAAGAATCCAAAGGCAAGAATCACAGAAAGTCCTATGATTCTATTCAATGGGTTTGAGCGATATTCATTGAAGTTCATGATATTAGTTTACAATACCCGTAACTAACGGCAATTAGCGGAAGTAGGATCTGTAACCCTTCATCAATTTAACGATAGGAGGTCGTGCAGAGGACAATATAGGAAGTAATTATCATCCCAACTACAGTACCACTAGTACTACCAGTACAGTGCTACTTTGTTGTTAATACAGTCATTACCCATAATGTACTCTGAATTGACCACTCCCAACATACTCAAACCATCTGAAAGAACCAATCCTCCCGGGTTTGAAGGCTCCTCCATCGGCGAAACAATCAAGATGATCTCTGGTGATGTTAACGTGGATAAGAACCAAGTACTTGAGTTAAAGAAGAAAAAGATATGGGAAATAGCATATGCTCCTGCTAAGGCTATTCCTATGCAATTAATCATGGGATATTTTATGGGTAACGGGTTACAGATCATTCCTATTATGATGACATTCAACTTACTTATAAGTCCGTTGAAAGCCATTTTTATGGAGACGGGTCCAGCGTTTGCTCCTTTTGAAGATACTCCTGGATTACATGTTGAAGTAGGAACAGCAAAATTCATGTTTATAGTATGTCAATTATTGAATATGAGTATTGGAATATATAAGTTGTATGGAATGGGGTTGATTCCCCATACAGAATCTGACTGGCTTGATTGGAAGCATATAGTGGCAATTAAAGAGAGTATAGTTGTTACATAACTTAACGTGCATGTTTGTAAATATGTTTGTTGTATAGTAAGAGGCTGGAAGTAATGTCTATATATGAATGTATGCATTTATGTATATATGTATATCGTTTATATGTATATCGTATATATGAATGTCGTATGTATGCAAGTCGTATATTTATGCTTCTTCCTTCGGATTAACTCTTGACAAACTATTATCATCTTCTGAGTTCTTCTCATAAATTTGCTGTAAGTTATATCTTTCTAATCTTTCATAGTTACTCACAACACTCATACCAATGTTACTCTTGAAACATTCCACCAAAATCAATTTATCATAGTTTTTCAAATCAACTTTATGTCCATGATCTCTGCCCACACACTCCGCAATGTTTTTGATGATCTCATCTCTGGGGATAACATTGAAATTCCGTTTGGTTACTTGGATAGCAAACTTCAAAGGTTGTTGATCCTTTTCTTTGTGGAAATGAGGTGCCAATACTTGTTTGGCCAACTTCTTTAGCTCATCAATTGAGGCACTAACCGAATCAACTATAGGTGTAAGTTTTTGAGTGTATCGAGTAGACTTTTGTTTAGAATCAAGGCATTCCTGACATATTTTCTCTACAAATACATCTGGTTCAATTGGACGTTTTGTTTTCACAAACACCAAACTTCCACAACCCAAATCAACGGGTTTAAGAAACACCTTCTTGGAATTAGAATTATCTTTAAATTCTGCCAATTCCTTTTTGATCTCATCTTCAATGTCAACTTCTGCCGGTGCCTCTGCGTCTCCTTCTGCGTCTGCTTCTTCTGCCTCGTCTTTAAAGGCTTCGAGATCGTAGTACTCTTCTAATTTCTGAGAGAAAAGATTCAAGAGTTCCTTTTTGCATTGCAGTTCCTTTCCCTTCATACAAGTGGCATATATACCTTTGGTACCCGGGTCTATGAACCCACTCGATTTGAACTTTTTATGGGCACCTCCACCGTCACTTCTTGACCTCTTTCCCATAGTGGTAGTATCAACAGTAGAGTAGTAGTAACAGTAGAAGTAGTAGTTTGGTAGTCCCGATATGGTGATGCTCTTCGCATATTGAAACTGGTAAGTGCGCAGACCAAGACTTTAACCGAGACTGCCAACAACAGTACGTAAGTGTACTATAGTATCGTACTACACAAGTAGTACTATCGTATCGTACTACAAACTGTTGATGGAATCGTTACCCGACGAATTATGGGAGTCCATGGCTCGGAAGGGCTGGGTTAGCCTAAAGGATATGGTGGCTCTCACTCATACTTGTACTGGACTTAGAAGCTTGGTTGGACGTGACTCAATTTGGACAGCCTTAATGGAGACGGAGAAATGGAAAATGTTAAGGACCGATTATGGCATTGAAGAGAAACAGAAAGAAAACGATGATCTGATTTCAGCATTCGACAAGGCATTGCTCCATTTACAGCAACAGCACGAGTTCCAAAAGCAATTGGCTCAATATGAGTTTGGTGACCAGGTATCAATCAACAACATGATCCAAGCTTATGGCGTGGGCACAGACAGCTTGTCGATATTACGAAAAGCAGTAGACTCGCTTCAGGCTCAGTTGAACTACAATTTGTACCGCAGAGGGAGGCACGATATCTCCAAGCTCAGCTTATGCGTAAACCTTTTGTTAGTCAACCACTTTACGTTGGGACTTGAAGCAGTCTTATTTGACGACAACGAATTCGACATCGACAGCGACAAAGACTTGGAAAGAACGTATTTCTATCTCGGTTTGTTTGATAGGGCTTCGTATAAGCTAATCCCACTGAGAGCAAAGATGTTGACTCTCATTGGCAACAGGATCTCGGCTTATATAAGAAGCTACTCTTCTCAACTGATAGACGTTCAAATCTATGCCAACGAGATCATCTTCTCTCGTGACAAGAATTATTCTGTCTTCCTTAATGCCATGGTTAGAATTGTTTTAGATACGCTCTTCTCCGGCAACCCATTCCATGACGATGATCATGATCACCACGGAGATGCCATTGACCCAACAGCTGAAGACTATAGTATCCTCAGAGTATACGGCAAGCAAGCAAGAGGACATTACCAAGTTGTGTATGCAATTTTGGCCAAATGCCTCAAGGAAAACGTCTTCAACAAATACAAGATCACTATCACCAAAACCAATACTTCCCAGTACATTCCGGTTAATGTACGAAAGTATGTGTTGGAAATCGGAAACCATGCTTTCTTGCATGCTCTGCTCGAGGACACTACCAGTGGTTGGATAGTGGTGAAGAAAAGAGATACCGTGGGCACTCTACCTCTATCAGCGTACTTACCTTATACCGGTGAGAAAGCCATAGAGGAATGGTATGATGGAAGAGAATCTTATACCGACTATTATACTGATGATCGTGATTTCTTCTACGAGAATAGTGGAATCATTCCCAACCTGATGAACATTAATACTGATGTCTTTAGGTTGATCCAAGGTGTGGTAGAAGCTTCTAGGGACGACGGTATTGGCGGATACTTTGAACCCGAAAGCTTGTGTGCCTTGTATTTTGATCCCCTTTTAAGTGTTCTTAATAGTGGTAGGATCAAGCCTCGTTATAAGACGGCATGTGAGATTCTCTGTAAATCACTGGAGGCAGATAAGCGTAAATTAAACTGGTCTCAGGCAATAGGAATAAAAGATAAAAGTAATGGTATTCGACCTGTTGGTCAAATAGTGGGGTCAACTTATAATTGGACTGTCGGTGTTGTTATGGGAGATAGGGGAAATCGTGGCCAATATCTTAATCTCTATACCACCACTGGTGAAATGGAAGTTGTGATTGAAAATTCCGAAAGTATATTAGGCATTGAATACCTTCTTCAATCTGAACATGAAATTTTTCTACATATACTTGAAGTTGGTGGCATTGATGAGTTAGGATTCCGTTATTTCGATTCCTTTGAAGTACTGAATGAGACTACTTCGTTGGTACCAGGTAAAGTAGAAGATATTGTCAATTTAGACCAATTGAGCATATCATAACTATCTTCAGTATTTGAGAATCATAACTATAATTGTGCTTTGGGTGCAAAAAGTTGGAAGATCTTGGTATTGATCAGGAGTTATAGAAAAGTGGTAGTGGAGTAATAGTAACAATGAAACAATGGTGTTGGTGAAGAAATGCTGGTGGTATTAGTAGTAGTAGTAGTGGAGTAATGGTATTACCTAATGGGAGCGCGACAATGCAACTCTTACATCAAGTCACTGAATGATCTCCACATTTCATATTTCCTCTATGACGTTATCATGGAGGAATCTCCAGTGAGGTATGGGAGCCTAATGCCCTCAATGGCTGCATCAGCTTAAATGATACGGTGGCTCTCTCACATGCTTGTACTTAGAAGCTTGGTTGGACGTGGCTCAATGTGGACAGCCTTAATGGAGATGGAGAAATAGAATATGTAAAGGATCGATTATGGTGTTGAGGAGAAGCTTAATGATGATAATGATGATAATGATGATGATCTGATCTCAGAATACTACAAGTAATTGCTCCAATAAGAAATCAGCGTTTGTTCTGGAAGCAATAGAAGCAGTATGGGTTTGATGGTTTGCAATTGATCAAAGGTATGAATAAAGCATGATAAAGTTTATCGATATCACGAAAAAACAGCAGATGACCTTATAAAAGGGTACTCCTTTTTTTTCAACGGTTCCATGTTCAAATCTATGATGATGAAATAATGATAAAACGTATTTCACCTTAATTAATGTGGTGATTCAAATTGCATTTAGTATTTCTCCAGGAACCCTTTCTATGATTTTTGAGCTCTATATTCCATTGACTGAAGACTTTAGTATTTTCAGAATACACGAAAAAGTAGCAAGATGTCATTATCATCTTCTTTTGCTATTTTGACCAAATGCCTCAACAAGAGAGTGTATTTAATAAATACAAGACCACCATTATCGAACCCAATGCATGATGATATCAATGATCCTAATGAAGGCTGAAGGTTGGTGGAGAAATCACAAGTTACTGACTTTTTACCTTCATCGTCCTTCTTAACACTGACGTCTGCAAATTTGCCATAACTGAATGGTGTGTATGCAGAGCTTCCCACAAACACTATCTTACCGATGATGGACAATTTGGCTGTAGGACCAACTGGTAACTTGGAAATCTGATTTTCATTAATAATTATGTTTTCATCATGATCCTTGAAGTAGTAGAAGCAGTTAGGGGTTCGGGCGTAGGTCCACTGTTTGAACTTGTGGGATCCATTCATAATTGGACTCTAGGCCTTGTAATTGCAGTTGATTTAAGGAACAATCGGCGTCAACTTTATATTGCCATTTCAAGGCCACGCTAGTACCGGGCCAATTGGTATAGAAGTACACATTTTTTTTGCAGCATTCCGATGTTTAAGAAAGGAAAGTATGCATCAAACCAATAAATTCAATCCCTTTTCCAAGTAGTCGTCATCATCATCATTCATTTGTGATAAGCTTGTTTTCAGTTTATAGTATCAGTTCATTGGTATACTTCTAAGCTTAGTTACACTTTGTAAATGACAAGTGCGACATTGAATAGACTTTGGGTGGCCCTGGATAGCACATTAATGGACCCCACAGAGTCATCATAGATTTTATAACGACATCACAGACATTATAACGACATCACAGACATTATAACGACATCACAGACGTTATGAAAATATCACAGACTTTATCGTAAACCAACAGCATTGCTGATGGTGCTTCAGTTCCCACCGTTACACAAAACCGACCTGGAACCAGATTTTTCACTGTTATGTGGAGCAAGACAAGCAACTCTGATAAAGAAACTCCTTGCTTAATGATAGCATGAGGCTGTATTTAAGGACAGGTGCCAGGCTGAAAACAGTATGGGAAACGCTAAGAAGAAGCCAAAGCAGTCGTGCCATAATTGGTATTGATTTGGGAACCACTAACTCCGCCGTTGGAGTGGTACGGGATGGAAAAGCTTCGATCTTGGAAAATAATGAAGGTCAACGAACCACACCATCAATTGTGGCATTCCAAAAGGATAAAGGCGATAATGTTATAGTAGGGAATGCAGCCAAACGGCAAGCGTTGGTCAACTCCAAGAATACCTTTTTCGGTACCAAACGGTTAATTGGTCGGAGATTCAGTGATGAAGAAGTACAACGAGATATCCGTATGGTGCCTTATAAGATTATTGCTGGGGAGAATGGAGAAGCATGGGTGGAGACTTCTTACGGCACAAAGTATTCTCCAGCACAGATTGGAGGGTTTATATTGGATAAAATGAAACAGTTTGCACAACAGCAATTGGGATCCAAAGTCAATCAAGCGGTGGTGACGGTGCCGGCATATTTCAATGATTCACAAAGACAAGCAACGAAACAAGCAGGTACTTTGGTTGGTTTAGAGGTGGTTCGAGTCATCAATGAGCCCACAGCAGCAGCATTGGCCTATGGAATCGACAAAAAGAGAAAAGATGGCACTGTTGCTGTTTTTGACTTGGGAGGAGGGACTTTTGATATTTCCATTTTGGATATCGAAGATGGTGTCTTTGAAGTCAGGGCAACCAATGGTAACACCCATTTAGGGGGAGAAGACTTTGATATCGTGTTGTTGAATTATATTTTGGATGTGTTTAAGAAGGAGAACAATGGACTAGATCTTTCCCACGATACGTTGGCCGTACAAAGGATTCGAGAAGCTGCCGAACGATGTAAGATTGAGTTATCACATGTGAAGAAGGCCGAGATCAACTTACCTTTCATCCACGAAGATAAGCACTTAAACATCACCATTACTGAAGATCAATTGGACTCCATGACGATGTTTTTGATTGAACAGACCATTGAACCCGTCAAGAAGTGTATTCGAGATTCCGAGTTGAAGGTGAGTGACATCGATGAGGTGATCTTGGTGGGAGGGATGACGAGAATGCCCAAGATCCGTCAAGTCGTTGAAGAGTTGTTCAAGAAGAAACCCAGTACAGCCGTGAACCCTGATGAAGCTGTTGCTCTTGGAGCTTCGATTCAAGGGGCAGTGTTAGCAGGACAAATCAGTGATGTTGTTCTATTGGATGTGACCCCCTTATCGTTAGGGATTGAGACCTATGGAGGGATCTTCAGTCCCTTGATCCCCCGGAACACTTCCGTCCCTATCAAAAGGGAGCAGACGTTCTCCACAGCTGTTGATGGCCAAACAGGTGTGGAGATCAGTGTTTATCAAGGAGAAAGATCACTAGTGAAAGATAACAAATTGATAGGCCAATTTAAGTTATCAGGGATCCCCCCGGGACCTAAGAGCACTCCCAAGATAGCAGTCACATTTGAAATCGATGTTGATGGGATATTGAATGTGACTGCTACTGATAAGACCCCATACCCCGAAGATCATCCTTGTTTTGGCAAGCCCAATGCTGTGTCGATCCAAATGGCGGGAGAAACCGGGTTGACTCAGGAAGATGTTGATCGACTTCTTGCCGAAAGTGAGGCGAAGAAACAAGAAGATGCTGCTCTCCGAAGTCACTTCGAGAATGCTTCACAGGCCGACATCTTGTGTACTGATGCTGAGAATGCTGTGGACCAATTTGGGTCGCTTATGGACCAATCCGAGAGAGACGCTATCAACAAGATCATAGCGCTGATCCGAGAAAAGATATTGGATATAAGAGAAAGAGGAATTCTACATGATCAACAGGAGATACGTAACGAAGTGGAGACATTGAACCAGACATGTCTTGAAGCTATAAAGAATGTCGCAAAGAGACAACAGCAAGCAAAGTAATTGTATATAATAAGAATATGATGTATATAGCGAAAGTATTTGATATGTTGATGTTGTTATGATGAGATTTACGCGGTGGTGATGAGAATTACGTCGACGATATAATTATATTTCTATCTACTCATTGGTATCCATTTTATCTTCTTCAGGTACCTCGGTTGGTTCCAGGCCATCTTTATTTTCACCATCATCTTTGTTATCATCATCACCATCATCACCATCATCATCGTCGTCACCATCGTCGTTATTTCTTTGGTTGGAAACAGAATCCAACTTATCTAACCATTGCTGTACATCCTCATTATCATAGGTGGTGAACTTGGTATCGACCCCAACCACACTGACCGAAGTATTCTTAAACGTCAACTCAACATCTTGAGATAACGTGTCTCTAAGTGCATTCAACCCATGCACTATCAAGGCTTCCACCGACTCCGACTCACGAATTACATCAACGTTCCGTTCTAAATAGGTTCTGGCAGCCTGAGATCTGGCCCCAATCAGCGCACCATAGTATTCCAACACCGATCCTGAAGGTTGGAATTCATACAAATGAGGTCCTGAGTCATCGTACCCAGCAATCAACATCCCAACACCATATGGTCGTTGCCCATACATTTGAGTGTTTTCTTGAGCCTTATCAGCTATTGAAAACACCGCTTGGTGTACTGGAAGTGGTCTATCAAACATCATCTTACTGGTCATTGCTTCTCTACGTAAAAAATTGGACAACACCCTAGCATCAGGCGCCAACCCTGACAATGCTATACCCATATGATCATCAACAGTAACAATCTTTTTCTGGTATGATCCAAGCTCTTCAGCATTCCTTTTCAACGCACACAACACAACATGTTTCTTTGACGTCAACCCTACCGCGGCACTGCCCTGTTTGATGGCCTCCAAAGCATATTCAATCTGGAATAACCGTCCCGTGGGCGAGTATGTGATGGCGTCGTTATCGTAGTTGTTTCTGAACATCCCAATTGGTTTGTATGGTTGAGAGTGGTGGTACCCTGTGCTTGTTACCGCCACTCAATTTTACCTTTGACCATTTTTCGAGTACTGCAGGTAGTGGCTCTACTACGCTATACTACCGTTAGTCTAGTAATATATTATACTAGTACAACTACACTACAACACTGGTACTACACTACACTGTAACATAGAAGTACTGGTGTGGCCTGTCTATCTCACTACGTTCTATATGCATGCAACTTCTCCATAGTATAAGCATCGGTGGATGAGATGGCTGTCTGGAACAACTCACTAGATAGTGTCTGCTTCAATGACGTTAGCGTATCATGGATTAACCTAGACACCTTGACAGTATAAACCAGATCACTTCTTTCAAGTAAAGATTTGTACCGGATGTTTTCTCCATGAGGTGCAATGGTTGGGTCAAGATAATTATAATCATTAATATCTTCGTAGACGAAGTCGTGATCATATAAATTAACAGCGGATTCTCCATCTTCGTTGAGTTCTTCCATGAAAAGAAAGGCATATTTTATGACTGTGGGCCACAATTGAATAACGATAGATGAACCTTGTTTGAGTCCAAACAGTGTGAGGGAAATTAACCCCACAAGATTCGATTTCTTATTACGGGGATTCCCATTACTCTTATAGTAATCGACCCACTTAGTCAAGAAAGGCTCTTTATCAATGGATAAATGGTTCAAAATATTGAAAAAGGTTTCGGGAGACTTTTGAGCCAATCTTGATAATACAAGAAACGCTTTATTGGCTGAAACTACAGCTTGTTTCTCATCAATAGCATAATGGACTAAAGCACTGAACAATCCACTGGAAATCAAATTATTAAGGAATAATTGATTATCACCACATTCAAGCATTAAAATATCCATCAATGCTATGAAAATAGCCAACGAGTCGTCTCTCATATTCGACAAATATCCACTCAAGATTCGAAACAACTCCAATGCCTCTTCACTTTGGAACAATTGCGGTGATATTAAGGAATAACTTCGGATAATGGACATAACTATAGGTAAGGATTCAGTACCTTCAAGTAACCCCATTCGAATCAATTCAAAAAGATTAAGAATAATTTGATTGTTAATCTCTGATTGGGGACAATACTGTAGGACTGATAACCATAACTCATAACCATCTTCACCAAGCAAAGAATAGTTTTCGGAGTTCCCCGAAGCACAACTAGCTTTAATTAATGGTAGACATATGGAATATGCTGCTGGAGATTTCTCATTCAAGGTCACCACAAGACTTTTAAGAACCCTTAGCAATGCAGTTTTCAATATCATTTCGTTAGTATCAGTTGACATTTGCCAAAACCCGGGAACAATGGCCAATACTTGCATTAAAGTATCAATTGGAACCAATGGGTTACATCTTTCCAAAACCATTGCTAAAGTATTTAAGATAAACAATTTAGATTCTGTGAAGTCCATCTCATCAAGCATGATTAACGATAATTGAATGAAATCATTAATATAAGGTTGAATATCCACCTTTTGAAAATCCCAATCATCAATAACACTTTTCAATGTTTGAATGGCCGTAAGTTTAACAACTTTATCATTTAATAGTTTATTTTGTGGATCCATTAATGTCACCAAAAATTTATAAATTGAAAGACGACTTTGTCTAGAGCAATCCACAGATACCCATTCGCTTATTATCAAACATACTCTTCTTTTAATAATTTTATTTTCCACCATATCGTTGTTTAATCCTTGAGGAATGAAGATTTGCGTCAATAATTCATCAAAATTGACGTTATTGGCAATGGAAGTGGATGATAATTGGAAAGTACTAAAAATGGAATCCTTAACCAAAATATCTTCAACATTATTATTTTTAACCAACCCATTGGAGATCTTGTTCAATACAAAGTCAGTCAAGATATCCTTGAAGAAACTAATTAAATCCTGAAAGAAGTTTTCGGCACAAGGTCTGATTTGATATTCCCAACTCTTGGAAAGTTCTTCATTACACCATTCTTCCGGTTCCAATTGCCAGCTTTCCAAATCACAAGGTTTCAATTTAAGATACCAGTTGATGATAAGATCACATAAATGTTGAACCACCTGAGGAGTAAAGAACTCTGTTGATAATTTTTTAATTGCCATGTTGACTTCCTCCTTTTCATTGCGTTGCTTTAAAACAACAGCTCCTTTCTTATAAATATATGCAATGATCTTCTTCAAGATCATAAACCCCTTCAATGCCAAAGTTTCCCAGAAATCATTTTCTTCTTCATTCGAATTGTAAATGACCTCTGCCTTCAGTTCCAACAAGCTTAAAAATGTCGTTAAGATGTCTTGAGAACATGGCAATAGCACGAAACTCGTGGGATTTACACTAATAAGATTATAGTAAACTTTACTATAACATTTCACGTACCGTTCTAGTAAATCTGAGGAATACTTCTCATGTTCAACAACAAGCAATTGTAAATGAGCAATGGATACCTTTAAGAACTCCACAATATCAACGTTCTTATGAGGCTGTTCGAAACCTTCAGGAATCAATCTTCTCAAGTTCTTTAGGCATAAATAACACACTTCCATTAAACTAAGATCAATGGTTTGGGTCCATTCTTGAAAGAACTTGATATATAGTCTAACCAATATGGGAACCACCAATGGTGCTTTGCTCTGCATTGCGTGTCTTGCTCTACCAATTCTAACTTGTGAAACAGTCTTGATGATCTGATTCAATATTATAAGCAAATTGTTGGTGGAAACAAGATCATTCTTGCTGAACACTAAATCTTCCAAATACTGAACGATATCATCAAATAATGTGGGCCATTCGTTGGGGAAATCAAACCTAACAATTCGTCCAATCAGATGGGCATTCTGGATAGTTAATTGGTTGTTCTTCTCACTCAACAGCATAAAAACTCGACTCCGGATTTGCTGTTTCTCCTCTTTGCTGATAGCATTTTGTTTACTGCTTCTCCAATACTTGTCTATGCCGTTCTTAAAGCATAATATAGCAAGCCAACGTTCTTGTAGTGGAACTTCGGTCTTTAGGTACACCTCCTGTAATAAATAGTGGTATCCTTGTTGGACCTCCCAAATCTTCAACTGTGCCTCGGCTTGCTGCTGTTGTTGATTTCTTTCCCCATTAGCAAGACTCAACACAGTAAGTAGGTTCGGATACAGTAGCTCCATTCTTTGTATGGACAAGGAGTTTGTGCTGATGCTCATCGTAGGCCATCATCAATAGGTCGTTTGTATGGTAGACAGAACCCAAACAGGTTTTGTGTAACTACCACTAATACACCCTGCTACTTGCTCTCTAACTAGGGAAGACTATACAAAGTCTATATAGCCTATACGTACTTATTTCCATCTGTTGGATTCATCACCTTCTGCCCAGTCACGTTCTTGGTATCCCAATATTTGTTTAACCTTTTCAACAGTTGCGGGATCACCCATATTCTTTCCTAAATTATCACTTATCTTCACTGCATGATTACCATTAGCTTCAAGCAATTTAATAACAATATTTAAAGGTTTTGATTTCTGCTTGGGATCCAGAACTTTGAAGAAATCATTGGTGAAAAATGTCCCAACACCAAAAGTCGCCTTTAATCCAAGCTGGTCACTAATCTCTTTGTAACGTTCACATTTCTCCACATTCAATGAATCACTAAAACAAACAACTTTACTACCCTTAGGTAACTTCAACTTTTCATAATAGTGATTTGCAATTTTAGCTGCAAACACTGCGGGATCTCCCGAATCTTGCCTAACACCAGCATAGTAATCCGAATAAGGGGGATTGAAAACTTTTAGATATGAATCGGTACCAAATGTATCTGTAAGAGCAAGACCCGCATGTGCAATACCAAATGTGTCTATCCAATAGTCCATTGCAATTTTGTTTGCATTAGGGTAATCTTGAGTAATTGCTGCAATTCCCATGTACCATTCATGAGCAACTGTGCCAATTGGAGTCAAACCATATTTTTTGGCTAACAATACATTGGAAGTTCCAAGAATATATTTGGAAACTTCAGGATGTTCTTCACTATAAGCTTTTATGGAACCAACAACAATATCTTGGGTTTTAAAGGATCTTCTTCTTCTGGTACCGAATTCACTAAAGGGACATTGACGACTACACAATTCTCTTGCCTTGCCAGTTGCCAATTCTACTTGGCCATCGTAGTTCCAATCAGTATCAACAAATTTGAAATACGCTTGTGAAATCAATGCCAAAATCGGTATTTCATATAAAATAGTCTCAGCCCATGTACCATTTATTTCAATACCAAAATTTGGGGGATCATTGATGTTCTTGAAAGTAACTTGTTCTTTGGGATGTAATTGATATGTTTTCAAGTAATCCAAGTAATTCTTGGGGAGGTATGGTACTGCTTTCTCCAAATAATTAATTTCGTCTTCATTGAACGATAGCTTTTCCAACAATTGAATTTGTTTCATTAACCATTCAATGGCAGCTGAACTTAAAACCATATCCGGGGTTCTATTGGTGTATTTGTATACCACAGGCACATTTACAAAGTGGTTGTATACCACAGCATGCATGGTGATCTTGTACAAATCTGTATCAAGAAGGGAAGTAATTATACCAGTAATCGACATCTTCAGTATTAGCGTAGTATGAAGAAAGATCAAATAGGAAACATGTGGTTATCATTAACCCAACTCCCCTTAAGAAATGAGTCAACACCACCAATTTGCGGGTGATCACGTGACAACTCTAGTTCATCTACAAGTGAATGTGTCCATAATAATCCATTAATAAATGGACTATAAACCTCCGTAAGAAAGCTCATCTTTGGCTTGACATATCTCTCAGGTGCTTACCGAAGAAATGGCTATAGAAATTTACAACTAGAATTGCGCTTACTTATGAATGAATGTACATGTCTGAGGTGTAATAAGTAAGTTCAATGAACAATGCACATGCTTACTAGTCCATATGGAGCAACAACTGCTTATGCCATAAAAGCCAAACCATCTTATGACTTGCGTATATGCCCCCTTCTGAGGAGGAAAAGAAGAGTTGTCAAATCTATATATTGGCAGTCTTATTCGAGTTTATATGCTCTTATTATTTGCAACCACTTCTCTGTGTCACACACGACATCTTATCTCTAAGTAAATTTGAGACCACTAGCATGGTAATTTAATGGCCGACACAAAACCAAAAATCAAAATTGAAAAAATTCAAAGTGAAAAGTGTACATGCACACGACCACAATCTAAGTCTGTATAATGAAAAATTTTTCACCCCAAAGTAATACCAAGTGATGGAGTGAAATATATTTGCACTGACTATCTTCTTTTCTTCTTCTTTTACTCGTCAACACACAATCAGCAAAAATGGCTTTCCACAAGGCTTTGAAGAGTTCTGCTTACCACTCCCGTTTCCAAACCCCCTTCCGTAGAAGACACGAAGGTAAGACCGATTACTACCAAAGAAAGAGATTGGTTGCTCAACACAAGGCTAAGTACAACAGTCCTAAGTACAGATTGGTTGTTAGAATCACCAACAAGGACATCATTGCTCAAATCATCTCTTCCCAAATCACTGGTGATATTGTTTTGACTGCTGCTTATTCTCATGAATTACCTCAATACGGTATTACCCGTGGTTTGACCAACTGGTCTGCTGCTTATGCCGTTGGTTTGTTGGTTGCTAGAAGAGCTTTGCAAAAGTTGGGCTTGGACGAAACCTACACTGGTGTTGAAGAAGTTGAAGGTGAATACGAATTGGTTGAAGCCGTTGAAGATGGTCCAAGACCATTCAAGGTCTTCTTGGACATTGGTTTACAAAGAACCACCACTGGTGCCAGAGTTTTCGGTGTCTTGAAGGGTGCTTCTGACGGTGGATTGTACATTCCTCACTCTGCTAACAGATTCCCAGGTTGGGATATCGAATCCGAAGAATTGGATGCTGAAGTTTTGAGAAAGTACATCTTTGGTGGTCACGTTTCCGAATACATGGAAGAATTGTTGGATGACGATGAAGAAAAGTACAGAACTTTATTCAAGTCTTACCTTGCCGATGAAATCGAAGCTGACGATGTTGAAGGTCTTTACGAAGAAGCTCATGCTGCTATCAGAGAAAACCCAGTCTTCAAGCCAACTGAAAAGAAGTTCACCAAGGAGCAATACGCTGCTAACTCCAAGAAGTACAGACAAGTTAGATTGACCAAGGCTGAAAAGCAAGCTAAGATCGACAAGGCTATTGCTGACTTCCAAGCTGCTAACTAAATTAGTTGATTCTTATCTAAGTATAGCTCATATATAACCTTTAAGAATACCAAGTTAGTTAAAATAGAAATTGTAATTGTAATATTGCTATACTTCATTGGCATCCATGAACATTTGATGATTAATGTTGAATTCTCGTTTATGTAATTCACCTTCTTCTTCCTTCAATTCTCTATCATGTTCACTTGTTTGTGATAACGATCTCATAAGAACTGGCCTGCCTGTCATATTGTCAATAGTTGCTTCCTGTCCATCAACATTTGTGGTGACAACATCATGAGGTATGACTGTAGGCTCAGACAGTTGAGGTGGGTTAGCTGTAACGTCTGATATCCGAGGATAGAGAATAGGTAACAGAGCAAGTAATTCTTGAGACTTGCGCAGTTGTTGCTGAGATAAGAACGGTGGATCTTCAGAACTTGTACTGTCACCCTGTAATTTCATGTGAGACAAATCTTCCTTTGGGACAGTAGTGTTAGTAGTAGTGGCAGTTGTTGCATTTGAAGTAGCAGTAACTACAGCAACACCAGAAGATGCATCTGCCCCAACAGTAGGCGGAGAAACCAATGACTTACCATCGACATCAAGTCTCAAAAGAGTATTGTTTCCAATTATAGAAGCAATAGCAGGATGCCTGTTAGTTATGGCTGGACCACCATTAACTGGTGTTGCTCTTGAAGAATTACCTGCTAAAACATTTGCCAAAACAGAAGCAGAAGTACTTGGAGAACTGCTATTGTTTGCTTCATCAATTGAGATTGACGGCGATAAGGGAACAGAACTTGTCATGGTAGCATGCTCTTTAAATAATGTAAAGACATTATCTAAAGATGAATCCAAAATACAGTACTTCAATAAAGTATCTGATTCGCTGGCTGTTAAACCCAGAGATTCCTTCTTAGCCAATAAGATGTCTATATTATTATGAATCTTCTTTCTTATTACCAGAGTTCTTTCAATGATGGCATCATTTAATATCTTCATCACCTTAGGGTTATCAGTCTTACCCTTTTCATTCAATAGTTTCTCTGCTGTTTCCATCATGATACTTCCATCATATAATAATTCTTCATCGTCTTCTTCGTGTTTAATATCGGAAACATAGGTATGGTTGATCATAGTGTATTGCATGTTCTTCATCAAATAAAACGCTATTCTCTGGGCCAATTCATCTGGAATCAAATCATAATCCAAATCTAAGGCAAAAATAGATCTCAGTTCCTTTAAGGCAGTATAAATAATCGCAGCAGCTGATTCAGTCAATTCTCGATTACCTAAGAAGGAAACATGAACCAAAGTCTTAATATGAGGTAAGATATTGGCCAAAGCAGCAATCAGTTTAGGTGATAATTCATTTAAATCAAAATGAATTCTCCTCAAGTCCACAAACATCGGTAAGAACTTAGATAAATACGGTATAATCTTGGGGAAAATCCCGGGGTTGGTACTCAAGTCCAAAAACCGTATGGTTTTCACTTGTGATAAATTCTTCATCAATTCAATAGTTTGAGGAGAGTATTGTAAATTGGTCGAATTCAATGAAAGGAATTGAAGTTTTGTATCATCAATATGACTTGATAATCGATGGTTAAAGTATTCAACATGAGGCTCCAAATCATTGAATCCAATATCTAATCCAATACATTTTGAATCTGGAGCAGTTACCCAATCAATAAGTAATTTAAACTTATGAGCATTCAATTCTGTCGAAGCTATCCCCAATCTTAGGGTAACTTTCCGGATAGTGTGAAGCAATTGTTCAAACATGAAATCAGATAATTTACAACCGTTCAATACCAATTCTGGCATACCACCACGATACGTTAAAGCCATGAAGAAAATTTCCCAATTCATTTTGGATCTTAAAGTACAATTTTCAGAAGTCTTTAGTCGTTGTTGGGAGATATCCAACTTCCGAAGGGATTTATTCTTTTGTAAAAACTTACAAAGAATCAACCAACCTTGGGTATCTATAGGGACATTTCTAAGGGATAATTTCTCCAAATATGTTGATGAAACAAGTGATCCTAATAAATGTTTCAACATCTCAGTGGTCATGGTGACATTATCAAAAATTATAGTATTAATAGGAGTAATGGCAATGAAATCCAGAAAGGAAAGAACGTCAATCAATGTAGGTTTTGGATTAAGTAATTTTAAAACTTGTAATGGCTTCAGTTTATTCTTCACTTGCTTTAAAGTTGCCGGAATTGGTAAAATCTCTCGTAAATGACAGCAACGAGTATAAATTTGATCTAATGTTGCTTCTTTGGTGGCAATAGGATCATGATCATCACCATCAATATCTGGACCAATTTCTTCGCCTTCAAAGTGTTTCTCATGGACATGTAAAGGTTTATCGATTTCCTTAATATTCAATTCAATTTCATCTTCTTCCACAGGCACATTGATATCATTCTTAGACCATTTATGTTGGCTAACTTCAGCAGCAACTTTCCTCGCAACCAAATGTGCTTCATGAGCATGAGATTCGGCTTCCATTAAAGCTCTTCTATGGTTCTCAATGATAGTGGCTATTTCTTGGGAAGAGTATTTGACTTCTTCGGCTTTCTTCTCCAGTGCTGAATCAGAGACACTTATGCCTTGAGAAAGCCTTGGTGGTGGAGCCATAATGTCCTCTGGTATAAGAACATTACCCTTACGAGGCTTCCTTGAAGGTATTTGTTGTTGAGGGTCGTATGCCAACTTGTCCACTGCAAAGCAAACCCTAACCAAAGAAACACTAGCCAATGGATCATTCTTTTGATGATAATGATTATGCTGATGGTGACGTTGCTGATGTTGATGTTGATGTTGATGTTGATGTTGATGTTGATGTTGATGGTGTTGAGATGAAGAGCAATTGACTGAATTCTTTCTTGATGGAGAATCAGATTCATACTGAGACAGTGTTGATCTTCTACGACCAATTCCAAGACCTTGAGGGGGTTTATTCAACTTGGAAAGATCTTGAGATTGACTGGAATCACCTAAATGATTAGGGTTCAACTTGAAGGGGTCTTTGGAACGGGAATCAACAACAACACCCTCTGCTATCGGACCAATGGATGAAGCTTGAGGAGTAGTTGATACCGAAGAAGTCAGTTCTTGGGAAGAGACACTTGATTGTCTTGAAAACTTGGAAGATATCGAGCCAAAAAAAGATCTCTTGACTCCTTCACTTACGCTATTCCTTTTAGGAGCAGCGTTATTAGGGCTTGAACTCAGATGTAACGTTGAGGGAGAAGATGGAGCACCCCCACTGCCACCTCCACTCGCTGAACCTGAACTGCAATCGGTTTCTTGTGCTGCTGGTGGCTGGGAACTCAATGGAGACACGGGGTTGGACGATGATCTTAGACGGCCCAACTTAAACAACTTGGACGTAGCTGAAGCAGAAGAAGCAGACGAAGGCAGTGTACCCAACGGCACGTGAGCGGACAAAGAGTTGTTTGAAGCCACTGAGGCCGTTGATGAAGACGTAGAAGTCATTGAGGAGTTACTCTTGGAGGGAAGCAAATAGGATGGCGTATTTCTGGGTGATATTACTGGATGATGGTGATTATCCAGATTGCTACCGCAACACAGAGATTTCAAGGATGACTTTGTAGGGATTGGGATTGGAGTCGAGGATGCGAGTGATTCATTATGACGAGTCTCATTATAATCTGAACGTGGTGACATCCCATTAGTGGCATTGGTAATGGGAGGATTAATGTTACTGGTATTATTGTGACTGGTCACATTAATATTATTGTGATCTGGGGACCCATCTCTTTCCTTTTCTGATTCCTTCAGTTGACGTTTCTGAAGGATCTCCATCTCCTTTTGGGGTATACAACTTGGCATATCATTAAGCATCTTCTTAGTAAGCTTCTTTGCCTTCCCTCTAAACACCCAATCAACATCTCCATTGGAGACACCACTAGATAGCGGATCTGACATCAGTAGAAAGGAAACTGTTTGATTTAGGAGAGTACTCTTTGCTTTAGGATACTCGTTGGTAGTTGATGTCTATGGAATATCAGAATTGTTGTTGGTTCGTCAAGGTTGATATGGGGACAGCAATTTGAAGCGAACACCCGTACACCACCAAGGAACACAATGGTAAATGGATTCAAAGGATAGTAAGGATAGAAAGAAGTCAAGAAACGTTTAGTAAACCTACTATTAGGAAATTTATTATATCGACTTCTCCTTCCTTGTTATACTGATTAATGTGAGTGATATAGTTGGAGGTTCCGTCGGGTATACCTTGTTCTTTCGCGGTGCACAAATCGGCGAATACAAGCATATGGTACGAGATTGGCCGATACTTACCGATGCTGATTGGATCTGATATACGGCGTACCATAACTACAATACTAATACTATATATGTTGAATTACACTGAATTGCATTGGTAGGCATTGGCATTACTATATTGGTGCTGTGCCATTACTATATTTGGTGTCTGTATGCATCTTTGTAAGATATCTCTACTGTACGGCTTCTGTCTGTCTGTTTGGTGTCCGATGTCTGTCTGTACGGTATCTGTCTGTACGGTATCTCTCTGTACGGTGTCTGTGTGTATGCCATTTAGTGCTTATACCTGCTGTTGTCTTCTAACGCTTCTAACGCCACTAGCTGGCTTAAACCTTTATACTCTTCACCAGGCCAATACAGGATTTAGGATTTATAGGATGGCAATAGACGGACAGTGCACGACTACCTAATCAGAATGTTCTCTTTGACTTCTTCTTTACAAACACAAAAGCGGCGGGAACGGCTATTTGAAGGCACGACACGACCTACCAAAAAAAATGTCTCCAGTGGCTATGAGAGAAAAATTGATATCAAATTTAACATTCCGAAACCGGGGCCGGATGTGATTGTACCATGTGGGTTACAAAAATTAAACAGCGTATGGCAGAGTATGGTACAGAGCATGGAACAGTGTATCTACATTAGTGTGCCGTATAATAACAATGTCGTGACACAGCATGACGCTTTATGATATTGATGTGGTGAGGGGCAAACTCTTGCATCATAAAGATTAGAAGCCCGTTTCTTATTTCTCCGTTATTTTGATTGTTCCATGTGATCTCCGACAGTAGATACAGTAACTCCGGTCCCGTTCTTATTTGATCCGATGACATAACCTCCTTGGGCCAGACTTCTCCTCATCCCATATGCAGGATCTTCTTCTCAATAAATTCCCCACTGATTGCCCTTTTATCTCATACATCAAGCCTGACTCTTTTTCTGAATATATTAATCTCCTTCTTATCACAGTAGAAAATAATTGGTAATTGTGATTAATAGCTTAAATCCGGAACTGTGAATCAATAGGCGTGAATCAATTGTATACGTGAATCAATAAGCCTAACTTCGAGAATCAAATTTTTCAATAGAATTTTCATTAATAATAACAATAATAGTAAGAATATGTTTGGACTCGTGAACGGATTAAGGCAGACTGTTAGAGTTGCTACAAAGGTTAATGCTGCTACCGGTCTCCGTAATGCTCCTCAAATCACCATGACTCGTTTTTATCATGAAAAAGTGATTGATCATTATCAAAACCCTCGTAACGTTGGCTCTCTCAATAAGAACGATGCTGATGTTGGTACTGGACTTGTGGGAGCTCCAGCTTGTGGAGATGTTATGAGATTGCAAATTAAAGTTGATGAAGCCACTGGAATTATACAAGATGTTAAGTTCAAGACTTTTGGTTGTGGATCTGCCATTGCTTCATCTTCTTATGTAACAGAACTTGTTAAGGGCAAATCACTTGATGACGCACTTAAAATCAAAAATACCATCATAGCAAAGGAATTATCTTTACCTCCAGTCAAATTGCATTGTTCTATGTTGGCTGAGGATGCTATCAAGTCTGCTGTTAAGGATTACAAATCCAAGCGCAAGGGTATAAAGCCAACTTTAGGTGCTGAAGCTGCTGCTACTGCTGCTACTGCTGCTACTGCTGCTACTGCTTAAAGCAAGCAGCAGACAAATGGAAGAAGATATTAAAGCAGCAAGCAATGGAAGCAACTTATACATAATTATATAAAGCTATATATATATTCTAATAATTTATTGGTATGGTGATTAATGTTTCTAGTAACTTAAATAGGAAGTAAATGTCTTTGAAATAAACCCACTGGTATCTTCAATCTTCCGTAATCTTGATATCAGAACGGTACCCAATGATAAGACAGTGAATAAGACTCCATAACCAAATCTCTTCCATGCAGCTCCATATTTCCGTTGCATCCAAAGTCCTCCACTAACCAAATGATAACTGCCTATTAAACCAAGTCCAATTAACATACTCCAATTCAACCACAGACCCATGTAATAGCTTACATAATCCAAACTAATCATATTGGAGTCACCATCAACCAATATAGGCACCAACCGGAACTTATAGACATGATAAGCAAGAGGAATGATGGTAAGATATCCACTTAGCGAAATGGGGTTTAACAGAGGCACCACAGTTGATATCCAACTTCTTTTATACCCCAACCCAATTAAAGAACCTATTCCTCCTAGACCAATTGCTGATTCCGATTCATGAACTGGAGTTGAGTTTGACTTAGCCGCCGTAGAAGACTTGTTATTCTTACTAAATATTGACCGAGTGATTCGAATGGCAACACCCAGGGTAATATGCCCTACAATACTTACACCAAGAAGGATATCACCAACGTCATTCAAATATAAAGATCTGGCCATTTCAAACACTTGTTGGGCCACATGCCTTGGGGCCACCGCAGGAAGCAAGCCTACCGAGGCCCAATGGATAGTGGCAAATGATACTACTCCATAAGCAGTTAATCTTTGAACATCTCGAAGTAATGAAGTCCACAGGTATACGCTTGCGCCGTTGATAGAAGACGATAACGGCCCAGACTCACACCCGAGCTCCTCCGGGTCCTCTATAGGAGTTGGAACAACTCTTTCTAGAGATCCTAAACTCATGATATTTGATAGGGGAAGAATGGTTAGTGGGGAATGGGTGATACCGATGACACTTGATGTAAGAGATATGGCTGGTCGGTGCTACCACTTCATAGGAGTAACAATGTGAGAGGAACAAAAGTCGTCAGTCAAGAATTAAACCATAAACAATTAAACCATATTTGTTAACTCTTGTACCTTGGTAGTATTCTGGTGATATCTCCATCAAAATGAACTATTTAATTAACCTGTGACTCAATCGACGATACAGGGACTCAGCAATACAGTGATTCAGCGATACAATAACTCAAAGAACGATATAGTGACACCAGAGATTTCAATAATAAACAATAGTATTTAACATCAACAACCAAAAAACATAGTCTTTTGTACGCCCATAGCATAGCTGTACGTTTAATAGTTGTTCTAGCTTCGACCGGCCCTTGACTTATATCTGTCACTAATTATGGTAGCGCCCACCAAATAGCTATTCCACACACAGACACTTCTCTAAACACACAGCACCTTCCTCTTCAAGACTAATACTGCCTTATACAATACATTCTACGTTACCTTCTGTATACCTCCTCTTATACCTCTGATATTAGCAGGCCCATTCATTCTTTACTCACCACTACTGTATTTTTTGCACCCACTGCATATAATGATTCTGAAAAATTAATCTTGACTCAATCCCAAAATCTACCCCAAGAATCACGTTAGACCAACCACTTTACTCCTATTTAAACACTTCCACACAGCTATATATACACGTATATACATAAGACGTATTCCAGAAGTGTTTCAGAAGTACCCATAGAATAACGCTCACTTGCCTGTATGACCGGTCTCACTAATCTCAATGCTATCTTGGCTACCCTTGATCCTGTCTTAGGCGAAAGTCCTTATGTATTTGCTTCACTTAAGAATGACACCACTGTTGATGTGACTAGTCTTGATCCCCTCTTCACATTCAAGGAAGAAGAAGGTACAACGGTGATTGTCCATCAAGATGTCGCAGACAAAATGTCGCTTGAATATCTGGTAGTCTTCAATCAAATCACCTTAAAGGTCCATCTGAGTCTTGAAGCCATTGGCTTAACGGCAAGCATTGCTACTGAATTGACCAAGCATCAAATCAGTTGTAATGTCGTGGCTGGCTACTACCATGATCATATCTTTGTTCCTACTGCTAAGAGTCAACAAGCACTTGAGGCGTTGAAAGAGTTACAACGATACTCCGACATTCAACTGAAAAATTTATACTGAAATAAATATCATGTTCATAAACAATAAATAATATATAAAAGAGCACTCCTCCTGCTTACAACTTCTCAGCTGAAACTGGTCTGCCAATGGTGGTGATATCGTCATAAATCAAAGTTGTAAGGAAATCAGAGTATGTTTCACCAGTAGCTTCTGGTTCAAAATAAGCCAACGCTTGCTTGAACTTGTTACCAGGCTTAGCGGCCTTTACCAATTTGCCATATTCTTCATTCAACAAACGACGAACGTAATCCTTAGTAACCTTTTGACCAGCATCAGTCACAGCTCCATGGGTAACCCATTGCCATAATTGAGTACGAGACACTTCAGCAGTGGCTGCATCTTCCATCAAGTAGTTGATGGGAACACAACCAACATTTCTCAACCAAGCTTCAATATAACTTAACCCAATCACACAGTTGGTACGGATCCCTTGTTCGGTAATCTTAGCACCGGGGACAAATGGAGCTAAAAGATCACGCTGACCGATTGGCTTGTATGGAGTCTTTGGTGGAACATTGATTTGGTTAGGACCTTTCATATGTTCATTGAAAACCTTAAGGACAACTGGTACCAATGCTGGATGAGCAACCCAACAAGAGTCACATCCAAGGGTGACTTCTCTCAACTTATCCTTAGCAACATTTTCCAAAGCTTGTCTGTTACGTTCTGGGTCTTCCTTGATAGGAATTTGAGCAGCCATACCACCCAAAGCATGAACTTGTCTCTTGTGAGTAGTGTGGACCAACAACTTGACATAAGAAGCCATAAATGGAGCAGCCATGGTAACTTGAGATCTGTCAGGTAAGATAAATTCAGGGTGGTTACGGAGACATTTGATGTAGGAGAAAATGTAATCCCATCTACCACAATTCAACCCGGCAATGTGAGATCTCAATTGGTAAATGATTTCATCCATTTGGAATGAAGCAGGAATAGTTTCAATCAAAACAGAAGCTCTGATGGTTCCTCTACGCAATCCAATGTAATCTTGAGAGAAGTTGAAGATATCATTCCATAACTTGGCTTCCAAATGATGTTCCATTTTGGGCAAGTAGAAATAAGGACCGAATCCACGGGCAATAGATTCCTTAGCACTGTTGTAGAAATAGATGGCAAAATCAAAAATACCTCCAGAAACAGGTTCACCATCAACCAAAACGTGCTTTTCATCCAAATGCCATCCTCTTGGTCTGACAATAAGGGTGGGGATACGTCTGCCAGGATCAGTGTTTAACTTGTAGCTCTTACCGCCAATAGTGGCAGAAATATCTCTCCTAACAGCATCATAGAGGTTAACTTGACCATCGATCAAGTTGGCCCAAGCAGGAGTCAACGAATCTTCAAAATCAGCCATATAAGTGGCAACGCCAGAGTTCAAGGCATTGATAACCATCTTTCTGTCAGTAGGACCAGTGATCTCAACTCTTCTGTCTTCCAAACCAGGGGCCAATGGAGGACCAGTCCAAGTTGGATCGTCTCTAATGTAAGCAGTTTCAGGTAAAAAGTTTGGTAATTTACCAGCGTCACGTAACTTTTGTTCAGTCTTACGGTTAGCTAACAATTCCAATCTCTTTGCGTTGAAAGAGCGATGTAAAGTAGCAACCAATGCAAGCGCTTCAGGGTTAAGTAATTCCTTGGTTCTACCAGGAACAGGAGCCAAGATTTGAACACCATTAACCTTACTGGCGGTTGTTGGGAATGGAGATGACATGACGGCCTATGTGATTGATTGACTATAAACAAAATAAATCCCGGCAGTAACTCCAGAACTTTGATACGGGAAAATGAAAAAGAGATTGAATTATTTAAACTTTTCACCTAAGGTGGATGGTGGCTCCATTATATACGGTGGTGGGAATTTAACACCACCATAGAAGCCCAGTGAATGAGTGGGGCGGTTTTGTGAATTCAGGGGATGGTTTTTGTGTGCGCCGAAGCTCCGGGGGTACTGAGTCAAGGTATGGGAAAGTCTGGGGTAGATAAGGGCGTTGTGTGCAGTCTGGCTTTTGGTGACTCGACGGGGTTAAGTAACAAAAGCTTTAATCATATGAGTGCAGACATCGATATTCAAAAGTGCTTCTACATATGCAACAAAAGTAGCGCGTTAACTTAGGGGGAAGCAATTGGGTGATAATTGTAGCTATGAACTGTTTTAGCTATGATTGTTTAGCTATGATTGCCCCTTTTTATGCCTTTGAGTTGCGATTATTGGATGTCTATCACGAAAAGCATGTGTGCTCTGTCTTTTGGAGTCATGTTATCACGTGGATGTATATTGACTCTTCCTCGCTACATAAGGAAGGTTCAGGTTCTCCTACTCGGATCCGAGACAGAGTCAAACTAATGGGTTCCGGGTAAAGGGAGCAAGCATAATCGTCCTCGGTGAAGTGGATGCTCCGCGGACAAGCGCAATCATTGGACTCCGAAAAATTTCTTCTGATTCAGACATTTTTCAGGATTGTTCACACAATATAAAAGAAGTCACGTGCATCAACTTGGGAATGCACAATTACGTAAGTGCACGTGTGGGTGCAGGTGATTTTTAGGTATTGTTTTGGAGAGTTTGTTGAACAGACACAAAATTGAAGGGCTACAACCAGACAAAAACGAAAACCGTAAATTGACTGCAAATTTGCAAGCAAGTTTTTTGAGATATCCACAATTAAACTCAAGTGAATGTTGAAACATTTATGTAGTAGGTACGACTACTATCAAAATGAGTAACGGCTTGCATGAGTTATCACGATAGGTACTCAGATTAGTTCCGATATTCAGTTTAGGCATGCACTCGTAATCTTAAAATCACATTGTATGTTTCTGCATTAGATTAGATATTCGACACATGAGTATACAAATAATATATTTCCTGAAATGCTTATCTGTCTAAACGAATAAGAAGATTTAAGATTTACTGATTTGCCAATATCGATTCTAAGTCACACGTCACAAGAAATAACATCAAACGGAGAAGTTACAGATGCCAATTATTCTCCCAACTTGAGTGGCATGACTCAGTATACCAATAGATTGAAACGCTCTTTTATTTATTTAGTTTGATGAGCACTGCTTTTTTGCTTCTTTTCCTTCGAGATGGTGACCATATTTTAACTAAATGCACAGAACTACAGAAGCTTACTTCGTATTTGAGATAAGTTATTTCGTTAAGGTTTGATAGCCAGTCTCGCATTAATAGTAAAATGAATATTTACGACACTTTTAACTTCACGTGATATATTATAAATTTGAAAATATTTACACGTGACTAGAAAATTAACTCTAAATATAACTAATGTATCTAAAGTGGACATAAATTCCTGTAACATTAAGGTTTATAAAGTCTGGCTTAATAATAAAACTTATATGACACTACTTAGGTAGTAATCAATCAAAATAATAATAAAAATCCAATTAATTTTAGTATTTTAATTTTTAGTTAAACTCAACTTTACTTGGTCCACTTGCTGGCTCTGGTAAGAGGAGCTTGAAGACCTTGTTGAGAAGGGACATAGTTAACACGAGGATAACTGTTCAAGTTCTTACGTAAAACTATCTGGTAACAAGTAGCCGAACCTTGTCTTGAAATGATGGTGGAGGAAGCCAAAAAGTATTCCCAAACCTTAAACCACTTAATACCATACTTGTTAACCACCTTATCCTTGTTTCCGAGCCAGTTACGGTACCATCTCCATAATGTAGCAGAATAATGTACACCAATGTTGTCGATTGAAACAACTTCAAACCCAACAGATTCCAATGCTTCAATGTAGAAAGTCAATGGAGTGGAAGCATCAGCACCAGGGAAAATATACTTGTTCATGAATAAACCCCAGTTTAAATCTTCATATTGCCATCTCTTACGTAACCCGGCATATTGTAAAAAGAATAAACCATCATCTTCCAAAGAGTCATACACTTGCTGTAAGAAAGCTCCAAGTTTACGAACACCAACATGTTCACTCATTTCCAAACAAGTGATTTTATCATACAACCCATTGGACTTAGCCAGGGGAGGAGTATCTCTATAATCAACGCAAACAATACGGGATTGTTCAGAACTAACACCATAATCAGACAAAACTTGGTTACCCCAATGAGTTTGGTTCTTACCCAAGGTAACACCAGTGACTTTAGCACCATGAACAGAACTGGCATTGGCAGCCCAAGTACCCCAACCACAACCTAAATCCAAAAGATGATCACCTTTCTTTAAGTCGATTTTTTCAGCAAGAACAGCCAATTTGTTATCTTGTAATTGTTCCAACGTTTCTTCCTTTTCAATATCACCAATAACACCAGAAGTATAAATCATTCTGTTACCCAAGAACCAAGTGTAGAAATCGTCACCCCTGTCATAATGGTCTCTAACCTGTTCTTCATCTTGAGACTTGGAATGGAAGATAACTTCCGGGATCATTTCCAATAAAAAGTACTTGAACAAACCCAAAGTGAATTCAAACGTACACCAATCATGACGGAATTCCAAAGTATCTAAACAATCACCAACACAAGTGACTTTACCGGAGATATAAGCTTCAATGAAGGTTTCCATGGGGATCTTACGACCTTGACCGTTATTACTGGTCTCGTATTTGGCCTTCAATTCAGCATCATGATACTTCAAGTAGTAACTGATAGGACGACCAGGAAGAGTAACCTTTTCGTTCAAACGAGGAGAAAACTTGGATACCAAAGTCCAATAAGCCATCATCAATGGTAAAGCCAAAACAACAGTCAAAAATAACCAACTCTTCCAACCTAAGCCAACTTGACGCACAACCAAATATGGAACACCAACAACAAGGGAAGCCATAGTCAAGTTACTGAAATGAGCCAGAGAAGGTCCATCTGCTGGAAGTGGTGCATTATGAATAGCAGGGGAATCTGTAGTTAACACACCATACTTATCAGTAGGAGGAAGTTGAGCTTCTGCGGCAGGAGTCTTAATGAATTCAACTGACTTAAGCATCTTCAATACAATGTGTATATGCAATCCAATGTATTAGAACGCGTCAATTGATCAATGGATGCTTGAATTGAATCAATTGTAAGATGGGATCGTTCACACATTTTATATTTATATCAAATTCTTTTCATACGCCTTCGTGTTGTTCGTGCCGTGCACAATGATACGTGTTCAAGCCACTGGGACCTTAAAAGATGGAACTATACATGCAGGTACGGATATGCAGGAGTATGACTTGAACTCGGGCAGACATATCGCATACATACATTCACACATGCACAAGTATAGGTATATGAACAATTATTTATACGAATTGCATGCATTGATAGAAGAGTTAATATTATTGACACGAATACTATTATATCTCATTTATTCACGTACAAAGAGGCAAATTTCTGTAGTACTCTAATTACTACGAGATAAAATACCAAGTCACCTGATGTTTTGAATATTAGCATTATCAATTGAAACACGATTGGGAAATCTAATTAATCTCATATTTGACAGTCGTGCAGAGATTGACTTTCATCTATCATCTTTATGGATCTTTATGGTCTTTATGTCTTCCATTAAGCGTACAGTTTTCCGCATTTGGGTTCCCGCGCAGTTGATCGAATTAGGCAAATAGATCCGGCACCACTTTATCGACGGCTTTATATAAACCAATGCAAAATCCATTGCCCTTGGTACTCTGATTATTATCCATCAATGACTTCAATATTTGTAACCGGAGCCTCTGGATTCATCGCTCAACACATCATCAAACTCCTCGTGTCCAAAGGCTATAAGGTCGTTGGTACTGTACGTTCCAGTTCCAAAGGTGCTGATCTCGTATCTAATTTAGGCTCAAATTTCACTTATGAAATCGTACCAGATATAAGTAGTCCCAATGCCTTTGATGAAGCTCTTAAAACACATCCAGAAGTAACCGTGGTGTTGCATACCGCATCTCCATTTTTCTTTGATACAACAGATCCAGAAAAGGATCTCATTATCCCGGCCATAAGAGGAACAGAGAACATCATGAATGCCATAGTTGAATACGCTCCACAAGTCACTCGTATGGTGGTGACTCTGAGTGATGCTGCCATATATTCACTGGTAGATGAATGCAACCCTGAATTGCTGTTTAATGAGCAAAGTTGGAATAATATCACCTACGAGGAGGCAGTTAAAGATCCAGTAGCTGCTTATTATGGAGCTAAACTGTTTGCTGAAAAACATGTATGGAAATTTCTTAAAGAATACCCAGGGAATAAACTCAATTTCGCTGTTACTAGCGTTAACCCGGTTTATGTGTTCGGTCCTCAAGCATTTGATCTGGAAGTTAAACCCACTTTAAATACTTCAAACCAGGTTATCAAGACTTTAATAGAATTAGGACCAAATGATGCATTTGAATTGAATATGGGAGGTGCTGTTGATGTTCGTGATGTTGCTCTTGCTCATATTGCGGGGTTTGAACGTGAAGATACCATTGGAAGGAGACTTTTTATGACCAGTGGTCAATTTCTGTCCCAAATGATGTTAGATATCATTAATGAGAATATTCCTTCTTTGCAGGGGAAGATTCCAAGGGGAACGCCTGGCTCGGGACCGCAAGATATTAGGTCATTGGCTAAGACAGACAATTCAGCTACCAGAAACTTGCTTGGATGGGAATTCACTCCATTTAAGAAGACAGTCATTGATACTGTTAATCAAATACTTCACGTTAAGCCCGTTCCCAAAATTTAGAACCTCTCCACAGATAATTAACCCGCTTAATCATATATTTTTAATAACATCCCTTTTATTGTAATATTACTTTCTTTGTTGTTAACCGGTTAAGGGTATCCCAATTAGGAAGGCATATGCGATAGTGACTTCAACTCATTAAATCAGTACTTAAACAAAGTGATATCCTGGTAATGTTCACCTCATGTTTACCCTTGTATCAGTAAATATTAAAGTAAAGTAAACCCCATAATGCCAGAAACAGTGTTTATTACCGGTGTCTCTGGATACATTGCTCTGAACGTCGCTCTTCAGTTATCTGAAAAAGGTTACCATATAGTTGGAACTGTCAGAACGAAAGACAAGGGTGAATACTTGGTAAGACAATTAGGTGCCGATAAGTTCTCTTATGAAATAGTCACTGATTTGGATAAGGAAAACTGTTTTGATGAAGCCTTAGCAGCTCATCCTGAGGTAACAGTAGTCCTTCATATTGCTTCACCATGCTTCTTCACTACTACGGATGCTGAACGGGACATTCTTAAACCAGCTATTGAGGGAACTAAGAATATTCTTTCAGGGATATTAAGAAAGGCTCCTCAGGTTCGTCGTGTTGTTCATACATCTTCTGATTCAGCCATCATGTCCTTTAAAGAAGAACATGTTCCCACCAAAACTTTTGACGAAACGACATGGAATGAAAACACCTATGAAGACAGTTTGGTTAGTCCCTTTGAAGCGTACTACGGATCAAAGGCACTTGGTGAAAAGTATGCTTGGAAATTCGTTAAAGAAAATCCAGTCAATTTCACTCTTGCAACAATCTGCCCATCTTATGTATTTGGTCCCCAACCGTTTGATGAACCATTTGGAGGGAAGTCGTTTGTTAATGCTTCCAATGAAGAGATTTTGGGACTCTTGAGCTTGAAATCAGAGGAAGAGTTCGAAGACCTGACAGGTGGTTATATTTATTGTAGGGATATTGCAAGAGCACACATTGAAGCTTTCGAACGGGACGATTTGGTTGGGAAAAGATTGCTTGTCACCAATGGATCCTTTGGATCTCAATACATCTTAGACTTAATTCACAAGATGTTCCCTCAATTGGCTTCTAGTGTGATCAAAGGTCCAAATCCTGGCCAGGGGAAAGAGGTAATGGCATCCAAATTGGCTAAAGTTGACAATTCAAGGACCAGAAAGCTTTTGACTTGGGGCTTTAAAGATTTGGAAGACATTGTTAAGGAAACAGTACAACAATTCTTGAACAACACCCAATCGAGTTAACTTTAGCTTATAATACACAGAGTTCGTTGTAATCATTGTAGTAATGTCAATTTTGCAACATGACTCAATTTGAGTCATCACAACATCCATTACGAGGGCACAAACCGAGGGCACCCGGGGGTAAACCCGATCACCGGTCGTGCTTCAACCACACAAGGGTGGTTTTGTTAGGCAAAAGCAAAACCCAATGCTTGCTGAATCAAAACTGCAATAATAAAAGCGAAGGACATATTTCCACATTAATCAAGTTGATTCTAAGCAGTCGGAATTCGTCTCGTGTTTGTGTTGAGATCCACTGCCCACTCGACCCCCCATAAACGCTTACGGCACACATCGCAAGAGTGTTTTGTTTCTTGACCGGATGGGGAACGACATTGTGCTTGTGGACTCAGACTCAGATCTGGAGTCACTTCTGTTGCAGAAGCTCACATACAAGAAACAGAAACTTAGTCTGTTCCGGAAACCGTTCATGTCATCTGATTCTCTGGATGAGAATGCCAATAATGAAAGAACCGAGGAACAGTCTGAGTCTGAGTCTGAATCCGACTCTGAAATAGCTTCTGATGACAATACCAGAGATGGAGATATGATTGCCACCAACAGTAATGATGTAAACGGCTCTGATTCGTCAGAAGAGCTTAATGGGAACTCACAAGCACATAATGATTTGATTGACAGTGATAGTGCTGTTTCTCCACAATCAGATTCATCATCATCATCGTCTTCTCGAGATATTGACATGATTGCCCCTTCATCTGTGGATATTGTTCAAGAAACTCGTAGATACTTGAAAACTTATGGAAATGCCGAGTTCTTGGACAAGTACTTGCCTGAAACAGCCACTGCTGATGATATGTTGAATTTGATGGCCAAATTGGGGTACTATCCAACTCAACTTATGAAAAGTTTAAGACTGAGTATACCAAACTCTGATGGACATGAGACTCCTCAAGTATTGCTTGATCTACCAAGTGTTGTCCATGTGCTTTATCGAGTTATGGAGCGAGTGAAGAGAAAACGAGTTGCTCTTGAAGGCTTCACAACATTTGAACAAACCTTGGAAGCGATTGAAAGTTGTACCAAGATCCTCGTAATTACAGGTGCTGGTATTTCCACTAGTTTGGGTATTCCTGATTTTAGATCATCTCATGGGATATACAGCAAACTTGAACATTTAGGCTTGAGTGACCCTCAGGAAGTGTTTGACTTGAGCTTATTCTTTGAAGACCCTCTGATATTTTATTCTGTGGCTGATATGATCTTACCTCCAGATAACATATACTCTGCATTGCATGCATTCATTCGAGTGCTTCAAGATAAGGGGAAACTCTTGCGAAACTATACCCAGAACATAGACAACTTAGAAGCAAACATTGGCATTAGTTCAGATAAGTTGGTACAATGTCACGGATCTTTTGCTACTGCAACTTGCATCACCTGTGGCTACTCAATTCCCGGAACGGAAATATACTCTGATATTCGGAACAAGAACATTGCCAAGTGTCCTCATTGTGAAGCTGATAGATTAAAGACTGTCAGTTCCAAGAAACGGAAACGGAGGCAAAACGAGAGTGATGATGAGGACGATGATGATAATGACGTATTTGGACCTGCTTTTGGAGTGATGAAACCTGATATTACTTTCTTTGGTGAGCCACTCCCACGTAGATTCCATGATTTAATCAATAAGGACTTGGCCGAATGTGATTTAATTCTTTGCATTGGGACTAGTTTAAAGGTTGCGCCAGTGGCTGATATAGTTGATAAGGTTCCAGCATGTGTTCCTCAGGTAGTGTTCAACAAGGATCCTATATTACACTGTGACTTTGATGTTTCACTTTTGGGGTATTGTGATGATGTTGCCAAATATATATGCAGCAAACTCCAATGGGAGCTTCCTCATAGCGATACTCTGATTGAGGGATTGCAGTTGATCAAAGATGATGAGAGAGTGTATCTGATTGGAAAAGAAGAAGAAGAAGAAGAAGAAGAAGAAGAAGAAGAAGAAGAAGAAGAAGAAGAAGAAGAAGAAGAAGAAGAAGAAGAAGAAGAAGAAGAAGAAGAAGAAGAAGAAGAAGAAGAAGAAGAAGAAGAAGAGGAGGAGGAGGAGGAGGAAGATGAAAAGGAAGAACAACAACAAGCAGTTGAAATAGAGATTGAATCAGTGACAGAGATAAAGACAACGACAGAAACATTGTCTGCGACTCAAGACAATTGATAGACATTCACTTCATATCCCGAATACTCGTTAGAGCTGGCTTTGTTTAGGGATACCCCGTAATCCTTCATTTACTACTTTTTTTGACCTTTATAGATTGTAACATTGTGTATAATAATGATGATATTATTATGATCTCATCGGGGTATATCTGGTAGCACCACAGCATTGAAATATTTCATGCTTAGCGGGCTACGGGCTGAGAAACATCACCAACTAATAGTAACGAATTTCAACTAAAAGTGTCGTCATGTTACGTGTTGTTTCAGTGCGACATCTCGTCCATAGATGTCGTATAGGAGCGTTCCAAGTTCGGTTCAACTCTTCCACAAAGAAGGAGGTGTTTGACTTTGAAGATGTTGGGTTTCTCGAGTCGATAATCCAGGAAAAAGATAGAGACACCAAACAAGTGGAAGATACTTCATTTGCTTCTATTTTAGAACAGCAAAACAAACTATTGCATGAGAAAACGAGAACGCCAGAGCTTCCGGATGATCGAGAAGTCACTGAGACTTTGAACCAGTTTTTGAATCTGACTTTTGAAGTTGATGAGCCAACCAAAAGCTTTGACGAGTTGCTTCAAGAAGTCGGGAACAATAACAGCGGCCATCAGTCGTCCATGAAGAGTGAAGAACCCGAAAGTGCAACAGAAATTGAGAGGAAGTCACAGATCATCGAGACAGAAGCTCAAGTGTTCAGGAATGTCTTTGACATGTATATGAAAAAGGACAAAGAAGCCGACGTAAATGAGCATCTTCTCAAGGACAAAACCGATACCTTCAAACTGGTGAGAACTTCTATCAACAACATTCTAGATTCCAACGGGTTAATAAGTGCATCACCCTTGAGATCCTTTGATGAAATGGTTCTTTCCAAAGCTCTGAGTGCTTTAAAACCGACGTTCCAGTACATACAACAAGACTTGGATACCAAGACTGAGATAGTGGCTTTCTTCAAGAACATTCTAGAACGGTTCATTCAACTTGCACGCGAAGCCAAAGAGGACGACCCGGTAAAAATGGAAGAAATATACCTAAGATCAACCTTGGCAAGAGATAGAGACAGTGAAGAATTGTTCAACAAGATAGCAGAAACCTCAGCTTCAACACCCGCACACCCCACATTGAATGTTGCCACTTTACCCTTAATCTTCAACCATGTGTTGCATGTCTTGATCTTCAAGTTCGCCGACGGAGCACTTCCTATCACGTTGTACAACTTCCTGCAACAGAACCTTTCGCTACACACGGTGATGTGCAATCAACAGACTTTCAACCACATCCTAAGAGCTACTTGGATCTATAGAGGCAAGACCCTGGTTCAAGATATCACCACTGTGTATCTGGAGATGATCAACAACGGGTTTAAAGGTGACATTGTGACTTTCAATATCGTCAAGCAAATAGTAATTGACTATTATCGCTTGAAAGTAGGACAGTACCCTGGCATTAACGATGAATCTCGTTTACCTATGTGGTCTGGAGAAGACGATAAACATGTTCAGCGATTACGCCGTCATTTGGGGTACCTTTCCAACCGCCTTCGTCATACTTAAGACGACGACGTCATACTTGAGATAACCTCTTTTCTAAGACGACTTGTATATAATAAAATTTAATGGCATGGTAATAGTAACTTGTATTAGTGCTTGACACAGGGAGTCCATTTTTTTTTTGCAACCATTGGGACAAGAACACCAATGAATTGTGGTATGCCATCTAAACTTTTTGAGAGGGGTTAGAGGTATATGATCAGTAGGATTACTAAATATGACCAGTAGGATGACAGTAAGTGGGATGACTAGAATGACCACGATGACTACGATGAACAGCAGGATAACTCGGTTGGACGTCCATATATAAAGTTTCATACTAAGGAACTGTAGGCAGAATTTACGGTGACTATCAGTTGTTAGTTGCAAATATTGTTTTACATAGTGCAATCCTTCTTAAGGCTATTTGGTGTAAGATGTCGCGCGACATTTGGTGATAAAACAATATTTATCGCACTGTTTCCAAAAGAAACGACATATACCCTTTTACTCCTGTAACAATATCGTTAATATACGAACATGGACTTTCCTGACGAAGGGCATATAGAGCCCTTTGTGGGGCTGCCACGTGGTGGCAACAGCATTCGTATAAATAAAGGAGAATTGAACGATATCAACAAACAACTTTCAAGGTCATTCAATAGTGGAGGAGGGGGTTATTTGAGTACCTCCAACCCCACTGGAGGCGGAGGAATAACCAAGAGTCGTCGAGCATCTGTTTATCAACCCAAACTGAATGATGATGATGGGAGTGGAGGATCCTCGGAGAAGAAGAAGACGGACGAAATCAATGAAACCATTCAAGTGTTATTGACGTTAATACCCACAGATTTCTTTGAAAGTGAATCCAAGAAACCAGAAAATAAAGATGAAGACACGTTCAGACCCAACGGACTTAAGGATGGTAAACCTCACAAGGGACAAATATTGACTAAATCTGTTGAATACATTCAGCATCTACAGAACTTGATTGACACCAACAATCGGAAGGAAGTTGAATTGATAGTCAAGTTAAAGAAGTTACAACAACAACAGTCTGGCAACGATTCAAACTCAACGATAACAGTGGGATATACCAGTGCTGAACGAGCATTAGGAGAAATAGGCGTTGGAGCCGCTGAATTAGCAGAAGAATATTTTAAACAGGTTATTATATCCAATGCCTATACAAAGAAATAACATTACTACTGTTATGATTAGACGTTGTGTTCTTAATTAATCTATAATATGAACCTTTATATATGAACCTTTTTCTACCGTTTAATACGTCCAACACGTTCTCGTTCATCGGCATTTTCTATAAGCATATAGGCGGGAGCATAATGAACATCATCACCTTCTTCCTTCAACTTAAGATAAGGGTTGGGGATCGTAGTGTGGATCCCTCCTAAGCTAGTGTACCCTTGATCATACATTTCACAGTAGTCCAAGTTACACCCCACTAGGAAGTCCCAGATATCGATATAATTCCACGGTAAGATTGGATGGATTCTAAGGAAACTGGGCCAATCATGGTCTGTCATTTGTTCCGGACTTAAGCTTGAACCATAAGGATCAGCATACCGTATTCCCACCACTATGGCCTTTATTTTATTATTGGTACTGTGTAAATACTCTTCGAAGCCCTCCTTTAATGACAGCTGGATGATGATGGGATTTAAGTGGTAGTAGTGAGTAGAGCTTTTGATAAACTCAAGCAATTGAGGGAATGGTTCTTCGGAGTTGACGAATATGGAATCTAATTTATAATCGACAGGTAAATCCGCTGTAGCTGCTGTTGGCGACTGATTAGTACAGAACTTCCGATGTATGGTAGCCATTAATAATATTAGCATCACAAGACAATCCTTACCTCCGTTGTAGGAGATAGCTATCTCTTCCAATCCATGGTTATCAATAGCCAGTTCCAATAACGATAAACTGGCTCGGACCTTACAACGGACTTTCTCTCTTAGTTGTGGACGATATATATATTGTTTCCGTCTGGTGGGAACGGCCCCCCATTCACATGTACCGTCTAGGAATGCTTGCACCAAAGAGCTCGCTTCGGAGCACCGGACTAAGAAGTCATGTCGTAAGTTGACGGTCATAGTATAGTACCAGTATGCACTATTAGTATGGAAAGTATACTACTAGTATGCGATGATTAATACTAGCGTATGCTACAACACTCCTAATACTAAGTGCATTATCAACACAATAGTGCCGTGGTCTAATCAATTGTGGGGTCTGATGTCATGATTGAAAAATTTGCTGCGTGCGCGAACCGATAAGTGCGCAGTAGTGGTATAGTAATATAGTAGTGGTATATTATACTAGTAGCATAGTACCGTGGCAAAGTACCAACTCTATTTGTTCCCAAAAAGTACCTGAATGTAATAATGCCTAGTATCCTTATCCCAATACCACCAAAAGTTTGTATTCATTTGCTGAGGATCTTCAGGTCGATCCAATGGTAAATCTCCAGGTATAATAAAACAAATATTACTATAAGGTTCACCAGAGACTACCAAGTACTGACAATTTTCCGGATTAAATTCCGCAGGGTCAAACCCTTCGGTGGTATCTAAAAATGACTTCATTATGTTCTTATTCTTAATGGTCAACTCATAGTAACTCATAATAACAAAACTTGGTTCTTCTACTGTAATTAAGGGTAATTCAATGTCCCATAGTAATCCAAGTCTTAACAGTTCTGGATCTCGAAGTTTAGTCACCTTGTAACCAGGCTTTCCTATCTTATCCCAGCTCCTCTTCTCTATGTTACTAATGGAGATTCTGTCATTGTCTTCAGCTATATTACCACTGCCATCGGTACCAGTATTTATCCCATTGGCTCTTTGGTACTTTTCATCTAATACCTTACGTTTCTCCAAGTTCATCTGATGCTTTCGACCTCCCAAATGGGCTATGTAAGAGCTTTCACTAACATGTGTAGTTAAACATAGTCGACATTCCAAGAGTCCTAGATGGTTTCTTAATGCATAGGGATCATTATCAAGATCTAATACTTTGGTGGCTAAAAGCTCTTGTATTCTCTTTCGTACATGAACCTTGGTTTCGGAGGTGTCCGCTACACCTCCAGATCCTTGCTTGGAATTGACCCGGTCTGAGTAATCCATCGTTCAGCCGTGTGACACTGCTACTGCTTACTATACCACAGCTTAATGCTGTCACTGCTGTAATGTCTCTGTTTAACGTCATCTCAATCTCAATGTCTCATAATGTCTCCTCCTTCCGGGTTATATGCAGTACACAAATTAGCAGATTTCCTTGACTTAAAACACGTCCACCATCTACGACAACCAGCAGTAAACAATTGATAGACAGGGAAAGTGTCTGAGACTTGATCCATAAAAGAAACAGACTAAGCTTAACACCAGTGCTAAAGTCCGAAACGCGTAGAACACTTCCAATTGATACTATAACGCGTCAGCACGTACCACTAGCAGTCCAGGGACAGACCATTGCCAACAACCACTATATCAAGAACAACCCCATTGATAACATGGAGCCGCTGTTAGACGCTGAAAACCATCTGATCAAAACTGACGATGATAACTCAACCAATGGCCACATAGACACCACGTTCAGTTCCACAGTGGCTTCAGCTATCCATAGTGAACAACGAATGATTCAATTGAACATTAAACTTGAATCTAAAATTGACTTGCCTGCTATTCGTGTTTTGAGACGTGTAGTTGATTCATATGTTAATGTCAACCAATTGCTTAGTATTTTAGTTAGTTTGGGTCATCTTACGGAGATCCAAGTGAAAAATTTCATTACCAATGAAATCTTAACTAATTTGGCTTATAATGGGATCACCGCCAATCAAAAATTATATAACGATTATCGTGAACATGAGAATGCTGAGTTACGAGGGATTTGGATTCCTTATGATAAAGCTGTTGACATTGCCTTAAAGTTTGATATCTATGAGTTTGTCAAGAGATTGTTCTTGGTAGATGTTCACGATTTTGATCAGCTACCAAGAGTTACCAAGAGAGCTCTTGATAATACAAGTGATGATGATAAGTCTTCCAAACACTTAGGTTCACCACCTAAAAAGATCAAGTTAGAAGCTTCTTCAAACACTGGGGAACCAAACAGCTCGGATTCACTTGAAAAAAGCGAACAAATAGCATCTTTGGTTGTGAAATTGGCTAAAAACAATAATAATGCTCCTTATCCATTGCCACCTATAACGTCATATGATTTGGAAGATGATGAAATCCAACAATTGAAATTGAAATATAGTGAAGTGTTCAAAAGAGATAATGAAGATCCTTTATCAAGTGATGAAATAGAATCTGTTTTTTCCTCCATTAAATCTAAATCCAGTGATGTCCCTCTAGATCAAAGTGGTGCTACAGCATTACACTTTGCTTCTGCATTAGCTTCTTTGAATTTGGTTTCGAGTTTCATTAAATTGGGTTTAAATTCCCCTATAAGAGGGAAGAATAATGGCGAAACCCCCCTTATATCAACTATAATGGTTACCAATGCTATGGAAAAGGGGAATTTTGTTACTCTTTTGAAATATTATCTTTACCCTAATTTATGGTTATATTCCAATTCCGATTGGTCATTCCTTCATTATTTGGCCAGTCAATCCAATAGTCTTTTTGAATGTTCGAAATTTTATCTCACCAAGATTTTGGAGGTGATTCTTGAGAATAATCAAAAGGACTTCTACAACTTGATAGCCAAAGTCGTCAACTTACAAGATAAAGAACATGCAAACACCTGTTTACATTTAGCAGCGGAAAGAGAATCGAAATGGTTAATCAGTTTACTCTTAAGCTTACATGCTGATCCCAATATCGAGAATAATCAAGGAGTCAAAGCTAATGACTTTGATATTGTTAAGGAAGTTGTAGAGAATAAAAAAGACTATGAGAATGATTTAATATTTGAATTAGTAAACACTGGAATTGAATTTATGAATTATCGATTAGAAGTGGGTGGAGCTAATTCATTTGTGGACGAAGTGGATACTATTTCTACTCATCCCCCATCACCTCCAACTACAGCAACTACAGCAGCTGTTGAAACAGATGAATCATCAGATACTATGTTGGATATTTCTGGTAAGATATTCCGAAGCATTCAAGATTTAATGACTAGTACAAATAAAGAATATGAAACCATTATAAATGCCAAAAGACATCAAATAAAACAATTGAATGAATCGCTTAAAGAAGCTACTATTGTTACTGCCAATAATCGATTTATGACTAAGAAAATGATGGAAAAATTATTGCAACTTGATAATTTACGACTACAAAATAGTAACATGGATGATCGATTAGAAAATGCAAAGAAACAAATTCCAGATGATGAAGATGAAGAAGGAGGAAATGGTGATATTGAAAATAAACAATTTGATGCCGATGCACCCTTTATCATCAAACCGTTATATGAACGACTAGTGAATGGAGAACCCATTGAAGATTTGAAGCAAAGCAAGCACTTGATGGAACTTTTACCGTCAGTATCAATTCTACGGGCTAGAGTTGATTCTTATGAAGAAGTTACCAAACAAATTGAACAAGAATTAGAATCCTTAACTAACTATACTGAATTGACGGAGAAGTTCAAGAAAGTTGTCAGTATATGCACTGGAGTTGATGTCAATGAAGTTGATGATTTATTAGATGGGCTATTAGAAGCAGTTGAAATCCAACAATAAAATACTAAAGTATACTGATGTTTAGCACAGTACACTATAAAATAATTTATGTCATATACTATACTAATCCGTCATAATTGTGTAATGCATTTGTGATGTTCGGGTCTTTCATCAGAAGTTGTTTAAACTCTTCAAGATTTATGGTATCATGATTAGGATCTTTGTTAAGTAACAGAAACAACTTCTTTGTTCGAAGTTCAGGAGTATTCTGATCATCAGGTAACGTCACCATGTTACCCAACATCTTATATATGGCTCTATTAACTTGTAACATATCTTTATAATCGATTTTCTCGTTCCGACGGAAGTCGTACATTCTGAAACTGAAGGCCAACTTTTGTTCCAAGTTACCTCGACTGGTGATACTTAAAGCCAATATAAACTCTTTGAAATCAATGAATTTGGATTTGTCAACGTCAAACGCTTGGAATAGAAAATGACAATAATCTAAAGGTTCTCCAAAGGGGAAGAATTGTTTGAAGACTTTAATAAATTCTTCTTCCAGAAGTTGGCCAGACGGACAATCTCTAAGGAATCCTTTGTACCATTGTTGGAGCTCTCTCTTATCAAAATATGTCGCGTTTTTAAGTGATCGTAATTCGTCTTTGGAAAGCTTGGATACAGATTTACCCATGATTGTATTATACGCCGGTTATTACTAGGTAGTAGCTACTATTAGTAGGTAGTAGTCAGTTGTAGTAAGTTTACAAGTTACGTTTTCGGAATTGTTGGTAGCGCGGCAAGGGTCGTGCGAGAATCAACAGACATATCTCTAATATCGTGAAGCAGTATACTACTCTATATATGTGTGCATATGTCTGCACGTACACATGTATTTGTGATATCATACACAAGGGTATACCTGATGATGATGATGATGATGATGATGATGTTGATGACGATGATGATGTTGATGACGTATGTAGATACCCTCATTCAATTGTAATGACACAAAATTGCAAGTGACACAAAACCACAGCAATTTATATGGGGAAAATTTTCAGTCTCCTATAGTCAACTACCTATTACTCTAAAAATACTACAGTACCTGTGTGTGTTAACAAGATGTATACGAGTCGGAGACAACTTAGCTGCAGTGTGCGGGCACTCTTGAACCATGGGAAGCCCCAAAACCCTGCGTACAACATCGAGTTGCAAATGAAGATAGAACCCATTACCAGAACTGGGGAGACCATTGAAATCAAAAGAGCCAGATTAGTTTACCAAAGTAGAAAGAGAGGGATTTTGGAATCTGATTTGTTATTAAGTCGTTTTGCTAAGAAGTATTTGAATGTACTTTCTGAAGCTGAATTAGATGAATATGACAAGTTGTTGGATGAGCCTGATTGGGACATTTACTATTGGGCCACTAAGAACTATGATGTCACCCCATTGCCTGACAAGTGGAAGAACTCCAAGATCTTGGAGATGATCCAAGAAGAAGCCCAGAATAAGGATCGTGAAATCATGAGAATGCCTGAATTGTAACCTTGTATATAGAAAGTATTTATTGACATATTAATGACCTTGTGATTACGTAATCAGAAATATTGCCAGCAGTACAACCGTAACAGTATAACCGTAACTGTACAACCGTAACCGCATAACCATAAATATACAGTATTAGAGCTAATGTCTCTACTGTACTAGTGTCGTTAGCTTTACTAGTATACTACTGACATCGCCCTACAGTGAGTATATGGTAGCGCCGTTCAATAATCAACAGTATTCAAGTACACGATTCTGCAAGCCCATACACACCTTCTCTTTTACAACGTTAACAACAATACCAGTAATAACGGCAATGGACAACGCGACGTTCTCGGGGTTACTTACCGAATTCAACATTGCAGATGTGTCTGATTATCTCATTGAGTTGAACCTCAACTTGACCAATCATACCCCTGGTGATCAGACGGAATCATCATCAGCAGCAGCATCACTATACACCGTGTCCATTGGTCAACTAACGCAGTTGGTTGAAAAGCTAAGACAAGATCCCATTCAATATTCCAATGTCTACAAACTCGTGTCGCAGAACGTCGCGTTATGTATGGCTCAACAACCATCTTGCGTGTACGATTTTGCAAACTCTCTATTGGGCCATATATCTGAAGAACCATGTATTGCTAACGTGATATTAATAGACTTGTTTGAAAGGTTCCCTCATAACTTGGGCTCGTTGGTGACATTCACTGTGGCTCAAATCTACAAGCTTTTAAAGAAATGTCCTTCTCCAAGTAGTAACCAGTTGGTGGTACTTATGTCTGTACTCGTAAAGATTGCTGCTAAATCAGATATCAATGACAAAATGTTGGCCAAATTGACGAAATTGGTCACTAAAGGTATTTTACTGCCATCGGACCACATTCAACTTGATGTTTATCTTGATGCAAAAGATGCCAATGCCACAACGGTGTTGGTCAAACGAGCTTACATCACCACCTTGAAGAATCTCTTGTCATTCTCAGTATCAAGTAATTATGAATCGTTGTTGGCCCTTTCAACTTCTTCAACCAGTGCTGGTGCCAGAATAAAACCAGAGCAAATAGTCACCCAACAGAACCAATTCCAAAACACAATGCTTACAACAATGGACAAAGTGCTCATGTATGGGTTATCCCATCCTCATTCGGAGATAAGAGTTGCAACTGTTGATTTACTTGCGTCTATATTGGTGAACTTGGTGGATACTCAAAAGTTTGATGGGATTGAGTATCTTATTGATAAGTACCCCCTTCCCAAACCTAATCATCCACCTGGATCAACAAACGGTGAAGATTATGCTGCTATTGCTTCTTCCTCTTCCTCTTCAGGAGAAGACGATAAAACAGCTTTCACAACCTTGCTTACTCAAACATCCGTGGCTGAGTGCATCGTCTTTTACATTCAGTTGCAACAACTCCAAAATCAAGATTATTTGGCCAAAAATATAACAACTATATTGGACAAAATCCTTGCCAAATTTTCTTCTGTCAATACCAATGATCATCTAATGAACAGCCTTTGGTCAAAGACTTTGGAACATTGGAAAACAGTCATAGCATTTATTATCAACGAATCAGGTCTCCGTTCCTACGAAGGGTTGGTTAACTATCTTGGATCTAAATTCTTGGGTGTGGAAGGTCAAGGTGGTGATCAACAAGTTACCGATAGAGATAGTAGACTTAAGAAGAAGGATACGACTATTTTTGGGTTCAAAACCTCAAAATCAAAGTCCCTGAAGAGTAAGGACCTTTGGAATTTCAAGCCTTATCACAATCCTTATCACTGTGGGTTATTACTTTATACATACCAACTGTTAATTCCCTTTGGAGCCAAACTTAACGAGTCCAGTGGTACTAAAGATGGAGCATCTACTGACGAAACCGAATTGTCACAGGAGAATTCCTTCTATAATATCTTGTTGAACCTCTTCATGAATAACAATCAATATATTCGGAACTTTGCATTGGAAACCTTTCTACAATTCTTCAAGGGTAATAATGCCCCAGTTAATAGTTTGATTATCACTATTTTCAATCTTGTGAGCCAATCTTTCAAAGCTAAAACCGATGAGAAGATGGTCAATGGAAAGGATAATACAACGTCACTGTCTTCAATAAAATTGATGCAATATTCTTTGGTTCTACTGTCTTTATTGAAACAAACTGATGCATTTGTTTTACAATCTTCCACATTAGTGAAGATCCTAAGTTTCTGTACCCAAAACTTGAAACATACAGCAACTGGGTTGAAAGCTGCATCGTGTTGGACCATACTTGCTTCGGTTGTTACATTCTTTGAGACTAATGAATTTGTCAAGTTAAATTCTTCACAACTTTTGGTGTTTTGGAAGGGTTTATTAACGTCTCAATTTATACCACTGAGTACTGAAGCTAATGACCAGCTTGCAGAAATTTCAGGCAATTTAAGGGCCAGAAATACCAGTTTAATATGTCTTATAAACTACCTCACAACTGTTGGTAGCAATAGCAACGCGGCTTCTGATCAATTGAAGCATACCCAGTTCTTATTGGCCAGAGCATATAATTATGTTACCTATCTTGAAAGTAACATCGAAGGGTTGAGCAACATCACTAACTTTGATACTTCTGCAACAGAAGACTTCTTGACCAATGTTCAAGTAGTAGATAATTTGCAATTCAGTGATTATGGGAACTCATATAACATTTCTTCAACGAGTGTTTTAGCAAGTCTTATTCTTTACAGCAAGAAGTTGATTTTATTTGGGTTTTCAATACTATCGACCAATTTGAAGCATGAAATCAATTCCAACTTGGTGATCTTTTTGGTAAAACTCATCAGTGATCCAAAGCTATTCTGCTTCACCAATTCGCTGACTTCAGACCTCAAGAAGGTCAAATCTGCTGAGACCTCAGATCCAAAGCTTACTCATCCGTACTTGGACAACCCGACAACTATTTCGTACGGTACTACAACCAAATACACTGGAATTGGTGAGGATATTGATAGTTTAAACATGGTGCCAGTCACTCCAGTTTCCACAGTTCCATATGATTATAACATCATTAATGGAGACGTTTTCAAAGCTTCTGAGGGTACTCATTGTCTTCCATGGTACTTTGTCTTTGAAAAAACTATTTTCACTCCTGCTGCTCACTCCATAGTGTTTGATCCAGCAGTCCTTCTATTTGCCGAATACTCCAAATTTGAAAAGTTTTCCCCTTGTTTGGTAACATCTTTAATTGACTATTCTATTGAGTTATTTCAGCTTGTGTTCCCCACACTTAGCGAGAAGATCCAAGTCTCTCTATTAGAACAGTTGAAGAACTCTCTCACAGCTAAGGATGTGAGCCACCCACTGAGAGCTATGGCTATTGCTATTAACATTTCCATTGCTCTTGAAGGTGTCGCACTAAATTTAATGAAGAAGCCAATTGATAAAGAGACTGTACTTTCAATCATGGACATCTTAAGTTTGTTAAATGAAAAGGTACCCTTCATGATAGACACAAACACCAAGACATTTGGAAGATGTTCTACTCTTCTTCCTGTCAAGTTGGTACAAGATGAAATAGATAAGTTGATTGGGAAAATTGTTAATAACACCGACCCACATATCCGTGGAAGCTCAGTGTTATCATTAGCTCAGGTGTCAAGATTTTCAGGTATAGGGTTCCTGGAAACCTTTAATGTTGTCGTCCAATTACTTGGAGATCCAAACCCTGTGGTATACCATTTCACATTAAAAGCTACAGCTATGCTCTTTGTTGATGGCATAGACAATATCACTTCTATTTCAGCCATATTGGAAAAAATTTATACCAACTTCTTTTCCTGGGAGTTTGATAATGAGAGAAAGAATAAAACATTGACTGGCTTGGGAGTTTTATATCCAACAAGCAGTGAAATTGGTAACTTGATCCAGACCATTGTTGCGTCTTTAGGTCCAAGTCTTCGAGAGTTGCCTATTAGCAGAAGACATGAACTTCGAAACTTGATTGTCTATTTCAGACTAGGAGTTGGTTGCAGTACCGGGCAAGAGATCTTGGACGTTTACAGATGCCTATTGGAACTTTCTAAAGAGTTGATAATATTTGATAATACGTTGATTGAATCGGAAGTTGACTTCTTTTCGAATTTGGTCAATTTTGTAATAACAAACAATATTAAAGTTGGAATTGCAACCGAATGCAGTGTGTCTCTTTCCAATGAGGCAGTATTTCCCTTCAATACAAGTTCCGTACTATACGAAACAGCCTTTGGGTGCTACACTGAACTATTGAAGCTTTTTGGTACCAAGTTTTTGAACAAACAAAGAGCTGAATTGTTGTGGATTTGTATGGCTCTCAAACCATGCAATGATCTCAAAAGTTTCATTGGTCTTTGGTTGGATAGCAACTCGGAAATGAATTGGTTCAAGACACTAAACTCCATCTTCAAGTATTCTGTAAAGAAACTTGTGAGTCCCTTCATTGAGAACACTTACTCATTGAAGATGCTCCCATTACAACAAAGACAAAAGCAGCTACTGCAGACCAAGAAGATAGATTTGACGGATGAAGAAGTGGAGAATATCGTTGCACTGGTGGACATTAGTGACGATTCTAACATGGAGCAAGTGTCATGGGAATTCAAGTTATTTATCTTTGAATTATTGAATAAGCTTCTTCAATTAGCTGGGAAATCACCCACCCTATTAGATCAATTGAAGAGCAAGATTTCGGATATAATTAAGATTTCGTTCACGGCCTCAAGCAGCTCAATCACATGCATCAAGCTCAATGGTCTTCTGTTGTTGGATAAATGTTTAAGATTATTTGGAACGTTGGAAGATCCCATGTACCCTGGCACCTCCATATTAGATCAACAACAAGCCCAAATCATCAGTGCTCTTGTTCCATGTTTCAACTCAGATAGCAGTGCAGATATTATTGTTTCGGCTATCAATGTTTCATCCAAGTTTATTAACTTGCCTCGGATAAAGTTCTACTCCAAAAAGAGAATCTTGAAGACTTTAATGAACCTTCTTGAAGAAGTGTCGTCCAACAAGTACATCACCTTTGCTTCCATAGAAGATATGTCTGAGATGGAGAAGAAGTCACTTCAATTATCCATTCTTAATTGTTGGGCATTATTAAAGTTGGGAGTAGAAGATCAAACAAATGATGATCAAGTTGAAGATGATTCGGAAGAAGGAGATAATAATCTTGTGGCTACGCTTGAGAAGTACTCTCATTTGTTGAACCCCTTGTGGATCCTCGCCTTGAAAGATTTCTCTTCCTTGAAACACCAGCCTCTATCCACCAGAGAGATTGACATCTACAATGGGTACTGGATTAACTTCGTGATGGTGTTATGTCTTGAAATGGAAAAGAACTCCGAGTTCACAAGCACGTATTTGAAGGAAGACGAAGCCAACTTCCTTTTCATTTTGTTCAGTGAATGCATTGAGTCTTTGATTGCTGGTAAAAGAGTCCAGGAAACCTTGCGTTCTGTGCTTCGATTGATGCAGAGCAAAGCTTTAGTGGATATTATCTTTAACAATGAAGTGTTTTCAGAAACCATTGATCTCTTTGATCGTTTGCTCTTGATTGAAGACGATACAGAAATCCAATGTGAAGTGGTAGACATTGTTCGTTGCCTTTTTGATACTGGGTTTGAACAGTTCAAAGATGATATTGACCAAGTGTTTGATAAGCTCTTTGAATTGACTAGAGTTTGTTTGCTTCCACTTTTCAACATCTTACCGTTCCTAAGAGTTGACTATGATCCTGAAAATCAGGTGACCAAGTTGGCCTTGAAGCACGCTGACTCTGCTTCCCATTTGGTTGTGTTGAAGAAGGTTTTGATCTCATTGTTGGAGATGATCAACCATTTTGATGAGATCGTAAGAGTAGACTTATACTCGTGTGTGCTCTTCATCTTTTCCCGGATATACGAATTTGGGAATGAACTTCTTGTTGCTGTTGTCTTACCTCATTTGAAACAAGTTGTGACTGAAGTCAAGGCACTTGCTAATGAGAATGAGCTTTTAAACACTTTCTACGGTGTCATTCTTCCCTTCCTAAGTCGCGATAAGAATTTCAGTGTGCTTACACTTGTCATATTGGTAACCAGTGGTGAACTTGAGATTGACGAGACAACTTCAACAGATATGGCCAACGGATTGTTGGAATTACTTAGTACAAATCCGGGGCTAAGCATCCAATGTATCAAGTCCTTGATTGCCGTTTCAGCAATCCGTCACGAGTTGTCGGTAGTCAAATTTGTGGTTCAAAGTGCTGTCAAATCAATTGTTAATGGTGCTGAAACCAGACAAAACCCCCAGGTATTGCTTGAAGTGCTTTTCCTTTATTCACAACTGATAGCTTCCGATTCTACAAAGTCTGAAGCCCTTTATGGTCTTCTTGTTCCACTTCTTGTATCTTTCCAAGAGGCTTCGACTTTAAGCAGAGAGTATTTAAGAGAGAAGCTTTTGTTTTTGGTTTCCCAAAACCCTGAAAGCTTCAAACTGGTTGTGTCACAACGACTCACAGATACCCAGAGAGCCTATGCACAGGAGTTGATGAGCACAGCTGCTCCCCAAACTCAAGTGGTTGATGAAGATCATGTTATTGAGTTGAAGACTTTTGGAGTGTAAAGGTATGATTCATACACACATTTATAATTATATATAGTAGATCAAAATTAACTTAGAGTTGAGCTTCATTGATAGAGAAGGTAGTATTCTTAGGGGCTATCACCAAGGTGTTACCCGCACTTTGAAATTAGAATCGCGTATGGATTTTTCACAGTACGCGTAGAAGTACCATATTCTTGAACACAGTAGATCATCATTATGGATTTCCGGCAGTCGCTATTGCATGTTCCGACGGAAGGAGGTTGTCGTCGGACTGACACAGTTGAATTGTTCAACGGCAAAGTGTTAGAGCTTTGTCGGAAGCCACCCAGTGATTTCCTACTGGATACCGTTGGTATTTCCAAAGAAGGTTCTGTCATTGACATTCCCCAGCTTTTACAAGAGATCGAAGAGACTGACCGACGTCGAAAGAATAGAGCACACATTGCAGAGCTAAGCAAGGAAGGAGTCATACCGAGTATCTCTATTTCTGACACCATTTGGACAGAGAAGTATCGACCCAGATCGTACTTACAAATGTGTACTGCTGGTAATGATAAGGCACTCCGTCAAATGATGCATTGGTTGACGCTGTTTCGAGTTTCAGACGACGATAAACCTGAACCAGATATTCCAGACAGAGTCCATAAGAAGATCCTTCTTGTTCATGGACCAGCTGGTATTGGGAAGACCACAGCTGCACATGCTCTACCTCGTCAAGCACGATACAACGTAGTAGAGCTTAATGCCGCCACGTCTTTTGATTCCATTCCAGGAGTATCTGTTGCAGCCACTATCCGGCTACGGATAGTCAATGCTCTTACCATGAACCAGATCAACACCAGCACCAATAAGAATAACAGGAATATGATGACCACAAGACCCACGTGTTTGGTTATAGATGAACTTGACACCAGTATCCATTCCAACGAGATCGTGCGGGTCTTGGAGCAGCTCTCAAAGGGTACTGTCTTGGGTAATGGGAAGAGTAAACGTAAGTTTGTGTTGAACCGTCCTGTTATTTGTATTGCCAATGATTTGTATGCAAATAATAATGGCCCAACATTCAGTAGTTCTACAGGTCGGCGATTTGGGTCTCCAATGGAACGATTGCGTCCTCTTTGTGAAACAGTGGCCTTCAAAAGACCAATGACAGCCAAGAGTGGGACAGCAATTAAGACCCTCAAGGACCATCTTACTCACATAGCGTCTCAAGAACATTTGGAAGTAAGTTCTCGTGATGTCAGCGACATTGTCTCTATCTGTGATGGAGACATACGTGCATGCATTAACCATTTACAGTTCCATGGAGGCTCCGGAGGAAATACAAGCAGCAACAGCAGCAGCACAATCGACTCCGTTCCTCATTGGTTCCATGTTGTTGATGATACATTTAAACGAGACCCAAAGGTCACACGAGCTGTGAATTTCAATAGGATGCTTCAATTCTATACCACGGGGAGTGGACGGGCTTCTGTGGGCGCAGCTCATGGGAAGATCATCCGAGGTTGTTTCCAACGATATTTAGAGGCTGTTTCTGTTGATGAAGATACCATTGTCAAGCCCGCCCGATTGAGTGAATGGCTCGAATTTTATGACTGTTATCTCAACAGTAGTACGGCACAGATCATGCTTTCGGATTCTTATGTTAGCATTGTGTGGTTAAAGCTATGGTCACTTTTCAACACCAGTGCCAAACTTAATGGTGATGCCATTGCCAGTAGTCGAACTACTGATTTTGCATGTTCCGAAGACGCTCGTCGGAATAATGCCATAATAACGAGTGTGCGAGAACAAATACCTTTGGGAGTTAGGCTTGCTATTGGCAGTGAACCTTGGACTGCCATAGTTGTGCCGTTATTGTATCAGATGGTTTATCTGCCTGGAAGTGAACGTGACACCGAACAAGTCTCACAAGCTGCTCAACTTGTTACTGCGTTAGGGTTTGAGCTTTCTACAAGATATGATCCAGACACCGGAAGAGATGTGACGGCCATGGTACCAGATTTGGATCTGGTAGCTACTTTTGGAGTGAGAAGCAACCCCAAACGTTGGCTTCTATCAGCATTAGCAAGAGAACTTGCAAAGAGACTGACAGCCGAGGGTGCTGCTGCTGCTGCTGCTGCAGTGAAGGAGAAGACAGAAGTTACGCATAAGCGAACATCTGAGAACGGTGTGCCCCAACCACCAAAGAGACAAAGAGTAGAAATGTTTGGGTTGAACAACAATAGGCCGGTTGCAAACAGCACAAAAGGTTCATTCAAACCAGCACGTACATGGGTGAAATACCATGAAGGGTTCTCCAATGCTGTGAGAAAGAACATTGGATGGGAAGAATTATGGAAATGATCCGTGATTATCACGTGCGACATCACGTGATTATATTGATATCTATATGCAGCGTAACTTTCTGACAACTGTAGAACTAATACTAAAACGGTTTTCTACCTGTCATATCTTAGAAGGACATATAGAATAGATAAAATCGAGGAACGCTTTCATTACAATCCTTATATTGTTGGTGTTATAGAACTCACTCTAAGCCATTGCTGCAAACCAACACAGGCTATACGCTTGCAAAGGTTATATACGCTTACAAAGGCTTTACACTTACGAAAGCTAACGACACATATTTACAAAGGATAGGTACTGCTGTCACTACTGTTTTAAGTCCGTGCTCATTATATCCGACAATACAACCCTGTTGCATCCTTGTGGATCTTGGCTTATATTCGCTAAGGTCATTCCTACGTTATGTCAGCTCCCAAGCTCCTCTATGTTGCAGTATATGATCCCATGGCCGTAGCCAGTGGGATCGAGGAACTTGAAGAACTCTATCGTCACGTGGTTGTCTCAATGTCAGGCGAAGTAGATTCCAATGCCCTCATTCAACACATTGGGATGCTCAGAGGGATGACCCTGTTCCATGAAGCGTTCAAGGGAGCAAACGAGCTGGATGCTAAAATCGAAGTGTCTTTGAGCTCCAGTACAATTATTGATCTTGATGCTGGCGAGCACCATGTGATTGTGGAAGTTAGTCTGACAGACTCTTTTGCGGTGCAGCAAGCCACTGTAATAATTAAGCGGGCCATTACTAACTATACGTTGTTATGTGGTGAAAAGCAACAGAACGACACCTTGAAGTTATACTGGGATTCGTTCTTAGCACTGTTCAATACTGGTGGTGTTACTGACGTACTTCCTTGGTGCAACAGACTTAATCCAAGCGGTGCTCTTTCCATGATACCGTCTCGTGATGTGTACCGACGTTCAGCTTTAGGAGGCATTGACTTCAATGGTGTGGAGTGTTCAGCTGCAATTGTGTTCTACACTGGCAAGACCACAGTAAAGAATTACGGTGCTCGATATTTGAGGACCCATGGTATTGGTATGCCTGACAAATCAAGTGTTATTTGGCTATATAATATGCTTGAATTCCTTGACTATAACGGTAACTTAAGTGCTATTCAAGAGGGACTGACGGTTGATAGGTTTTATTCCGTTCCATCGGGTGATACTGCTGCTGGTTCTGATGCTGGTGCTGCTTCTACTGACAACTCATCATCGGCTATGTACGGGTTCCTTAATCCTTTGAACTTTGATCCTAGAGAATATTATCCTGATCCCCGACAGTTGAGTGCACAGGCTTTGAATCCCTTGACCATTACAAATAAGTTTGTGGTGCTGCCATTCTCCAGTACTATGAGCACCATTGGATCTTGGATAAATGGGGAACCCACCAATGCAGAAAATCATGAACAAGTCAATGGACAGGAAGGGAATGAAAATGATGACGAGAATTCTACTGGCTCTTTCCTTATAGGTCTTATGAAAGATGACTCTTCCTCCATCACAAAGCGAACAATTCATGTCCCTTGCAATGGCACGTTTAAGCCATTCCAACTTGTATTATATCTCAGTGATGATCACTTATTTGCAGTTTTATTTGAACCTGGTACGCCAGGCTTAAGTAATCCTTCATTCTATGAAGACCTTGCATCCCAATTCGACTCAAGTCTTGGAATGTCTAAAAGTGTCATGACATTCAATTCCATCCAAGACCTAGTGGCCGACCCAAACATACTTTACGTCATTTGCAACATCCATGAAGGATCCATTCGAACCTCACTTCCTTTCTTAGGTCCACCTGCAATCACTTATTTGCATGAACAACTCATTGAACTCGGAACAGAGTCATCATCCCCTTCAGACACTGAGTTTCTTCACAAGTTCAGATCCAATCGGTCTAACGATTGGACCATTTACCGGATCACATATAATGATAGTGTCATATTCATATTGCTGAACCATCATCGAGGTACGGTGGTTAGTGGTAGTGGTGGTAATCGACCTGTTACTGGTCGTCAACTGACTCCTACAACGACTCTGGACGAAGGTGGTATTGGACTATTCGAAGCACTTGGAGATGATGTAAAACAATGGCTATCCTCTTTACAAAATGATGATGTTTAACTGTGTTTGATATACTTGAAGAAGGCCTCAACATCATGACATATAACTGAAGGAAGACTGGAATTTGCTAAGAATTTGGGTATAATTCCTCCAGGGTTGGCCTTAGTACACATTACCCATTTGCCGTCTTTAACCCATTCTATTGAATGGTATGAAGCAGATACAAGCCGCAGTTTTGCACTAGGCAGCGGGGAAATTGGGATGGAAATAACAAAAAATTCACCGTCTTCTGCTGAAGCCTTATGAACCACTATAAGTTCATGGAATACTCTATCCTTAAGTGGGAATGGCATCAGATACACAAGCTTGGCCGTGTATGCTATGGAAGTGGGAGACTTTGATAGGATCTTTTGAATGTCATATGTTGATAGAGTGTCTATGTATTGAGCTTCGTATGCCGTATGGCTGGCATCGATGTCTTCAGTTGAACCAGCAATGTATTTAACCATTTTGGAATGAGCTTGTGGATGGTTACTAATCCGAGCCACCCATTGATCATTAGCATAGGTTTGAACTTCATTCCCACCGCTTATGACGAAGAGTTTTTTCTTCGCCCATGAAGACTCAATGTTGGAGACAATAGACGATGCTTGTTGAACCAATTGAGGAATGTCCGGTTCCGTGTCCGGGGAGATTCCGTTACCAAATGAGTTGATGTCCATTTTAGTCGGATTAACATGGGAGTCGGATTATTATGTTGTGGTGAGCTTTCTCCGACCCTAATCATGTCAAATTGTTGCTAGTCTGCATATAAGAGCGTATGAGATAACGGTACTACACAGCCCTACACGACCACTATACAGCCATAGCACTATCCCTAGGACTATACACAACTACTACAGTATGGTACTATAGTACTTAAGTAGTGCTACACTACTACTACACTGTTATGGTATTTGTCAGTCTGGTACATGGTACATGGTATGGTACATCCGACAGATGCTTATTAATTTCCTGTATACAGTACCGTATTCTTGATGATAAATTTCAGGACTGAAAAAAAGGATCAACCGAACCCAACAACCAACTACTACTGCTCCTTACTACGGTCATGTCTGGTAGTGAGTTCACGGGTCCCAACCTTAACATTCGGTTAACGTGTCCTGAATGTCGTATTTTCCCACCGGATCTCATTGAACGGTTCAGTGAAGGAGATATTGTGTGTGGAAGTTGCGGGTTGGTGTTGAGTGATCGAGTTGTTGATACTCGGTCTGAATGGCGTACTTTTAGTAACGACGATCAGAATGGTGATGATCCTAGTCGTGTGGGAGATGCTGGGAATCCTTTACTTGATACTGAAGATTTGAGTACGATGATTTCGTATGTTCCCGAAAACACTAAAGTTGGTAGGGAATTGAATAGAGCTCAATCCAAATCACTTGTTGATAAGAAAGATAATGCTTTAGCGGCTGCCTATGCCAAAATAGGACAGATGTGTGATGGTTATCAATTACCTAAAATTGTTCAAGACGCAGCTAAAGAAGTTTATAAATTGGTTTATGATGAACGATTATTAAGAGGGAAATCACAAGAACTGATTATGGCAGCCGCTATTTTCATTGGATGTCGTCGTGCCAATGTTGCTCGGTCTTTCAAGGAGATTTGGGCTTTAACTAATGTCCCCAGAAAGGAAATTGGTAAGGTATTCAAGATTATGAATACTATTATCCGGGAAAAGAATGCATCTTCCATGTATTTCACTCCGGATAATATTCAAACCACTCAAACGTCTGCTGAGGATTTGATCAGACGGTTTTGCTCTCATTTGGGTGTTAGTGTTCAAGTCACTAATGCTGCAGAGCATATCGCTAGAAGATGTAAAGAAGTTGGGGTTTTAGCTGGTCGCTCTCCTATTACTATAGCAGCTACTGTTATTTATATGGCAGCACAAGTATTCAATACTGATCTTCAGCCTTCCAAGATTGCAGATAAGACTGGAGTTTCCGACGGGACAATTAAGACCAGTTTTAAAGTTATGTGGGAAGAACGAGAGAAGCTTATTGATCCATTGTGGAAGGAAAGTGGTAAAATCAAGCTTACAGAACCTATTAAGGTATAGAAACAGGAATTAATGGGAATACAAAGAAATCGAGTCTTTTGAATTAATTTGGAATCATGAAACAGAAAACAGGATAAATAATAATTAAATAACTAGAAATGTATATAACCACTTGAGTTATGTATAATGTCGCATGTACTTTATTGTAGTCGGGTAAAAAATGTCGCCGTACCGCAATATGGCCCCATTTATGTAGCGCGACATTCTTGTGCCCGATTGCAACAATTGTTTAAAGCTGACTCTTCATACTCACGTCGGTGGTAAGAGAAAGAATCGCATTCATCTTCAAGACCGGAAAATCACAACTGTTCGGAAAATCATAGCTGTTCGGATAATCTGGTGTCAACTCATCCCCAGCATGATTCCATCACCAATCTTGAACACTCTTAAACGAGACGTGGTTATAATAGGAGGAGGACCTGCTGGACTTCTGTTGCTTGCAGCCCTTAAGACGTCGCCTTATCTCCGCCATCTACTGTGTACATTGATTGAAGGAGGCTCATTGGCTCTGGCCAAACAGTTTGGCGTAGATCCACCAAAGGAATACACCAACAGAATCATCTCCTTGACCCCGGCTACGGCATCGTATATGGATCTGGGAATGGGATGCTGGAACCATCTACATCACGATAGACTCAAAAGATATAACCACATCATTGCTTATGACGATGACGGCAAGATTGGGTTTGATATGGATGCGTATATGGTTGAAGTCATTAACGTTCAACTGGCTCTATTGAAACGGTTAGCAGAGTTGGAAAATGGCTTTGAAAACGTATGGGATCAATGTAAGGTGACAGAAATTGAAAAGAATGGTGGGTCTGGATCTGATTGGCCCATAGTCAAACTTTCTAATGGTAAGTCGGTTGAAGCCCGGTTATTGGTCGGATGTGATGGCTTCAATTCTCCGGTCAGACATTTCGCCAGAATCCAAAGTAGGGGCTGGCCCTACGATAGATTTGGCGTGGTCGCTACCATTAAGGTATCCAAACCAACCCAAGTTGCATATCAGAAGTTTTTACCTACTGGGCCTTTAGCTATATTACCTTTGGAAGGTGATGATGCTACGATAGTGTGGTCGCTGACCCCGGAATTGAGTGAAACTTTGTGTGCGGCGCCCTCGGAAGTGTTTCCTCATTTGGTCAATGCCGCTATGAAATTAGATTCTCATGAACTTCCATATATTTATGAAATGGTTAAAAACAATGACAATGTTGACAATGTTATTGATGAAATTCAATGGAGATTAAACAAGGCATCTGTTTTTGATAAATACTACGATAATACGGTTACTAAAGTGTTTGATAAATCAAGAGCAAGATTCCCATTGAAAATGTCGCATGCCGATACTTATGTCGCACCAAGAATAGCATTAGTAGGTGATGCTGCTCATACTATCCACCCTTTGGCAGGTCAAGGTCTTAATCTCGGTCAGGCAGATGTCCAGCTGCTTGTAGGGGCATTGGAAAAGGCTTCCACCAGAGGTTTGGATATAGGTTCCACTTTAGCTTTAGAGCCATATGTTAGTGAAAGATGGCCTGCTAATCACGTGATGCTCGGGGTCTGTGATAAATTCCATAAAGTATTTGGAGTAAATTGGGGTCCATTCAATGCTATGAGAGGATTTGGAATGAATACTCTTGATTCTTTGGGATTGGCAAAGAATTTGATTGTTAATCAAGTGTAACGTTTTGTATATAAATATTTTAAAGTAATTATGACGATTAAGAAAGAAAGTATATCCAATATAATTGAGTTTATTTCCGGAGATTGTTTTGTTACTCTGTTGTGTCCATTGTAAACAAAGAGATCACTGTATAATAGCTATAATTATTGTCATAGTTATAATTATAGTCATAGTTATTATTATTCTATGAAAGAGACGCAAATTACCGGATTAGGCAACTTATGTTATCAGCAATAAATTGTGTGTCTCATGTCAAATAATGCCCCAACTTTAACTTATATCAATCAACATGTGTCCACTTCTCTTGACAGTTCACATATCTCCGGTATGTTGAAACTAATACCCCGTTCAAGACTCATCCAAGGATCAGCCGTACGGTTTGTACGGTTTCAATCAGACCTCATTATCAAAGATAAGTATCTGATACTCAGAGAAACTTATGATCCCACCAAATACCCCATAGTACTTTGCCATGGACTTTCAGGCTTTGATACGCTATTGAAATCTGACGCCATCAAAGACTTACCAAAGATTGACTACTTTAAAGGTGTTAAACAAGCCCTTGTTGCCCTCGGATGTCAGGTGCACATCACCCGGGTTCCTCCGTTTGGTACGATATCTGAACGAGCTCAAGCACTTTATGAATCTACAAAGGATTTAGGTCCTATAAATTTGATATGCCATTCTATGGGTGGCTTAGATGCTAGATATTTGATTCATAAAAATCCCAATAATCATGATGTTAAATCTTTAACCACCATTTCAACTCCTCATCGAGGTTCTGAGGTGGCGGATTTTGTGCTAAACTCCACCTTACCTCCGCTTAGTTATTTATTGCCCCAAAGCATACGTGAATTAACTACAACTCATATGGCAGAATTCAATGAAAAGGTATTTGATGATCCTAAAGTCTTATACTTCAGTTATGGAGCCCAATTCAACCCCAATTGGTTCAGTGTGTTCATGCCAGGTTGGTATATCATTAAAATGTTACATCCAACAAAGCAGTTTGCTAATGATGGGATGGTAACAGTGGAAAGTTCTAAATGGGGCACATATTTAGGAACGTTGGATCAAGTGGATCATATGGACTTGATTAATTGGACAAATAGACTTCGAGCTTTATTTGATAAAGCATGGTTCAATACTGACCCCAAATTTAATGCCCTTGCATTGTATTTAGATATCATGGATAATTTGTCTAAACGAGGTTTATGATGAAATGGTGACAGTTTTAATCATTTGGAACTCTTGCACTCCCCACTTGCTATTAAATCTTCCCATACCACTTAAATTAACTCCTCCATGTGGTAAGGTAGATTCATCATGGATAGTAGGCAGATTAATATGGACTCCACCAACTTGTATTTGTTTGGCATAATCAAGGGCCTTCATTATATCTTTAGACCAAAGGGAAACCTTCATCCCATAAGAACCTTCGTTAAGTTTTTGGATAAGTTCTTTGGTGTCCAGATAACTAGATAGAGTGAGGACTGGACCAAATATTTCAGTATGAGATATTTCCATCCTATCAGTAATGTCTCCAAGTATAACTGTTGAGCTTTCGTCATCTGGAATAATATCTGGGAATATCAATGATGCACCTTTAGTTAAAGCATCATCAATAAGAGTTTTGACCTTAGATCCTATAGAAGAATCTCTCACCTTATGATTAAATTGTGGTTCCTTAGCTAATTCTTCAGCAACTGTTTGCAATTTGGTTTTAAAGTTCTCAAATATTGACTCATGAACATAGCAACTATCAGTAGACATACATATTTGGCCTTGATGAGCCCAACTGGCCCAGATAGTCTTAGGAATAGCTTCATCCAAATCAGCATCAGGTTCTATAATGGTGGAGTTCTTACCTCCTAATTCAAGTAAACATGGTTTCAAGTATTTGGCAGCAACTCCTGCAATGATTTTACCCACGTTAGTTGAACCTGTAAAGTTGATCTTTTTGATGAAAACATTCTTAAGCATCAAATCTACAAACTTAGGGGTATCTTCAATGGTTGTATGAGCCAATTGAATGGTCTCACCAGGTACGCCTGCTTCAAGAAACAAACGTACTAACAAATATGCAACTCGAGGACATTTCTCTGTCAGTTTGATAACAACAGAACAACCTGCAGTTAATGGTGCCAATATGGATCTGGCACAAAGAATGACTGGAGCATTCCAAGGACTCATAGAGAGTACTGGACCTATTGGCTCCTTAATCACCATTGCCAACTTACTAGCGTTCAGTTTGACTATTTCTCCATCACTAGCTGATAGTTGAGCTGAATATTCATCAATAAAGTCAATCAATGTACCAACATTAAAGTTTACAAACCAATCAGGTCCTCCAATCTCAACATGCGCTTCTTTAAGTTCATCTTGCCTTTCAAGTGCTAAGATCTTTGCCCTTTCATATATTTTCCTTTTATCCAGAAACAGAATGTCCCTCCATTTTTGCATACCCGTTGCAGCAATTTCAGCCAACATATTTACGTCCTTCTCAAGATCACGTAAGCAAGATGCTGGCGTTAGCTGACAACCATTTGGATCAACTACTTGTTGAGTCACACCGGTAGTCAAGATATCTTGACCATTTAATATCCAAGGTATAAGTTTCTCCGACATTTTTCCGAGCCTCGCATGTGTGTGCGTTTGGAAGGCTGCAACCAAATTGTTCTCTGGTGGTGTAAAGGGTCTTTTTATACTTTTCTCCAGGGTTTATTTTTTAACACACACCACGCAAGAAATTCCGTTATCTCCAAAAGACTGCACATAGTCCAAGGCAGCTGCGTACATTACTGCTGAGGTAACCACAATTTCATCACTCTACACAAGGTTCATTTCTTTGAACTCTTCAGCACAAACATCACAATAGTTGATGAGTTCAGAGAGTGAAGAATGTGATGCCGCAAGGTCTTCCGACGGAACCTTGGCCACAATAGATTCTCTAAATGATTGACATCGATTGTGTTCTCCACGAATCCAGTTCTCCCACTCAGCTTTAACCAACTCCGATTCCAACTGGTTTAGCATACGTAGTTTAACCATAAGTGCGTATCTTTCAACAGCAATATCATCATAAGAAGACCGTAAAGATCGAGCAATGTTTCTGGTCGAAAGATCTCCGTAATCTTCGTCTAAGAGTCCGTCCGAGAGAATCAATGACTTGGAGTAGAATTCTCGATATACTGACGAACTAGACAAGTTAACCTTCATGGGTTCAACAATATCTTGAAGATGTACAGCCTTGTGGATTATAGTTGGTGCTTCACTTAAATACGAATCAACAACCCCTTTAGCTTGTCTCATTGCCCAATAAGAAACTATAGAGGTTTTTGTTAACCACATATTGTAAAGCTCCAATATAATTATCACTAAGATCAATAGCTTATTGATATTGTGATAAAGGGTTTGAACTCCGTCGATAACAACCTTCTTTAGCACAGTAATGGAGTAAATCAAAAATGACCGGAACAAATGAATGAAAATATAGTAAGAACCAAAGTAAAAGACAGGGGGTGGTTCTTGATTGTCTTCAACAGGTTCATCGGTTTTACTTAATTTCCCATATAAATAAATTGCTTTCACTGCCATGCCATGTGTTCCAACGTCACTAACAATCCTATTGAATAATGGTGTAGTGTCCAGGGCTTCCATTTTCAATATACCACAGACAAAATTCTTTGTTAACAAATTAAAAATCAGGTTTCCTAGAAATTTGATGTTGCAATATACAACCAATCTTGTCTTTGCTCTTGTTGACCGAACTAAAACAAATTGATACTCAACCACGAATTTGGAACCGATGAATAATTCAAAAAGACTAGCTTCATGGGTGAAGGTATAGTATTCATCATCAACAAATTCATCAATCTTCTGTACACCTTTAATTTCACCTTCTGTTGATGTGGTACGAACTCTGGTGGTAAAGCTTCTAACAAGCTTACCATCTTTGTCCGTATGCCATGGTTTGTTGCTGAAGCGCTCAAGCGACATGAATGAAAACGCAGACCTTTTCAATACTGAGTAGTCACCAAGAAAAGCATGCAAAAGTACCTTAGGAGGAACATCAAATTCGCTATCAATAATCTTTTGGTACAGATCGGTGAAATCAACTTTAAAAGATTTCTGTTCATTAGTACTTGCTTTTATAAATGTTGAAGGATTAACTTTGTCATCTGTTGGTAAATCGCCGAGTTCATAGAGTGCCTTTGCTTTTTTTGCTTGTTCCTTTTGCTTTTTGTAGTCTATTTCTAGCGTTGTAAAATGCTCAATGATCTCCTGTAATTGCTTAGGTTTATCACTGGCAACATTGTGTACCAAAAAGACAAATTTATCTTTAATCAACTTAGTTTCCTCCAAATAAAGCTTCATTCTGAAGTTACCATCAACTGTATAGATTCGTAATGATTGGTAATCTTTGTGTATAGAATAATCAGCAGATATATTATGAGACATCGGCGATTTAACTAAGGCAACGAAGCCCATGATTTGCATGTAGAAATAAATGTGGTTTGCAGTTACAAATGCTCTACCACATAATTCTTGTCTTGAATTGGGTGACCAGAAGCATTTGAAAGAAATCAAACAAAGATCACCAGGTTCAACGGCCGTTTCAAAAAGCGCTTTCATCTGAATATCCAAAGGAACCAATTCCTTGGGATAATATGAAGGGTACATATCGGAGAAAGAATCGGAGCTACTAGGGAAAAAACCCTTGACGGATATTTCATCATCAGAATTCGTAACGTCATGAATGTATTGTAAACCCCAGTTTATTGTCCCCCATACATTTGCAGAGAGTGCTGTTGGCACTGTTGACGCGGCAGTAATGCTATAAGATATGATGGACGATTTGGTTTGATCAGTGACAAACGGAGGTCTTATAGTTGGGATTTGAATGTACATGTATTTCAGAAAAAACTTAAGACTCTTTTCAATTCTTGTGGATAAGTTTGTTGATACAATCACAAGTCCAGAATTATTGGTGATTTTTGTATTTGTTAAAGCACGATCCATAATTGTTAAGTTCTTATTTGCAAACTCAGTTACAAGGGGTGGATATCTTCCTGAAGCCAAATTGTAGAGAGCTTCATTTTCAGGTTTACCATCAATGACTCTTTGTTGTTCATTCTGAAAAACTTTCAACCAAGACTTCAATTCATGTAATGTTTCAGCCTGGAATACCAATGTCAAATCCATTGTTTTGATCTCAAAGCAAAATCTCCTTTCTTCATTAGGTGCGTATCTTACATTGGTTAGCAAGACACCTATTTTATCAGTTTCTTGAACAAATGTTTTGGACGGACTTAAAACAAGCAATCCAAATACCCCATTCTTAACAAAGACCCATCTTCGAACCCAAATAGGCTTATTTGACTTATCCATCCAAGTTTTCATAAACAAGTAGCCATGTTTAACACATTCTGGTTCGTTTATCTCTTCAAGAACACATTTGTTTATAGATGAAGGCTTATAGTCGTTGATATTACTTGAAGGTTTCAATTGAAGAGCAGTGGATTCTTCTACTTGAACTCTTGCTGATAACAGATCGGCAGACAACTTATTAAAGGCACTGGAATAGGCTGCATTCCAACTATTATATTGCAGAACCTTTTCCCAAATTTCAGAAGCACTACCTGAGGCTATCAGAAGACTTTTGTTCTTGGGTAATTTCTTCTTCCATATCTTATTGATAAGTTTGATCACCAGCTTATCAAGAACAGCACTTATAGAAGCCAACTCCACTATCAAGTCCAAGGAGTTATGGATATATTCCTTCCGTACTTGATACAAATGTTGAGCATCCTCATACACTTGTGTAGGGTCCATAACCTTAGGGTGCGCGGCATAGGTATTTAAATACATGTCATACTTCTCCTGAGAAGCAGCAAACCGTTTACGGATCTCTCTGTACTCAGCTATTCGTTTGGAAGTGGTTGCTCTGAAGTCCTCTGTAAGCTGAGGACTCATAGTCAAATTGACGATACTTTGCTTGTATATGTCTTTTAAGGCACTAACACTTGTGTGAAGGGCCTGGACGGTGTACTCCTGGTTGATTAACCCATCAGCTAAAAAGGAGGAAGACAAGTGCTCTACAAACGAGTTAAGATAAAGTTCCAAGTCCTTCACGTACCGAGGAACCTTCTCAATCGATTGATGAACGGCATCCACCCATTTCTCAATGTTGTCAAGTTGGATATCAAGATGGTTGACGGAGGCTCTGAAACTTGGGGAGTCAAGAACTGCCTCCTTTAGGTTAACGGATATCAATTTAAACTGCCGTCCACTCAGAAATTCCGGCTCCTGAGTTGGAGATCGCCTTGAAGCCATGATGCTTATGATCCGGATACAGGGATTATATATTTGAACTATATATTAGTATTAAAAGGAAGAAGAAGTAGTAGGTCTATTATTTACTGCGGGCGTCCCTGGTGTAATATTATGGCCCGTCTATATGGCTATCAACATGTTATGTACAGGAAAAGTTGATACTCAAATTAATACATTTTTTTGCGACCAAATGGTCAACGAAAGTACATTAGTTTTATAAATTAATACCCTATTAATACTATAATATATTATACTATACATTTGTGCAAAAATTAAGCCTTATTCTTTGGCTTCTTGCGTGCACAGGAGGACTCGGGATGATACTCAAAAAATTGTCCCATTTTAATCACCCCAGTTCTTGTCTTTAAGTTCTCTTTACTAGCAGGTCCTTCAATTAAATAGCCTTTCCCAATTGGGGGTCTAGCACGATGCTTCTTTTCAAAAGTCGCATGGGTTTGCGTATGAGGGTCGTATTCCACAAAGTGCACTTCCTGTTCAAGGTTCCAAGTTTGAACATACTCTTGATTTGAAAGAGACTTTGCATGTGGCGGTGTTGGAAAATGGTTGGTGGATACTGATCTTAATACCTGTTCACCAGGATGTGTTGAAGTTGAAGATTTCATTCGCCGATGCCCTCGTTGCTGACGTGGTGGCTGTTGAGACATGACTGGGAATTCGAAAGATGCATCCTGGTAAACAATGGTTTGTGGTTGTGGGATTGCACGTCTTTGGTGTACAGGCATTGGTGAGAACCTTTGGGATTGAAGGTGCTGTTGTTGTTGTTGGAACTGGTGGTGTTGATGTTGATGTTGTGGGTGAGGGTGTTGTTGGTGATGGTGATGATGTGGGTGATGATGATGATGGGGATGTTGATGGTGACTATTTTGTTGATGTTGATGATGTTGGTGTTGATGCTGATGTGGATGACTACTATTATGCAACTGAGGGCCATTTAAAAAGGGCAATGAGTTAACGTGTTGAGGTCCCGGAGGACGGATTGCTTGTGAATGGCGATTTGCATCTGGCTCTGGTCCTGGAGTTATAAATGGCGATGATTCAAGTACTCGAGGATGCATTGACGAAGCCAAGTTGATGTTACTTGAGTTACTCCGTCTTTGCATGGCCTTTGACAACGACGACGACGACAACTGCCTCTTGATGTCAGTCTTATGTGCACTATAATTCGACACAAGCAGTGCATTAAGCACAGGAGGTTGTTGGGACTCATCAACTATACTCTTACCCCTATTGCTAACAATCTTGATGGAAGTTTGATGGCTGTCAGTAGACTCATTGAACTTATAGACAAGACATAGGTGGACGGTAGAAGCTTTGATGTCCAAATCGTGATTGTCACACAGTCCATTGGTGTATAGCACTTGGACTATCGTGAGGTCCTTCAAATGAAGTCCCACGTTGGAGGATCCATTGGTTAATAGAGAAAGGTACCCCGACCAAAAGTTCTTCATAAAGGGTATATGCATATTATATTCCCCGGCATTACTCAACGAGAACCCGGTTGATGCCTCAACGTTTTCTACTACTATTTTATCCTGGTCGTAGATTCTAGTGAGAGACTTCCAAGAAAGTAACCCAGGGGTAACATCTTTTAGGGAGTCACTATCAGAATCCCGTTCCAGCACCTTAAGGGATAATAACGACAGGAACTTCCCTCTTAACAAGTCAAGACTCTCGGTGCTGGAGCCTGAGACCTTAACGTTGGAGTCCACGATCCAAAGAGGAACGTCGTGACACTTTTCACTGGTAAGAATCTCATTTAACTGTTTATCCACGGCTACAGGTTCTCTAGGGGGAACAGATTCCGGGATAACTTTGTCCAACTTGGTGAATACTTCTTGATAGTCACTCTGTGAGTGTGAATACTCAATCTTGAAATCGTCAGGACTAATAGCGTACCGTTTGGGGTCACGACTGTCAAAGTCAAGCGGAGACGAAAGAAGTAACTCCAATTCCTTATCGATATCTTCATCAAATGTCGACTCTAAATGAGTCGCCTTATTACCATTGAAATCCGGAGTGAGCTCTTCAACTGGGGTGCTTATGCCATTGAAGTTATCATCAACAATGTTGTCAATTCTCTTCTGGCCCATCAACTCCACTAACCGTGAACCGATTTCTTTGGGTGACCTATGAATCCCAACTTTATTGTATATCATCCTGGCCAATACTCTGTTCTTTGTTGTCTTCCGGAGCACAGAGGTGTTCTTGAGGGCATTCTTGAAGGTATTATATTTGTGGCATGCTTTTATTAAGACTTCATCAAGTTCTTCGTTCCACCCTTCGGCTGTAACAGGCAACGCCCTGGAACCAGCCGCCGATTTCTGTATCTTGGCGGGAGTCTCAATCACAGAGTCAATCTGAGAAGCTATAGTGTTATTTGGGGATTCGTCAACCATCGTCTTACGTTTCTTGGAAAGAGGGGTCATTGTATTATGGGACTTAGGTTTGGTGACGTTCTTACTAAAGGATTCATCTAATGATGTAGAAACAGAAACATTAACTCCAGACCACACGGAATCATTATAAACAGAAGAATCAAGAGATTCTACTCTTTGATGAGAGTTCATTTGAAGAACTGGCGACGAGGAAGAAACATCATTACCATCGTCCTTCTCTTTTCTTGACTGTAACAGTTTAGTTGGGCTGCTGCTCTTAGGATTGGTGAAAGCTTTTATAGGAGTCAATGAAAGCCCCAAGGGAAACATATCACTACCGTTGTTGACGCTTCCCATAGGCGACACACGGAAGGGCGAATTGAAATTAAACATCGGCAGCGTACCATAAGGTAAAGCAAACATAGGAGTGATCCCGCCAATCAGAGGCCTCGAGTTTGCTCTTGGAGTTCTTGGAGTTTTAAATACATTGTCTAAATCACCAGTGGCAGATGCAGAAGTAGTTGCAGCCGCAGAAGCCATGTCGTTAAATGATGATGATGATGATGATGATGATGCGACAGAAATTGATGTAATGGAACAAGTTGGTATGATGGAAGGAGGTAAAGAATCTAATGTTATGTAGAGGAAAGGGTACTTCGAAGAATGGATCTAGGAAAATAAGTTCAAAGGTGATACTTGATTATTAATATAGTTCCATGTCAACTTCTACACGAGAAGATGCAAATGCGTGTGATTTAGCAGTAAGGGGTCGTATGTAGTCAATTGATGCATGGAGCTGCAAGCCTGTATATCACCCCTGGAATAACAAACCAAGGATTTAATAGACAGATACAGCCGTCATGTACCGCTTATTATTTTGCAGTAAAAATATCATCAGCAACCTGATGGAACAATTCACCAAATCAGATAAGAAAGCTGAAACAACAATCAGGGAGCGCCTTTTAGGAATGCCTGATGAATAAGATCCAGCAGAAGTGTACTCAAAAACCCATGTGCAAATGATATACACTTTGAGTTTTTACTTCGTGTATGATTTGTGTTAGGCTGCGGTCATCGAGGGCCCTATCTCCACTGCACATATACGCCACTAATGGTCAAATAACAGGAATATCGAGTACTCTCGGTGGATGAGTGCCATGTAATCTATGATCAAAGATCAAAAACTTTAGCTGTTTCATTTTGAAACAGACGATGCTTGAAAGAAATAGTTAATCCATCAGGTCAAGCTAAAAGGTTCAAATAACTTTCGTGTTTGTGTGCTTCGATCGTAGATCTGCATTTCCAAATTTGGCTGTTCCAAAATGGTGATGATAGTAGGCATGGAAGCACGTCCCTGCAGCAAACAGGGTTGTGGGGTTGGTTGCAGGAAAAGTATGTATGCCGCTTTTGGACAAACAGTAGCCTTCCGCGACGGGCCTGATAGATCATGCTAATGAAGGAACCATCGTGCAGAATCTGAAACACATAAAATTCTAAAGTAATAAAATGGCTGTTAGCTACATTCATAGTTCAATATGCATACGTACGTTATATAAAATATATAAAGTTACATGCGTATATACTTTGCGTCTCATTATTATAATAGCCGAAATAGCCAAAAAAGAACAAAAAACAATAACCATACGAATAAAACAATCGATTAATAGTATGAGTTGTCAAGTGCTAATTGAAGAGTATTATATTAGCACGAATCATATTTTGTTATCTCGTATCTTCTAATGAAGAACCATTTTGTTTACCAAACTTGAGTATCTCCTCCACTATTGCAGCACTTAACCCCGGATTGGAATCTTCGTACTGAAGTAATACATTAATTAACTCCAGAACTGTACGCTTGGTTTCCTTTGACTTAGCACGCAAATAAACCCTTTGTAAACAGAAATAAAGTACTTCTCCAGTACAAAGGCGGGGACTTTTGGGTTCCACCAATGAGGTTTTGTCATTATGACTGTTAATATTATTATTCACAGCAGCTGCCTTTGCCATAGCTCCTCGGAGTGAATTGAGAGCTACCAGAGTAACCCCCACGGTGTCTATTTGCATATTACTACCGTTGCCAATTGAGCTTTTCACGTCAATGTAGTCTTGTTTCCCAATTGGGCCCTGGCGTAAAGATTTAAGAGTTTCAAAATCCCATTCAATCCTTTTGTCATCCCAATTGGGATTGTCATGTTTTTGGTGGTGTATAAGGTCATCTTCATTAACCCAATCAAGAGGGATTTTGTACCTTGGAACCTTTGGAGTCTTGGGGTTCCGCGTTTGGTGACGTTTAACCGATTCAACCAATTTGGCAAATTCAACAAACAGTGCATTCATTATAAAGGGATGTCTAAGTAAACTTTGAGCTGTAGGTCGATCCTTAGGTTCCATTTTTAAACAATCTTTAACAAACAGCTTAATGTAACGGGAGTATTTGTCACCTTTAAGAATTGGAGGCTCACACTTAGGAATTTGGAACACCATTTTCATAGGATCTTGGTCCAGCAATGGAGGTACGCCTCGTACCAATTCAATAGTTGTAATACCTGTTGACCAAATATCAACCCTTTCATCATAACCACCATATTTCTTTCGAGCAATGATTTCTGGTGCCATCCAAAAGGGGGTCCCCACAAAAGTTTTCCGTTTTATGTGAGTGTCAGTAATTTCTCCACTAACTCCAAAATCACCAACTTTCACTTCTGCATTGTCTGTGACCAAAATATTAGCCGCTTTAATATCTCTATGAACCTTTTGTTGAGTATGCAAATAATGAAGTCCCTTTAATGTTTCTCTAATCACAAATGCCGCCAGAGTCTCCGACATTCTTTTGACCACTCGAAGTAAATCAGAACAGGATCCTCTTCCACAGTATTCCATAACAACATACATTTGAATGTCATCAATGAACGCTTCACAATACCTGGTGATAAATGGGGATCGGAACAGTGAAAGAAACCTGATCTCTTGGATTAGCGACCCCATGTCTTCAGAACAATCAAGGTTGATTACTTTGATGGCATACACTTTTTTGGTTGTTTTATCGGTTGCCTTGAAGACATCGCCAAAGTTACCTTTACCAATACATTCTCCAAACTTATACTTGACTTCCGACATGATGATGGTTGACGGTTGTTGCAGAAGAACAAAGCATGTTTATAACTTTTTTTCGCAGTCGATTATAAGCTGACGCCTAACTCGCTACGACATAACCCAACTTGGCTGCTCTATTCTTAAAATAAGTCTTTGCTTCAGGTGTAAGCTGAAGGGCTGGATTGAATGACTTGATGGTATCAAGTTTGCACCCATTAAGAACCATGAACTCAGTGACCACAAACAATTTCTTTAAGGCTCTTGTAGTTGGATCTTCCACCTCAATGTACTTCCGAAGTGAGTATTCCACCAACGGGACTTGTTCATGATTAGATAATTGAACCGTGGCATTGATATCTCCGCCCATAAGATAAAGCTGAAGGACTTTGAACATATTTATTTGTTGAACCAGACGAATGAGTGAAACAGTGATCTCTTGATGCGGTTCAACATCATTAGCAGTACATAAGAACTTCTTTTCAACATACTTCATCTTGACATACCGGAGTCTTTGTTCATCTGAGGAATTGGGAGAAGGTTTCATCCCCGGAGGAACATTTGCCTCGAGAATTGCATTGACATTCTTGTTGTTAACAAAGTTAAGCAACTCTTCTACTTCTCCATCAAAGTAATCTAATACTAAAGATCGTATTTTGGATACATGGGTCCCCAAATTCCGATGACAAGATGAGCATCGTATACAGAAACAGCATAATAAATTAATCGACACCCACTCAACAGATTCCTTGGAATTACAATCAACACAATATGAATTGTTCCCATCCGGAACCAGTCTAACATTTGATAAGTAGTTTTTTGTCACAGGCGATGATTTGAATGAAGTCGGCGACGCAGATGCTCCTGTTCCCTCGGCAACATTGGTATTCAACTTAAGACGATGGGCATAGGTTATTTCCTTCCTATTATTATGATTGTGTTGTATGGAACTAGGAGATGGATCGGAACCGTGCAACAATGCAAACTTTGAAGTATTCATGGATTTGGCATTGGCTATTGCCTTTAACCATTTATTTAAGTCATCTTCATTAATGGCTTGGAAAATGTGTTTGTGACCGCTTGGAGTTATTAATTCAAAGCAATTCTGTCTCTTTTCGTAAACCACAGGTTTAACATTTGCAAGAACTATCTCAATAGGTGGACTACTGGGAATCTTGGCTTTCCTCCAATCAGAGTATTCTGAAAGCAAAGCATCTTTCAAAATAACCAATTCTTTATGCCAACCAGGTTTACCCTTACCACCTAATTTGTATAGTATACCTGACATTTCGCTGTCCGAGATGCTTGTATCTCTTCCTCCTTGGTTGTCTGTCAATTGATGTGATGGTTCATCATTGGGGTTATGGGTGAAATCTTTGAATACCAAATCCAAATTTGATGGGGTAATGATTATGGTTTCTTGTGGGAAGTTATTCAACAGATAATGACTAATTAGGTTTGTTAATTGTTCATTATTCTTGCATTTGGAAATCATTTTCCTAAATTGCAATCGTTCACTTAGAAACTGGGATGCCACGTTAATATAAATGTAGTACTTTGAGTTTGAAGGTTTTTGTAATGGTTTCTTTTCCAAAGCATTATCTATAGCAGTCTTGTCGAAATCTTCATCACCACCGGTAAACGCAAATAAACTGCCTAAAATTCTTAGAAAAATAGGATTGGAAATTGGAGATATTAAGTGATCCAAATAATCAAAGTTGGAACTAACAAAAGTTTTTCTTTTAATTAATAATTTGGATTCAGGTTTATCCTTTTCATTAGTAAGATATACTTTCAACCAACTATAATAATCTTTAGAATTCCCTTCAAATGTCTTCTTTAAAGACTCACTTTGGGAAAAATACGTTTCGTCCATAATTAGCTTTTGAACTTCTTTAACTTCCATTATGCTACTAAGAAAGAATTGAATGTTGGCTTCAAATAACTCAAACATCGATAGAAATTTGGCTTCAAATTCCTTTTCAAATGAAAGCCTCTTCAAAATAGGGTTGCCATGATGACTAATGAATGTTTTAAAGGTATCACATATTTTTTGTTTGTTCAATCTGAGCTTCTTCATAGTATTTTCCAACGACTTTAATTCTTCATGTAAATGGGAGAATACCTTCTTCACGTCAGCGGATGAATCTTCATAGGCTTTTAACGTCTTTCTTAGCTCGGGTCCATCTTCGATATTGAAGCCAAAAGCTCGTCTATATTGCGACAACGTGAATGCAATGTTCTTGATGGGTGCAGCAGACGCAGCTGCAACAGGAGGAGCTGTAACTGCAGGGGAGGCAGCTGTAACTGTGGGGGAAGCAGTACCCACAAAATACACTTTGCTTCTAAACAACGGAATGTAATCTTCAGTGTTAGAATAGTACCATAACGATATCGATGTCATCCCTGATTCAAGGTCATCAAAACTATCACTTAAAACCACTGATTTGGAGCTAGTAGTGAGTTTGGAAAGGGCTATACGAGACAATTCGCTCTCAATAACATCTCCACTAACTAGCGTTTGATGTAAGCTGGCAAATGTTGTATCGCCGTGTTGTTTACTGTGTTTCTTAAGGATAAGTATGGAACCGTGTGGGGGAAGGTACTCGAATGTCACATGAAACTTAATAGTCTGATACTCATAAGGCACTTGAAGCACCACTGGTGAGGAAGCTGTAGCGGATGCAGAAGCAAATCCTGATCCCGATCCTGATTGGTCTGGTACTTCATCATTCTGTATATATGTGAATTGATGTGGGACTATATTGCTTGTCTTTGTCTCTATCTTTGTAACGGTACAGTCCACTAAGTTAGCCACAATCCGATAACTATCATCTTCGTTGCTTAACGATACTTTGACAATACTCAATTGTACTTGTTCACATCTCAGAGCCTGCCACGGGAAGCCTAGAACGCTCATATTGATGGTGAACTGACTTAAGTAAGTATGCAAAGTTAACAGTAGCAGTAACTACTAATCATGAATGCGTCAACTTCTATTTTTCCGTCTATACATGTATTCGCACTATTACATACAGGACACACAATCAAATGTAAAAATATACATGGCAACGTATACGTACATACATGTATGTGCTTCCCTGTAAGGTAACAAAAAACTTGCGAATTCTGTGGATCGAACACAGGACCTTCAGATTAACTGTGACTGGAGTTTTAACTTCAGTCTGACGCTCTCCCAACTGAGCTAAATCCGCAACAAACCCACGGCGGGAGTCGAACCCGCAATCTTTTGATTAGAAGTCAAACGCGTTAACCATTACGCTACGCAGGCCACTTGTTGAAAAAAATGTGCATACAAAATATATCAAGCTTAGAAGAACATCTTGTTCACGTGAAACGTCACGTGCTAAGTGAAAAAATTGATAGTAGTAATTGCAATAGTATGATTTAATAGTCATTATGACCTTTTGCAATTGTTTGCCCTGATTTTTATGTTGTTAGCACGAAGATTACTAATGAGGCGGACTATCCATAATATGATTCTGTTGAACTCCAAGGAGCAGAAGATCCGTGACTTGCTTATTGACTTTTGTAATGAATATAACCAACAAACCAATAATAAGGACCCTCTTGAACTTCGAATTAGTGGTGGTTGGGTTAGAGATAAATTGCTTGGACTTGAAAGTCATGATTTGGATATTGCCATTAACACGCTTCTGGGAGAAGAGTTTGTTACTGAATTGGAAAAATATGTGGGCAAATATCGTCCTGAATTGAAGATGGAAACCTTCCATACTATTAAAAAGAACCCTGAAAAGTCCAAGCATTTGGAAACTTGTACTACGAAACTTTTTGATATGGATATTGATTTTGTTAATTTAAGATCGGAAGAATACAGTAATGAAAGTCGAGTACCAATTGTACGATTTGGAACTGCTGAAGAGGACGCCTTGAGAAGAGACGCCACGTTAAATGCATTATTCTACAATATGAATAAAGATGAAATTGAAGATTATACCAAAACTGGGATTGAAGATTTGCAAAATGGAATTTTAAGAACCCCATTGGCTCCCCTACAGACGTTTTTAGACGATCCATTAAGAGTTTTAAGAATGATACGATTTGCATCAAGGTTTAGTTTTATTGTGGACCCCACAGTGTTGGAAGCCATGGCTAACAAGGAGATTAAAGACACTTTATTATTCAAAATTAGCAGAGAAAGAGTTGGTGTAGAAGTGGAGAAGATGCTTATCAGTCGACATCCCGAGTATGGTTTGAAATTAATTAATTACGGAGGTTTAAGTGAATGTATATTTTCTCCAGGAGGAGAAATGTTGACGTTAATTGAAAATGTTAACGATAAATCAGTATTGGATAATATTGATTTGATCACTCAACATATTCCCAAATATTTAAACCTTGTGGCTAATTTATACCATCCAGTGTTTGAAACTGGACTTAATGATTATCCTAGATTGAAGAGAATCTTCCAAGCGACTTTAGACGATCCGTTATCTATTAAGATCTTTTGGTATTCAAGTATTCTTCAGCCTTATGATGGTCTTCAAGTCAAGACCAACCCGAAGAAGATCAACTCTTACACTCCATTGAGTCTTTTAATTGTAAGAGATGGACTCAAGTTGGGAAAACATCACTTTGAACCTGTGGGGAAGATAACCCAAGGGTTCGAGAGTCAAAGACCGATTCTTGAACGGTATTTCCGTGATCCTCAAGTGATTAAGCGATCTGATCTTGGGAACTATATGAGATACTTTGGGTCCTATTCCAGTATTAACATTCTAGTTAATTGTTTCAGTGATGTCGTTGAAGCTGTTCAAAATGTAGTGGGTGAAGATAATGAGGAGGTTAAAATATCAATACCAGATCCTCATACGATGACAGACCTTCCAGTTGATGATGATAAGCTTTTCAAGCCTATACAGAAGGTTCTATATGACTATGATCACTTCATAAAAGCTTTAGAAGGGTTAAAGCTTATGGAGGCGCATAACATAAAGCATTTGGTGGATGGGAAGACATTAATGAAAGTGCTTGGACGGAAGCCAGGGCCATGGATGGCTAAGACCTTGGACGTAGTCATGACATGGCAATTAGATAACCCCGAAGGAACCGAAGAAGCGTGTGTGGAATATATCAAGCATTTAATACCAGAGAAATAGAGATATGGTGTGATTTAATAGACAGAACTGAGCATATACAAGTAAAATAGTAGTTAATTGAAGTAAGATCCGTTCAGATGTAATAGCGACCTTTATACTCACAGTGTATAAGCCATAGTAACTCTTGGTAGTGTTCTGTTTACGTTGACACTGTTAGACATAGTATAATAAACGAGTGTGTAACAGACGGCTATAGCATTTCCAAAGCTCCGATCGAGTATGGAGTTCTTTTCGCTAGGGTCCGCGTCGATCTGGGTCCAATACCTCCTCTAATACTGAAGCCACTTCGTCCATGATCTCAAGATAATATGTAGGATCATCAACCACGACTCATCAAATCCTCTACCCATAGCTTCACACATTGAGCCAATGAGAATGCTGAAGAAATCTGTTGAAGAAATAAGCTCTACAATCACGTTCGAATCTAAATTGTCATAGCCAAGCTCAAATGAGACTTTGATTAGACTCAAATCAAAGTCAGACGTAATACCTTCGAAACATCCATCCAACAATTCGAAATATTGGGCATACTTCTTATGTGTTCTATAACTGGAGTCGTAACTTGTGAGTAACGCAATTCTTGAACATTCTTTTCCATAACCTCATCGAGATATTCGTCTAGGTGCTCTTCTTTTCTGGATATAGTAGCGTTAACTTTATCAAACTCATAGGTTATTAATCAGTTTGAGTATCTGGAATTCCTGTTAGGTCTCCGGAATCTATCCTTGTTGATTCAAATTTCAGATAGGAATCTGGAGCCCCAGTGCTCAATTGAAATCAATTCATCATGTCGTTCAAAAAACTTTGCTTTGCCAGACTTGCTTTGCCAGACTCCTGGACCGTAGGACTGAAGGTTTTGGTGTACAAGGTTTAGTTTCCTTGGACCATTCTTTTGGACATTCTGCGGCTGGTAATTCTGCGGCTGGTACCTTGTACCGGAGTTGTTGTTTCGGTGTCAGCAGGGGGACTGGTTTCCCTGGGGTTCTTTTTGATGTTCGACACCGGGCAGTGTGAACTCACTAAAGCCCCAAAGAAGCACATTCACTGATTGCCTATTTGGGAAAGTCTGTGTCACTTGCTTAGTCATAACAGGCACAACGTTTATCTATATATTAAAGCAGTATAGTGTTATGATGAAGCGCAGTAGTTCAGAATAGTGCAGTAGTTCAGAATAGTGCAGCAATAGCATTGTGTAGTATTGTATAGCAGTACTTATAGTGGTTGTATAGTAGCATAGCAGTGCGGTACTAGTAGTACAGTGTAGTAGTGGTACAGTCATTAGTACAGGCTATACTGTTTGTAGTCTATGCGATATTACCTGCAGTCCATGACTCAACTGTATAAAAATTTTCCAACCAGATTAATTTGCAACTATTGACTCCTTTCTCCTTATCAAGATTATGTCATCATCCCAGGTGTTCAAGGTGCCAATCTTGGGCTCGGAAACCATTCATGTAGGTTACTCCATCCATGACCACATCATCCACGAGGTCATCACCAATTTGAAGTCGTCCACTTATGTTTTGATCACCGATACTTTGGTAGCTGAAACCAAGCCTTATCGCGACCTTGCCCACGGGTTCACCAAACAAGTAAGCCAATTGGCTAAAGATGCCCGGGTACTTAACTATATGGTCCCCCCAGGGGAAAACAATAAGAATCGAAAGACTAAGGCTCAAGTCGAAGACTTTTTGTTATCTAAAGGTTGCACTAGAGATACAGTGATTATTGCCATTGGTGGAGGTGTTATTGGTGATATGATAGGTTTTGTTGCTGCCACTTTTATGAGAGGTGTACGAGTGGTTCAAGTACCCACCTCTCTTTTAGCAATGGTTGATTCATCTGTAGGTGGTAAAACTGCTATTGACACTCCCTTGGGCAAAAACTTTGTAGGTTCATTCCATCAACCTTCGTACGTGTTCATAGATGTCTCATTTTTGGAGTCTTTACCTCCAAGACAATTCATTAACGGGATGGCCGAAGTCATTAAGACCGGTGCTATCTGGAATGAAAAGGAATTCACCAGATTGGAAGATTTCTCCAAAAATTTCCTTTCTGTTATCAATCAACCTCCTCCTGTTGACCTTTCACTGATTAAATCAGATTTAATTAAAGTGGTGTTAGAATCAGTGAAAGTTAAAGCGGAAGTGGTTCTGAAAGATGAAAAGGAATCAAGTTTAAGAAACTTGTTGAATTTTGGCCACACCATTGGTCATGCTATAGAAGCAATTGTAACTCCTCAAGCCTTACATGGTGAATGTGTTTCTGTCGGTATGATCTTGGAAGCCGAGTTAGCTAGATACTGGGGTGTTTTATCACCAACTGCTGTTGCCAGACTTTCCAAATGTCTTTCTGCTTATGGATTACCAATTTCCATTAATGATTCGATTTTTACCAAAAGAATTGGTATTAAGCGGGAACTTATCAAAATCGATACTCTATTAGACAAAATGTCTATTGATAAGAAAAATGATGGTAGTAAAATTAGATCAGTTATTTTGGATTCCATTGGTTCATGTTATCAATGGAAGGCTCATGAAATCCCCAAAGTGGACTTGAGATTTATATTAACTGAAGAATGTTTGGTTCATCCATTTGATCCAGAACAAACTCCTAAATCAACTACAGTTGTCCCACCAGGTTCAAAATCAATTTCTAATAGAGCTCTTATTTTGGCTGCTTTAGGTTCTGGTACCGTTAGAATAAAAAACCTTTTACATTCTGATGATACTAAACATATGCTTGCTGCTGTTTCCTCTTTAAAAGGTGCTGAAATAAGTACTGAGGATCTGGGTGAAACAATTGTTTTAAAGGGTAATGGTGGTAATCTCGTTACTTGTGATGAAGAATTATATTTGGGTAATGCTGGGACTGCTTCAAGATTCTTAACCACTGTTGCTTCTTTAGTTGGACTTAATTCTCAAGCTCAAAATGATTATGTCATCTTAACTGGTAATGCTAGAATGCAAGAAAGACCGATAGGTCCTTTAGTTGATGCTTTAAGATCAAATGGTTCTGATATCGATTATTTGAATAGAGAAGGTTCATTGCCTTTGAAAATTAAATCAGGTAAAGGTTTGAAAGGTGGCCGTATTGAATTGGGTGCAACAATTTCTTCTCAATATGTTTCTTCCATTTTAATGGCTGCCCCTTATGCTGATGAAGCTGTTACTCTTTCGTTGGTTGGTGGTAAACCAATTTCTCAATTATACATTGATATGACCATTGCAATGATGAAAGATTTCGGTATTGAAGTCACTCGTTCAAAGACTGAAGACTACACTTACCATATCCCTAAGGGTGCTTACATTAATCCTCTGGAATATGTTGTTGAATCAGATGCTTCATCTGCAACTTACCCATTAGCATTCGCTGCTATGACTGGAACTTCATGTACCATTCCGAACATTGGATCTGCTTCATTACAAGGTGATGCAAGATTTGCAGTAGACGTTTTGCAACCTATGGGATGTACTGTTGAACAAACTACTACTTCAACAACAGTCACAGGGCCTCCAATTGGTCAATTGAAGGCTTTACCTCATGTTGATATGGAGCCAATGACTGATGCTTTCTTAACTGCGTCTGTGGTTGCAGCTGTCGCCAACAACCCAGAGCAAACTACTCAAATCACTGGTATTGCTAACCAACGAGTTAAGGAATGTAACAGAATTCTTGCAATGGTTGATGAATTGGCCAAGTTTGGTGTTCATGCCCACGAATTACCTGATGGTATTGAGATCCAGGGTATTGATTACAAGAACTTGAAGACTCCATCGACTGAAAATGGAGGAATTCATACTTATGATGATCATAGAGTTGCCATGTCATTTTCTTTGTTGGCTGGATTATGTAAGGAACCAGTTTTGATCCAAGAAAGGCATACCACTGGAAAGACTTGGCCAGGATGGTGGGATGTTTTACACACGAAGTTCAAGGCTACCATCGATGGGTTTGAACCTGTTGAGAGTAGTACTAGTAGCAATCAAGAAGTGGTTAGCAACAAGAATAGTAAATCAATTATTGTTGTTGGTATGAGAGCAGCTGGTAAGACCACTCTTTCCAAATGGATATCTTTGGAGATGGGATTCAAATTCATTGATTTGGATGATATTTTCGTCGGAAAGTTTGGAGATATTAGAGAGTACATTAAGTCACATTCGTGGGAACAATTTAGAGAACAGGAAACCATTATCTTAGAAGAAGTTTTAAGCAAATATGGTACAGGCTTTGTTATTTCAACGGGTGGAGGAATAGTTGAAGATGAGAAGAATAGAGTTGAATTGAAGAAGTTTGTTGCCAATGGTGGTATTGTTTTACATTTACATCGTGATATTGATGAAACTATTTCATTATTGAGTGTTGATACCACTCGTCCAGCCTTTTTCAGTGAGATTAGAGATGTTTGGACCAAAAGAGAACCTTGGTATTATGAATGCTCATCTCATCACTTTTATTCTCTTCATTGCTCCAATGACCATGATTTCCAATTATTAAGAAACTCCTTCTCATCATTTATTAGAAGAATTTCCGGCTTAGAAGCCACTCCTGTTCCTTCCCAAAGGTCATTTATGCTTTCATTATCGTATGATGACTTGTCCAATGTTGCTGAGAAATTGGAAGACTTATCTATTGGAGCAGATGCTATTGAGTTGAGAGCGGACTTATTAAACAAACTTACTTTTGATTTCATTGCAACGCAAGTTGCTATTATCAGACAATACACTGGATTACCTATTGTTTTCTCTGCTAGAACTACGGAAGAAGGTGGTAACTTAAGAAAAGAACAATTGGAAACTTTGTATCAATGGGCCATTAAATTAGGAGTTGACTTTTTGGATGTTTCACTTGATTTACCTCTTGAGAAGTTAATTACTATTCTTAACGGTAAGTTGAACACCAAGATTATTGGTTCCTATTATGCTAATTTAAGATGGACTGAGTCTGAATGGGAAGCCAAGTATAACTTTGCTATTTCGTTAGACATTGACATCATTAAATTTGTTTCTCAAGGTATTAGTTTCAATGATAACTTACAATTGGAACAATTTAGAGCAGAACATACTTTGAAACCTCTTATTGCATTTAACACTGGTGATGTTGGTAAGTTGAGTAGAGTTTTGAATGAAACCTTGACCCCAGTTTCCTTAGAAGCTGGTCAAATGACTGTTAGTGAGCTTAACAAAGCCTTTGCTGATATTGGAGGACTCACTACAAAGAAGTTCTGGGTAGTTGGTAAGCCTATTTCTCATTCTCGTTCACCTCAATTGCATAATTCAGCATATGAAAAGTTACAGCTTCCATATACTTTTGATCGATTTGAAAGCGATGACCCCGAAGTGGTTTATGAAACATTAATTAAAGACAATGAACAGTTTGGGGGGTTGGCCATCACCATGCCCTTAAAATTAGGAATGATGAAATACGTTGATGAATTATCCAACGCTGCACAAGTCATTGGTGCCATCAACACCATCACCTCCACCAATAATAAGTTATTGGGGGATAATACTGATTGGGTAGGAATTAAGAACTCCTTTATTAGATCGGGTGTGGTATCTAATTTACCCACCAACATCAATGGGTTGGTTGTGGGAGCTGGAGGTACGTCTAGAGCAGCTATTTATGCTTTACACAACATGGGATGTCTGAAGATCTACATGATGAACCGTACCATTTCGAAACTCGAGGAATTAAAGGCTTCCTTACCCTTTGATAACCTTGAGATCTTGGATTCAGCAGAACAAGTAGTAGACAGCAATATCTCACTCATAGTGTCTTGTGTTCCTGCTGATAAGCCGTTGGATGATTCTTTACTTGACAACTTGGAAAGAGTGCTACAACAAGGCAAATGTGAAGTCTTCAAGCCCACTTTACTTGAAGCAGCTTACAAGCCCACCGTCACGCCTATCATGCGTATTGCTCAAGATAAATATGAATGGAACGTTATACCTGGAGTGGAGATGTTGGTCAATCAAGGTGAAAAGCAGTTTCAACTTCATACTGGCACTAATCCACCATATAACACCATTCATGAAGCAGTAGTCAACGAATAGCTAACTCCGTCCTCTCTATGATATACTATACTATGTTATGATATACTATGTTATGGTATACTACGTTATACTATACTACGTTATACTATACTATGTTATACTATACTATGTTATACTATACTACGTTATACTATACTATGTTATGCTACACTACGTTATACTATACTACGTTATACTATACTATGTAATGCTACACTATGTTGTACCACTCTCACTGGAGCTATCACTTCGGAGTTTAAGGGCGCGCCTGCATATACATTTCTTTTTCGCGCTAAAGTGCGAAACGAAAAAATGTATATAAACTCAAAGACCCCCCATCGATTAGTAAACAACCCTATACCACACATCCAGACGTATAGCAAACGGTTCACCAATATTCATAGTATGAACAGGTTGCCACGAATATCTGTGCTACGGAGAGCCTGTGGTGCACGAGGTCGGCATCCTTTTGTCCGGAGCTATAGTTTTTTCGGATCGCATTTCTTCAACAGATCAGGAAGTGATGACCCCCCAGTAGAAGTGAATCCTTACATCCGATATCCAATCATTACGAAGGATCAAATGAAGACCATAGCCAACGATAAGTTTAAGTTTGAATATGGATACGCATCTTATGGCCACCATACAAGTAATTCTGACCCCACCATCCATTCGTTGTCGGACTTGACAGACCCTACACAGCTCAAGAGTTTACTCCCGCAAAGAAGACCGGAAGGGTCCCCCATAGATACGCTTTCAGTGAAGGCTGGCGATGATGCCATGCTTGTGTCGCCCACAGTGCTTGCTGTGGCCGATGGTGTATCAGGATGGGAACTGAAACACGAGAACAGCTCCTCTGGTATTTGGTCAAGATCAATGTTGGAGACATTAAGTCGATTAATGACTGAATACAAAGTGTCTCATTCACCTCATCATCTTCATAAACGAGACATTGATCAGATTTTAGACGATTCTTATTTGCACACGTCCCATCAAATGGACTTACAACAATTGGGAGGTTCTTCCACACTTATTCTTTGTATGCTAAGTGGGATATATCTTCAAATCATTAGTATTGGAGATTCTAAATTATATCTTATAAGAGACGGAGATATCATAAAGACTAACGATGAACAGATGATAAGTCCCTTATGTCCGCAACAAATAGGTACGCACACGCTCTCGCATATGCCCTCGGAAATCGCATGGGTTGACTCAATTGAATTGCAAAAGGACGACATTATCGTTGTGTGTTCCGACGGGATCTCCGATAACTTGTATCCTCATGAGATTTTGGAATTTGTTAATCATAATTTAAATTCTAAAAAGAATAATTTGAAAGCCGTGGCTCGGATTATTCTATCAAAGGCTAAAACAGTGGGGTTTGATGATTATGCGTATACTCCATACAATGAGAAGGTCAATAATTTACCGAATTCAATGAGAAATGATACGGTTAGTGCTGGTGGGAAACTTGATGATATGTCGGTATGTATTGCCAAAGTCATACCTAATGGGAATATTTAAGGTATAAGGTATATAATAATGTATAGTAGTAATGGTCGTGTAAAGTCGAGTTCCATACGAAACGTCACACATTGCCCAATTGGGACTTTGGGTGCAAAAAACACAGACTTTGAAACTGTCTCAAGGGAGCACAATTGACGGAGTATCACGACATCGCGACATATGACAACAGTACATTAATTGCTCCATAGACTCTTATAATAATTTTGAAAAAATCCGATTGCAAATATGAATTCACACTGTTAAGAGTAGGACTCTAACCTGCTCCGTTAATTGAAAGCTTCTTGCAGCATTGCATCAAATCTGGCTTACATAATAGTATGCTTTAAAGGTCTACTGTATACAGTGCTACGACTGAAAACTATTGTAATGGTTTATTAATCTATGTAATAATAAAGTGCATTGTTTATCTGGCGATTTCACTAAAGTATTGTCTAAGGATCAACGAGAGCATCTCTGGCAACTCATTGATGTTCTTAACAACGACATAGTACTCAAAAGGGAAGGTGTCCAAGTACTTCTCCACTTTAAGATTCAATTGTCCAGTAATGTCGTCAGCGACATATTTCACTTGACTCATGTCTAGGATAGACTCTTGGGATCCAATACCATCAATGACTACAAACACCAACATGATTCGTTCTTCCCGAGCTTTACGGACCAATTGTTGGATGGTGTCGTGGTCTTCACAAACCCCGTCAGACAATATGATTTGTAGCTGCCACAAGTCGGAGTTAACAGAGCCTCGAGCTTGTTCGAAAATGTCTAATGATTGGGAACAAAGCTTCTTAATGTCGGTCTTGGTCTGTTGGAAATCAAACCATTGGAAGATCTTGGACCCACTGTCTTGATTATTGACTTGTTTGTCAAAGGGGTGGACCACTTTAACGTCTTCACCAAACCTCACTATCGAAAGTCCTCCGCTTTCCAATTGGGTCAAGGCTTTGGTCACTAAGGCTATACTGTGGAATGCAAGTTGCGATGCCTTACTTTCACTCATAGACTTGGAATCATCTACGGCTATCATCACTTGGTATTGCCTTTTAGAGGGCTTGGTTCTTCTCAACCAGATCTTGTCCTTTCTAAAGTCCGAAGCAATATACGGGATGATTCTCTTCATGTTCAACCGTTTCCCAGTCTTATAGTCACCCCTAAGCTTTGTAGCCAATGTGGGTTCAAGAATCAACCGTAACTGTTCACATAAACCAGAAGCAAGTTCTTGTGTAGCCAATTCACTCTCTTTCCATGTTCTACTGGCTTCTTCAATGGTCAATGGAGGAATGGAAGAAGATAATTCATTAATGTCGTTAATGTCGTCATATTCACTTCCATCGTCATTGTCTTCTTCATCTTCCATATCAATGTCACCCTTCAATTGCATAAAGTCGTCATTGTTCTCCTCTTCTTTAACCTTACGTTCCCCAACAAATCCACTGGAAGTAGCATCAAATTCATTGGGTTCTTCCCCTTGTCCTTCGTTGTCGTCTTCTTCCTTCATGTCAGTATCTTCATTTATGTCGACATCCTCCTTTAAAATGTCTTCTTCTTCTTTAACTTCTTCTTCTTCCTGGTCAATGGCCTTATCTTCATCAATAGTCTGAAGATTGTCCTTATCAGCTGCTCCCAACGCTTGGGTATCGAATTCAGCATTGGCTCCATCAATATGTTCAAACTCGTCAGGATTCTCATTGGCTCCTTCCTTCTTTTCTTCTTCATCTCTGGTAGATGCTTCTTTGATTTCTTGTCGACGACGGTGGAACTCCTTTAATGAATCACCCAACTGTTTAAGCGATTCTTTAGCCATATCTCTGGCTGAATCCTTATGAGATTCGTCCTCTTCGGTATCTTGTTGCTTGTTGTCTGAAGCTCCACCAATTCCTCCAATGTCTTCATTCTCGTCTCCAACTTGTTCATCTGCTCCTTCATCTCTTTCTCCAGCTTGTTGCTGAACTGAAGATTCCCCATTGTTATCTTCGGAATTATCCTCACCATCAAGTCCTTCAGTTCCTTCAACTTGTTCTTCTTGAGCAGGTTTATTGTCCTCATCCTCTTCGGCTTTATCTTCAGCTTCGCCTACTTCCTTTTCTTCTTCATTAATAGGCTCTTCATTAACACTGGGATCAGCATTGGACTCTTCAGGTTCCGGTTCATTTTCATTTTCACCTTCTTCAGCTTCACCTTCTTCTTCTTCTTCAGCTTCCCCTTCTTCCTCGTTCTCATTTTCTCCCTCATCCTTCTGCTTAACATCTTCTTCTTCTTCCGCCTCCTCCTCAATGTCCATCTTGTCTGTGAACTCTTCGTCAGTTTCAGATTCACCTTCTTCGTCCTGTTCATCACCATCCAACTCCAAATCTTCAGGCATATCAAGTGTTTCTGCGTCAGGAACATAGTCGTCCATTTGCTCGTTATCCTTCTGTTCAACATTGTCTTCCTGCTCCCCTACATCTTCTTCATCTTCACCATCTTCTTCTTCATCCTTATCATCTTCGTCTCCTTTATCTTTTCCGTCTTTAGACTCACTCCTATCATCTTGAGCATCGTCTTCGTTGGCTTCCATGTTCTCATCTGGGTTCAGACTCTCAGGGGCCTTATCAGATTCCTTCTCCTTCTTATCGTCTTCAACTTCTTCGTCCCACATCTTCTCATCAATAGCGTTGGGGTCCATCTCATCTATATCGTCAATTTCCTCATCTAAATCGTCATTCTCATCATCATCACCTTCTTCATTATCATCATCTTCAGGTGGAGCATCTTCCAATTCACCAGCCATGTCACCTTCAATGTCCACAGCATCGTCATTCTCTTCTTCGCCTTCATCCTTCTCCTCCTTCTCTTTATTGGGTTGCTGGGCTTGTTCGCTCAAATCTTCATCGTCTTCAACATCGTTGGAATTGTTAGTGACACCTTCACCATCTCCTAACCCAGTACCATCTTGTAAGTTGTCGTCTTGCTTCTCTTCACTCGGAGCTTCAGGGGTACAGAACCCTTTAGTAGCTAATTCATATAAAGAGTTAGCAAAGATATAAGTGGCATGGGAAGTCTCCACATAGTTGGACACGACCTTATCGTAGATCAAGGCCACAATTCGGGCCCAGGTGGATATCAAGGGTAACGTGAACGATACTATTGCAATGGCAGCCTTGGAAGTCGTGTCGTTGAACTCAACTTGTTGGAGTAGCTGTAAACATGACTTCATCTTCTTAACCACACTGTTGAAATGTAAGTCTTTAACGTATTGTTGAAGCTTTCTAGAAGAAATAACAAGCCATTTATCTGTTTCCTCATCAACAACAGTTTCACTAGTTGCAAGCTGGGCAACCTTTTGCACGGAGAAAAGAATCCCGTTGGCCAAGTCCCGGAACTTCTCTTCAACCTTTTCAACGGGGTGACAATTGGTTAATGAAGTGCTTGAGTTAACAAATGGAACGTATTGTTGATGTTTGAACCATTGCAAGATCATGTCACTAACAAATTCATGGGTGGGGTTAACTTCCTTCCAGGCTTGAATATCAGAGAGAGAGCTGAATAAAAAGGCTTTGATCTCTGTAATCAAGTTGATAGAAGATTGTACCAAAAACTCCTTTGTTTTCGGAATTTGACGTCTAAATTGTTCACATTTAGAGGCAATAATTACCAAGACTTGTTGATCTGGCAATGGCACTGACGAAGATACTTGCAATGCAGATATCCCAAAGTTGATGATCTTAGGGAACCAGAAAAGTAGTTCATCCAATTGCTTCAAGTTGAAGTCAACAGATTCAAACTGCGTGGCAGCAACTAATTGGTCCAGTCCAAACACATGGCTCAAGTCTGTGAAGTTCACATGAAGCAGGACAATTTCATCCATAGCAGTAGCTAATTGTGCAAGTGGCTTTCTGGTGGTTACCAATGAAAGGATCAAGTTTTCAATTGCTGCTAAACACTTTTGAGCATCAGCAATAGGGACATCTTCGGCACAACTGGAAACAGCAGCTCTCAAACGAGGCAAGATGTCTAGAATACGGAAAAAGTAACTGGAAGATCCTTCCAAACTTTTAGAACCGTCCAAACTTGTGACTAAAGTCAAGATTTGATTAGTGGACGAAATATGTTTGGAGATGTCTGTGTTTTGACTGGTTTTCAATCCCATACGACGAATTTCCTTGACAGTGTCACTTAAAAGCTTTCTCTTTTGAGTTTTAAGTGAAGCAATTTCCTTCTTGTTGTCCTCCTTCAAAGTCTTGGGGGTTTCCCTTCTTAAACGGTCCATTTCTTGAAGCAATTCCTTTGCATAATCATAAATAGATGGGATGACGTCATTTTCAATCCGGGTAGAGAACACTTGCATGTTTGAAAGTACCATATTCAAGTTCTTAAGTCTGTTTGGTCTCTCATTCCAAGTACTGACACTTTCACAAGCGTTCCATACTTCAATAGTGTCTTTAGTATTGACAAATTTGAAAGAAGGAACATGTAATTTGAAGCTTTTAGGCTTCAAATCAGTGGATAATCCACTCTCAATGATTTGGTTCACTGGTTGTGCAAGAACAGCCCTATACTTACGAACAATCTTATAAAGATTGTTGTGGGACTTTCTGGCACTCTGTTTAAGGGCATCAATGTTAACGTCCTTCCAGCTTGCAAGCAAAATGGTTTCATTTATGTTTTTGGTGAGTTCTTTCTTCCTTTCGCTTATCTTCAAGTCCACCGTGGGCTTGAATTGTTCATAAAAGGAAATGAAATTCTTCAATGCATGAGTCAACTCATTAGAAGGATCCAATAACGTAGAAAGCTTTTCAAATGCTCTTAAAAGGTTCAATCTTATAGTATACTCTCCGAAAGTTGCCTTACTCATAAAAATATTCAAAGCTGAAACAATACCAATACTACTGGTATCGTTATCTTGTTCCGTGAATAATGGAACAATAATGATTTCAAACAAATGGAACCACCATTTACCAATTTCTTTCTCAAAAGACTTCTCTTCAAATTCAAATAGCGAATTCCAAGTGCTAAGCTCCAACTTTCTCCAATCAATAATTAGCCTAGTTAATTCGTCAAACTCATCCTTAAGACTGACCTGAGATGATGCATATTTCTCCCATTCAGCAATAAAGGTGTAAATCTGTTCCACCTTCTGTAGCAATCTGGCAACAGAATGAGACATTGGATACATTAAAAACTCGTCACAGGCAACTCTAATGTTAATTAAAGTTGCATGTTCTGGCCATTGCTCAAGTAATGTTATTGCCCTGATGTGGATCTTGGAAATGATCTTCATGGCCTTCTTAGATTCAAAAGGTGAAGAATCGTGATAAAAGTCAACGGTTTGAGTCTGTACAAACTTCTTCTGAGCTTGACCCAATTGGTTCAAAGAATTAACCAAGTTGGAAGCATTGATCTCACCAATTACACCACCAATGTTTTTTTGCATGCCCTTAAGCACAGTAGCAAGTCTTGCACCATCTCCAGCAAGCTCTTCATAATCGTAAGTCTTCCCATCCACAAAGTAGTCAATGAATAAACTGGCAATCTGGAAGTGAAGCTCCTCAAAGGAGTCATTGTTCTTCACCGTAGAGCCTTCAACATCCATCATATCTTCATAGTCAGGGAAAAGCTTCTTGAAATCTTCCTCAACATCAACCGTTGGGTCGGTGTACTTGAACCAATTGCTTTCTTCCATATCGGCTTGTTCAGCTTTAATTCTTCTTCTTGACCATCTGTAGTAAATAATCTCAAGTGAATCTTGCAATACAGTTTGCCATTCCTCTTGATCCAAAGTACCACTTTGATATGTAAAGCATGCCTTCAAGAAGAATATCATAAGCTGCTCAGCACTTTGACTGTCTGTGGCTGTCTGTTTAGCCAATTGTTTGGATAATTCAAAAGCCCCCAATACAGATTTCTTGGTGGACAAATTATCCACAGAAGTAGGCCATAATATATCCAACCCACCAGTTTCTTGTTTTGAGTTCAATAATAAAAGCTCAAACCCAAACATCAACCCTAAAATGTAACCCTTAAAAATGTCGTTCAAGTCAGCTAACAAAGGATAATTGGTCAAAATTCTTGATAAGAATTGAGCTGAATTGTTTCTCAACATTTCTATTCTTCTTTCGATCTTGGTACAGGAAGACGATGACTGCTTACACTCCTCCAAAAGCTCAAAGACTGATTGGCTGGAGATCGAAGAGGTCATGAAGGAAATCCACTCTTCAAACAACTCGTCAGTTGACCCCGTCTTTCTGTATATGCGAGGTTTGGTGGGGCACATCAAGTTATCGAGTTCACGGATTGAATCTTCAATATAAGTGGGCTCATTACCAGAAAAGAATGATCTCATAACAGACCAGGCTTCCTTGATGGACTTGGCATAGTCCATGTGTGCTTGGAAGTTATCAAAAGCAATGTACTCTTTGATAGCGGGATCATTAGGAGAACTGGGTACAAACATTTGAAGCAAACCGAACGAGAACAATACCCAAGCCTGTCCCAAGGAGCCAACAGTACCGTCATTGTCGTAGGTTAACATCAATGATGGGAGCAAGTAGTCTTTGCAAATATTGGCAAATATAGCAGCAGCAGAACTACCTTCTTCATTCAAAACATTAAGTATGCGATCAAATGCAGAAGTGCTAGGAAGTTGATCCATTGCATTCATAATGTCATCATAAGCATTACCTTCTAAAATACTTTCCAACACTTGGAAGAACCAACTTCTAATAACGTTTCTGAAGTTGATTACTTGGTTTGTCAAAATGGACTGAGAATGTGTGATTAAAGCTTGAGAAAGCTTAGACATATCAGTCAAGTTTTGATCCAAATATTTACCTGCTTGGTTCTTCAAGTTCTCGGCTCTTTCACACGCTTGAAGTATCAAGTTTCCGGTGAAGAGATCATCAACAAGGGATTCAGTCTTACCGTTTTGAATTTTCCAAAGACCATCAAATACTGTTGGGTAACCGTAAGTCGTTGAGTCATGGACCATTGACAATGTGTTTCTGTTGGAATACGCAACCAACGGTAACAAATCACTGGGGGCATCAGAATTTGCTTCAACAAAGTTGGAAATCATATCGAACTCACCAACAAGTTGAGCATTTCTCTTGAACACGAATGAATCCGAAACCTTTCTCAAGCTCTCTATGCCATCCTTCAAGGCGTCGAACAATTGCAGTGTATTGTAAATGGAATCTTCAGAATTCAATATGGCTTCATAAGACTGCAACAAAAGGGTTCTGGACTCGGCAATCACGGAATCCGACTCCAGGAATTGTTCACGAGAAACTTCATCAAATTCTTCAGCCAACTTTTTCAATTGAAGTAAAGCATTCCAAGATTCTTGGGAAGAAGGATACTTACCTCTAAAATGTTCCCAGAGTTGTCCAATATAAGCTCCGCTGCTTAAGGCTAATTCCTTCCCAACGATATCAACCACTTCAGTGATGGACGAAGGGATGTGCTCCACAGTAAACCACTTCTTGGCCCATTGGTAAATCAAATCAATATAAATTCTAATAACGGAAACGTTTTCAGTCTGAGACGCATTGTAGATGCATTTCCATAAGATTTGTAACTCAAAGAGTGCTTTAAAGTCATCCTTCTTCTGGAGGAAGGATTTTGCTGCTATTATCTTCTCCTGGACACGATCCACTACAAATTGGTGTAACTTAGTAACCACCTCATAGAGTCTTAATCTTGGTTTGAACTTCATTTCTCTACCAGCAGAGAATGCTGCTGTTCTCTCAAGGTATGAGAGGTCAGATACTTTGGCCCCAAGTGCTCTTTCTTCTACTGTTTTGATCTGTTCATTGGCTAAACGGATATTGTGAAGAACATAGAAAAGATATGTGGCTTCAGCAGTGGTCATCTCGGGGAACGAAGCAGCCAAGTCTGCAAGAAGGTATGCATTAACTTGAGGATGTAATGTTTGGTGAGCAGTGAAACTACTTGTCATTACATTGGAATTCAAAGCTAGAGAGAACAGACTCAACTCTTTAACAACATTTGAGACGGATATATTTTGAAGCTCATTGTTGATTTCCTCCACGGTGTCAATGTGTTGAGAAGCTCCACCGGTATACGACTTCATAGACTGATACCATTTCTCAAAGTATTCACTAAGATCAAACAGTAATGAAGATGTCATTGCAACATTCAAGCAGTGGTCTTGCTTGGAATTGGTCGACATCACGACATCGGCGATAAGAGATAGCGTTCTGCTTATCGATAACTGAGTAATGTCTACGAACCTTGCAACTGGTGACACACAAGTATCATTAACATGGAGTTTAGCAATGGAATCTTCCAATGGCTCCAATGGAGGATGCTGCTTGGGAATTTGAAGCATTTTCACATCATATTCCGTAGACCTGGTGTTCAAATCATCCATATAGATTTCAACACCTCTGTTTCTCATAGCTCTGGAAAGCTCCCCGTGTTTAGGGTCCATGGTAAGAAACAATCTAAAATTTGAATGAGGTTTCAATGTCCTGGGCAGTCCATCTTCTTCATTACATTCGTTGATGATCAACATCCCATTAGTTTCCAAAAGAGAGTTCAAACGATCAAGCACAGATGGATTACACAAGTTGGCATTATCCAATACTAACCATTGACCATTTTGAACAGCTTGAACTAAAAGACCGTCGAACCATTGGAACTTGACAGTCATTTCTTCTGCTAACTTACTTTGTAAAAGTTTAGCTTTCAGAATGAACTCTTTAATAGTTTCATCACAATAAATCAAGGAGTATTCACTAATTTTTTCAACAAAGTCGTTGAAATTAGAGCTTTGAATTGGACATTTATCAATAAAGTCTAAAAACATGGTTGTTTTTAGTAAAATGTTGGTATCTGTTCTTTGAGCTTGCAAGTTAATAACTGCCAAATAGTTCAAGTATTCTCTCAACTCTTTAGTCAACATAGTAACAGATCTTGTAAGGTCTATTTGTTCGTATCCACCTAAGATATCCATTGAGTCGACTTCACTATTCATTGCAAATTCAACCAATTCAGCACCAACACATTTGGCCATAAACCTCACCAAAGATGTTTTCCCACTGTTTGAAGGACCAGTCAAGATTAAAGGTATATTCAAATTAATACACCTGATTGCTGATTCAACAAACGCAAAATTGGACTGTAAAGCAAACAATTCATTTCCAGTGGAATGTCTTAAGACGGGCCTTCTTTCAATGACAGCTCCATTGCTTTGTATATAATCAACACCAATAGCAAAGTAGTTGTCTCTTCTGGTAATCATAGAAGGTCCACCAAACACTCTTTCAAATAAATCGTGTGCTCTTTGTCTGTCTTCCAGTGTACGGAATCTCTGACACACAATCATATTAAAGAAGTCACTAGGTGAAATGTCTGAAGCCAAATTTGTTGTTGATGACAATAAGCTCAACCATCTTAAAGTATCACGTAAGTTGAACTCCCAAGGACCACCGGAAGTACCCCATAACTTTTTATGGGCAATTTCATCTTCAAGAAGAGAAATGAACTCTATAATACGTGAAACCAATTTGGCATCGATGTTTGGAAATAAATGCTTAGAAATATCATTCAAATCCTTTGAGTTCAAAACATCAACGTACACAACAGTGAAACGGTTAATAAATGATTTAGGTAAACCTTTCCGTCCCCCTCCTTGGTATTGAGGGTTCTGAGCAGCAAATACAACAAAGTTGGGATGTCTAGGGAAGGACTTGTCCAATTCAGGAATAAACGCTTCTCCTCTGTGATCTAAACAAGCATTCAAACCTTCCAAAACCGATTGTGAAGCCAAGTTCATTTCGTCCAAAAGAACCCATTCACCATTCTTCATTGCTCTCAAAAAGGGGGCATCTCTCCACACAAACTCACCTGTTTTACCACCTTCCGAGGGAACATCAGAACCAAACAAATCCACTAAATCTGTTTGTTCTGAAAGGTTAATTCGAATTAATGAGTTCCCAGTCAATTTGGCAATGGCAGACACTAAACTGGTCTTCCCCACACCAGGACTACCTTCTAACAAAATGGGTTTTTTAACTTGCATTGCTCTAATGACCCTCATGGCATTTGCAGAGGTGGTACCAGCTTGAATATTAAACTCATCAGTGATAGAATTCGTTTGTAAGCGGGGAATTTTGAAAGGTCCTCCAGAAACAAATGAGTCCAGTAATTCAATGTTGATATCATCCAAGTTATAGTAGTTCAACAAGTCTTCCTTATTATAGAACACAGTCAATCTCGAAACGCATTCTTTCTTTAACTCACGTAATTTTGCTTCATTCTCAGCTAGGTAAGCAGTATTATTGGTTCCCAAGGCATCAATGAACACCATAGCAGCGCCTTGCACTAAAGACGCACTTACACCAGCAACATCAACAGATGAATTAATAAACTCTACCCAGGCAAGAATATCACGAAGAGAGATAATCCCACTGTTGGCATGGCCATTCCCAAACTTGTTACCAAACCATTCAGAGAAACTCACTATGCAATCAGCAACTTCCTTTGCCTGGGCAGTTAATCTTGAACGAACAATTTGTCTAACGTCTTCAAAGTCATCCATAGATGGAACCCAGATCTCAGTAAAACGGTTTCTCAAAGCTGGTGAAAGCTCCTTCTTACCATAGTCACCACCTGGGTTCATTGTAGCAAAGAAGCAGAATCCTTCTTTAGCAACAATAAACGAATTATCTTCAGCTCCCTTCTCTGCCAAAAACAATGATCTTTCTGGTTCCAAAACAGAATTTAATCTTTCTAAAACAGAGTCATCTGCCAAAGATATTTCATCTAACAAGAAAAAGTTTGAAGTTTTCATGGCTTGAACTAAAGGACCATCGTTCCATTCAAAAAGGGTATTTGATTCCTTTCTTAGCGTCTGAATCGTTTCCAATAGTTGAACATCAATGCTATCATACGACGAAGACAAATTGTCAAACATCTTAACCAAATCTTCAAGTCTAATATCACTATAATTTTGTACTATTCCCACTTGTTCAAAAGCTTTCACTAAAGCAGTAAATAATTGAGTACGTCTCTCGTTTCTATGTCTAGCAGGTCTCTGAGCACCCAAAATGTCACCAGTTTCAGTATTTTGATGGGCATTGACTGTGATTAAATCTCTGTTCAAAAAGCGGGCAACAATTTGACAGACAGTAGTCTTACCACAACCAGTTTCACCGACCAAAAGTAATGGTTCTTTGTATTTGATAGAAGTTTCTACTAAAACAGCTAATCTCCTCATTGCCTTCGTCCAGACTATAGTCCCTTCCTTCTGGATAATTTCCTTATTTTCAAGCTTTTCGTAGTAGGCGTCCATATCGAGAGTGACCCTCATGACTTTTTCTATGACATGCTTCACAACTGCCTTCTCTTCTTGGTTTCTTACTCTTTCGGCTAAAAGCATGTAGCCATTAGCAGCTAACTCATCGTAACCTACAGCTTCTCTTCCAGCCCACCGGAATAGATCACGCAACGTTGCAAAGGAATTTTTTTGTTCGAAAAGTCTGGTGGATTGCCGTTGAACGGAAAGTTGCTTGTAGACTTCAACAATTTTAGCAGCATAAGTTGGAGCAATTTGACACCGTTGCCTCAAGATGATCTCCAATTCATCTTGAGGGATATCATCAAAATGTAACTCCAAAAATCTGTTTCTAAAGGCTCTTGATAAAACCTTTCTGCCACCATATAATCCAGGAGGATTTTGGGTAGCAAACAACATAAAATCAGGATGAGGATGAACCACTTCCTGAGTTTCCGGTATGAATAATTCTCTGTTATCATCAAGCAAACGATTCAATGCCTCAAGAACATCCGTGGGGGCAAGGTTTAATTCATCCAACACTATCCAATAACCATTACGAAGAGCTTCAACGAGAATCCCCTCTTTGAAAGTCATTTTTCCGGTAGAATCAGACACATAAGTACCCAAGTATTCTTGTAAATCAGTATGCTCATGATTATTAATTCTAACAAACTTATGGCCAGAAATATTTGCCAAATAGTTGATCATAGAAGTCTTCCCTGCTGAAGTTGGCCCTTGAACCAATATAGGAAACCTGGAGCTTGCAGCTGCTCTGACAAGATTAAGCATATTCTTCTCCACAAATGGAGTTAAAATATAATGAGGTTGATCAACGATTTCTCCAGTACCTTGTTTAAGCCAATAATGTTTAAATTGAACAAAATTAGTGTCACTGGTGGAAGGAGCTGGAGGGATTTGATTCATGACCGATTTCATGTTCTTAAGACGGCCAATGGTATATTTCTCTATTATTGGCACTAATAGTTTCTCTGATTTAGCGTCCAACAATGTAAGAAATGCCATACAAAACCCTTCGTATAATGATCTACGAAGACCGTAAATGGAAATGATATCGCATACATAGAGCAAAGTTCTGGTCAATGTACGGATACTGAAATGTGGCTTTTGGTTTGCACCATCAACAATTTTGTTTGTTTCAGCCAACTTTTTGGCTTCAAGATAGAGTTCGGCAATATCGTTCCCGACCCATTCGTCTCCTACAGCGTATTTGCTCATATACTTGTCAATAATTGCAAGTAAATCTTGGATATCCTGGTCTGGAGAGTGGACATAGATTTCAGTGAATCTTGACCGAATACTTGGAGGAAGATCCTTTTTACCAACATCAGTTGAAGGATTCATACATCCAAAGATTCGGAAATCTGGGTGTGCTTTTATGGATTCGACATCACCTCTTTCTGTTAACAAAATTGATCTGTTATCTACTTCAGTAAGTAAATCAGCTATACTTTCAAGAGTATCTGACGATGCCAAGTTGATTTCATCAAGAAGAAGCCATTCACCATTTTTAACAGCTCTAACTAATGAACCTTCAACAAAATCAAAGAAGAAAGAATTGTCCAACGAAGTTGCTTGAATTTCAAACTCACCGATTTTGCTTTCAAACTCCAGCCAATGGTTCAAGAGAATTGTCTTTTCTTCGGAATTCAATCTTCTTTTCTTCTTCGGGTTAGAAGTATCACCATCATCAGATTCAGACTTATCTAAAATGTCTCTGGCCATCTTGATAGCCTCTTTCCATAATTTTAAGACGTTTTTCCATTGACTTCTATTGAAACACTTGGATAAAACTTGAGAGAAACGTTCATTCTTCTTCTTGGAAAAGGTAGCCAAAAATAAGCTTTCAAATGTTTCTTGAAGAGGAATTGCAACTGTTTTCGTGTTTACAGGTTTGTATCCACCCAAAAGATCACCGGTTTCAGTTTGTTGGGAAACGTTGATAACAGTGATTTTTTTGTCTAATAATTTTGCAACTTGTTGTACGACTGTGGTTTTACCTGTTCCTGTCTCACCTACAAGAAGCACTGGTTCAACCATAGACGTAGCAACGCCAATTTGTTCCATTAACTTTAAGGAATGATTTGTAAGTGCAAAAGAAGTATCATTCATCATTGTCACTTTCTTTTTGGAGTGTAAAGTTTTATCAGTTGCAGATTTCGATAACTTCGAACGACCGATTCTTAGGGCTTCTGCATCATTATAAAACTTGGGAACATGCTTTGTAAGGAAAAGGTTAACTCTTGAAGTAGGAATTTCAAGATTAGACCCGATAGAATTAATTAAGGGAACCATTGCTGTCTTTTCAGTAATAAAACTTCCGAAACAATCAACAGCTTCAGCAAAAATATTATCATATATTTGTGCCTCCAATAATGCACTTGAATCAACAATACCTTCGTTCATCAACATGGTGTTGCAACGGGCACAAAATTTCATCATATCTCTGAATGAAATAGCTCTTGGATGAGCTCCTCGATTCAAGGTTATAAACGACAGCGATGCATAAATTTGGGTTATTTCTTTGTAGAAATTAAGGAACGAATTTATCAAATTCTTTAATAATGGGAATTTAATATTAAGCACTCTTTTAATGTCTGGTTCTGTTAATAAATCCACATCTACTAAATTCCATAATCTTAAACCAATTAAATCAGGAAGCTGGTTCTTTTTGGAGTCATTTGAGATTCTGATAGTGGAAATTAATTGGAACCCATTATGAGCCTTAATTACTTCACCTCTAGAAGGGATGGTTAATTCTCTCTTTTCTAATAGAGTTAATAAAACAGATAATACTTCTGTTGGAGCCTTATCAATATCTTCAATTAATACCCATTTCCCCTCAGCTACAGCTTTAGTTAAAACACCTGATCTCCATTCAAAAGTACCGGGTTTTTCACCTGAAGTGTAAGTTCCTAAAAGTAATTTTGCATCTGTTTGCTCACCCAAATGGATTTTAACTATTGAATCTTGGAAAGACATATAACGAGCCAATTCATTAATTAAAAACGTTTTACCGGCACCGGCTTTACCGTAAAGAAGGGTTGGGGTATTATTTTGGATATTGTTTGCTAATTTTTGAAGCACTCTAATGGACGATTCTGTAGGAATAAACGATTCATTAATGACTTGGACCACTTTTTTATCACTGTCTCCTAATTTTGGAATTAATACACCACATACTGACATGACTAAAGGACAAAGATGGCAGGGTTCAATGACAATGATCTTAGCTGTATCTTTGTTACTATGACTTGCGGTGTATTCTGGCAATTGAGTGGAATATGCAAGTCTTTGGCCATCAAGAACATCGATGACATGATAGTTTATATTTGAATCAGATTCCAACGTGTCTATGGGTTCACTAGAACCAATATGTATAGCCAACATTTTGTTCAAAGATGCCTCGGACGATTCACAGTACGCAGCAATAAGTCTTATGGCCAAGTACTTATTAGTTGGCGTAGTGACTTCGGAGGTTATAATAGAGTATAGGACGCTTGGAATGACAAACTGTTTGAATCTTTGGATGTTGGCTCTGAAAAGTCTATGGAAAGCCAACAAAACACAACGCAACTCATTTTGGGATTGGACGACGACGCCCTTCACATTGCTGATAAGCTCAAAGAACTTCTGTTTGGTAAGGAAGTACTCAATTAGACTGTGGAACTCCTGGGTCAAGTTTACTAAGCTTGAAATGGTGACCAAGACAGTGGATCCCGGTATTGTTGCAGTGCCCTCAAAGTCGTGGGGTCTTTCGATCCATCTTGCCACCACATCGAAAATAAGAGGAGTGTACGCCTTATATATGCCCATGACGGTATTTGGATTCAAGGCATAGAGTGCCAATTGATCCAAGTTATGATTGATCGAATGTGACTGGTCAAATTGGAAACTTGGAGGGATTTGTTTACCTTCATAGTGACCTCTAAACCGTTCAAAAAGTTGCTCGCATTGATACGAGTCAATGACTATATTGTTATAGGTCATAACTATATTGTTATGGGTCATAACTACTATCAATCGTACTACCAAGAAGAAGAAGAGTTGATGATAATAGTTGATGATAAACTTCGCACTTTTCATGTACCCCCCCCTTGGGAACCCATCTCATCGCATCGCATCGCAGTGCATTATTTTCGCCTGGAGTATGGACTCCACTATATAACAAAATTTTTCATAGATAATACTTTAATATGCTACTATACATGGCTTCTACTGCCTATATGCTTATAAGGAGGATAAGTCGTAGTTAATTCCCTTTTCGCTCAATTGTGCACCCTTTGACTTCTTTGACTGTTCAAACTTCTTTACTAGAGTAGACCATTGTTCCTTGGACTTGGGTTTGTCGTGATTGTGTTTGGAAATCTTCTTCCAAGGAACAACTTTGAATCTCTTGTGGGAGTTCTCAAAGTAATCTTTGTTGTTGGCAGCAGCAGGGTCTACGACTTGACATTTAAGTAAATGACCAAATAATAAGTAATTATCCATGGTTTCAGCAGCAGTCTTGGCTACTTCGATATCACCAAATTCAATAAACCCATAGTGTTTTGATTTCCCGGTTCTCTTGTTTCTTGAGACCTTTAAGTTGATTATGGTTCCAAATTGACTAAAATATTTATTCAATTCCTTCTCTTCAAATCCTTTGGGTAACCTTCCAATATATATGATACCTCGTTTGGTCTTTGTTTTGGATGAACCCTTGGATTTGTCATTATGAACCAACGTCTTGTTAACTGAATGCACAGACTTGGATTCTTCTAAGCCTTTGATTTCGGCTTCATCATCTTCACTCTGTTCTTCTGCGTCTGACTCTTCTTCCTCGGATAATTCTTCTCCTTCCTCAGATCCACTCTCGTCTTCGCTCCCACTGCTGGAGCCTAATTGTAAATCCTGCTCAATCTCCTCGACGGTTCTCTCTTGTACTTGTTTCTTAGCCATTGTTTATAGTAACGCTAAGTAGTAGCGGATAGAGAGAGTTTAGTCAAGCGCATCTCATCACTTGAAAATCTCTTCTCATCTCGCGGATCACGTGACTTCCCCATCGGGAAGCGGCTCAGTAGTATAAGGTGCACCTATATCCCAGTAACGATACCGATGTAACGGTATCCATGTAAGGATATCCATATAATATATAGTATCCATATAATACCCATGTAGCATCCATATAACAATATGCTACTACATTTACTAATTTCACTGAAAGAAATCTGATTGGCTAATAGGCTATATACTTTTCAAAAGCTGCAACCAGAGTTGCAACCAGAGTTGCAGCCTCCGCCACAAGCGTTGTCGTTGGAAGCAGGGTTGTTGGTAGTAGTTAGAGCAGTCACGTCCAAATTTTTGTTGGTTTTAGGATGGATATATCAATTAAGTATTCACTATAACGATAGAATACTGGGAACAATTAGTTTCAGTTATTCATAGACTAAGCCCATGGCATTCTAATTCAGTCTATTGTGTTCAGTTGATACACACGATTGGCTAAATACTACTATAGGTAGCCAATTGGTTAACAACCACCACTTCTGTAAGATGCTGGCCAACTGTAATGGATAGAAGTAGGTTTCGCAGCCATTTCGATGTCAGATTAGGATATACCAATACTCTTTGACAGCGGAGTGCATGAGAAGACTAGAGGCACGGAAATAATGCATATAGATTGCATGTAGATATAGATACATGTCGAGAGGCGTGTAGACTTTATCGAATCTGGCCCAAGATACATTGCTGAAGCGATAAAACTGACTATGTTCAGTAGTTAAATAGAGTATGGTGTCCAACTGGATCCAACACTATCTATTATACCACTTAATCGACCATTATCATTATTAAATGTTAATCGTTTAGGATACAATAATTCTATTCCATATTTTATACATAATTTATTCATTTGTAACATAAATTATATATTTTATGTAATAAAGGTTCTACAATAGGCTGAAAACGTCTATCAAGGTCTAAAGCATCTAAACTTATTTCATAAATGAAAGCGATATATCCATCTATATATTTATCTGGATAATTATTAGAGTAACTATATAAGTCATTAAGACGTTGTAATACATTTGATTTGTTCTTACCCGAGCAATATCCCATAATATGCTGGCTTGCTCATTTGCGCCTACAATCCAGGTTGATACGGGGCCCCACGCTTATTGCTACGTTTGGTATCAAGTATGTATTGAAGTAGCAGACGCTTAGAATCCATTTGATTGATAGGGGTAGTCAGAATCGGGATCATAAGCCATTCAGCCATAATGTAAAGAGTACATTCCCTGTGTAGCGCGGTCCAAGTATTCTATACATTAAATATCCACTATATCCTACACTAAATTATTCACTACACAGTCAATACTATATTACTCATTACTATTCAATTCTATCCAATTATATTCTCTACTCGGTGTTTTTCATGCCATGCTCTGCACCGTCAATTCATCATTCAGTACAAGCAACCTTTTTTTATCTGTTCCAAAGAGGTATTTGGTCAATATTGTTGATAAATTGACAAAAAATATATATAAGAAAATATACTACAATTATAACCATAGATTACAACGACATAACACTTGCCTTCTTGATTTTGTCATTTATTCCCCCTTGTATCAGTTACTATATAAGGTCGGTGAACTATTATTATTATTAAGTTTCAGGTCGTGCGACATTTAATGTCGTAGAATCTCCTATGACTCCAAAACCTTCTTTAACAACTCATATGTCTTGTGAACTGGAAGACCAACCACATTATAGTAGTCTCCTCTTATCCTTGGAAAGAGTATTCCCCCCTTCTCTTGATATTTGAACCCTCCAGCCACGTCCAAACCTTCTTTGGTATCTATGTACTGGTCAACGACATCTTCAGAAGCATCAAACTCAAGCTCTGTAGATTCCAGATCAATAGCCTCATTGATAACCTTCCCGTCTTCACCTACAACACCTACTACCACTGTGGTTATCACCGACACACTCTTGCTGTCTGCATAAGCCTTGAAAAAGGCTCTTTGGGTTTCAACATTCAAAGGCTTTTCAAGTATCTGACCCCCACAGCTTACTATGGTGTCTGCAGTAAGCACAAGACACGGATACTCTATGTCTGTTGTCACAGGAATCTTATTTGACACTATGTCTTCATATTTATGTCTCGCTGTTTCCTCAACATACTCTTTGGGATCAGCAAACTGACTGTGGTCCAAGTCTTCGGCGAAATCAGATGCTAATTGTCGTGAAACTTCGATCCCCAAGTTCCGTTGGAGGATCTCGAGTCTTCTAGGAGATGTCGAGCCAAGTACAAAATGATATTGGCTAAGCTTGTGGCATATACTCTCAGACATTGATGAGGAGAAGAGCGAACGAAGTGAAAGATTAACCAGATCAAAATGTCGTGACATTTTATATCCTCATACATAACTATAAATCTTACAATATACCCTACTACATACTCTTTTCTTTCTGGCGGGCCAATGCCTTTGCTTTCTTTAAAAATGTCCCCTCTGACTTCTCCTCCCCCTCAGTAGACTCGGCGTTCTTAACAGGGACAATGGTAACGTTCTCTTGCGTCACTAAATGCTCATTGACTTTCCCTACAAGCTCACCGTAATCATCAAATATCAACTCAGATCCGACCAACAGCTTCCATTCAGTTTGGAAGATCCTCCCTTCAGCCGACGTCTGGACGTCACGTGTCTTCGTGAATTCTCCTTTGGTTTCATTATTGGATACCTTGATCAACGGATGGTCATCATTAATGTCTGAGATCTGAAATAGCGATGAAGGCTTTAGTACTCTAAATTCTTTATTATCTAATCCATGCTTCCGTGGGAGCTCCACGCTTATATAGAAATCCTATGACGTCGGTTAATACTGTTAAACTGATACTTTTATACTGTTTGTTATTAAGAACATACCTCAAATTCTTGGGCCGTCTCGTCATCTTCTTCAACACCGGTAGCGGTCTCCGTTACCGGAGTTGATTCCTTTTCTGCTCGCTGTGACCTTCTTTGTTTGATATCAGCATCACTGCCGGCCTCAACATTGGCATGGAAGTCCCAATGCATCTCTTCACCATTGGTTAGGAACTCACAGTTCCCATTCATCAAGATCTCCCATTGGTCTTCTCCAATCCGTTTGTACTTGTCCAATGAACAAGCACCGGCTCGTAAAAGTGTATGAGAATCATCATCGATGGTGTCGTATACTCCTTTACGCTTCAATAATGCCATTCCTAATGCAATCTTGGTGGCTGCATGTGTTACTATGATGATGTTATCGACGTTAGGATACTTGGCGTCTAACAAGGGAATCAATTTGGCCCATACCAATTTGGCTCTTTCAAATACTTCTTCATTCAGTTCTCCCTCCAAACTCGGAATGATCCCCAACGTTTTGTCTCGGGGCCAGTCTTTTTCTTCACCCAAAATGCTCCCGAAAAATGGTCGTAAAACCTCGTAATTAGCGGGCTCGGGAATCACACTTCTACCCTTGTTATACTTTTCACCCACTCCACGCTCTAAATATACGGGGAGGTCCAATAACTTGGCTAGAGGACGCGCACTTTCCACACATCTATAAAATGGAGACGATAATATCAATTGAGGCTGTTCATTAATGGGTAGCAGGTGTAAGAAGGCACCCAACTGTTCTGCTTGCTCCACTCCATGTGGTGCAAGAGCAGGGTCCAGATCAATACCTGTGGGATTAGGAGGATGAGGCTCAGGAAGCCAATTGGAGCGGAAGCCGTGTCTGGCAATATAAATCGTCTTTACCATAGTATCCGGTAAGAATATAAAAACGGTTCAAAACAAGGAATCAGAAGGAATCAACGGTAGTTATATATATAGAGAAGTAAGAACGTACCTTTTGATACCGCCCTTAGCTTCGCTTTCGTATTGTCAACAAATTACAACTATTTTGTGTAGGTCAACACGTGATACCTGTATATGTTCAATGGAACTCAAGACTCGTATTCAACATGTGATGTTTCTACGTATACATATAGGATGCTTCTACGTATATTCATATGTGTAGTCAAACGAAGGTTTTATCATGCAAGTGAACATATTGTTCTTGCATTAAGTCTTCGTAAATGTGACGCATGTAATGGTTATGCACTAGCAAAGTAAAAAAATTTACGACTGACTTCTAAACAGGAATTCATTATATATACTAAAGATGCGTTGTATTTTAAGTAACGATATTACTCTATAAATGTTATGGAAGTAGCTTAAATCAACATTTCCAATGGGTTCTCAACAATCTTCTTCAATTCCTTAACCCATTCACCAGCAACAGCACCATCGACAACCCTGTGGTCAAAGGTACCAGTGATAGTGATGACATCTTCAAAGACGAAGCCTTGTTCATTGACATCAGAGGGAACAGCCTTCTTGTCAACGGTACCGATGGCAATGATGGCGGATTGTGGAGGGTTAATGATCGAGGTGAAACTGTTAACAGCTGGGTTCATGCCCAAGTTGGAAATACAAATAGTACCACCTTGGAATTCTTCTGGCTGCAACTTACCTTCCTTAGCTCTCTTACCCAAGTCCTTAACTTCCTTGGAAATAGTAGCCAAACCCTTTGAGTGAGCGTTCTTAACAATTGGGGTGATCAAACCAGTTGGGGTAGCAACGGCAACTGAGACATCAACATTCTTGTAAGTTCTGATATAACCTTCATTACCGAACCAAGCAGAGTTGACAGTAGGTACTCTAGTAGAAGCCAAAGCAATGGCCTTGACCAACAAATCGTTAACAGACAATCTATATCTGTCTTCAGCAGAGCTGTTTAAGGATTGACGCAATTTCAATAACTTAGAGACCGAAAGAGTGGATGAAACAAAGAAAGCTGGTGATTGTTGAGTGGATTGCAACAATCTTGATGCGATGGCCTTTCTCATGTTAGTCAAAGGTGTGTCTTCGTATTCAGCAGCAGCTGGAGCAGATGAAGCAGCTGGAGCGGCAGCAGCATCTGAGGAAGCAGCAGGAGCCTTGTAGTTTTCGACATCAGCAGCGATGATTCTACCGTTAGGACCGGTACCGGTGATGTTCTTTAAGGCAATACCCTTGTCTAAAGCAATGGTCTTTGCCAAAGGAGAAGCAAAAATTCTACCACCTACAGCAGGCTTTTTAGTAGAAGAAGCTGGAGTCTTTGATTCTTCCTTAGCTGGAGCAGGAGCAGAAGATTCAGCAGTAGAAGAAGATTCTTCAGCAGCAGGAGCAGGAGCTGGAGCAGAAGATCCACTGTCACCTGCATCGGCAGCAGAGAAGTTTTCGAAAGCAGGAACATCGCTGGCTTCTTCGACGTAAACAGCGATTGCCTTACCGACTGGAACATCATTGGCACCACCATCAAGTAAGATCTTGGCCAAGTATCCTTCTTCTTGGAACTCAAATTCCATGGTAGCCTTATCGGTTTCAATTTCAGCAATGGATTCACCAGGTTGCAATTGGTCACCAACCTTCTTGCTCCAGGAAGCAATGTTACCTTGAGTCATGGTAGGAGACAAGGCAGGCATGTTAATCACAGTGTGAGGTGGGAACTTGCCGGAGGAATACAACCGAAGGGCTGAAACCCTCATAGTAGAAGTGCGCAAAGCACTAATGGTTCTGACAGCAGACAACATGGATAGCTATTGGGGGTAAATACAACGGGTCTGGAGTTAGGACTTTATTTTTCAACTGCGTACCTTTATAACTATTGGTGGTACACTTTGTATAATTTATAATTGAAGGTTGCTAGTTGTTTTTCACTAGCGATTTTGGTACGGCGCTACCGCGTTGGGCTAACCATATGGATTGGAGTCTTCCGCGCTCTGCTCGCGATGTAGTCCGGGTTTGTGACTACCTGTGTGTTGGGTACACTTCGGTGGTTAATGTCCGGCAACAGACATCACCAGTATTGAAGACTACTAACTTGAATGGTACAAGTTAAATGCGGATGCCCTTGGCTGCGAAAATTATCCACAGTTAATCACATATTATAGTTTGCATATTATGGTATATAGTGTGAGTCTATGTACGCATGTTCTTTACTCTTTTCAATCTTTTATCGACAATGATTAAAGGCCTGCAAGGAGGTCTACTAAACGTTTGAGCGTCTGGTGAAGGTGTCTGGTGGTTCAAAGATGATGTTCTAATCATGTAGTTCCTTTGTTCAATTATATCTTTAGTATAGCCATTCAACACGAACATCCTCATAATGGAGCGATACCATTTGACTGCAGCTACTATCATGTGAAGCATAGACTCGACAGTGGCATCGTACTTCTCGTCCACTGCATCTTTAAGCCATAACTTTTCTAATATTAATCCATTCTTCTCAATGCAAATGAAGAGAGAGCCGTTGATCTCAGGCATTATAGTTGTTCCATTAAGAATCCAATTTTTGAGGGCATTGGCACTTCCAATGGCTTCTCTGAGTTGCTTGGCCCTAGTGAGGTCTGGGTACAACTTTCTGATAAGCTTCTGTGAAAGCTTACGGTATGACATACTGGTGAAGGGATCGGGTTGGCTGTAAAAGGGATCGGTGCCAAGGTTGACGGACTGAGGATGTTGTGGATATTCATCTTTACGTTGTTCTAATTGCTGGGAGTCAGGTTGTTGTTCTTGATATTGCTGTAAATCAGGCTGTGGAGATGCTTCTTGATGCCCTTGTTGTTCTAGTTGATGATGGTCTTGGGGTTGTTGCTGTGGACATTCTTGGAGTTTTTTTTGGGGATGTTCTTCTTCTTGATGGTTTTGAAGTTGTTTTTCTTCTTGTTGTTGACGTTGTTGATATTGTAGAAAGTTTGATTGATAATAATCTACTTGAGCTTCTTCTTGGCAAGTGTCTTCTGGCAAAAGCTTTTGTTCTTGTTCTTGTTCTTGTTCTTGTTCTTGTTCTTGTTCTTCTACTTTGTCTTCCTTCTCATCCTCTGTCGCAAGTGATCTCAGAGACTTATTTGATAAGTCAATGGTTTGCGGGTCTTGGTGTTCAAATTGTAATTCTAGTTGCTCAAACTGTTCAAGTTGTTGTTGATAATGTTGCTGTTGCTTTTGTAGTTGTTGTTCAAATTCGTGTTGTTCAAATTGTAATTCTAGTTGTTCAAATTGTTGAAGTTGGTGAAGTTGTTGTTGCTGTTGTCTCTGTAGTTGTTGATCAAATTGGTTTTGTTGAAGTTCTAGTTCCAACTGAGCCAATTCCTGCTGCTTCTGTTCCACTTCATCTTTAGCCAAACTCAAACTAGTAAGGGCACCGTTCAAGCCATCCAACAATGGTGAGAGTGAAGTAGTACTCAGTTCCACGTGACGGGGGGATTCAAAAAGGTGATCATCAGACTTCAGTTCAGATATCAGAGAACAAGAGCTGAAGACATCGGTGCCTGCAGTAACACCAAAATCAACAACTAAGTCCTTGGAATCATCTTGAAGTTCAGAAATAGGAAGACAGTTGACTGTCATTCCTTCATCTTGCTCAATCTGCTCAAGCTCTTCTTCAGAAGAACATCCTAAATCAGCTTCGAGCTCAGGTAAGTCAGTTTCAACAGGTAAGTGAGCTTCAACCGGTAATTCAGTAGCTGCAGGTTGCTTTGCACCAAACCTTTCAGAAGAATAAAACAGGCAACTTTGCATACTCCGATAATGCATCAAATGAGTAGATGACTGCTTACTTGCACTTGCTACTGAATTCTTAGAGGTGGTGGGTTCAGCATAATCAAATGGGTAATGTGCAAAGTCAGAAAAGCCATCAGAAGTGGTGAATATAAGGTCCAGTTTGAGCAGTAACAAATCGGACAGTTCCAGAGCCTTGGATCCAGAAGACAGAGATGGGGCAGATGTGTTCCTAGAATCACAAGAGGAGCTGGAACCGCCAACCATACCATCTTCATTTTCAAGTAAAGACTTGACAACTGGAGATGTGGGATAAATCAAAACAGTAGAAGCACTTGCATGCTTGTTAAAGAAAAACGTGGTGGAATCACCAAAGGAAACAGACTTTTTGGTTTTGGGGGAACCAATGGTTTTCAAGGAGGAGCTAAGGGTACAAACAACATTAACAGGGTTGGGTTGAGTAACAGTGGAAGAGGATCCGGGTCCATATATTGGACCAGACTCAGAAGGAGTGGCGACGAGTGGAGTGGTAATGAGTGGAGTGGTGGTGATAAGTGGAGTAGTGGTGGTGGTGATAAGTGGAGTGGTGGTGGTGACAGTGGTGGTGGTAACAGTGGTGGTGGTGACAGTGGTGGTGGTGGTGACGGTCGACTTACGAATAAAACGACGGCCAAGATTGGTAAGCTTTTGGATCGCAATAGCTACCACGTTAACCTTCTTGCTTGAAGGCTTGGAGTGCTTCCAGAAACGGCAGCTGGACTTGGCGCTAGTGTTAGTGCAAGACATACTCGAAATTGGTTGAAGGAGGTGGGGGAGGAATCGATATATGGAAACGTTGGTCGATACAGGCAATTGTCAAAAGGTAACAATTGAATCACAGCTTTGGCCGATATAACTTTATCAGAAACTGTAGGGGAAACGGTATTAATATGAGAGATTAAAAAGAGTTCTTATACATTATAAACTTTATTTATTATGCGCCAGCCATGAGCATATGGCTTTTTTTGCACCCAAAAGTTGCAACCAGTATACAAATGCGGTTAAACATTTAGCCGGGTCGAGGTAAAGGTGATAGACTTTTATTAGAGCTTAATATTGTGTAGTATCTATTAGAAGTTGCTTATAATGCCACTGATTGACCGTAATATTCTAATGATTCTTTGACAGGTTTCGAATCGTTGAAGAAGGAAGTAATACCATCTGCAGGGTCTTCCTCTTCCAGTGGATAAGAAACTTCTATTGGAGACTTTTTAAGTCTATCCTTAGCAGGTTGCCACAGATATCTTACAATTCCATAAGGATTCCAACCAAAAATATCATCGGCAGTCCCATTGAGCCATTTGGTAGTGTTAGGATCAGAAGGATATCCACTGCCTAAAGTTGTTCCTATTTGGTCTTCAAAGTACTTCAAATAACCATCTCTAGTGACTTTAGCCATGACCGAGGCCACAGAAACAATGGGGTATATACTATCTGCCTTTTTGGACACCGTTATTTCAATTCCAGGGAAATAGCTTTGTAATTTCGCTTGATATTTAACTGGTGGACCCACTGTATCAACAAATACTTTGGTCAAATGGACACCTTTAGCTAAGACTCTTCGTATCAATTCTATGGTTGTATCATGTGCTTGTTCGTTCAAATTATAGTTTTTCTTCCCAAGCATCCCCAGCAGAATATCTCTTGCAGTCAATGTAGTAGTAGCCCAACCAATTTTATCATATAAATCCCCATCTTCTATTCTCTTAAACAACAGTTCTCTAACAGCCTCTTTTAACACTTTGGAGTCTGCAAACCCATAATCCTTTTGCAAGTTGGTCAGAACCTCTTCACTGCAAAATGCCACTCCATATACCATAGGACCTAGAACCGGTCCTCTTCCTGCCTCATCTACTCCTAACACGATGGACTCATTGACGTCCAATACACTTGGGGGGAACTCTTCGTGCACGCTTGATTCAAACCTTTCAGGGTCACTAATGCTTCGAAATGATACCGGTCTCCATTTATCTTCTGTTTGAGTCATAATGATAAAGAGAACAATACGGTTGTTAGCAATACGCGTTAACGTTAGACGCATTTTGATGCAATCTGATAAGCCACGTGATCAATCACGTGTATATTATGATAAGTGCTACAACTATCTCTTACGGATAGTTGCCCATATAATAAAGGGTATGATCTAAGTACAAATAAGAACAATATGCTTTACACCCTATCGTAACCCCCCGCAGCTTCAAACTCGTTTACAAGTACCACAAATATTATTCTATAACATATACTTCTATATTGGTGTAGTCTGCATTTGAAGATGATCTTTGACCTTCATATTGGCATAGGTCGTCTACGGTTGAAGATGATCTTTGACCTTCTCATATATAAGAAATGTTGTCACGGTTGCAGGAACTACTCTTAACAGGTTTGTTCCTACGCCTCTAAAAAAACCCTTCAACCCTTGTTCCTTATATATATTGGAGATGACCTGAGAGATCTTGAGCTTAACTATACTATTCTGAAGCTGAGCTCTCACAACCTGACCAGGATACGTCAATAGCATGCTGACAACTTTAGAAGTCAGCGAACAATAAATATATTCAGTGGTAGACAACTTATCCCTGTGGAATGAATCCTTTAATTTATCATATAGAGTTATCTGAAAGGCACCTTGGAAGATCAGAAACGTTCCAGCTAACCCTCCTTTCCAAAACAGTAATATCCCTTCGTTAAGATACATGGAATATAAGCAATGCCACATGTTACGGTATGCGTTGGGACTCAGCTTGGAACTCGCCAAAAGTCGAACCTTGGTAACCCAGATAGGGTTGGTCACTACTCCGGTACTCAAACCAGCCAATGTGGAAGATGCAAAGTAAGTCATTGGGTGCTTGGTTTCACCGGTAGCTGCGCCCAACAACCGTTTGTATTCGTTGTAGAAGGTGAAATAAAGCGACCAAGCACACATGTTCCCTAGAAGATTAGGACCAATGCCTCGGTAGATGGACTCTATAAACTGGAGTGCAAAGTACTTATGTCGGGGGTTCTGCTGGAACAGTTTCCTAGCATTACTTACAATGTTGGATATGACAACCTTGAACGGATCATTGGAAAGCTGTAGTCGAATCTTTATAAGGTCTAGAGGGTGTGTGACAATTGTAGTGGAGAAGCCAGCTACTATGCCAGCAATGCTATTAATTTGCCTATCACTAAGCATCGATAGAACATGGGAAGGTGTCGGTTTGGACGGATGAGATGCGATGATTTAATGGTGCTATACCATAAATTTCACCACCCGATTATTATAAGGTAATTACAAATAAAACAGATGCAGTAGCATTAAGTTGCACACGATCAAAACTACTATTGGGTGAGACAGGTCTACTACAAAATCGTACTGTAACAGGGTACAGTTGAACACGTACAGTTGAACAGAGTATAGCTTATGGTGCCCACTGTATGGAGTACTGCTGCATACTACTGTATGAGACTTCTGTATGGGTCTTGTATGGGTTTCTCTCCAAGTGGTACTACAGCATGGGTTACACTACAGCCTCTTAGGTGACTATTGATGAACCCTGTCAATAAAAATTATCTTGTGGATTAACTATGTACACTTATTTACCTGACCATAACTTTAGACAGTAGGGAAGGGACTCAACAAGTTGACCAACGATGGCTTATTGGAAGTAGCGGACCATCCCAAATATAACACTAATGGAATGAATCCATAATGGGCAGCACTCTTGGAGTACTCCAAGACCTTGCTTATTCTTTCCTTAGATTCGTCGGAGAGTGTGATTTGAAGAGCCATTATGTAACTTAGAAGTGGATATTATACGGATGGTTGGTGAAGTGCTAATTGTTGCTTTGCTTTGGTGATTGAAAATTTTCAATGAGGATCACTATACGCGCTACCAAAACCAAAATAGTCATCGCGCTACCATAAAGCCCGGTCCAAAATTAAACTTGAAACCGAATCAAACAACTCACACTATATACATATACGTATATGTATATAAATACTTTTGCTGCGGCTGTTTATTCCGTCCTTCCATGAAAGTACTCTATCAAAAAAAGCAGCGGTGTATTGCATTGCAATCCGAAACACACACGCTTCTTTTCCGGCGATTACACAATAAAGATGTTGCTCATGACTCTCCACCCTCGGTTCAAGTAGAGATAGCGTCCAATGATAACTTGAGTTCAAACTTCAAGCCACTTATTAATAAAGAAGTTCATGGATGCTTAGGGCTTATACATGTGGGTGAGCAAGTATTTGTTGCCATTGTTGTTGGAGCAGTTACCAATGTTGCTACACCGTTGGTGTATGAACTGATTGACCGTATTTATAATGTTGAGTTTATCTCGTTGTCACACGATGATTGGGATTCGTTATTGAGTCTGGGAGGTCAAGAAGATTATTATACTGAAGAAGCGGGGTTGGCAATTCATCCATGTAGTGAATTGAAACGATTACTTTCCAATGGTTCGTTTTACTTTTCCACTGATTTTGATTTAACTTCTATACTTCAGAACAGAGGCATAATACAATCGAAATTGGCTAATAGAAAACAGCTGCTGAAAGGAATTGCGGCTTACGGGCATAAAAATGAACATTTCTCTACAGAATTTATGTGGAACGCATTCATGATGGACGATTTGATTCGGTTTAGAAGTAATTTGGATGATGAATTGGAAGCTATCTTTGATACCAATAGATTCCTTACAACGGCTATTAGGGGATTTGCAAAAACCACCTCTCTCAATTATGGCGAATCAATGACTATTATTTCCAAACAATCTTGGAAGAGAGCTGGCACAAGATATAATGCCAGAGGTATAGATGATGATGGTAATGTTGCTAATTTTGTGGAGACAGAATTTATATACGATGCTTCCTCATCTAATGGAACCATATATTCCTTCGTACAGATCCGAGGTTCAGTGCCTGCTTTCTGGGAACAAGATTCAACATTAATTAACCCGAAAATAACAATCACAAGATCGTTAGGTGCTACGCAACAGATATTTGATAAACACTTTACCAATATTGGGAAGAAATATGGTGTATGTCATGTGGTTAATTTATTATCCAAAACCAAGCCAGCAGAAGTACAAGTTCTGAGACGATTTTCGGAGTTAATTGAAGGTTCCAGAACTACAGAAGTAGTAGAATATACTCAATTTGATTTCCATCAAGAAGTTAAAAATATAGGATTCAGTGGAGCAACTAATATTCTCCCGGAATTAGCCACCTCGATGGAAGAATTTGGGGTTTTCTCATATGACACTATAACCGGTGAAGTAGTTACCAGACAAGATGGTGTATTCCGAGTCAATTGCTTGGATTGCTTAGACAGAACAAATTTGATTGAGCAAGTTATATGTCATAAAGTGTTTGAAAGCTATGGTGGTGATAGAGAAAGTCTTAAGTTCAACAATATTTGGGCTGATAATGGTGACGCAATTTCTCAGATATATACGGGGACCAATGCATTAAAATCTTCCTTCTCAAGATCTGGGAAGATGAATATTGCTGGTGCCCTATCTGATGTCACCAAATCAGTTTCCAGAATGTACCAAAATACGTTTGTGGATAATAAGAAACAATCTACTATGGATCTTCTTTTAGGATATGATGCTCGGAACTCTAAGCCCGTTCGTATTTATGATCCTGTTAGTGATTTTGTTAATAGTGAACTTAAGGCAAAGAAGAGTGTTTTCACTACTGCAGGGAATATTTCTATTTTTGCTGGAACCTACAATTTGAATGCTACGACTTATAGCTCCAATATGGATTTAACTCCTTGGTTATTCCCTCCTGATAACTCATTTTTACCGGACATTTATGCCATTGGGTTACAAGAAATCATTGAACTTAATGCTGGGTCCATTTTAAATGCAGATTCATCCAAAGCCAGCAGATGGTCCGAAGCCTTAACTCAACAATTGAATTCTCAATCAAACGATAAGTATTTGCTTTTGCGTACTGAATCATTAAGTTCTATGGCTCTTTACCTTTTCGTTAAAGAGTCTCTTGTTAATAACATTTCCCATGTTTTCGGAGCAAGTAAAAAGACAGGCTTGGGAGGTATGACTGTGAATAAAGGTGCTTGCGCAGTACGGTTTGAATATGGATCTACTTCATTTGCGTTGGTTACTTCACATTTAGCTGCTGGAACAACGGCTATTGCTGAACGGTATAACGATTATGTGACTGTAATGGAGGGTCTAACGTTTTCCAGAAACTATACGTTGCCAGATCACGATCATATTTTATGGTTTGGAGACTTGAATTATCGTATAGCATTACCCAACGATCAATGCCGTTTTCTTGTTGAGAAGGGTGCATTTGATGATTTATACAGACAAGATCAATTACAACAAGAAATGAAGAAAAAAGGAGCCTTCTTTGGGTTCAAAGAAGGTCCAATCATCTTTTACCCCACGTACAAGTTTGATAAGGGAACAAACGAATATGACACTTCAGAGAAACAGAGAATCCCATCATGGACAGATCGGATCTTGTATCAAAGTGATAGTGATATCCCAGAATTGGAACAATTGAACTATAGTTCTATATTTGATATGATCTACAGTGACCATAAGCCTGTATTTTCTACCTTCAAATCTCAAGTTGAGTTTGTTGATGAAGCTAAGAAGTTAGCCTTGCAGAAACAGCTCTATGAAAAGTATAAAGCACAACATGATGATGATGTTTCAATCTACTCCAGCTCCACATTATCATCCGTCCCCATTAGCAAATCCAATAGTTTCCGGAGAGATACCATGACCGAATTGAATCTTATTGATGATGATGATAGTTCACCCTCACCTCCAAAATTACCTTCCAGACCAATGTCGCAAGCCCCTAGTACTTTAAGGAAAGTCCCACCTCCATTTGATGGTTATGATAGTACTGCGAAACCAGCTATTCTCCGGTCAGCATCTCTCACAGCTCCCATTCCACCTGCTCCTCGCAGGACGGTAACTACGGTGAGCTCGAGTTCGAACAGCACCACTAGTGCTTCTTCACCTGTCCCATTAGGATTTTCACTTACTCCATTGGTTCCCAGCAATAAATCAAGCAGAGCTGCATCTCCAGAGACTAAGAATGGTGATAGAAATGACGGAAAGGTCGCTTCACCTCCACTCAATTCCAAATCAACAATCTCACTCAAGCCATTGGTGCCTTCACGTACTTCCTCGCCAATTAGTGTAGGGTCTGGACCGCAAAAGGCATCTCCTACTGAATCTCAACACAAACTAGCACCAATGAAACCAAATAAGCCAGTCCAGCTTAGTTCTTCCAAGCAAACAGAAGTTCCAACCCCACCGCAGAGCAATACCAAAGTACCGGAACCACCTGCTCCTCGGAACATTAAGAGCATGTCGGACTGGAAACCGTTGATGCCCAATTGAGATATAGAGTTATGTACAATAAATATGATAAAGTATGATAAGTGTAACGACTGTGACCGGAAATGTTCTCGAATATTCCCGATAATACCCTCGGAATTCAATTAAGGATACAAAACTCATACTAAAAACATCACAACATAACCGTACCACATACCAGCATCAACCAGCAGCATGAGTAAAAGAATAAAGAACGTGAGCATATCTGTTCCCATACTATACGGGAACCACTCTGTGCGGCTAGAACCGGAAGAAAGAACCGAGCGAACCCCGGCAGACCATACACATAAATGGACAGTATTCTTTAAGCCAGTATTGGATAACATTGATTTGACACCATTGATTAAACGTGTCACCTTTAAATTACACGAGACTTACGAGAACTCCGTCCGACTGTTGGAGAAACCACCGTATCAGGTGACCGAGACCGGCTGGGGTGAGTTTGAAGTTATCATCAAGTTACATTTCCATCCCGGAGCGGAGTTAGGTATAAATGAAAAGAATTTTCAAATCTTCCATGCTCTTAAACTTCACCCTTTCAATCCTCTAATCGAGCCTTTGCCCAATGGAGAGGTTCATCTGGTGCTTTACGATGAACTTGTGTTCCAAGAACCTACCGAGAAGGTGTTTGAGATCTTGACGCAGAAACCTTCTAATCTCATACCATACAAGCTCAGCGAGAAGTCCAAACGATTTCAAGAGTTTACGAGGATGGACGAGATTGACGAGTTGGCTCGTCTTGATGTTTACATAGCGAAGGTGAAGGAAGAAGTTGAGAAGGAGGGGAATGAATTTCAAGAGCTTGAACTGCAGAAAGCAGCCCTTCTTCAACAGTAATACATATATATAGTTACAGTTACAACAGTTGTATTAACAATGTTTTTAAAACCGAATATATTACCCGTATTTTCACCCGTATTTTATTTTTGTTCAAGATACATAATATACGATTCAACTACCGCACCTAAATCTCGTATGTTAACTCCGAAACGTTCTTGAGGTGACACCCATTGGTTCACCTGAATCGGCAACTTACACCGAAGATGGTCAAACCTATCCAAGACTAACAAATAGTGTAAAGGATACAATCCTCCGCCAATTGGATCCATTAGCCCGAAATAGCTTCCTAAAGCGCGACACTGTTCATTTGTGCTGTATAAATCTTGAGTATGGTGTCTGGAACCTACGTCTATATTAGCAGATATAAATAGTGGTATACTCCATCCATAGTTTTTGAATCGTTTCTCAATGTCGTCAATATACTCCTTCCCTTGAACCCCAAGAAAGAATAAGAACTTATTGGTTCCTTCAATGTCCGTCATGTCATTGACTAACGAGATCACTCGAGGTGGAAGCTTTTTGCAAATGATTCCTGGTGGTGGTTTAATGTCGTCTTTGATTGATGTTAGACATTTTGCTTTGCAATGCCGTCCTCCGTATTCTTCCTGCTCCCATTCCACTTCCACTTGCAGAACCGTCACATGGCCTCTTTTCATATTAAAGCCATGGTAAAGATTATAGTATTATACCGAAGCTGTACGTTATAGTCATCTCATTATATATACATCCGGGTAAATGTTTAGCCGCGCGAGAAGAGGAGACATTCTCGTCTTCCCAATTAGGCATTCCAGAGGGGATACCCCACAATTTATAAAAGTCATTTAGAGTGAATAACTAAAAATGAGACAAAGAGCACATGTCAATACTAAGAAGCGATTTAAATTGAAGAGCATGAACGAGCGAATCATATCGACGACATAATAACAGTGTACATAACAGTACGATTTAATACCACGACATAAAGTACGATTTAATACCACGACACAAGGATGCTAGTAACCACGAAAAAATACCTATGACTTGGTATAATAACACCATAGTATGACGCGGCTCGTTTTGGTCATTCACGTTCACGAGTCATCACTTTTTGTTGACCGTTGATTTCTTAATCAGTTCCATGTACAGTTGTAAGCTTATGTCATCAGTCAAGACATCCAATTGACCCGAGCCATATAATTGAGTGTTTGGGTTGTTGTAAGTCGTAGAAGGGTTTAATTTGGCCATCAAGAATCTTGCTTGAGAACCCCCTTCATTCGTATCAATAAATCTTGGTAATGGGAACCTTTCCATTAACAATTCCATTGCTTCTCTTCTTGGTTCTTCTAAAAATGCTTTAAAATGTTCGTACCCTTCTAGTTCGTGATATTTGGCTTGTCTCCAACTGGCGACGGTGCTACCATGGAAAATCAAAATATGGAAAAAGGTATCGAGTAAAAGAATCTTATCTGGCCCTAACGAACAGGAGTCTAGAAGCACCGGAGTCCCCGTGTAGTTTGGTTCTCCGTCGATCTCTTCACCAAACTTATCGATGTCAAACAGAATCAACGAAGGTTGAATCATTATAAGGGAGTTGTTCACATCCTCATGGAAGAAGGTGTGTCTTGTAAATGCAGTTTCATCTGGTGATGCTCCAAACACATCGATAAATGGTGATCTTCTCAAATAGAAGAAGCTCTGAGGAATGATCGAGTATTGACTCAGAAGTCTAAAGGTCTCCAATTGTCCCTTGTTGTAAACAGCAAATCTTGAACAATATTCAACCAATTGGTTATCTAAAAGTCTTTGGATCTCCTTGGGTGAACTGGTACCGGATTTAAGCTTTTGTATAGCCACTCTTGCCATTAAGACTGTAGCTGCGTCTTGGTCGAATCCCAATTCCAAAGCTTGAGCGTCCGAATCAGCAACTATGGCAACGGGGAGTGTAGTGACCCTTAGTCTCATTTCCCCACTTGGGTGCTGGTAGTGGAATAAGAATTGAATGAACGTGAAGTCCTTATTAACAGAGTCTCCCTTCTCAAAGTAAATGGCATACGTGGACTGGTTATCAACAGAACACAATTTCCATGCATTGGTATCGCCTTCTCCTACCACCGTGTGTGAAATAGAAGAACTACTCACATTGTTCGGAGTATTTCCTTTGTTGCTCAGTTTGGTCTTCAAAGAAGTGGCATGGCCCAATAACCCTTGGATCTTTAAATCCGCTTGAACTTTGATTTCTAAGGTACCGTTGAACCCCATCTCCAAAAAATCAGATTCGTAGTGCTTTCTAAAAAATTTCTGTAAACTTTGCTTGAAGATAGATGTGCTGAAGGAATCACACAACACGATGGCTCCGCCAGTTTTGTTGGGGATATCGTCCATTTCCCACAACCCAACTTGATCGTAGCAGCCAATGAAAATATCACAACTTAAGCCGATCAACACAAAGTTTTGGGCTACAGCATGGTAAAACTTCTTCGCCAGTTTGATCAACAGAACGTTGACATTCTGTGTAGTGTTGGGCAAAGTGGCTTGTCTTGACTTTTCTATGTCGTGGTGCGACCTTAACGGTTCTTTTAATAACAGACTGACGATGCTTCCAGGTCCATAAGTACACACCCCACCAATGAAACAAAGCACATGACCACCTGACGTTTGACCGTTCAACAACGACGAAAGTAACAACAGCGTCACGTTGAGCGCACACCCCGTCAGTCTAAGCGGTCTTTCCTTGATAGCAGAATGAGGGAATACATTGGGAGTCAAGCTATCCAAAATGCTTTCGAATTGGAACTCGGCAATCGACACTGGCTGAAGGAATCTTTGGGCAACTGACGACATTGAAGATTGAGGCTGCTTAACACTAGATGGAAGCAAACCAATGCTCAGTTCGACCTTTTCTTTGGTGTATTCTTTGCTCCCATTGAAAGAGTACAGTTTCAAGCTGTTCCCACTGTTCAAGTCGTGGAGATGAACATGCTTCCCATACGTAATTAAGCCGACCAACGCGTTCTCGGGCAATAAGCTTAAAGATATCGCCAACAGTTCCTTTAACGAAACAAAAGCGTCTACCACGTCTTCGTTTTCGAAGCAAGTATCTACCACGTAGAAGAAAATAGGTTGTGGTCCATATTGTCCCGTGCAATATTCGACCGTCGACAGAGGTATGGGTTCAGTGGTGACCCGACGGTTGTTGAACCCACAGAAATGACACGACCACATTTCAGGGGTACCCTGGGTAAACTGATTATTCGATGAACGACATTGTCGACACGTTTCCAAGGACTCCTTGGGCAAAACTGGGAGTTCTGTTTTGGTATTCAATGGTGTATACAATGCACCAAAGGGGACCACATTGCGATGGTGCTGGAGTCTTGACTTGGGCAAACAACTCCAACTAAGTCGAATCCCGTCTTTGTCTTCTCTTTCTTCGAAGTCCATTGGAGAGGTCGACGCCGTTAAACGGTAGCTGAACTTAGGTTTCGGTGTAGATCGTATTTTTTGTTGTAGCCTATGAAAATTTCCATCCTCATACCACGCGCCATTTTGTGCGACGAAGGAAGATTGCACGATCTTTAACCAGATTTAGAATTAATCCGATCCTGGTAATGATAGCCGGTTTTTGAAACATAGAGACTCTGGAGCATATACATTTTTCGACTAAATATCACTTGTCAGGTAATATTGTGCAATAATGATCATATAAATCGGTGTAGAAGTAAAGCATTTTTTGCGACAGTTAACACGAAACGGGCACGGCTGCGAAATATTAAAAATGGTTGAGATATATATACATGGCTCTATTTACAGTTTGTATTATACATATGTAACTAATGATCATTGGCGGATAACATCTCGCAAGTTCCCAAAACTGAGAACATCTTCAATCCTTGAGACGCCAGCAAATAACATGACTAACCTATCAATGCCGCACCCCCAACCACCAGTTGGTGGTAAGCCGTACTTCATGTCTTCAATGTAATGCCAGTCGGGGATTTGTGATTCTGGATCCAAATACTCTGTTTTAGCACGTTGTTGTAGTTCAAACTTGTGTTTCTGAGTCTCTGGAGAGTTCTCTTCTTCGTATGCATTGACGTATTCCCTTCCGTTGATGAACATCTCAAATCGCAAAGAGATATCGTACTTCCGGCCGCCGCCATATTCTATTTCAGTCGACTTTGCTAGCGGTGAAAGCTCTGCTGGTTGGTTGTAAATGAAAATCGGTTGGTTCTCGTTTGATAATGGTTCCAAATATGTTGAACAAAGTGTATCAAGGAGAATCAGTGGTGACTTAATCTCGGGGAAGGGGATATCCAACTTTGCAAAATAGTCTAATAATGATGTTTGATCTAAAACTTTGGGGAATGGTATACCTGTCATCTTCTCTATAGTAGGAACAAACTCATATTTAATAATTGGTTTAAACTCAATGGGGGAACCAACATCAACGTTTAATTGAGCGAATAACTCCTCTGTGATGTTCATAAGTTCATCCAAATCAGTCCATGTTTGGTAAAACTCGCAGGAAGTAAATTCTGGATTGTGTGTACCATCAATACCTTCGTTCCGGAAATTCTGGCCTATTTCAAACACTTTATCAAACCCACCAATTACCAATTTCTTCAACCATATTTCTGGTGCCACTCTCAATTGTAGTTGTTGATCATTTTCAAGCGCCTTAGAGCGAGTAATAAACGGAGTGGCATTAGCTCCCGTACCAGATTCAGCAAGTAATGGAGTCTGGACTTCAACAAAGTCTCGATTTAGAAAGTAGTTCCTAATCAGTTGAAGGACTTTTGATTTAATCGTAAGCACTTTTCTGGCTTCAGCCAGTGAAATGTAATGAGCGACTCTTCTGGAATTAATTTGCGAACGGTCAACCAACTTACTGGGCACTTCTCGAACTGCGGGCGAACAACTCACCATAGGTCGATCTAGTTTTATCAGTAACTCGCCTGTACCCGTTATGTGAGGTAACCCTGTAGCGTGAACAGAATCGTTCTTATTAAATAGCATGAAATGCTCTTTGAACGATTCACTATCTAATTTGGTCGAATTTGTGGTAGCAAGAAGCTGGATCTTGGTATTATCCTGAATAATGTCGAAGAAATAAGTTTTCTTCAGCATTTGTCTAATGTTAGTGATTCTTCCTTCTAAAGTGATTGGTTGGCCTTGCATTTGCAATTGTTTGAACTTTTGACGGAAATCAGGAACTCGAATCCTTAACTGTTCAGGGAGACGCACAGAACGTAGTGGGGGATATTTTGGTATTTTCATTGGCACCTTTTAATACTTGATCTTGAGCATATGGTTTAAGATTATCAGTAGGTTTGAAGTTAGTATAACTAAATTTTTCGACCCACGAATCGGCATTAATTTTCACACGAACCACGAACCAAGAACCACGAACCACACAAACCAGTAGGGTGCCAGATCGCAATAATCATAAAGTCTTTACTGAAGATGAGGGAAGCACAGTTGGACGAGTGTTGTGATTGGGCTAAGTAGAAAGATCAAAAGATCGGGCTTCAAGTGAGTGAACAGATCAATGATTAGGAGTCGAGAACTCAAATTTACTTAAAGATGGCACGACCAAGATAATAGGATTGTATCAGCGGACGACGATAATATTCACAATGATGTAATGGTTCTAAAGGCAGTGTAACATTCCAACATGGGTATCATTTTATAACTGATGATAGGAGCTAGAGGAATATGGGGTGTTGGATCTGGTTTGAAAGTCGTCTTAATTCGATGAAAGGGGAATTAGTTCAAATGCCGATGAAGAGAATTTGAATAGAATGGTCTTGCAGTGATATCGAACAATCCAGATTATGTTTTGCTAGTGAAACAAAGGAGCATAGCATACCATCCAGGACCTTGCAGAAATACGATATCACGAAGTTGAAACTACGTTTACTGTAGAGATGGTCCAGACCGAACAAAAGTAGTTCCTGTAATTCAATGACTATCGTCGTAGTGCTGCCTAGTCGAGGAGTGAACGGAAGAGGGAATTTGAAGCGAACAAATTCATACAAAAATTAATTCAATAGATAAACAAAGAAGTCGATCAACAAATATACTGGTAACAGTAATAACTGGATACCAGATGAATAATACTCTGAATCGGTATTGTTGAAGGGTAAAGATCGGCTATCTTATTCTTAGGCATCTTGCCAAAGGCGTCACAAAAAGAGGCCACTTTTATAGGTAGGACGACGCCAAAATATGTGCCCCTTGTTTCATGTTTTAAGGGATTGAAACATAGGGCCTGGCGAAAGCCCACGTCATAGTTAAGCCTTAATAAAGAGGCAGAACAGTTTACAGAAGTCAATAGTGACTTCACAGAACAAAGCATCATATTTAGCATTAGCACTCTACAAAAAATATATGTCGCTGTACCACGCGATACAACAAGAAATCTTCGTTGTAGTTAAGAAGTGATTTAGTTCGACGCAACGAACAAACTAAAACATTATGTAGGTACACTTCACTATTATTATACCATATTATTATACCGTACTGCTATCATAACCATAATCTCTTAACTAAGATACTTCACTCACTACATTAAATAGCAACTCTCGTCTCTCCACAGTATTGTTTGCTGTACACGAGGGTATTGTGTCTGCATCACAAAGCACAAGAACCACAAGAACCGCTTCCTTGTGAAACCAAGCATTAGACCGCAAAATTACCACCAAAAAACAATAATATTATGATGTATTTTTTTTTTGTACGGGGCAGATTAAACTCGCGCAAACAACCTCAGGCACTTTTACGCATCGGTCGACTTACAGATTCAAAACGAGTACTTTTGTATCTCAAACGAAACCAGTACGTAAATATTGTAATCTCAATTAGTGCGTGTTCTTTTACACGTAAAGGTTTTATAGAACTGGACTGTTAACCTTATTCTTCACTCCATACGACACTAGTACGCCGGTCATGAGGAAGCTATGGTCTCGTAGAGAGAAGCGAAGTTCTATAGGGCCTTTACTGTTGTATGATGAGCAGTCCTCCGTGGTATCTAATCAGTCGTCGTACGACGCGGACTCCGCTATAATTAATGGGTCGACCAAATTGGGTTCATCTAGAAATCAACCTCATTCCAATCAACTGCATCCACATCAACATCCACAACATCCGCAACATCACCAACCCCCTCATACACACCCACAACATAATCAGCCAAATACGTCGGTCCCAGACCCATCATCTTCTGATCCATCACCTCCTTCTACATACAATTTACCGGAGTCTAACCCTTCCTATGATAACACTTTGACTAAAGTAGGCTGGCTCAATTTGGTCAATGATCCTCAAGATTTATCCTCCTTCAAATTGGTTAGAGCAGAGTTAAAGGGTTCCCACTTGTTTATCTTTAAGGCTCCCCAGGTTAATGCCAAATGTTTTCGAATAGACCCTTCGCCACCACAATCAATCCCAAGCTCGCTAACCCCCATAATCAACCAACAAGCTCTGTTCAGATCCACAACACAGAACCACCAAGGTATCAAGAGTGCCCCGCTTCTCCAAGGAACTCAAACCATCTCCACTGCACCTGTGGGACTCAACATCCCCCTTACCAGAACAGAGTCACATCAATACTTGCAATTGGGCGATGGCGACGAGGACTACGACGGCGAAACTGTACGTGATGACGCGTCCATGATGTCCGATATCCATAAGTACCCTCCCCCTCCTAAGATCTATGGTAGTGGCGCTAACAGTAATGGTTCTGGTTCCGTATCTGGCTCGGGAAGTCGAAACGGGTCCATCCATTCAACTACATCATTATCCAAATCCAGCTCTCGACAATCTGAAACGTCCAATGCAAACAATACTCAATCAGGTTCGGGGGCCGTCCTTGAACCAAATCCAAGGGCCTGGGATGAAGCGGTAGTGGTCGAAGCAGAAACTCTCAAGACACAAGTATCTACAACTTTGGAGTGGTACGAAGCAGCTACAAGCTCAAGTGCTTATGTCTTACCTTTAGTTCCACACTTTGTGCCTCTACTTCGGGAATTGGTTAGGAGAGTCCAACTTCAAACCGGTGAAAGAGGCGTGGATGACAAAGCAGAAACCACTTCCACAACCACCAATGAGACCGGTGGCACCGGCACCGACAATGAACAATCTACAAATGAACCTTATGATCCACTTTTAATTGATAAAGTGGCAGATATCTTAAACGCAGTAAACTCCCAATACCCAGGTTTATTGGTACAACAAGACGTTGCTCCATACTTATTCAAACTCGTGGAATTGATAAATAAAACCAAATTAAGTGATGATATGAGAAATACCCAGCACAAGTTACTTGATCTTGTCTCTATTGATGATTTAAATACCGACAATCCGCTTTTGGAATTAAATTCCACTGTGTTTATGAAAGACCTATCGCTCTTTGAATTGGCATCTACCATTCTGCAAATTGACCTTAAGTTCTTTGCCCAATGGAATGCTGAGTTGGACAAATCCATTCTCTTACTCAAAGATCGTCAACCGGACTTCATTTACCGGAAGAACCCATTAATATTCAACAATGATCATCATATTCATTATCTTTCCCGGTTAGTGATCCAACATTTGTTTATTGAACAAGGAAGCTGGGAAAAGAAGGCCCGTCTTTTGGAAAAATGGATTGATTTGGGGTGTCTTTTGGATAAATTGGGTGATATGTCTGCTTGGATAGGGTTAGCATCAATCATATTATCCCAACCACTTCTTCGTTTATCAAACCTTTGGAGTCATGTTTCATTGGACTACGTTAACCTATTGAAAAACGATTGGTCCCCTGTGTTATTTGAGTTGGATAGACGTTATTTGAAGACAGAAATTGATGACGGATATCGTATAATGGCTCCAAGAGGATTGGGGAAGTTGTATTCAAAGGAAAACGTTATACCTTATTTTGGAGACTTGTTTGTACAAAGGAAGGACAATTTACAAGAATTGGCAAACATATGGAAACGAATTCAATATTCATTTTCAAGGTGGGATGATTATTTAAGTAACATCACCAATCACCCTGAAATTATTCATTATAATGATGATGTTTTGAGACGATATGATGCTATGGGATTTATCTTTTCCAATGAATCGTTAAATCAAGTGCTCTATTTGGGAACAGCAGAGGATACGACTTTAAATGCTTCGAAATTCCAACAGAAGTTGGATAGTATACAATCTTCACCACTTGGAGGAGCTTCCTCTTTGTCGCCGTCTTCTAATGCCCGTACTGCCCAGACGAATTTGAATGGTACATCTTCAAGTAAGACTTTGGAGGGGAAACTCTTAAGATTGCTTGAAGTTAATTGTGAACTGGTTAATTTGGAACGCATAATGAAGCTTTCATTGAGTCTAGACCCAGATATTACCGAAGCATATCTTAAGCCAATTATTAGTGCTCCGTACATTGAGGGTAGCAGTACCCAAGATCACGATGGAATTAATGGCAAGCTGTCTGTCTATAAATCGAGGCATTACGGTCAATCCAGCGAATCTGTTCCTGATTCCATCACTAGTCTAGCCACAATATCAGCTACGCCAGTTCTACCATCTTCATCGTTGCCCAATTTTTCACATGTTGGATCAAATTCTTCAACTGGGTTGTCTGCTACACCGATTCTCAATACTCCAAATACAGCAAACAGCACAACCAGCATATTGAGTTCGTCACCTTATGACATCAAGATCCCCACCTTCAACAACAACTACTTCACCATCAACCTCAACAAATACGACGAATTGTCTACCAGCACTGCCCACCCTGTTCTAGACCCGAACACAAAGTTCACCAATAATATCAGCTTCAAACCAGACAACTTTATACTGGACGATGCTGCTTCGTCTAATGCCGGAGACACTTCTGAGGACATAGCAGTGGGTGGCCCCGATTTGGACGAGGATGATGGGCTAGGAATCGATGTGGATGACATCTTAAACTCTGAAAAGTTTACCAACTTCTGCATATCCGATCGCCCTTTAAGTGCTGGAGACCATAATTCACTGCAACAGGCCACGGACCGGGACATTCCTAAATATGCCACTATTGATAGACTTGTCGATTTGCTATTAATTGACTCGAAGTACTTTGGAGAAGATATAACTGTGGATTTGACTGAATACAGAGTGGTCTTCTTGTTGAACTACAACTCGTTCATTACCACCAAAGATTTGTTGAACAAGTTGGCCCATCGGTTTATTAACTCTGGTAATGCCGTGATATCGTTGACTAAGAGAAGTTGGTTGCTTAGCACTACCAACGATCCTAATTCAGTATTAGAGAGCACAGAGTTCCCTAACTGGGAATTAGATCCATCTGTTGACGTGGTGAAGTTAGGAGAAGTGGACTACAAGTTGTTGCTTAGAATCCAGATCAATATTTTGAAGACGCTAATTGTATTGATCAACAATTTCTACAGTTTCTTTAACTTGGAGTTGAGCAACAGAACCATTCTTGTGAAGTTACTCAAGTTATTCAGCAACGAGATTTTACAATGGTACAACTCCAACAAGTTGAAAGGTGAACTCGAACAGTTGTTTGAAAGCTTGGTGCATTTCTATAAGAAGTTGAAAAAGTTGTATGTGAAGAAAACTTATAGGCCATTGGAGATTTCCAAATTTGAAAGGCATTTATTGACAGAATATCAATTCAACAATTCACTTCACGAAGTGCCGGTTAACAGGAACTTGCCTGGAAGTAAGAACATCACCAAGATTGAAAAGTTTATCTTCAAGTTCAATAAAATGTTGACTGTGTTTTATAAAGGTATAAAGACTGAAGAATGGTTCACGGTGTTCAAGATATTGGAGTCACAATTTGAAAATAATCAACTTTTGGAGTACAACATGCAGAAGACCAATGTCCTGGAAGACAAGGTCATTGTTCTGAACATATTCAATTACTTTGAAAGCTTATCTAATCCAGAAAGTAAGGCATTACTTGTTAGACGGTTTCCCTTGGTCCATCGGAAGTTATTTCACTTGTATTATAAATTCAAGACGTATTTGACTATTCAATTGTTGGACCCCACGATCGCTCCGGAGGAAAGGATCGACAGAATGAAGACATTGCTTATCATGGTCAAGTTATCTCAGTTGAAGATGAGTGAATATCTGTTTATCATGGAGGGAATGTTCTCTCGTCGGATCCCCTCGTACGTTGAGTCCGTGGTGGTGAATACCATTTACTCCCCGGAATCAAGAAGTTATGCTCATTTATGGATCAAGGCCGCTTTGGATTTGAATAAAGATAATCTGGTGGTTAACTTCGACAGTATTGAATCATTACTTCCCAAAGTGATTAAAAGCAGTGATCTTCATATTACAGACCCATTATTACCGTGCTTTGGTTGGATTATAGAGAATCTTTTGGCCATAAATCGATGTCCTTCATTCTACAACTTTGCACCCAATGTCATCAACTTCAACAAGAGATATTTGGTGTATAAGATTATCAAAGAATTGGGTGTTGAAGACACCAGTACTCGGGAGTTCACTCCCAATGATTCTAAAGAGTTCGACTTTTTGCTAAGACTAGATGAATCAATTCTCGAATCCATACCTCAAAGTTCTTCTAAAGCTGAATCTACAGATCGAACCAGACTATTTAGAGGCATTCTTATGGAACAATATCGGATTCTTTCCATTGACAATCGGAAAAAGTATCATGGTGATAACACTGGCAACGGCAGCAATAGTGTTCTGGTTCCAATAACCTCAGGTCTTAATAAGAAACCTTCGAATCCAAGCTTCAAACGTCAATCATTTTCGTATAAGACCAATTCTTCATCTACACGGTTCAAGTTCAGTGGCTTATTCTCCAAGACCAGACCCTTTTCCATCAATGGATCCCAACAGAATGCTTCTACCAGTGGTGTTGGTTCAGTAATTGGGGGTAGTGGTAACAGTAAGAGTATCAGTGTACAGGAGTTGCCTCCAGCCAGCCAGTTTACTGAAGGTCGCCAGAAACCATTGTATGTAATTGCCTTGAAGAACAGAAAAATCTTCCCGGTTTACATGGCGCCGGCCTCATTCAAAGTCGACACCGATACTTCAGGCGAGAACTACTTATTCCAAGCTACCAGTGAATCCGACTTCAATGACTGGGTAGCAAGATTGGCCCATGCTAATAGGCATTGGTTCTATTCCAAGACACTAACAGCCAAGATTAACCACAACCATGTCACGTTTGGTATCCCCATCAATGTGGTGTGTCGACGGGAGAACCTGATGACCCCTAGAATCTTGGTGTCGTTATTGGAACAGATTGAATACATGGGACTTGATGACGTGGGGATCTACAGAATCAGTTGTTCACTTTCTGATTTAGCCAGTTTGAAGAGTCAAATTGATCTGACTGGAGAACTTGACTTTGTAAATGGTGTTTATGACGTCCATGCACTCACCAGCATTGTCAAGTCGTACTTAAGAGAATTGCCTACGGCTTTGATCACTGACCAAGTCATTGAGGAGCTCTTTGCAATTAGGAATGGTACAGAGATGGTGGAAGATTCTGTAGCTGCTTATCGTCTGGCATTGGAGCTGCTACCAGACCATAATTATCAAACTTTTAAGTTGCTCATTGGACATTTGAGGAAGGTGAGTGCTCTTTCCGAGGTTAACAAGATGACTCCTTCCAACATTGCAACAGTGATAGGACCGGCGTTGACCGAGGCCAGTACGTTGGATAGTTTGTTCAATAACTTTGGGATGATGAACTCTATTTTGGAGAGCCTTATTCTTAACTATGACGGGATCTTTACTGTGGCCGAGAGTGGCAGTAAGATCACACACGATGGCGATGATGATGATGCTGATGATGAGAGTCAAGAGCATGATACTATCCATGAGTTAGAATCAGATGAGAAGCCTGAACCGGTACCGGCTCCGGAACAGGAAGATGATCTTGAATATGATAAAGGTACCGAAGTACGACACCATAAAGACATTGATCCTGATGCTGAAAATGAAGTTAGCGTTGATGCTGATGATGAAGATACCCCAGTGAAACTAGATGAAGAGAAGGACAAACAGTTATAGATGATTGATAATAATTATATTAATAATTATAATGATGATATATTTACAGTGTAGTTATGTACAAGATTAATGTTTCTTGATGAAGTTATGGGAGTCTTGCTTTCTCTTCTCGATGTTGTCCAACTTCTTACTCAAGTATTCACTACTAGCAAGACTCTTTTTATGGGAGTTTTCTTGTTGTTTCTTTAACCATTCCATGATAGTTGTAGGTTGTGGTTTGGAGCCGGGTAACGGAGGACGATTAGTGATGGCTGGTAAGTTTGCCCACTTCCGGAAGGCTGGGCTTCTAAATAGGGCCGATTGGAAAGCGGAGAAAAAGGCCGATACCGCAAAATACCAAACCACACCGGCAGAAAAGTTGTACGTAATAAAAATTGAAGCAAATGGTGCAGCCATCATAACCTTTTTAATGGGAGGTGACATGGTTGAAGCTCCAGCTTCACCACCAAACTTAACTAACGCAGCAATCAGACAAGCAGTTATAATTTGCAAACCTAAAACTGAATCGACTGCAGCCAAATTCTGAAACCAAAGAATACCTTCACTAGTAAAGCCGGAAACGGGGTATTCCGCCATTCTCAGAATTACTCTGTAGAATCCAATAGTCACCGGCAAGTTAATCAACGGAGTTAAGGAGTATCTCATTTTAATATCGTTTTCCTTAAACAACTTTTTCCGTTCCATTGTAGCCAATTGCATTGCTCTTTGATCACCGGAGCTCATCTTCTCGCTTATGACATCCAATTCCGGTCTGATATGAGACAATTTGGCCATATTTCTAGTCATCTTCACATACATTGGAACCAAGGCTAATCTTACAACAATACACGCCACCATAATAGACGCCCACCAAGGTAATCCTGCAGAGATATGAAGGGCTTCTAAAAGTCTACCGGCGATATCTGAAGGGTAAGTGTACCCCAGAACGATATCCAATGATTCAAGGTAGCCGATTTGGTCGGGACTAACGGTGGAGACGACTTTGGAAGGGATTTCTGCTAACGAGGGCAACGAGGTAACGATTTCAGAGGATGCACCAGCCGAATCTACTGCTGGTACTGCTGTTGCTGCTGATACTGATGTTGAGTTAAATCTCTTTGTGCCAAACATTGTTACTAATGGACTAACCGGTTTCATGTAATGCACCGTGGGGGTCATGAATCGAACACCGGTGTGCAGAGGACGAGGTCCCCCACGTACAAGCAGTCGTAAGAATATGTTTGAGTTCATGTGAATGGTGGAGCCAGAAAGAGTAGCAAGTGTTTAACGTTTGTCTTAAAAATTTTCGACTACATTTTCGTACAGTACAACAGAAACAGTACTTCACCGTGCAGCGTATATCACAGTATGTCATGGTATATTACGGTGTAGAGCATATAACAGTATAACAGTGTTACAGTATAGTATTCACAGTAGTATGTTACAGTATATAATGTAGCACAGCGTGTATTACATCACAGTGTATCTTACAGTGCAGTGTATTTTACAGTACAGCGTATATTACAGTACAACGGTGTATACTCCAGTATAAGCTGTAGTGAGTATTTGTAGGTGGGCCAACACCGTTATACACCCTGTGCAATGTGCTGTACCACAGTGTACATCACAGTGTACATCACAGTGTAGGGTATATTTCTTATAGTGTATATTTCAGTATAGTGTGTATTCCATCTCAGTTACGGTGTAAGCCATACCAGGATACAAACTTCATTATATAATACTTTGATACTTATACTGTGATAGCTATACTGATATATACCCTGTACTTATATATACTCTACTGTTATACTCTGCGCTGTGATATACAGTAAAGATGGTACATGTGCTGTAATATACTCTATAAACTCACTTGACTGTAACAGTCTCAAATAACTTGATGCACTCCTCTTCTTACCAATGATTCGACTAACTTCCACACGCCGGCTATCCACTGCTTATTCCGAAGCAACAGTCGCTCAAGCACTTAAGCTAACCAATTATATCCAGCAACGTGATTGGCCCAAAGCAGAACGGCTCAGTGGTCTATTACCTCAACCGTTGGTTACTCAATGCTTCTCTTTAGATTGGGCCAATCAGATCAATGAAAAACAGTCTATTCCAACCAATATCATTGCCCGGTTCCTAGCCGCTTCAGACGATCCCGTTAAGGAAACATATAGGTTTCTCGTGCAGTCCATAGCCACTACTGGCACTGTGGACCATAAGTTAGTTGAGCCCTACTTATGGAATCTTTTGGTCAACGAAAGCAGCCCACGGATGGCTCTCGTGGCAACAGTATTCAACATAATCGTATCACAGACCACTGTAACTCTAAGCAACGAGCTATGGTCACTTTTGATAACGAGAACCTGTGAATTGTCGGATTACCCCACTGCCATTATTGTTTATCATCAAGTGATCCAAGACAAACCGTTCTTGGTGACCCCCCAGGTTCTACAAGCATTAGGATCAATTTTCGCCACTAATAACGATCATGTCAGAGTTAAAGGTCTACTCAGCTATTTCAACGAGTTCTATTCGTATCAACTACATCCTACCACGTTAAGGACTTTGAAGATTATGTTGGTGGAAGCGTGTGCCTCCACGGACTTCGTCACCAGTTTATCGGAGTTTAGATCTCTATGTCTGCTATTTAAAGGGCACAGTAAGCTCCATTGGCATTATCATCATCATTTGATGAAGAACACTATTGCCAACGGCTACGTGTCCAGAAGACATGCTATAGCGGAGAATAAACCCCGAGCTAGCATTGACGGAGATAGTAATGGCAGTGATGAAGCCGCTGATTGTATTTTCAAGCAGGAACAGCAACTAGCAACGGAAACAGGTATGACCCTCTTCCAACCGCTGATCCAAAGGAATGTCTACACCACCACCAACAACCATATACCATTGATTGACGGAGTTCTCCGGACCAGTGATCTCCCGCAGTTCTACCAACAGTTCCACCGTCATATCACTTCGTTATTGGTGAACCATTCCAGTCACGAGCTCGTGGAAACGTTGAGACAACGCATCATCAAAACCCACTACATGCTAACGGTGTTTGTTGTGCGACTGTTGTGTGAATCCAGCAAGTTCCAAGAAGCGTTGATGTTGATGGAAGTGTTGGGAGAAAAAAGCATGAATTATAAAACGCCATTTCTCATTAAGGAAGAGAACTTTTATATGTTTGGCACTCACTGCAACGATTACAAATTGCTTATTGAGTGCTTACAATTTTATGTTGATGCTTGCGTCAAATTCAACTATAGATTATCATCAAAAGTTATGGCCGCCTTTTTGACTTCAATGTTGAATCATGCAGATCAAGTCCGACTAACTGATTTAGAGCATTTTTTGGCCTGTTATTGGAAGCATGGAGATCCCAAAACTGTCATCAAATTGTCTATTGAAAGTTGGAACCTTCTCCTTACAAAAGTGGATATCAAAAGGTTTAACTTTATTCAATCATATACAAAATAATCCCATTACCTAATTTTTCAGAATAACTAGTCTACCATTACACCATACCTTGATGCAATTCCGATCATCACCAGAAAATACCCATTTGGCAATTAAATCCTTCCATGGTAAAGTGTGTTGCCAACTGAACATATCAATATTGCCTCTATCCAAATCAATTAGCTGAGCATCAAATTTCTTACCCACGGCAAAGGATCCAAGCATTTGACCGTACCCGACGGCCTTAGCTCCTCCTAATGTTGCCATATATAATCCATCTGCAACAGATAATTTCACATTTTCCTTCTTGTCATCATCTTTAGGTTCAAACTTCATAGATAAATGATGACTCACCAAGATAGATTGTTTGAGAACTCCCAAGATAGATTGTTCAAACCCTCCAGAAACATCGGTACCTAAGGAAACATTAATGTCATCTTCATATAAATACTTCTTGATGGGTGCTTCTCCACTGGAAATAAACGTATTGGAAGCAGGACAATGACTAAGTGAACATTTTCTTTGTTTAATCAAGTCAATTTCTTCTTGTTCCAAATATACTCCATGAGCTAAAATGGTTTTTTCAGTTAATAATTGATGTCTATCATAAACCAGGGCATAATTTTTATCATTAGGAAATTGTTGTTTGACTTGTTCCACTTCTTTAACGTTTTCACTGATGTGAGTTTGGATATTCAAGTTTCTCTCCTTACTTAATTTCCCTAAATCAGATAATAATTTATCTGTACAAGAAAGGGCAAATCTGGGAGTAACGATTGGTTTCACCAAGATTTCATCACTGGGGTTCAAGCGTTCCAAATCGTCAATTAATGTCTTCATTCCATCCATACAACTATCAATATCTTCTTCATAATCAGGATACACTGGATTATGATCCATACACACCTTACCCACAAACCCACGTTGTCCATATTGTAGCAACAAGTTGGCAAACAATGTTGTGGATGGCTGGTCGATGGTGGTGAAATATGAAGCACAAGTCGTACCACAACTCAAAGTCTTTTTGATGATTTTGGAGTAAACTTGATGAGTCATAGACATGTTTTCTCCCAAAGCATTTTCTGAGGGGAAAGTGATTTTAGTTAACCAATCCAATAATTGAATGTTTAACCCCACACCAACATTTGGATATTGAGAAGCATGGATGTGAGTATCAACAAACCCAGGAACCACAAACTGGAACGTATCTCTTAAGTCATAAAATTGAAAGTGTTTCCAAGACCCTGAGTTTTTATAAGTATTTCTAAAGAAATAGATTGGATCATCATCATCTTCGTTAAAATCTGATTGGATGAAATCAATATAACCCTCGGAGTTGACCCCGATTAAAGTATTGTTCAACACCTCCAATTTCCCTAATTCGGGAGTATGGATAAATGTACCATAATAAAGGGTATAAGGGATAGCAGTAGTACACTTGACATCCTTGTCCATATAAGAAGGCACACCAACAGACGTCATATTGACCGACTTTGTACCAGCACACTGGTGTTGATGGTTACTAGTGCGTGCTAAATACTTGCAACCATTTTCATTATCCGAAGGAGGAGTTCTTGGTAAGTACTCTTGGGAGTGAGATTCTATGAAAGCCGCAACGTCATCTGACTGATTGTTCATAAGTGAAGTTAATAACATATTAAGCAGCAAAAATGACGTGTCATATAATGTATGTAAATATATATATATATATGTATATAACTTTAAGGGTGACCATAAATGTAATTCGTACTATAATATGTCCCGTGGATCTATCTATTTATATATGAAACATACTGTCTCTCTACACTGTATATACTACAAACCGTTGACGTATTATTTATTGTAGAAGATAAGAAGTGAGATTTTGCTCTCACTCCCGGAATTCACCTCGGAGTCAAATCACAATACACATTCACAATGCATATTAGTCTCTTGCCATGGAGTACGCCGAAGGAAGCAACCGTAGTCAAGTATGATTGCTATTGTGTCTACGTACAGTTGTGTACAGTGACTTGTATAATTAGTTGACTCCTTTAATGATCTCTAACTACTCAGTCAGTAGTGTTAATTAGTTGTACACAACGCGATTCAAGGGACAATAAAGCCGAAGTATTCTTTATCGGACGTCCCCACAATCAAATCGTAAACTTTATTCTGCGTTGTTTACAGTGTATAATGGTAGTGGATGGTGATGACAGATAAGCGGAGGCTCCGACGGAACAAAGTTTTGTGTACAACTACCTGCAGAGTATATTCCAGTACACTGTAGCGTATATTCCAGTACACTGTAGCGTATATTCCAGTGGCGTATATTTCAGCTACTAGATTTCATTTCAGTATACTAGTAGTTATATAGTTGTGCAGTTGTGTAGACTCAGTGTATTGTAAAGTTGTATTTGCTACGTGAATGCTCTTTTAATCTCATCGGAACGGACTTGCGTTTGCCTTGGGTGACGTAACAGTCATTAACATATGTATGGCGTTAGAATTTTATCAAGGCGTGTGCTTATGTAATCAAGTGAAAATTCCTTGTTATGTGAGCAAGACAGTAACCTATAGCATGCGCTAAATGTAGCAGATATTTGTAGTAAGAGTTTACTTCACTATAAACGGCTGTATAAATTTTCTAGGACGCTAGAATCAACTAACGAATTAAATTGAACGAAAGGACTAAATTATTTTGCTTACAACAAAGCAGCGAAACCAGCGAAACCAGCAGCAATAACACCAACGGCATTGGCACCAGCACCACCAGCAGGGTTGGAAGTAATAGGAATGGTGACGTTACCAGTGGTGGAAGAGATTGGAGCAACAGAGGAGGTTGGAGCCTTTGTGGAAGAAGAAGAAACAACTTCGGAAGAAGCAGAAGATGAAGCAGCAGCAGAAGTGGATGAGGCAGCAGCAGACGAAGATGAAGCTGCAGCGGAGGACGATGAAGCAGCAGCAGAGGAAGAGGAAGCAGCAGCAGAAGATGATGAAGCTGCAGTAGAAGAAGCAGCTTCAGATGATGAAGAAGCTTCAGAGGAAGAAGCAGTGGAAGAAGCAGCTTCAGAAGAAGAAGATTCGTTCTTGTTAATGGAGTAACCAGAACAAGAGTCTTCAAAAGCAGAGACAGCAGCATCGGCAGAACCGTCAGGACAAATGGATTTTAAACACTTTTCAACAGCAGAAGAGTTGTCACCACAGATACATGACAAATCGTTTAAACCAGAACATTTAGAGTCTTGTTCAACCTTGGAAACACAAGCCAACAAACAAGCTGGAGGAGTAGCCAAGACAGTGGTGGCAACGGAGGCCAAAGCAACGAGTGTGGTCAACTTAAACATTATTATAGCGATAGGGGTATGACAAGACAAACAAAGAATGTAGTAGTGGAAGAAGGTGAGCGATGTTTTAAATTTATTATTGTATAAAAACACCTCCTTCTTCCAATCGAGATTCAATGTTGGTGGTTCCAGTTGGTTGGGCCACGCCTCATCATAATAAAGAACGGTGGTGTGTTGTGTGGTGTTTGTTGGTATTAATTGACGAGAACAGTAAATAGTCGTGCATTGCACAGATTAAGTACATACAGTATTAATTAATGGTTCTACTATAAATAGATCTGAAAAAATTACTGCTAATAGTAACATATATTGACCAAGCAGTGAACAGTATGGCTATTATAACAGTATACTATTAACTGGGTATCGCTGTATTCAGTGCATACAGCACATGTATAGCATCTAGAGCTTTGTATAGTGGGTTGATCTTGAACTGGCTAACTGTAAGAACGGTGGATTAGCATGTGTGTTTTGCACGACTTTTGTACCTTAAGTCAAAAGACTACCACTAATCAGGTGGAAAACTACAATAAATCCGGCAGTAAAATGAAATCAGTCCGACTTTAAAATGAAATGAATTTGACTGTAAAAAGAAATAGATCCGACTTAAATGAAATAACTCCGACTGCAAAATTAAATAAATCCGACTGCAATAAGTACCACCTTGAAAACATAAAACCCATTTACCTTATAGTGTGCTTACGTAATCACGTAAGTAAACTTTCCCAACGATACACCCTTAAAGCTTAACTTCAGCAACCACATTGGTCCCTGTATAATTTAGACCAATACTAAAGTCTTCAACAAACACAAATAGTTCAGCTTTGCTCCAAATCTGTAGTCCATTTTTAGAATTCAAATACCTACGGAGTTCTTGAGCAGATACAGGGTTTATCCGTATAGGAATCTTATGAGATTTGGAATCACCTGGTGGTATAATTAACATTACTTGTTCTTTGAATTCTCCTACCAACGTATTATCGTCATCAACATCTCGAGTTAAATATGCTTTCCCTGATTTAATGTTTAATAGTAAGGCAATATCACAAGGATTATGGAAAAAGATTTCAATCTCTTGGTTGAATAAATAGATGGTAGTTTTGTCAATTAATGGTTTGGCAAATTCAGACAGACTTATATTGGGTAAAAATTGTTTCAATTCGTTTAAAACTCCATTAATATACCCTTTCTCAGGATTAGTTACTTCAAAGGGATTCAACTGATAAGGTTTATTAGAAACAAAATCTCCTAAAATGTCTCCTAACCATTCAGATTTGTATAACTTTAGTGCCATAACTGTAGGAAGACGACGACTGTTAATAGTAGTATCGTTGACTCTCTTATTCACAAATAAGTCACGGAAAGCTGCTGTACCAATTGGAAGTTGTTCTTTTTCGCCCGTGCTTATATTGAGCTCAATATCTTGTCCTAACAAAGTAATATCCAACTTCAGAGAGAATATTTCAGCTATAACATTGACTTCAAGCATATCTTCTGTCGACGCAACATATTCAACTTTAGCAATAGAAAACGATAATCCGTTTGATGAGTGATTCAATAGATGGCTGACCAACTCAAACTCAAAAGGAATTGTAATATCTGTTAAATTGAAATCCAAATTTGTTTCGAGTATAGTTGATTCAAATTCCATTTCATAAATTTCAATTGAATTGAATACCAATTCGTTTGTGATCCCTTTAACCATGTTTCTTACAAGGTTAACAAAATTATCCTCAATGATTTCTTCAAACTTTATATCCAAATGAAATTGCAGTCTTCTTTTGTTGTGCTTTTTCTTCTTCTTTTCGCCAATTGGACCTTCGTTAGAAAATGCTTTGGCCGATACAGTTACCACTTCATTAATAGATGCAATTGCACTTTGAAATTGATTAATTTGAAAGAAGGTATCATTAAACGAAACATCACATTCAATGTAAGGCAACTCATTGTCCGTGGCTTTCACCGTAAGATCTTCAATACCTATATCTAAACCATCAAGCTTGGGCAGTGCTGAATATGCACTCAACAAATATGATGATGGTATTTTGATTTCAATGAATGCATTATGGAACCCAATGTTGAAAGGAATCAGATCATTCAGGAGTAATCGTTGAAGCATTGAATTAAGAAAGGAACACTCAATTAATTTATTATCAATTCTTGAGATTTCTCCCAGAATTTGATGTCTATTTATTTTCCAGTCTTCACCTAACGTAACCAATTTGTTTTTACAGGGGAACATCAAATCAAAATCCAAAGTAGTATTCAAATGGAACTTCTTATCTCCGTCCTCTATGTCTACCTTAGCCATTATTCTATCTGACTTTTCCATTATAGTCAAATTAGACACTTGAGGTAGATATTGGTTTAGGGTATCCCATTCGAATTTCACATGAATTACTTGGTTTACTTGTAAATGGGGTATGGACAACCAATCTGTCAATTGTAACGTAAAAGACCCATTGAGAAGAAACATGTCCGTAAGTCTTATTAAATTTTCCATGTTGACAATTTTGTAGGTCATTTTGATTTCTAACTCATTGAGTCGATTCACCTCCAAAACAATGGATTCCAAGGGTAGAATGTCTAAGAAATGATACGTCTTATCATTATTCATTATCGAGAGTTCCAAATCTCTTTCAGGAATAACAATGAGCTTCCCTACCAATACAGCACTAAACATCAAGAGATTTCTGAATACGGGATTGGATGCTTGGGTATAATCAATAGCTACACTCCCCAGGAACTCAGCAACTTCCGAGTTGACTATGGAAAGCTGATCCAATTGAACTTGGATAATCTCATTTACCACAACATCCTTCTGCTGGAATAAAAGGACTAAGGCAACTGTTAGTAGTATCAGAAGTACAAATACTACACTGTAAAGTGTCAACGAGATCTTCTTGTAGAAACTGTTTCGAGCATCTCCAACATGCTCGTAATCATGCATCATACTTATACCTCTCTCTTCATCCTCCCCGGTATACGATGGGGGTGAATTATCATTCGATGGAGACTGATGCAATTGAGGCTGACTCAATAGAGGCTCTTCCTCATTGGGGGTGATACCCTTAGACATCAGAATAAAATTGGATGGAACGAAACGGAGTTAGCAGAACAGAATGGAACAGAACGGAACAGAACGGAACAACTTTATTATTGCATTCTGATGCAAAGGAAAGAAACATGTATATATGTTTGTATGGTGCTATTTGTTGCAAATAAAGGATCTTCCTCCCCTTTACAACACTGGTTTGCGCACGACAGCGGTAATCATTATACTCCATCCAGCCAGTGTCGCATCGACTGCCTATTCCGGTTATGTCGCGCCCACAACGCCAACTCATTTTTAACACCCATACACAGTACCGCCCGTATATAATTTGCTCATTTGGTGTAGTGTGTCTATTTACAAGCCAAATACCATATCAAAGATGTCCCTATCGCAAAGTTGATGGAGTTAACAAAGTGTTTGTCCGTTAGTAACCAAAATGATACTAATTGAAGACGCCAAATATTCATGTTTGGAGTGTATAAGAGGCCACCGGTCATCGCTGTGTCGGCATTATATGCGTCCGTTACTCCAAGTTCGGTCCAAGGGTCGGCCCAATGTGGCAGCTAATGGGAACCCTAATCACAGGATAGCCGTATTTGCTGAAGAGATCGACGAAGCTAACTGCAGTAGTAAACAGACCCCTGTGGTGATATTGAAGGCTACACCTAAACAGATCATTGATTTGGTAAATGGAGAAGTCATTGGACCTTATGAGGAGAAGAATACAACACCCACACCGATATCTAAACTGAGCTCAACAGATCTTGTTGGCAACGAGTCGTCGTTGTCTTCCGTACGGGATTCATTGGCACCTACTCATTCGCTGGTGTCTACTCCACCAAAACTGTGTTGCTCCAAGAAGAGTTCAAACGAGAATGACCTAGATAATGAAGTTACTTCAACGCCATCGAAATCTTCATCCACCACTCCCTCCACAACTCCCAAACATAGTTGTTGTGATTCCAAGTCCCACAATGGAGTATCCAAAGCTAAGAGCTCATGTGGTTGTAGCACCAATAACAAGAAGAAGGGAACTAAAATTTTCAAGTCCAAGATTTTACAGAAGTTTTTGAAGAATCACTTGAAGGAACTAGAAGTTGACAAACTACAACAGAGCCAACAATACCAGCTCCAACAGCTCCAACAGCTCCAACAGCTCCAACATCATCATCACCAACAGCACCGGCAAGGCATTCACCATATCATCAACACTGAAGATTCATCGTCCACGAACTATAACGAATCGTTGTCTAATATTCCCTTCCACAACATTCACAATAATGGATTGAATCCAAATTACAATACCAATCATCATATTGATAATGCCTTTGACATTGTTAGTGTCAGTTCATGTTCTATTCCTGGTAAATGCAGTTGTACCACAACCTGTTCGTGTGTGGGGTGTATAACCCATGGAGTTGAAAGCAATGATTCTCCAAACTATTTATTTGATCCATTATTGCAGGGCAATAATGACTCTATTGACCAATTATTCACCAAACCCCACTTCCAAGCTCATCCTGTTCATGTCATGCCTCCACAAGATGCCAACTTTGCTGCTTCAACAGAATTTCTGACGTTTGTTAAGCCGGAGATACCGACATTGAAACAGGAGCAATCGTATCCTAACTTTCAACAAGCAAATGCCTTTTCGCAGATGAGTATACTGGATCAACCTCAACAGCCACAAAACCAACAACTGCAACAGCAACAGCAAAACCTCCATCATTCTCATCAACACCAGCAACAGTTTCAACAACCACAACCACAACCACAACCACAACCACAACCACAACCACAACCACAACCACAACCACAGCACCAGTTTCTGCCAGAACTACTTCACGGGACTTCTTGCCCCCAAGAAAAACCTCAAACTAATTCCATTGACACTCAATATTCTTCGCCAAGCTATAGACCGCTGCCGATTCAATCAGAAACGTCTGACGTGGGATGTATGTGTGCTGATGATCATTGTAATTGCCAGAACTGTGAGACTCACGGCATAATAGACGGACTTAAACTTGATGAGTACTTCTTTGGGCCAAACACAAAGCTAGACAAACGGCTACTAGATATTTTTGACTCTTCATATAGCGGAGTTTAGTATATAGAAGAACGTTAGGACAGTAATATATACTGTACTAAAACAGTAGCACTGACCTGACATTATACCACTTCTCTTTTGTGTAACTGTGTTTTATCGGTGCACGCACGACTTGCTATTAGGTAGTTGAAATTTTTCAACCAACAAGAAACAACAATCACCACCACGACCATCATCATCACCATCAACCAATCGACAGCCAATCACAACCATGGAAGAGCCGCTGGATATCACGTACTATTTGGGGCCACAGGGTGTGGAGCTGTTGAACAACTTGGACGTGCCCTTGAGCAACGGGGAGATAGTTAGCATCAACTTGAGAGACGAACTACCTGAAGATCCACTGGAGATAATAACGTTTTTGGAGACGGAAAATGTTCCCAGACAGTTCTGGGTATCTGTTGCCGGAGGGTATGCTCAGAATGGCAAGTTGGAGGAGGCGCAGAGTGTTGCTGAGAAGGGCCTAAGCAAGCTGGTGGGGTTCCTGGAAGAAGACAAGAAGGCCCTACAAGGGTTTCTCACATGGTTATATTTGAAAAAGGTACTGTTAGGAATTGAAAAGAATAGTAACATCAACAGGGCACGTGAGTCAATTGAAAAGTTACAGGCTGTCGGGGGCAACAAGGAATTGAGTAATTTGTTACTGAAGGCTATAGTGTATCTTTTTGAAGATAGATTTGACAAGGCCCTTGAAATTCTTGATAGAGTATTAAAGGAGAATGGGAATAATTGTTTTGCCTTAATGGCCAAAGCTCAAATCATTTTGAATAAGACAAAAAATTATTCCAATGCTTTGAAATTATACCAACAAGTATTAGTCACAAACCCTACGATGTCACCAGATCCTCGTATTGGAGTTGGGATTTGTTTCTGGTTCTTGAAGGATGAATCAATGGCCATCCAAGCTTGGAAACGAGCTTTGGAATTGAACCCTTCAAATATTAAAGCCAAGATTTTGGTTGTGCTTTCTGAATTCAACAATGCATTTAATAATTCACTTAGTGATGAAGAATTCAAACACAATTATACCACATGTTTAAAGCAAGTGTCTACGCTTTACAAGGAGAATGTCAATGATATTTCTATACTTTTGGTGCTTGCTTCCTATTTCTTGTCTAAGGGAGATTATGATACTGTGGAAAAGATAGTCAATAAAATAAGGGCCAGCATATTGGGTGAAGATAAGTTTGAACTGTATACTGCCAGCAAATTGAGTGGGAAATTGTCTAGTTTCCAATCTGTGGCGTTATCTCAATGTTTCTATTGGTTAGGGAGAGTGTCCTTCAATAAAAATGACTTTACTCAATCCCAGAAATATTTCCATGAGTCTATTAAATTAAATGAAAGTAATCTTTTGGCGAAACTTGGGTTAGGTCAATCTCAATACAATCGTGGATCGGTTGAAGAGTCATTGATTACGTTTGAAAGTATTTTAAAGACTAATCCCAAATGTCTTGAAGTGTTATATTTGTTAGGGTGTCTCTATTCCAAACAATCTTCCAGAAGAAAGCAAGAAGCGGCCATTCATATATTGGAAAAGTATATTCGGTTATCAAATAACAAAGGTTATTCCAATCCACAAGAGTTTTCTGAGTTCTACAAGAGAGAGCCGGTTATTTTGAATTCTTACTTGATTTTAAGTGAGTTGTATGAGTCTAGAGATTTCACGCAATCCTTGGTTTACTTACAGAAGGCTGTTGAATCTAGAAAACAAGTGCTTCTAGAAGCTCCTTTGGAAGTGTACAACAATATTGGTGTTTTCAACTTTATGAAGAACAATTTTGCTTTGGCTGTAGAGAATTTCTCTTCAGCTGTTCAAGTTGCGGAAAAGGACAGTCAGGGTTCCAGCTCTCAATTAATTGACGATATCAAAATCACATTGAGCTTCAATTTGGCCAGGAGCAAAGAAGAAATCTCTGAAGAAGAAGCAACTAGTTCAAACATCCAAAAAGATTCAGTTGACGTTTATGATACAATATTGAAGGAGCAACCAGCATATTATTCAGCCAAGCTTAGATTATTGTTTTTACAGTGTTTATCCACTGAGCTGCCCAAGAAGGAAATATTGGAGGCTTTAGAAACTCTTTTAAGTGATAATGATTCTAATTTAGAAGTCAGATCTTTCTATGGCTGGTTTATCAAAAATTTCGGTAAGAAATTGGGCTTGGTGGGGGATTCAGATGCTAATCATCAAAAGGAAACTCTTGTTCAATATAATTCTCACGACTGTTATGCCTTGGTGTCTTTGGCTAACATTTATTGCATTATGGCTAGAGACTTGAAAGACAATGACAATAATAAGAAACGCAAATATTACATCAGAGCGGTCGAGTTGTTTGCCAAAGTTTTAAGTGTGGACTCCAAGAATGTCTTTGCAGCTCAAGGGTTAGCCATTGTGTATCTTGAGAACAAGGAAGTGGAGAAAGGGTTGGAGATCTTAAGAAAAATTAGGGACTCTTTGAACGACATTTCCATCTATGTTAACTTGGGGCATGCCTATGCTGAGTGTAAGCAGTTTTCCAAGTCCATTGAGCATTATGAGATTGCCTTGGCCAGATTCTCCGATGGGAATGACACTAGATTGCTAACCTTCTTGGGTAAGACATGGTACATGAGAGGGTTGTATGAGAAGAACCTCAATTACTTGAAGAAAGCCAAGCAGTATGCTGAAGAAGTATTGGAGAAATCTGGAGGTACCAGTGCTGCTTTCAAGTTCAATGTTGCATATATTGACTATCAAATTGCTGAATTTATTACTAAACAACGGGCTGATCTTAGATCTGTTGATGAGATCAAGAGTGCTATTCTCAATCTTAATACTGCCATTACCATATTAAAGGAGTTGGCACTGGATGAAGAGAAGAACCCACCGTATCCTAAATCGGAATTGAACCAAAGAGCTCTTTTGGGTCAGAACACGTTGTTAAACCGGTTGAATATGAGTTTGGAAGAGACGGTTTCTAACATTGAGAATGTCGAGCAACGTTTGGAGGAAGCTAAGAAGCTAAGAAGAGAAGAGGAGGATCGGAAGCTCAAGGAGGAAGAAGAAAGAAACAGACAATTGGCATTGAAGGAAGAAGAAATGGCCAAGGAAAGACTCAAGTTGCAAGAACAAGCACAGCAATGGGCCGAAGAACAACGAGCTAACATTGGAGTTGATGAAAGTGATGGTGATGGTGATTATAATAATAATGGAGGTGATGCTGGCGATGCTGGTGGTGATGACTCTAACAAGAAGAAGCGGAAGAAGAACGCGGCCAAACCTGGCCGTCGGGGCAAGAAGAAGGCTGCTGTTGTTGATGATATCATCAACGATGACTCTGAAGAATCAGCTGTTTCATCTGGAGAAGAGCAAGAACCAAATTCTGCTAAAGCTTCACCCAAAAAGAGAAAGAAGAAGGCTGCCATTGTTGACGACGAGGAGGAAGACGATGTTGATGAGCCGGACAACTCCAAGAAGAGAAAGAAGAAGGCTCTCTCCAAAGAGATCATCGAAGACAGTGATGATGAATTAGATGATGATTTGTTTGGTGATGATAACGAATAGTTGACTATAAATAGATTAAATAGTAACAGTAGTATTAACAGTAGTAATTGTAATAGTCATGACCCTTCAAGCCAGTGTTTGGTGAGCTTGTTCAGCTCACTGGCCTTCTTGAAGAGGGTCTTTTCAAATTCATCCAACAGAAGGAGGAACCGGTTATTCACGGGTTTATTGGAGTTGTTGGCGTAGTTGTAGATCTCCATTGCTCGTTCATTCAAAAGCTTCATGGCTTGTTTCCCAGACGGCAGTTCCATATGGAGTTTTGACCAGAGCACTACCAAGTCGTAGTAGAATGGGTATATCAGATGAAGATCCACACTTGATCCGCTGGCCCGAATGGCATTAACAAACTGACTGGCTTCAAACTTAGTCTCTCCCAACTCTATGAACTCTTGGTCGTCTTCATCAAACAAGGGGTTCTCTACCAAAACTGACGCTAACCAGAATGGCACTTCCACTTTGGAGTTCTTCGGAATTGCATGTCCAGGGTTCCCTTGTAAATACCCTAAGCCAGGAGCGTCACTGTTAAATTTGCAAGGTATTTTCTCTGCAGATGCTAGAATGTCGTCTATATCGAAGTACGACATTGTTGATGTATAATACTGTATTAATATAGCTAAGCACTGTTACGCGTATGCCCTACTGATTACTTGATCTTATTATCACCAAAGTCGTGTATGTGTACAATATTTTAGTGGTGCTTTAGAAGTAATCTACAACAGAATTCTTGCAATATAATAGATATATTTATGAAATATATATGAAATATATACGAATATAAGAGATTTGGCATTTAAGTTCTAATTGGAAGTTAAAAGCAGCTTCAGCTTCGTTGTTCTTATATACGTTTAGAATGAGCATTTTCAGTGGGTGATACATTTCGCAGCCAAAATGTCAAATATCCCCAGAAAGTATCACTACTAAGGGAAACTTTTAACATAAGTAACTACGAATATGCCATGTCATACGAGATTTATGTTTTAACCCACTGTTTCAATTCCTAAAGCATCAATTACACTATGAATGGTCCTACCATCTAATTATCACCAAAGTCGTGTCTATACCGTATCGAATGCACCCATCTCAAGCTTAAGCTCATCGCTCATTGTACCACCAAATATACGACATTAGTCCCCATCAATGCCTGCTAAACAACACATAGACGCCTCCGAGATCGCCGAGGATGATATTCCTGACTCCCATATAGTGTACCAAGATGCTATTTCATACTGGACATCTGTTCCTGCCAGTGTTAACGGTGTACTTGGAGGGTTCGGAGAACAGACCAGCGTTCCTAAGGCCGACGTCATCGGGTCTATGACGTTTCTTCGAAAGCTTCAGGCCAGAATGGTGTGTCCGTCTGACCAACAAAAACTCACCATAGATATGGGAGCCGGGATTGGCCGTATTACTCGGGACTTACTCTGGAAAGTAAGTGACAAGGTGGATCTACTTGAGCCAGTTCAACCATTTGTGGCACAGATGGAAACAGAGTTACAGGGAGTGGCTCTGAAGGGTAAGCTCGGGGATATATACCCGATTGGAATGCAAGAATGGTCTCCAGCACCGGAGAAAGTGGGGAAATATTGGATGGTATGGTGCCAATGGTGTGTTGGACAATTACCGGATGCAGACTTGGTAGCCTTCTGGAAACGATGTGGTGAAGCATTGATGGACAATGGAACGCTCATAGTAAAGGAAAACATAGCTCCCTATGACGACATTTTCGATGACACAGACTCTTCTGTTACGAGAACAGATGAGAAGTTTAGACAGTTGTTTGTTCAAGCTGGCTTCAAGTTGATTGCCAGTGACATACAAAAGGGTTTACCCAGAGAGTTGTATCCTGTTAGAATGTATTGTTTAAAGAGAGTCTAATTAGTCGTAGTATTTATAGTATAAATATATGCTGCTAGTGACTGTATTTGGCCAATGGTAATCCTGTGAGAGGCTGGTTATCAAGGGTGACCAACGTTATGGACTCACACGCACTCTGTGCTAACTTGAGGGTGCTATTCAGCTCCACCGGCTTGATGTTGGAAGCAAACGTCCCCACAGTTATATGTGGGGTGATGGTCTGAGGCACAGGAACCTCTTGAGAGAAGCTGTTGATGGTCACCTCAACACAGATCAAAGTATCGTCATGAACAACCACCTTGTTCAACGTTATTGAAGCCTTAACCTTCTCAAAGTCTAACTCTAGCAAGTCGTTCCAGATTGGCTTAACTTCTTCACTCTTGATCATGGCTCGGTGACATAACGTGATATGGAACTCCTGCTGCACCCGATTAAGACTCTTGAGCTTCTTCCATTGGTCGTTGGCCCCCAAGGCCTTCTCGAGTAACGGTAAAAGTATTCCCCTGGGTACTTTGATCCCCACAAACATGACATTTTTGGGCTTTGGCTTTGAAGATTTCTGTTTATCAGTTGACTCTGTTTGTTGTTGGTGTTGCTGCTCTTTCTTCTTCTTCTTCTTCTCTTTCTTGCTCTGGGCCCTCATTTCTTCCTTCTTTGCCTCATCTTCTAGGACAGCGTCTCGCCCAACCTTCATCTGCCTCAGCTCACGATACCGAGCCTCTATCTCCCGCGGTGTTTTCTTGGGTAACTCCGGTATGAGCTCAGCCAATCGACTGACAAGTCTATTCACACTATCCAAGGACCCTGCTCTGGGATCCAACAGGATCACCTCGTCAAAAAGCATGTCTGGCTTTCTGGAAACGTCCAACGGCTGCAACGACTTGACGAACCTATTCAAGATCCCCTTGACTTGCTCTGCGTTCTCTTCGTACTTGAGCATTTGATGGTTGTTCCCTCTCTTGGCCACTCTCTCCATCGTCAAGACACTCAACTCCTCTCGTGAGAGCTGCGACGTGAAGTCTAACGCTATGACCTTGAGCGACGTTGACGTTCCCAAGTAGTCTTGCTTCATCTGCTCAATGTCGTTGAAAAGCTTGACCCGGTGCAACTTCTCCTGGTTGTTCTTGTCCACACAGACAACCTGTTTCCCCAGAGCCAACTCCTGGAGACATATGCCCACCAACTGCTTCTTGGCCTTTCTTCCCAAGTTATCGTTCTGGATGTGGCCCACCACAGAAGGGTAGAGCGCCTTTAAAGTATGGAATACAGTGGTCTTACCGCATCCTACAGTCGCAATGGGGACCAAGGCGTACTTAGTGTGCTCTGTGATCTCAAGTTTGGACATCTCCTGCTCCAACTCGTCAAAGGAAGAGAGAATCTGGTGTCCTAATCTCTTCTTAGAAGACGAAATGCTTTCAAAAAACATTTCTCTAATCTTGATGATCCCCTTATTCTGCTTAAACTGTTCCTTCAACTCAGGGTCGTCTAATCCATTGAGATACTCCAAATATTTTAGCGTCAAGGCCTTGTGAACCTTAACATTAACCATGATCTTATGTATGGGTGTGTCAGAAAGCCATAACTTCTTTGCTACTTCTCTCAATTGACGGTAGAACAAATATGGCTCCTTAAACTTGAATTTGAAGAAATAGTCACTCAGATCTTCCTTGCGATAACACCGGATGACAAACCCTTCAGCTTCTCTTCCGTTATAAGTTCCAGTTTTAGCACACTCATCTAGAAGTTGTAACGTCTGCTCCACGGTATCGAGAGTTACATATCGAACAGACTTAAACCCCCATTCTGTAGCAAATGCTTCCACTTGTTCCATGGGGTATGTCTTGAACTCGATGGTATTAAAAACCAACCCATGCAAATATAATCCCAGATCTTCCTTAGAGTATCTCAATACATGCTCTTCAAATTCGTCATCACATAGCTCAGCTACCAACGTAATGTTAAGCTCAAAAAGCTTCTTTCCTAACTCTGTGGGTTCAATGTTACATCTCTTCAATTGCTTAAGCAATTGCGCTTCCCCTTCTAAGGCATGGTTTTTATAAGATACATCTTTCCTATACCCAATGGAATGCTTAGAACAACATAATAATTCTCCTGTTTCCAAGGCACTTATAAATACAATACATCCGTTCTCCTTCAATGAAAGATAAAAAGGTCCTTTAAGATGTTCATCAAGTGCATTTCTTTGTATAGCCCCCTTCTCACCCAAGTTGAAAAACTTATTATACCCACGAACAGCTATCCGAGGTTGTTCTTCCAACCCTCCAGTAGTGAAGAGTCCTCTAGCATATATAGGAAGAGTTTTAGACAGATAGTAATCCCATTCATTGATTTTCCAAGAGTCGATATCAACTCCATGGACTGTGTTTGTGTGTTTCTTGCAGCTAAATTCCAGTTTGTTCATATTCGTTGCACCCGTTTCCAAAGAATCGAGCAATGCTGAAAGTTGCTCAGGTGTATCACGATAGGCTGGTAGAGGTGTGAAAGTCATTGTGTTGGGCGACCTTCAGAAAGCTCAGCTCACTTCAATAGTCTGCAACTGTGTGTAAATCAACCGGTATTTTTTTTCGTAATCGTGACACAATGGCTTGTATTTATGTAAGAATAAGCATATGTGTATTTTGCAGCTTTTCGCTTATGCTGCAATTCTTCACTAGCATCATAATTTGCCATCCATACACTAGCAAAAATACTACTGTGCATGAGTCATTTGTAGAAGAAGAGTCATTGGCCTATTGACTCTGCTCAAAACAGATCAACGGTGAAATTCTGAAGGCAAGAACATACTTCTAAAGTCCTTGTATGCTTTGCTATTTGCCACCAATTGCCACTCTCCTGGATATAGATATCATAGTATTTATGGTAGCTGTATCTTTAAATAATTTATATGAGTCACAACCAGAATAAATCTTGGAAAGGTATCAGATTACTCGAGTCATACTGACTCCAGTATATTTTTGTCACGGGTACACGACATTTATGAATTAAACGCAATCTCAATACTAAACATAACATTTATATAGTACCAACCGTTCCATTACGCTACAAATCATCCGCAATCATAATGACTGCAATGATAGACATTGACGAAGCCGATGTCACAGTTCTTAACCAGAACTTGTTCAAGTCGCAGGAGCTTTTCCTGAAGATCCAGACCTCGCTATCGAACATACTGGACAAATCGCTGAGAGCACTGACGAAGATTAAGCCCATTTTGAAGGACGTCAATCAGCTTACGAAGGAACAGAAGGAGATTAACAATGGGATTGGGATGCTTGAGGATGTCAGTGAGATATGTAATCGATGCAGTGAATATGAGGGGGTTTTAAACCAGAGTATAGACCTAATTGGAGTACCCAAGTTTGTTCTGAGTCTAACTAAATCCAAAGGGGTGCTACATGAGTTTAAACAGTACAAGAAGTTTAAGGGAGTGTTTATTAATTTTGCTACTTTGATAGACCGACTGGAATTGAGTCTACAGAATAATCTTCAGAAATTGAGTCACCGAGAGAACACTTTGGATAGTACTAATGATATCAAGATTACTTTAAATTACTTTAAAGAGAATGACTATGTTCAAAAGACATTTCTTCGTCATCGTGGAGAAGTACTAGTGCAAAAGTTCATTTCTCAACCCATCAAATTTGACTTGAATGCTCCCATATATGAAAGAGGAAGTAATGGGCTCACTGAACTAACAGATTATCTACTTCTGCATTATGAAATCGAGAAACAATTGCTTCTAGAGTTGGATATTTATACCGAGCAAAGATTAACAGAGATCTTCAGCCATGTGTTCAATGAGAACTTGAGTGGATTTATAAAAGTGTTTGAAGATGAACCTCAAGACCCCATACTTTTGTTTGAACTCTTGGACAATTTACTTCGTCTAGGAGAAGTTTTTGAATTCAACAAATTCCCGGTGTTCAATGCCAATTGGACCAGACTCATCTCATCAACTTCTACTGCGTTTTTCAATACGACATTTATTAGAATTGAACGGAAAGTTGTTATCACCAAAAATCCCGACTTGCAAATACCGGAGCTTATCATTGAATGGATATCCAAGCTTAGAAAATGGAGTGAATTTGACAAGTGTATGCTTTTATTGATGGCTAACCCCAAGATCAAACTAGGTACTTGGTTAGAAAGTTCACCTAGTTTACGGTTTCTTAGTACTTATACCAGTGTTTTACCAGAGTACATCAATGATAATGAGCTTATAAAGGAGCCTGCTTATTTGATTAGCAGTTTTTACTCTGACGTTATAGACTGTTTATTTGTTAATGTTGAAATTGAAATGAAAAAGAAGGAAAACATATTGGCTGGCCAACTGACACCAGCATCCAGTACTACTAGTTTGGGAATTGGAGGAGACATTCAAAAGAAATCCACTCAAGGGTTTCTTATTATTAAGAACTTAATAATGGTAGAAACCATTATCAATCGCTCAGCCAAATTATATGAAGCCTTAGGGAAGTGGGGTCAAGAAAGAATTAGAAAACTAAAGAATCGGTACTTGAAAATGTTTCTAGACGATTGGAATTATGCCTCGTATATTATAATTCGGGATATGACTCAAATAAGTACCATTCAAGCCACTCAACATTTGAGTAATGCCAATAAGGAGAAGGAATTAATTAAAGAATTATTTAAAAACTTTAACGATGCCTTTGAGGAAGCTCTGAGGAACTATCAACGGTTTAATATTACCGATGTTAATTTGAGGAACCTTTTAGCCGGCGAAATCAAAAAGTTGATTCTTAATGCTTATTTTAAACTTTATGATAAATATGGTTCGGGTGAATGGACAAAGAATAGAGCGAAATATATAAAGTGGGATAAAAAGTCATTTGAACAGACTCTTAATGAGAAATTGGGTTAAAAATAGTCAACGGTTAAGTACATTTCTATATTTGGTAATTTTAGCAACCATTTGTATGGAATATGCAAGTAGTTTCGTAAAAATATACGACATTGTTTGCCAGACACTGGAAATTTAGGAATTATATCAGACACTTATCAATTAACGACCAGCATATACATACAAACGCACATACATTAGCATATTTAAGGCCATTTGGGTGTGTCTCTTGCATCTTATGCCAGGTTAAATATTAACTAAAATGAACAAACGACATTGTCGCGGTCACGTGATGTATACCTTGCACTCATTTAAGCACCACAGATGTGACTAAATTTAATAATCAGAAGTACAAGATTTAATACTTTAAGAAAGATAAATGTAGAATACGACGGAGAACAAGGGATTGTAAACTAGTCTATGGATCCATCGCGCCTTATTGGTAATTAGGTAGCAGATTTATTTCTGTCTGTTTTTTTTTTTTTTTTTTTTTTGGATTCCCAAGGTTTATCTTTTAATAAATAATGCATATCTTTTGAAATAAGACTTTAGTCACACAACCATTAACACATTAAAAAAAATTGACATGCCCATGAAACCGGGTCATAAAATTATCTGCGCCATTTGACATTATGGCTTGTCAGAACCTCTAATAACTCATGAACATGCAGGAATGCCAAGAGAAATTGAAAAGTAAAAAACAACAAATATAGACATATTGTTGGCGTCATTCGGAAGTCAAAAGCGCATGGTCCATTTCATCGTCTACGAAAAACTAATCGCAATTGAGTATAAGTTCTGAAAATGGTATTGTAGTGCCCTTAGAAGGATGATTTCAAAACCTTTAACACCAGTATGATTTCAAAGCCCGAAAGCGAAGAAAGGTAGATTCTTGTTCGGAGTTGTGAAGTGGGCTTTTGTTGTGCATCTTTAGCATAAACTGTAAAAGCGCATGTGTTATGTCCTACTTAGTCATAGCGTTTTATGTGTCATATGTGGCTGCATATTAAGTCCCAAAATCCTTGTTGATCGCCCTGGGAAGTGTTCTAGTCACCGTTCAAGAAATCTTGACACTTGTGGAGTAGCATTATATACAGAATAGTATGATTGTCTTCAAATGACACAAGTTTACGAACACGCAGGTCCATCTATTTGAAAATGGTGTTGTGGTTGGTAACCTCTTGTATGTTATGAAAGTGATAACATAAGTCGTGAGATTGCGTGGAAGTAAGGATACCCCTAAATGAGTTTGAGGTAGTTATTTCATAACACACCACACGTTAAAGAGATGTTTTGTTCAAACTGGTATTAGATCCCCCGGGTTTGGAAATCACTTTATTTAGCCACGTAGCCACTTAGCCGGACGGACCCTCGGAAATAAAAATGTCTGTTCCAGACGCCAAAAAGGAAACTGATGATCAACAAGAGTATGCGAGTGAAGAAAAAGTCTTGGCATGTTTCATACACAGGAATAGTTGTAAAAGGGCTGCCAAATGATTTTAGAAGACTCAAATTCTCCTTGGCATTCAAAGGTTTATTACGCGGGTGGTGTTTACATTATAAGAAAGAAACTGGTTGCGAGGCGAAGCGGCCCCTACATAACTTATGACTTCAACTCGCCAATTTTAGAACGAACTGCTTTTTAATTTGACGTGTAATTCTATTTGATCTGTTGATGGGGCGTCCTAGAGGGAGCCTTTGACAAAACAATGAAAAATAACCTACCGATACTTTATTAGACGTTAGTCATTAGACGTTAGTCGAAAAGGTTAGGAATGCGGATTTTTAAGCCCATGCCAAGTTTATGCCTGTCGGTGAAAATCTATCAATGTCAAAACCGTCACAACGCCAAACAATCTTGCAAAAAGACTTATTCTGCATAGTGAACAATCCTAGCAAAAAGTTAGTGATTTAGTGGAGATGGTTGGACTACTTAGAGTGTGCTTTGCGACCTTATTTGTAAAGGGACGTTGTGTACAAAAACGGACAAAAAAGTGGCCAAGACAGCCAAGCAACCAAGCCAGCAAGCAAGGACGATACTTACGTATTAGATTGATACTTTTAAAGTTACTTTACAGATACTTCCTAATACAGAAAAGTAAGTTGCAGTTGCTGTTCCTGTTGATATTCCTGTTGATATTTGTACAGGGATGGAAATATGTAAAATTTATAGATTTGGAGTTTAGAACAGTAAGCAATGCAAAAAAGGGAGGACTACCCAGCCAAAAATAACTTCCGACTTATCAAAAGAAAGTGTATGCAGACATTTATTTTTTGTTTAAAGTCTGACGCAAGCTTGTTATTTTTTGCTGCGGAACCTGTCTTTGCATTTTTCTTGTCACCGCTTTGGGCTGCAACACATTTTGCCAAGTAGCTCCTCCATTCAGAGTTCAAGTATATAATGTCAGAAGTCTCCATCGAATCTGTCAGCCATACTTTTTGACGTAGGCTGATATTTTTTTTGACGTTCTTGAATCCATACCAATAGCAGACTCAAAGTAATAATTTAGTATTAAAATCATACCTTCTGTTTCACTGCTAGTGTCAGTATATCATATCTCATACCATAATGTCTAACAAGATCCAGTTGCCTCCTATTTCCAACTTGTTAAAGCAACAAGACTTCCTGGAACCTCAAATGAGTATTCCTGTCCCTGGTGCCACCACTGCATCATATTTAGATGCAAGCACAGTCTTATCTGACCCATCAAAGAGTCCGCAAAATGACGGCAAATTGGCTCCTCTTCTCCAACCAATGTTACCGACTTTTATTCAACCACCAGTAACTTCCGCCGCCACTGGAGCTCCTTCCAACTTCCCAGTACCCCAACAATTGCCTCCACCAACTATACCTGCTCAAGTTTACGCTGGCCAACAGTTTGCTCCACCTTCCTTATATGCCTTGCCTACTCCAGCTAATTCATCTCCTTCCAACACACCTCCTTTAAATGCAACCAATTTGTACTACTATCTGTACCCATCATATGTCTACACTTATCAGAATGGTCAACCAGTTGTTGCAGCCTTGGCTCCAGGTACCATACCGCTGGCTTATGCTACTGTTGGTGCCACTACTGCTCCTCTTGCCGACGGTAAAAGTACCGCTGTTGGAGCAGGTGCTGTGGGTTCAACCGCCACCAAGGCAGCATCTTTGGGTGGTGCACCTCAAGCTTCTACCGTTAGTCCTGTTGCTAGTCAAGTTGGTAGTGCGGCAGTAGGTGAAAATTCGGTTTCTCCTGGTGCAAAATCGCCTTCCACTCTTCCTCCTAGAGAAAGAAAGGCATCTATGGGACATATGTCATTGGACAAGACCCGTAAAACCAGAAGCAATTTGCCTAAGGAAACTACATTTATACTTTTGAAATGGTTAAATGAGCATTTGAACCATCCATACCCTAACTCGTTTGAAAAGAATCAGTTGATGCTTAGCACCGGTTTGAATCAACAACAGTTATCCAATTGGTTTATCAATGCCAGAAGACGGAAGATTAGGGTGTTAAAGGAACAAACTCGTATCAGTAGTGTATAAGAAGCCTGGTGCTCTCTTATAGATTAGGTTCAGCCTTAATAATCCGTAGACTGGTTCTACGATGAAATTATTGTCGCTCCTTGTTGGTTTCTTGTATGTATTATATTTGCATTTGTTATTCTCCGTATAGTCTGATCAATTAATATTATTATTGGGATTAATCTATTAGTAAAAATAGTTTGTAACGTGCTCCCAAGCCTTAGCCTGAACCTAAGTCTTACACCTATCACCTTCCTAAATAGGCTAAGGCTCTTCACGTCATGTGATCGTGCGACCGGGAGCTGGCGTCTGGGTTTGGGCATGTATTCGAACACAAAAAACTTTCACGTAAACGAGATGACACAAAATCACATTATCAAAACATCAACACATCAGCACGAAGTCAATACGATTTGGCTTACACTTGAGATTGTTAGTAAGAAGCCTGAATTTGTATAAGGACTCCTTAAGATTATTCTCCCATAAAATGTCTGAAACACTAGCAGAGTCTTCTTCTGCTCCAGACACAAGCAGTGCTCCAGATCTTCGTCGCATGAACACCGCTGATGCCCTTGTGTATTTTGCTGAGCACATTGAATCGTCTCTAGAAGGGTTGGCGAAGCAGGAATACGCCACCAAGGGACGTCGGTATAAGTTTCTCGATAACAACTTTCAAAGAATACGAGAAATTGATAAACACTTGGTGGTATTCCCAGAACAACGGGATAGAAAGATTAGTGTAATTCTGGCCTTTGATATCATTCAACGTATAGATGAACAATTATTTGAAGCCTTCCCTGATTTTGTTAGTTGTATGCTTGGATTTGCATGGGAGTTAGAAAGACTAGGATTGATAGAAAGTGAAAACAGTTCTGTTACTCACTACAAGGATTGCCAACATTATGGGTTTCTTGAATGTGAACATCAAGCATTAAAATGGTTCTCCAAGATTGAGCCAAAACACATTCAATGGGTAGCTAATCTTCAATATTGCGCTAAGATTAACTTTTTACATACTGACCATCATATGGGAACCAAAGTTGATGATCAGTTTATTAAGCAATATTTGGATGAATATTTCGGTCCTGAAGCTCTGGAATCAACAACTCTTATCACAGCTCTCAAATCGTTTGTTCATTGGGGGAATATTAAGGGGATGCTCTATAAACTAGGCTTACCCAATGTTAACATCTCGGAGGAAACAAAAAGGAGATACGATAAATTCCCAGACCCAGCACCAGAAATAATTGAACAAGTTTTCGACAGATACCCCAGTGGTACATCACGTATAGCACTTATTAAAAAGGCTTTGGAAATTTTTGGGAAAAGTTGGTCGTATGGTGACCTCTTGGAATATCCACCACCATTTACAATGGGTGGTGGTGCTACGAATGAACGGGTTAATATAGAATGGGTTTATCAAATTTGTCATGATATCAGACAAGATCCTCTTCGATATCATCTTAGATCCCAGACTAAAGATCTACATACACAGCCTGTTAATTTGCAAGAGTTAAACACTAAATACCAAAAGGAAATTGAAATGGCCTACATTTACATAGGTATTTTGATTCATGCCTTTTCAAATGCCGGTACAGATTTTCTCATGCAAATTCCTCGCGTTCCACCACCTGACAAGTTAATACAAACTTCACCAGAAATCGAAGAGTACTACAGTAAATGCTTGGGTCTAAACAATAGTATCCAAGAATACGAGGCTAAGGGATGGGACTCGGAAGACATTGTCATCAGATTGAGGGCAAATCAATATTCTTTGGTCGATAAAGTTAACGAGTTGTCGAAAAGATTTGGGTAATGTCTGGACAAACAATTAACATGCGTGGTGATATCATTTCACAACTTCAAAAATTAAAACTCCGTAGAAAACATAATTCCGACATTTTTAGGCGTCCTGGAGACAAAAACAAAGATATGTCAAATTTCTTGGCACCGTGTCAACATGTAAGCCAGATAGGAATAGTAAGTCTTTTAAGCCTTCTCAATAATGAGCAACTCCTATTTTGTTGGACACATTCTCCTTTAACCGCCGCCACATAGTTGGGGCCTATCCCTGTCATTTGTTGGACGGAATGTGTCATCCATCGTGCAGTGCCTTTATTTTAGGCGATCTTTCAACTGACAAATATTTGGGAAAATCAAACTACCATTAAACAAAATATATACTTACATAAATGCTAAACAAATGGGTATGTAATTAAGTTATCGAGGATATTTGATGTAGTAAGGGAGGAAATCACTAATAACAAGTTTTCCAGGCTCCACTCTGCTATATTAGACAACTGTCAGCATCTCATAATTTGTCTGATGGGCGAGATGCGGCTTTATGTGGCACCAACCGTAAATATTACAACACTTTTTCACGCAGCCGTATATATTGGTTTCATCCCACATTAGCATGTTGAAGACAGACCATTACTAATTTACACCTACGTCACAATAGAAGACCCCAATGGAAAACCCACTGGTCATGGTATTTAACTTCAATCAAACCATACAATTTCAGAAGCAAAGAACGCAATATGTCTAATTTTGACTGAAACGTGATCAATAATACCAGCACACTCAGAACCATTTACCAAGAAATATGTACGACATAGAAAATTTCCAAGAAACACATTTCAAAGGCGGAGCCGGAATTGATTTAGGGTGACATAGTACTTCAAACTGAAAGTTTATTTCCGTATTCGCATTAGTAGATCAGAATGGATCGAAGTTAGATAATTTAAACTATCATTCCGTTAACTCCGTGTAGATTCGAAAACTTAAAACTCTGCAACAGACATTACTTTTATTACGTAATCCCTATCATTGATGTCTGCTGTTTTGTCCCTAATAAATTCTTGAGAATTTAATCGTACCATTATTTGTCACCCTTTGTATTTGCTCAAGTATTAGCTAACTCAAATAGGGCATACTTGAGCTGTAGATTGCCAAAAGGAGCATGAAACCTTTTTCTATCCCAGTCAGCAATCACAACTACGATAAATTCTTGGCAGGTATTGAAATACCGACAGAAATCGCAAACCTGTGTCAAGCTTAGGTGCCAAACTGCATATTACCTCGTATTCTTACCACAGGCGCAATGTGACCGCATATTGTGTCAAAAGTTTAGGAGATTTCCTTTCATAACGAGCCGTCATTCTAATCAACTAGAAAGTCTATTGTTACAACCTGGTGGTGGCACGTCAGATGAAATGTTTCTTGGTGTTTTAGTCTTGCACGATTATGTCTGCGCAAGGTTTTGTCTGACAGGTGTATGCTAGGAATAAAATCTGACAGCAATGTATAGTTCCACCCTCGGAAATCTTATGGTAATTTTCAGACATTTTTATATTATCGGAGTATAACCTCACTTACAATCTACCATTTTCAATTACAAGACCAAAATAAAAGTAAATGAAGACGACTCCAGCTATCAAGGTGACCTGACCCTTGTGACCTATAAATCCTTATTCTGATACGGCTGGTCCCCTAGTTGCAAGGTTTTATGCAACGGATCAGATCCTATTGCAGTTTTGAACAATTTCAGCTAGAAAGGTTTGATCTACAAATATAAAGTTAGAAACCTCCTTCTCTTCCAAGTAAACATTGTTGGTTTCCATGCAATTATACTGAAGTCTGTTCACTTGAAAAATGCCTCTAAATTCGTGGCTTTATGTCAAAACATTGTACCCAATGGTGAGCTGAAACTCAATACCTCAGTCGGTAGTCCAATTGAGAGTCAAAAGTCATTTGGATAGGGTTTAGCTGCTTTCGCAACGGGTATACTGCAACAGAACAAACCTGAATTGGCATACATTTCATATCTGTTGGGTCTTTTGTGTGCCTAGTGAGCCCACACTACAAAACTACCAGGGTCACCACAAGAGCACTGCAAAGGCACTTCAAGGGCCCTGAAGAATACCTACATTCCATTCATATCCATATGATGAAAAACTCAATCACCGTGCCAACATCTCTGACATATTTACTAGTTAGTTGGCGACAACTTAAATGTATGGATAAAGTCAGAAGAGGGGAGATCCTAACATGACATTCAACCAGTAATGTCGGAATTTGTTTTGTCACCAGATCAAACATCTAAATTCATCTTCATACTCTCGCCGTGTGGCTATGATTGTTGTCAAGTTAGCGAATAGGATAGGTGGAGCATGTTGCCACATGTTTGCTTATAACTCCGTATGTCAAAAAGCGAGAGACTCAATATTGATGTACAGGATCCTGATTCCAGTTACCAATTATCGCCTCTCCAGGTAGCCTTGAATTTCCGGTTAATTCGGTTGGACCTAGATGCTATTCGGAGCCTTTAAGGGTTGAACTTATTTATTTGATAGCTGTTAGTAAACAATAGAGGTGACGAACGAAGTTCATCCCTTAAAGAAGGGATGTGTGCACTGGAAGGAAGGAATGCGCACGGTAATCCAATAAGATGAAATGAAGTACAATTTCAACACTAAGCAAAGTGCATAAACATTCCCCATTTAGTTGATCGGAATTAGATCTTTTGTTGATGTTGGGTTCCAAAACAGGTTACACTTTCCTAAACAAGAATCACTTTACTTTTTTTACTTGCAAGAAGTAGTTGATATATAAACAAGTAATTCAAGTGCAAACATCGAGTTTTTAGTTAAGTGGCAAGTGTACCCCTTCATTAGTAAGAGGAGTAGAAAGTTATAGGTGTTTGGCATATTTTTGACGTGCACGTAACTTACAAAAATAGCGTCCTCACAAATCAGATACTCAACATCGTTGCCATCTAGCAAAAATAGACGAGAATTTTGCTATACCCCACGGCTATTATTGATAAATGTTATTAATAAATATTTCATTGAAATTTCAGGAAGAATGGATTCGATATGTAAAGCATCCGATGCATTAGGGGAAGGTCGCCTAAACAATAAATAGTTATGCAAACATCAATGCATAATATACCTTACTTATAACACAATGCTTGTGGATAGAACTCTTTCACTGCACTAATTAGCCACTAGCAGAAGAGAGAAAATAAGGAACATTTGTTGAAATGCAATCAAACAAAATAACAAAATACAGGACTAAGTTTAATCAACATTAGTGCATGTTAAAGGAGTTGTTTTCGTGGGATCAATGCGATGATTTACCAGCTTCTTGTACCCATCTCCTTAGACTTTAACAAATAAAAAGCATGGAGCTCAGACCTCAACTCCTTTCGACTCCTATGCACTGCAAAAAGTTAAACCGACATGCAGGGTGCATCGAGAACTGCATTATAGCTCAAATTGAATAGAATAGGAAGGGAGGGCACCAGAGGTAAAAGAGGAAGAAGAAGAAATGAAAGCCTGAATAGTAGATAACTCCAGAGCACCCACCCCTTTCAACCCTTAAATCAATGCATCTCGTTAAAGTTGCAACGAATGAAAGAGAAGTCATTTGAATAATGTGAATAATTTATGATAAGGAAAAACGATTTGCCGGACACGACTACCCTAAACTAGATAAGCTGTGGACCATTACAAAAAGTCGTGCGTATGCAAATCAACTGAAGAAGAAATGAAATTACAAAGGAAATAAGAATCTCCACCTCCAAGTTACAACCAAAAAGAACTGGAAGACCCTAAAAAGTGGTCTTAAGTATAACCGTTGTTGAGGGGTAATTCATATACAAGATGTTCAACACTCTTTGGAATATATTTTTTGCTCTGGTCCCCCTGGCCATTTCTCCAGAAGCTAAGGCTGAAGTCCAGAAGTTGATTGACTCCAACACTACGATGATGTTTTCCAAGTCCTATTGTCCATATTGTAAAGCTTCCAAAAAGCTTTTGAATGAAACAGGGGTTGACTACAAGGTTGTAGAATTGGATAAAATTGATAAGGGGTTGGAAATGCAAGGAGCCATTAAGGAGAAATGGGGTCAAACAACTGTTCCTGCTATTTTCTTTAAGGGAGATTTAATTGGAGGTAATAGTGATTTACAAAGTTTAAAGAATACTCCTAAATGGCCATTTTAAATCAATTATTAGAATTCGCTACACCGTCTGTAACTATGAAAATCAGGCATTAATATTCTCTTATATACTTTAAAACCAAGGTAATTTGGTGTTTAATTCCCATACCAACTTGCCCCTTGAAAATAATTCACGATCTTTCTCGTTATTAAACAAAATTGCTGATCTTGAGCCGTTTTCCAAGCCACCTTTGGACCCAGAAAACAGTTCAAGAATAGCATTTTTAACTGTTGGATCAACCAATTCCAGTTCCCAAATCACAAGCTTACCCATTGGTTGTAATGTGCCGTTGGAAGGCTCCTCCTCAAGGAATTCTTTCAATAAATGGACCAATTTAAATGAATATTCTCTCTTGTTATATGATGGATCAACATGTAAGGAAATCACCGTAACTTTTGTCTTGAATTCATTTGTCTGTTCATCAGTATACCATTCATAGTACCATGATATAAACCCAATGAACTCATTAGTAGAGGAATTTTTCAATTGAAGCCCAAAAATTTGAGGCTCAATATCGTCAAATGCTTTCGTTATTTCTGAGTATGTCGAGTTCAAGAAATCAAATGATTTATTTGGATGAAACATCATGAAACTCAAGTATTTGGACCTTAAATGAAACCAATCAATTAAATCAGATGTTGGTGTGAGGCAAACACGAGACTTACCATCAACCGATATTTCCTTCTTAATCCAGTCATCAACAGCTTCCCCATATTTTTCGAAAAAGGGACCAAAATCCTGATATTGTATTGGAGTAACAACCTCATTATTCAACACCACCGATTGAGCTTTATTAGTATTAGATTGGGTGGTTTTCAATGGAATCTCAAGATAATCAACAGGTAAACTAGTGAACCCATTCCTACTATAGTATTCACCGACTTCGCTATACAAAATAGTGAAGGAATCAACACCAGCAAATTTCCGAATGTATGATACTGCCTTGTCAATCATGATTCTAGCATAACCCTGGCCTCTATTTTCGGGATATGTATAGACACCTCCAATGGTAGCCATTTGAACATTTTGACGTCTACCTTCACCGTCGTATTTCCAGCTACGACGAAATAAGATCTCCATAGAACACAAGGGCACCTTAGGTTTTGATTTCTCTACAAATACAAACACTTTCAACCCTTTTGCCAGTGGTGAGAGTGAAAGCACATGTTCACGAATCACATAGTCTTCACACGACAAATGACCCTTCCAACTAGCAGCATTCTGCTGTCTTGTGTAGTGTATAAGTTCTTTATCCGTGATAGGCACAAGATCATAATCTTGAGGGTCTTTTTGAGCTGATGGCATTCTATTTATATATCTGGATTAAAATAAATCAATGGCGACACAGTCGTCTTCTGTAAAGCGTGGAATAAAAAGCAACTAAATATATCTTGTTGATACTTAAATCAACTCAACTCAAAGATATAACAAGATTTCTGATTGAATGTCCACAATATTTGGCTCCCTTATATACTATTAGGAGTCAGATAAAAGGCACCCTCAAGATCATAGTAATTTCACCTTTTTGAACGTTGTGCGTTTTGTGCTTCATTGTCCTGTAGAGAACCGAAGGCAGATTCTGCAACGGTCGTAGGCTGAAAAGCAGTGATATGCAAACAGGTTATTCTTGTGCATAACATGCAATCACCTACCAGCGGCTTACACATCGGTAGTGATGTTAGTGATGAATCTGGCTAGGGAATGAGGTTAATGGGTTTGCTTTATTCAAATGAATGGGGATAGATTCAACCAGATTTTTCTACCTCCGAGGCCTGTATGACATAATAATAAGTGTGCATATAAGTCTGGCCAAGGTACTCTTTCTTAAACCATACATTATTCTTTTAAATGTATGTACTTTATTTCGTATCTTAGTGCTTATTTAGTAGTAGTAGCATTTATTGGGTTAAGTAGTGTTACTTTTTCATAACTACTCCCCATTACATTGCCTTACATATGTACAGTGGAATGCATTAGGTGGGGACTCAGCTACATGTGGGGTATCGATTGTCAAGCTATTGCCTATCCATTGAATGATGACCAATTAAATTTCCGTTCACATAGAGAGATCACTTATAAAATATGTGCATTATGATTCCTGGTATTTCGTCTGTGCATACCGTTAGTGGATTAGTGGTGGATTAGTGTACAGTGTTATGCAGGGAGGCCCATAGATGCTTTTGGAGTAAACAATAAGCCTCCCGCTATAATCCAGTTGTTAGAACCAAAGATAACTCTTTTGAAGAGGTATACCGTCGGCACTTTCCGTTTTTAGACACCGACAAGATTAATATATCATCGGGACTTTCCTAGTTGGGACACCAACATTTTTGCAACCACCAAACCTTCTTATTTCCTCTAACGTCAAGAGACACCGTAGATTTAGACATATCTATCAATCGATCTATTGAAATCAATGGCAATGGGTTTCCGGTGAAATTGGTTGTCCGTCTTAGTGCACGGCGTATCGTTAGCCAACAGTACACTAACGAAAATCATTTTCGTCCTGAATTGTTATACATAAGCTACGTCATAACATTGTGCGTGTATATACAATGTAATACAAGAGTCTATGTTAAGGGGTACTTGGTAGGTAACTAGTGTAGCTTAAAGGGGGAACCCATGTATCACCATATTGTGACGGTTATCATCAGCTTTATCGTTATATAAAACACTTTGATGTATTTGAGGTTTCACACGACCTTTGATTAAACCAAGTTAAGGGGCAACAAATCAAACAGACACTTACAAAACAATTACATTCCATTTCGTTTATTACCTTCCAATGACTTCGTTACACCCAGGCTCAGGATTGGGAAATTCCATACGCTTAGAGCAATCGTTTCATTCTCTTGTATCCAAACTATGTCAATATAATCATAAGGTTAATGTGGTCTACAGTCACGATCAACCATTGAATACTCCCGTAGTTGTTAATTTACCTCATCTTGGAGTCCGACTATTATTCTATCAGGATTATCTTCAGCTTATAGAAATCCTCAATTTCCAATATTTGAAGTTGTTCTTCAACAATTACCCTTTGAATGAAATCAAAATTGATGATGAAACTATCACCACTTCATCACATTCAATGGATCAAACCATCTTGATGGAACAAGTTGGGCATTTACCTAATGATTCTACTTTGACTGATGAACTGGATTTAGATGTCACTAATGTCACTGTGATACCTCCAACATTACAGCAAATATACAATAAAATCTTCGGACCCACATGCCCAGGGAAACTTATCAAAAAGGCCGATGGTCTGCAATACTACATTTTACTGTATCCTGGAATCAGCTTTAAATTTGCAATTAATTCCAGTGTTTCCTTTGAAGGTTGTAAAGTCGATCTGTCCGATAACTTGCTTCTATATTTGTTGAATTGGGATACTCCTACGGATATTATTTGTTCTTCATTAGCAATCTTTAAAGGTGACTCATATGAAGATTTTATAAGTAATTTAAAATCATTAGCACAAGATCCACATTCTTTAGGCTCCTCCTCCTTATCGTATAAGAGCAGCCCCCGAGAGATCAAAAACGTCAAATTAGATTGTTCTAATAGAAGCGCACAGCTTGAGTTTGGAAATGGCGTTCATTATAAACTTGAACTTGATAAAACCACACAACAAGAAATATTGAACATTTGTGGACCACCAGATGCTTATAGGAATAAAACTGATTCCCAATTTCTTATACATAATTTATCTGGAGGATCCGAAGTTAGCATTAATTCAAACAATGGTGGCTCTAAATCCTCCTCTTCCAATGGTCAAAAATTAACATCAATGCACTATAAATTCTATAACTACTACAAGTATGGATTTGATTTACTATTCAGTGTTGGTATATTACGCAAAGTTATCATTCATAATGGTAACCTCATTGAATCTTTAGAGTTCAATAAGTGGAGTAAATGTCCTTGGACAATCACGAATCCTCCATTACCTAATGCCTATGTGATTACCTCCCAATGCTATTTTCAAGATATTCCTCAGGATGCCTTGAAAATACTTGGATGCACAGGTCCTGCAATCATAAATCGGAGAACTGTGGAAGATGATAATAACGGGTTGAGTAAAACCTGGGGTCAGTCGAAGCTCTATGCATGCGAGAACATTATACTTGAAGTTCTTGATCTGAATAGTTGTATCCTGGTTATTACTATGTTTTAGATAAGTAGAATATATAGGAGCGCGCGCTACCAATCCATCACCACTAGAATTTAAATCATGCAAACGAATGGGTATACCCACAACCATATATTATCTTCCTAATAGGCATTACCCCTGACATGAAGCTAACACTCAGTGTGCTTAACGATGCTCCCACAATAAGAAATGCTATGGGGGAAACCACGCTTTGTTTGAGAGATCTAGGGATTCCTCAAATAGAAAACCTTTCACATCTACAGATCCAATATAGAGCACTTGATATTACCGGTAATGATCTTATTGACCTTGACAACATACCGCCACTAGAGCACCTTGAGACACTATTGGCTGCAGAGAACAGCATTATGAAGATTCTGCAATCGTTTGCCATTTTGCAAAACTTGAAGCATCTTTCACTAATGAACAATAAAATAAGAAAACTTGAAAGCTTACAACAACTTAAAGAAGCCACCAGTCTAACTGATCTTGTTCTTACAGGGAATGAGGTAACTTCTTTAGAGAATTATCGACCGTACGTGATTTTCTTAGTTCCTTCTTTAAAAGTGTTGGACTTCAAGCGAGTCACTATGAAGGAACGCCAATTGGCACAGCAACTCTTTGGAGAAGTTAAGAACAGGTCTGCTAATGAGAAGAGTTGAGTGAATCCAATGCTAAATGTCATCATACCAGCAATGTCATCAATATAGAGCAAATTTACGACATTACAGTGCTATTTCATACAGCGCAATTTCAACATAATGAACTATAAAAGGTCATGAACCAATCGCCGCTATATTTTAACAGTTAAGGCTCACTCATGATCCATTAAACACCATTATATATATAGTAGTAACTTGAATAACCATGTATACAGCAGAGAGCTTGGACCACATAGCAAGAGCATGGTTTTCGCACGACATATATAAAGGTAATTCATTAGCAACTGTTCTTACATACTATTCCTTTTAGTCGATCTTATCATACTATAAGATGGATCATAATGGTCAGACCTAAACGAAATGCTGCTCTAAATGTGTCTAGTAAAAATTATGCAGACAATTCCTTGGAAGAAGTGACTCGAACGAAACGACATAAATCTTCTTCATCGTCTTCTTTACCAACAGATTTATTAATACCAACATTTCAACTAAGTGAAGACCCAGACGTTGGCGTACCCTTAAATTGGCAACCAAAGCCGAGTAGTTCAGATGCGTTTTCAAATCTACTTAATCTTGACGGCGCTTACGTTGATCTAAGATCACAGACTCTCTATTGTCCCCAGATGGAAGGTAACTCGAAGGGAATGTTTAGGCTTTCAGCTGGTGATGCTATTTATATGGTTTGTGAACCACCTGGAGAACCTTACTACATAGGGAAGATCAAAAGGTTTATAGTAACGCAACCAGAACTCAATATTACCAGTCATATTGCATCTCCTAAAGGTGTTTGTTTTCTTATGCAATGGTTTTATAGACCTAAAGATATCTCGAAGTCTGGCCATGATCTGAGACTACTTTACTCTTCAATGCATACTGACAAGTGTCCTCTTATGAGTTTTCGGGGTAAAGTTAGTCTAATGTTGAAATCAGACATTGAAGAGTTCATGAACATGTCATTGGAAGAATATGCCAGTCATAAAGACCATTTCTATTTTGATAAATTGTTTGATCGATATATGCTTAAGTTTTATGATGTGATTCTGACTCAATCATTACTACCATATGCTGATTTGGAAGATAATCATTCTCTGAACTTCATAAGGTGTTTGCATAAACGGTTTGAGTACATTTTTGTTGAACCTTCCAGAGTGAAAACTTTGCTTAATGGACTTAGTGATAACACTTGTCATTGTGATATCTGTGGTCAATGGTGTTCTGCGGTCGACTCTGTATCGTGTGGCTCGTGTCTCCAGCATTACCATATGTTATGTTTAGACCCTCCATTGATGACTATGCCTAAAAAGGGGTTTACGTGGTCTTGTGGAACGTGTGCTAAGAACGATGACTTGGCTTTTCAAAGCAAGAGAACACTTATGTTAGAAACCAATAAGGCCACTAACGAAAGTTCCTTACGAAGCCAAAGACGACTCGAAGATCTTCAAGATCATCAAGATGAGGTAGTAATAGTAACGTCCTCTTCAACGTCATTGGACTCTCTAACACACCCATCTGATTCTTCTTCTTCAGGTACTTTGTCAACAGAGAAGGAGCATCTTCCCAAGTACGAGACTATGGCTTCAAAGTTTTTATTGAACGATATTAACTTATCTTTGGAGGAAAGAAGACTACAGGAGGAATGGACTATAAGATATCTTGGCACATATGCCCGTTTGGAAGATGCTGTTGATGTCCATGATAGAAACCCTTATCCCCGAGCATCCACAAGATTAGGCTACAAGCATCAAGCAGTTTATCTTCCTGAATATGAGGACCATCCTATTTATTATTATGATGGTGCAGAGGATTTGGATACCAATAATAAGAGAAGAGGTTGGGGTGGCCGGAGACGAAACCAGAAGAGCTCTACTCCAAGTTTCCAAGGGAAGAGACTTTCTGTCCCCAAAGAGTTCATTGATGTTGATCCCAAAGATTATCCTCAATGGTTACAACCCCGCCCACGAGGATATATTGAAAGAGGACTTGATGGAGGCAAAGATAGCACCAGCACATTAATGTGGAAACCTGTGGAGGAGGAAAGGGAAGGTCATTTGACTTTATATCTTGAATCGTGTGCACCTAAGGCTATCGAACTTGGGATCTTACCCAGCAGTCCAAATTTCATGGACTTTATTCTTAAAACTTATCATGACAATGAAGGAGACTCGAAAGCAGCTTTAAAATGTGTTTCATCTTTGACCAGAGAAATTCTTCGAGAGCCCACCTTTTCTCAAGATGAAATTGAAAGGTTTGAACAAGGTATTATGAAATATGGAAGTGAGTTACATCCTACGTATGTTGAAGTTAAGACACAAGAGCTTAGTATGGTAGTTAGGTTCTACTACTTATGGAAAAAGACCGAGAACGGAAGACGAATTTGGGGAGGTTTTAAGGGAAGAAAGAAGAATAAGTTCCATGTTAAAGCAGCAGCAGCAGCAGCAGCACCAGAAACTTATACCGATGATAACATTGAAATACTTGACAGCATTTCAGATAATATAAAATGCAAACATTGCTCCACCGATTTTAGTGTTCAATGGTATAAAGTCACAGACACAGAACCGGACAACGGGATGGTTGGGTTGTGCTTTAGATGTGCGAAACTATGGAGGAAATATGGTGTGGTATGGGAAGATCCAATTACCTTAAAGAAGAAGATCCAAGCACAAATCCAAAAGAGAAGATATGAATATGAGTTAATGGTGGATGCTATTGGAATTGTCCAACATTCATTAAAACATGGTGGTTTAACTAATACCAAAAAGGGTAATATAATTTCATTAGAGCTGTCTACGGAAAACACACCAACCCCCCCACCTTCTAAAAAAGGTCGCCCACCAAAGAAGAAGACCACTAATGAAGTGAAACGGAGCCGAACTCCGAAGAAAATAATGAAAACTAATACCAAAGAGGAAGAAAAGGATACAAAATAAAAGCATTTTAAGGACTATAATACTCAGTAGCATACAAATTACGAAAGCTTATATCGATTATGTAAGCTTCTCAGCATTGTTACTGCTTATGTAATTGCTTACATAACATTGGTGATAATTTAGTAGTAAATTTTGCCCATACAATTTGACAAACTTAAACATTCGTTGACACAATACTACCCTCTTCTATAATCCCCCAACCACCATGATTCAGCTTGAAAGCAATACCCCACAGATCCCGGGGGAACTTCTAAACAAGGATGACACGCAAGAGTTACGGAGAATGGTGGCCGATCTTCTAGGCAGAAAACAAACCACGTTCCCCGGGTCTCAACCCGTTTCATTTGAACGGAAACATCTTCATGATAACCTTATGACGCGAGACTATTTTGTATGTGAGAAAACCGATGGGTTGCGGTGTCTTTTGTTTGTGTTTCTCCATCGTCAAATGGGTGAAGGGGTGTTTTTGATCACCAGAGAGAACGAGTACTATCACATCCCCAATATCCATTTTCCATTGACTACTGATGAGCGAGAGGGCAAGACTTTCCATGATGGAACGTTACTTGATGGGGAACTTGTATTAGAGACCAAGAACGTTAGTGAACCAATATTGAGATACTGTATATTTGATGCCTTGGCTGTCAATGGCAAGGACATTCATGCTAGACCATTATCCACACGACTTGGATATGCCACTGAACAAGTCATGAAACCATTTGATAAATATAAGCAATTGAATCCAGCGGTAGTAAATGCTCCGGATTTCCCCTTTAGAGTCAGTCTAAAGATGATGGAATCTTCTTATAGAGCTGATAAAGTGCTACTGAGGAAGAATCAGTTGTTTCATGAATCTGATGGATTGATCTTTACTTGCGTTGATTCTCCCTATGTGTTTGGCACTGATGACACGTTGATCAAATGGAAACCAGCGCACGAAAACACCATTGATTATAAGATGGAAATAGTATTCAATGATTTCCAAGATCCAGACATGGATCCTAGAGACCCAGAATCTACTTATAAAGACTATGACTCGTTGCCTAACCTTATCAAGTTACGAATATGGCAGGGGGATGATGCCTATCGGGATTTTACCAAGCTTTCGTTGAGTGAAGACGACTGGGAACGATTGAAAGCATTACAAGAACCTTTACAAGGAAGAATAGTTGAATGCAGAAAGAAATTAGACAAACCCGGATACTGGGAAATGATGAGATTCAGAAATGATAAATCAAATGGGAATCATGTCAGTGTAGTGGAAAAGATTTTGAAAAGTATTGAAGACGGAGTTAAGGAACAGGAAATGATAGATCTTCTTCCTGAAATAGAACGAGCATCTCGCCAGAGACATCAAGAAAAGAGATTGAAATATCCTTCTGCTTCTAACCCCATTGGTTCGAGACAACCATCTGGTGAAAGACAAAATTCTGTTAACGAAACTCACCACAAGCGGCCACCACCACAGAATGTAGATAATCATGTGGATGAACCTCCAACGAAGAAATCAAAACGACAGGAAATTAACACTGGATTGGAAGAAATCCCAATGTACGAAGACAGTGAAGATGACGACGAAAATTAATGTCGGTGTACTATAATAAAACTGAAGCCATGTATTTTTAGTTCACATACTTATAGAAGCAAAAGTATGAATGAAGGTCATTCAATATTGTAAATAATATATATAACCCAATTGAAAACGTATTGTAACATAATAAAATAACTAATAACCACTTCTTTTTGTCTGTCTTTTCCTTATAGAAACAATAAATAATAATAAAGATAATGAAAATAATCCGTAAACTTTCTCAAATTTACGAATTCGTATATCCTGGAGGTAACCCTGTTGATTCCGTAGTTGAACTATCGGACATTTCGTATATTGGTGGCTTATCTCCGGCAGTACTGGCTTTTTCACTCAATATGGTGACCGGATTTAACATTCTAAACCATAACCGATTGGAATTCCTTCTCAGCACTAAATGGGTAAATCGACTCAAAGCTGAGTTTCTACTTTTATCATCTTCTGTTAAAGGTTGAAGGTTATATTCCAATTCCACACTTACGGCATGGGTACATGTAAAACCTTTTCTTTGTTCTCTAGTGACGTACGGTAAAATGTCTTCCTTACCCTTCAGATCTCGTAATTTTAATAAACCCTGATATTCCCATTTGAAATTGGTGTCATCCAATATGACATTCTCCAACGGTATAGATTGCAATAGTATTTTAGTATCGCTTTCAACGATCTGAGTATCGTTTTCGTAATTGAATTCGTTACTTTGTATCAAATATACGGACAAGGTAACTAAGATTATTCGAGTATTACGAGCTAAGCTTTTTGTACTCACCTCGTAATTACAGACCCCATCAACATACATAATGTCTGAGGGAAAATGTACCGACACTTCAAATATGTTATCTAATACCTTCTTGGCTTGAATGGGCGAATGTATGGCTGCTTGTGAATCAAGCATCAAGTTGTCTTGAAGGGAATGGATAACCCGTAACTTCTCAATTACCTTTTGAGGATAAATAGCCGCGACATCTTTAATAGTGGCTGTCAAATCATACATCACAGCATAAACCTTCAGTACTACTGATTCCGGTAAGTCCAGATCCACAATGAACTCGAAGGGGAACCTATAAGTACCCGGCACAAGTTCCCAAGGTTCTTCAAATTCATTTTGGGAGAAGAACGTTATGGTTTCATCAACGACAAATCTTGAATTGTACCTTCGACTATCGGATGGAGTTGGAGAGGGGGTAAACTCAAGTCTAACACCTTTAAATCGTATAGATATCTCGGAGAAACTTGTTTTACGACCAACTTCTAGATTCAAGCTACCAGTAGCTAACCGAGATGTGGGGAACGCATCTGAAAATCGACTTTCGAGATAAATATTTCTATTGAAATCAGTTATCTCCACCTTAAATGATGGACCAAATCCAAACCGGAACCCCTTGGCAGTCGGCGGACTATAGCTGAAGAGACCAATTCCACTCAGCATACTTTACAAATCTGCTTAGTAGTAAAGATTATTAATATTGTAGTTTTTCTTTCATCTGTGTCGGAACCATCAAATGCAGATACTGCGCTTATCTTCTTATATTAACTTGGTTCGCATTATTGTCTTCTTAATTTTAGTACTTCTGATAATTCCGTATACCGGTGGCAAATAACTATTATGTACGGAATTATGGAAAACACACATACAAACACACATATATGTACGTACGTACATACATACATCCAATCAGTCCTTCAGTTAACTCGTGGTGCATAAATTTATACACAATCAGGTATTCATTTGACATAGTAGTCACTGCTCACCGAAGGCTTACGTTTTCTAATCTCTATTGAGATTGCAAGTTTTGGTGCCGTACGCACATACCCACAAAAATGGCATGCCTAGAATAAACCACAAATATGGGGTTTCCTTAACAACAATAAGTAGTCATCGCAAACCTAATACGCAACAGAACGTCACACATTAAGGAATGTATCCACCCTTCACTTACTTGACACTTTGCAGCCAAACGTTGCAAACTAGCATTTCGGATCAATTGGTTTTCCTAGATCTGATCTGCTTTAGTCCATTCGTATATAATCAATCCACACACAAAGCTGGGTGTTTTCTTAGGTTCTTTGTCCATAGCCAATCTGTACCGATGTTAAAATTGGTTAAAGTTCCTTCCCTTTCATAAAGCATGTAAAAGTGGATTGTGTACACTAATCTTTGGCGTAACAATGCGAAGCGCAATAGAAAATGAAATGTTTACCAAAGGAGAACCTTAGCAGCGTAATTTACGGAGAAGCCTTCTATTGCCATCAATGTTCTTCCCCCGCCTTTCTTAATTTGCATTGTAGTCTTCAGTTACGTGTATTCTATGACTCATGAAGGAAATAAAGAATAGGATTTACAGCAAATCAATTGAACCACTTTGGTCCAACAAGCATCATTAGGCTTCGCCACTGTACAAAACAAAATACAAGAACCCCTAACTGGATTGATTCATAACGCCACTATATCATTAACATTATCCTTGTTTAGGGGTTCCTATCACTTTTTTTGACGTTGGAAGAAGTCCACAATGCACCGGTATGAGGGACCGTATATGGTTAAGACTTTTGGCTACGAAAAGTAACACAAAACCGGTGACAGGTTTTTTCATCAGATTTTAGATTTTTCGGCATTTGGTTAGAAATTTTAAAGCACCAAGCATTATATATACAGTGTCTAGTCTGGGGTTTCAAGTGTTGTAAATTCCATTGGCATTGCTTGTATGTATTTGATGATTGCAAACTGGGATTACGTTCATTGCTAGCAACATTTGTCAATTGTTAAACCAAGGTATCAAAAGAAAATCTCGATTAGTAATGCCTTAGCAGTAACCATTGCGTAGGTAAAAGAAATGTTAGATTGACGTCTTTCAACAATGTTGCTTTGTTAACGCCCTCTGTCGAATGGGTATTGGAAAGACTACGTATTTACGACGGAGAATCAGAAAGGCTCAATATTTACGATGAAGTATTGGAAACTGAAAGGCTTTATGGACCGCGTCTTTCTCATTGCACGTGACATTGTTTCACTATGAAGTCCACAGTATGCTATAGTTATCTCCTGATTGACTTACGGTCGAGCCGCCCAATCAAATGTCCTCTGTCGTTTTGGTGAGGATGGACTGAGTCTAGAGCTACACTCAGACCTCCCTAAATAGCACGCTTTTACTTAAGAATGAAAGTGTGCTAAATGAATAAATGTTTGGGGTGGAATACGTCGTCCCGAATAAAGGAGAATCCTTGTTTATGAACAGTTTATAATACGAGATGTAGCGTTATACAACGACGTCTAAAAAATAATTTGATGCAATTGGAAACAATAGATAACGCATTAATGTGTGGTCCATCCCCCAGACATTTTTACGTATAAATTGAGATGATTTCGGCGTTAGGAATGTTATCTTTTTTCCAAATTCTTATCGGAAAAAAGTCACCATAATAATGACAGTTAATCCGAACATTAAATCCATAGCTGTCATAGGATGCGGTCCCTCTGGTGCTGGTGCCCTTAAGGCATTCTTAGCAGAAGGCACATTTGATAGGGTCAAAGCCTTTGAAAGGAGATCAGATTTTGGAGGACTTTGGAACTATACTACGGAAACAGACATTGGAGCTGTGCCTATTCCCAACACTGATCCTACAATTGATTTGAAGGCCAAGCTCTGTAAGCAGACAAATAAGTATGTATGGCCTGCTGCTGTGTACGACTACTTAGATACCAATGTGCCTCGGGATATCATGTCGTATGCTGAGTTTCCATTTGACGACAGTCTTCCCTTGTTCCCCCACAGAGAAGATGTTCGCAAGTATCTCAACAATTATTCCGAGGAATTGAAGCCGTACGTTGCATTCAACACCAAAGTAGTTGATGTTGACTACGTTGACGGGAAATGGCAGGTCACCAGTCGTCCTGTATCCATCGAGACTGAAGGTGGTTTGAAAAGATCTGAAGATGAAGGTCTTGAAGACACTGTTGAAACTTTTGATGCAATCTTACTTTCGGTGGGCAACTATGATCTTCCTTATATCCCGGAGAAGGATGGGATTGAGGAATGGATAGCCAAGTATCCCGGATCAATTATACACACCAAAGATTATAGAAGCCCTCAACAAGTTTGCGGTATGGTAAGCAAGGAAGGGAACATCTTGGTGGTTGGGAACTCTGCGTCTGCGGGTGACTTGTGTTTTCAGATAGCTACGCAAGAGAAGCGTCTGGTTTACAAGTCGATTAGATCTAAGAGTAAACATCCAGCAGGAACATCGGAGTTAACCCGTGAAGTGGGAGACATTGAAAAGTTTGATGCAGACAGTAAATCTGTGCATATTAAGAACGGAACAATTATCGAAAACGTTGAATTGATTATATTTGCTACTGGATATTTGAAGTCATATCCCTTTTTGAATAAGAATGTCACTGCAAAGTTCCCATTGTTGACAGATGGTTTACGAGTCTTAAATGTTTACGAACATATTTTCCCCTTCTACTATCCCAATTTGGCTATTCTTGGACTCGGAAGATTTGTTCTTCCCACACGGACATCGGAAACTCAAGGCTGCTACGTCAGTAAGGTATGGAGTGGGAAATTGACATTACCTCCAGTGGAAGACATGATCAAATGGGAGAAGGATAGAGTCGCCATAAAGGGACCCGGGAAAGCATTTCACGATCTCCCATTCCCTGACGACGTTAACTACAGCCAAAACTTGAACCAACAGATCATCGCTGCTGGCGGGGGGCTCGTACCCCACGTCTGGACTGCAAAAGAGATAATTATCCGAGCCCTAATGGTTCAAGTCAAAGTCGGATATATCAAATACAAACAGGCTTCTGGGATGAGCGCAACGTCGTATCAGGAATTGATTGACGCCGGCTACCTAGAACCGTTTGAAGTGTCCGAAGAGAATGCACGATACTTCTTAGACAATGTGACTCAATAATTATAATATGAATATCATTAACAAACTATAGTACAAGGTATATATATACATATGCAGACATATATATATAAATATCAACGTTCTAAATTAATATTGTTACCGAATTTAGCATACAACTGAGTCTTTAATGTCGATAATTGTTCATCAATGGAGTCGATTTCACCTTCAAGACTTGAAATCTTTGACTCCAATGTCTCATTCTCCTTTTCAATTCGTTTCACTGCTTCTTCAACCTTGAGAAACACAAAGACCTCTCCTATTTTATATTGGATCTTCTCTTCTTCATCAAGTAACTCGATTTCTAATGCCAAATCATCAATGTATTCTTTCTCGGTCTTAAACCCTTCCAATCTCACAGTAAGCTCGTCCTTCTGGCTTATCAACGACAGAAATCGGTTGATCTTCTGCTGGTCTGCCCATTCCACTTCCGTGGTGTTCTGCTGTCCTTTGGGTAATAACTCCATTGTTCTGGGTCTAGATACTGTAGTGTCAAGGTGTGGTTAGCTGTCTGTAGTTATTTGAGTGTCTGTGATTATTTGTCTGTATATACTCAACTAGTTTTTCCGGTGTGCATATACCCACATAAAAAGCTTATATGCAAACGTATAACGATTTTTCACTGCCTATAAAACTAATACTAATAACAAATGATAGAAATAAACTATATAATATAATGCTCCACTTCACCATAAAAGTGTTCCAACGGAGTACGAGGCTCTCAATGAGTCCTTACGATTTCTCAACTTGGGAGGAACAAATCTGGATTTAATAACCTCCTTGGTAAATTTAACATCGTTCCCATCCAAATCCAGTTCTGTCTTCTCGTGGGAAACAATCGTGGTGCTGTCCTTGGAGGTGCAAAACTCATCTAAATTAACTGTGTTGATGTTATGGGGATCAGTTATCATGCCGACATTCTTTGGACAATGGGTTCTAATAAAATCCTCAACATTGTCATTAAACGGAATAAATGTAAGCACAAGCTTCTGGAACTTCTTATCGCCGTCAACAAACTCGGACTTGAGATAACAATCTCCGGGCATATCACTTCCAATCATCATGAAATATAAATTCCATATTCTGCTCTTCATATTAGAATCAAGTTGAATGCCAATCTTCTTCTCGTAAAGTGTTCCAATGTCCGAAATGGGACATGCGGTCAAAAGGGCAAGATGTAAGTCAAGTATATACAACTGATCCCGTATTGAAAAAAGATAGAGCGGTAAATATCGTTGAACCACATCCTCTGGTAGTTCAATACGATCAAACTGGATTGCTTGTAAACCCTTTGGATATTGCGAAATAATATAATTATGACGTAATTCGTTTCTTTGCTTTTCAATTTGCTTAGACTTTTCTTTAGCCATCAACGCCAATTTCTTCTCTTCCTCTCGTTTCATGGCTTCTAGTTTCTTCTCCTGTTCAGCTCTCAACTTCTCCTCTTCCTTACGCTTGATCTCCTTCTCTTTCTCAAGCTTCAAAAACATAAACTTCTTTTGCTTTCTCTTATCTTCCTTCTTCTCTTGATAGAGTCGGATTTCCTCAGCATTTTTGGCCTTTAACTCTTCCTGTGCCTTGACTGTTAATGGCGAGGGAGACATCGTTTGTCTTCGAATAACTCCTGGACCTGGAGTAGGTTCCCTTGAGGTGGCAACATCAAACTCATCTTCTGTTCGTGGTCTGTCATCATCCGAATATAAATCTGTGTCCTGGAGATGAGAACCTATTGAACTTCTTCTCAGGTGTGTAGCTGACGAACTTGGTAAACGAGGTGACGATCCATGAGTGTCTTTAACTGCAGGTGGTGGGGTTGCGCTTGTATTCCGTGATTCGGTAATTCCAACAGTTGGCTTCATTTCTTCATCAATTTCCATTGCCGAACTTTCCTTAGACGACTTCTTAGAAAATGGCCTTTGTTCATCATTGTCATTTTCATCTTCATCATCCAGGAGATTTTTATGTTTTCTTTTGCGGAGAACTTCTTCATGTCCATTTTGTTTCTTTGTAAATTCATCACCATCATCTTCAGCCACTAAAACATCTTTTTGTGTTTCCATATCTTCATTTCTATCCACTTCTTCTTCCTCATTATCTCCGTAAACTTCATTCTCGTTACGAGAAGTTTGCGTCTCTTCCTTAATAACAACATCATGTTCTCCTTTGTCTCCATTGATGGCTTTCTGTAACATTCTGACTTCCTCCTCAGAATAATGAACTGAGCTTTTAGCAATCTCTAGTACTGAAAACCCATCTTGTTTACGAACTTTCAAAGGGTCGGCACCCTTGGAGAGTAATGATTTCACAGTATCCACATGTCCTCTACCAACAGAAGCTAATAAGGCAGTCAATCCAATACTGTTTTCGTGATCAATATCATAGACATCAAAGTTTAAACCCAAAACAATATCAATCAACTCAGTATGACCATTTCTAGCAGCAATAATTACCAAATCGGGATATTGATTTAATTGATGGCCAGTGGTTATGAAATCTGCAGTAAATTCTTTATCACCTTCAGCTGCACGTTTGTAGATCTTTTTCTTCTTAATCAAATCACTGAAATAATTATCTGTAGGATCTTCGATACCTGCTCCAGATAAGTTTCGTTTACTACCAGACTTCTTATCCAGTGGCAATTTTATTCCGTCGGATCCCATGTACTCCTTTGAAACGCCAAACTTTTCCTTCTTGGTTGCTATCGCATTCTCCAATAATGCAATAATCTCGTCATAGCCTTCTTCTTCGTCGTGATCATTCTGGATCTTGGTCAAGGCACTGAAACCATCAATATTGAAAATAGTTGGGTCTGCATTATGCTCAAGTAAAATTCTCACTACTTCAGTGTGCTTATTCTCAGCAGCATCGATTAAGGGCGTTTCAAAAGCCCCCACATCAGATGCTTGAGCATTGACATCAGCACCCCGTTCTAGCAAGTATCGTACAACTTCATCATGTCCCTCCAACGCCGCTTCATGCAAACATGTGAACCCGCAAAAGTCACTCTCATTAACACTGGCACCTCGCTCAACATAGTTCTGGATTTCTTCGAGGTTTCCTTTTTTGCAAGCACGTTGTAACAAAGATCGTCCACCGGAATCTCTCTTGATCTTATATGGTTTGAATAATGACCTTGAACTGGATTTCACATTGGAACGAGACAATTCAGATGATTCAAACACTGGGGTTTCGAGAACTGTCTCTTCTGCTTCCCTAAGTGCTTGTGCTTTCAATTTCTCTCTGTTCTCATCATATTCCTTCTTCCTGATTAACCTCCGGCCTTTACTAGGTTTGACCGGAGACGTTGAAGGTATAGTTTCCGCTTCAGACTCATCTTCTGATACGCTTGATGCACTGTGCTCCTCATCATTAAAATCGGAGTGCAAATCATAATCAACCTGTTTGGCTGCCTCAGTAACATGTTCATCCTGACCTGAAGTAGGACTTGAAACTATTGACTCCTTTTCTTTTTCTTCATTCGTTTTATTCTTTGCTTCCTTTGATTCATCTTCTTCACGTAATGTATCAAGTGCCAGATAAAATGGGTCATCCATGGAAGTATCACCCACCGGAGATAAGATAGAAGAATCAATACTGGCAGAGTCTCCTGTATTAATTGAAGTAGTATCAGTCTTTATTGGTTCTACGTTCAGGTTATCACCTTCATTGTTTGATTCCTTAATGATAGGTGTTTCAGGAATAGTCTCTGATTGGTTTGCAATGGCCTTCATTTGTTTCTCCTTCATGAACGCTCCAAACGACTTCTTCTTGACAAGTGTACTCGACTCGGAGTTAAGGTCCTTTTCAGTAGATTCACTTTTTAAAACTTCATTAGCAGAAACCTCTTCCTCTTCCTTATGAGAAGAATCACTTTTCAGATCATTAGCTGCTGGAGTCGTTGTATCTGCTGTGGCTCCATAATCCTCGTCAAATAAATGAAGCAATTTTGAATCAGTTATGGTAACATTTGTGGAATTCCTACGGGACGAACCAGCGGATCTTGAAACATACTTGACTTTATCGTTACCACTTTCATTGCTATTTCTTCGAGTTAAAGATTGACTCTTCGTTTGGTCGGGACTTCCTAATGACTGCGCACGTTCCTTGCGATGTTTCAGGTCCTCATAAGTAGAATAATAGGAGTAATGTGGTGGGGTACTGCTCGCACCTCTGTATGACTGTGCTGAGCCTGAGCTTGATCCTTTAGACGACTCTTGGGAATAATGATGCGGTGGAGAATTACCTCGTACTTGGTAGGTGGTAGAAGGTCTCAGATACAGTTCAGGTCTTCGTCCTCTGTCTCTGTCTCTGTCTCTGTCTCTGTCTCTGTCTCTGTCTCTGTCTCTGTCTCTGTCTCTGTCTCTGTCTCTCTCTCTATCTCGTCTTTCTCTGTCTCTGTAAATGCTAGACTCTCTTTCTTTCTCTTGATCCCTGTTCCGACTAGTCATATCACGATAAACATCTCGCTCTCGGTCCCTGACACTGCCACCAGAATTTGGGCCGTCATCTCTCCTGAAGTCCCTGTAGCCATAGGAAGATCTACCGTACTGTGGTGTGTAGCTGGAACCTGCGGACTTATGATTGCCTAGAGGAATATTAGCGTTGGTTTCGCTGCTATAAAAGGAAGAGCCTCCATTTCGCCTTTCATCACGGAAATCTCGGCCTGAGGATGTAGAATTCAGGCGTGCATAATGGAAATCATTATTGCTATTATTATTTGTGGATGATTGATTTAATGTTGGGGCTGTAGCAGCGGTCTTTTTGCTGGGATCATACCTGTCATATTTTCGACTCACAGGAGGCTTATTTGCTTGAGAGGGTGTTGGATATGAGGAAGAATTAGGGCCATTTCTCAGATAATGACTTCGTGAGTATCCGCCATATGATTGGCTAGGAACACTCCCCGGGTTATGTTTACTATTGACGCTAGGTGGCTGCTGCTCGACATTGCCTCCTCCACCTCTGTTGCCAGATTGTGACAGACTATATTTGCTGTATCTGTTTCTGTAACCTGAATGGAAATCTCGGTCACTTGATCGACTCATTCCTTGTTGGGGTCCATTGGCGTATGATGCAGGCACTGACGCAGATGAAGATGAAGATGCAGATGCAGACGTTGTTGATGCTGCTGTCCCAGCAGCCCCAGCTGGTGTGGGTGTTTGTGCAGTTGTTGATGATGGCTTACTTGAATAATAGTTCCCACTAAACTCGTCAGATCCATTCTGCATATACTTTTTATAGGACGAAGGTGGCATTCCAGTGGTACCCAAACCTCTTCCGCCTCTCGCCAAAGTTTCTCCGTTAGATTCGGTATAGTTATTATTATTATTATGATTATTATTATTATGGTTTGCCCCGCTATAGCTGCTAGGATTATTACTCAGATACCGCAGGGCGTAATAATTACCCCTGTTATTTGAGTTATATGACATTTTCTCTTAGTCGACCATCTAACACGATGATTCCGAGTGCCCTGTAATAAAAGAATGATATAAAAGAAATAGGGAGAGTTTGGTTTTTTATGTTTGACATCTTTATTCGCGTGCGTGTGTCAACCGAAAAATGAAAAATGTTCATATACGATGTATTATGTGATTCTGTACTTACTGTGTACTTACATATACATATAGTTTTTACATGTGCATACGCACTTATATGTACAATGATCGTACTTGTTCATTTATCTCTTTATTCCATTATATACCTATTTTCCAGTGGGAGTCGTCAAGCCCTGTAACACTTCATTGAAGTCCATCAATTCAAATATTAAACTCATATTTGGACATATTCTTTCGCATGCATTAATGTGATAACCTTTAAGCCTGTCACTCTTTCCTGTTTCGCTATCAGAACCAGACTTTAAAAGTTCATATGCTTCATTTACCAGTAGTTGAAACTGCATCATGAAAAAGGCCACAATCACACAAGCAGAACGACTAACTCCGCATTGACAATGGACAAGAATCTTCTTTCCCAACGACAGATATTCACTAATCTTCTTTGTCAAAAACGGTAACTCCTTCAGAATCAGTGATGTGTGGGTCCAGGGGACAAATAAGTATTCCTTGGAGTTGTTGCAAGTGTCGAATTGGTCCTGCAAATTCTGGCACTCTTTTGCAACATTAATAACCAAATCGTATTGCTTGATATCTACTGCAACTTTTGATTTCTGTGGATCTCCATAAAGGTAAATCAAGTCATTAAATACACTTCGTGGACCTTGAGGATATGCTTCCAATTGTGAAGACTCTTGAAGTTCTTCAGGGAATCCAAATTTGAACTTCCCCAGCGGTAACAGCATTCGACTGAATTGGGGAACCACCTCATTAGAAAAAGTATCTTCATTTAAATCAAGATCATCTGGTTGTATTTGGGAGTCAAATATAGAATTGGTGCTATCAGACATGCTAGTGTTGTCATCCGAGTTTGTATTAGACTTACCAAACTTGGTGGTATCGTTGATTTTGGAAGATGTCGTCGTTGCACCATTCGTTGTTAAACCTTCAGATGGATTTGTAGATGTTAATGTAGCTGAGCCCGTTCCTGTAGAATCTGACAAACACTCGGAATTATTCGGCCTTATTGCTTCATTCCCACTAAAAACTTTATTACTATTATTATTATTTATAGGAGTGCTTGTGTCTGGTTCTATTTGAGCCTGGTTGGGTATAAGCAAGCTCAAGCTTCGGCCAGGTAATTGTGTTTGGAAAGTGGTGGAGTTTGGTTGACTTTCGTCCAACGGTTGAGCGGGAGTAGCCAGTGGTTGAATATGCGATAGATGATGTTTATGCTGTTGGTGATGATCATGGACAAGGTTAAGTGAAAGGTTCTTTGTGTTTCGGTTAAAGTTTGCTGGCTGTTGTGAATGTTTGGGGGAATAATTGACATTACTATTGGGGATATCATCATGGAAAGTGAAGGATCGTACGGGAGAAAAAACACTAGTTTGTACCGTTTGCGATGAAAGCAATGAGCCTGAGTTGGATGTACAAGAAGATGCCGAGGATGCAGCAGACAACAGCAATGTTTGGTTGGTTGGAGTTGTGGCAGGAGCAGCCGCTTGGGAGTTGGAATTCTGGAGTGCTGGGGCTTTTGGTGGGTAATTTATAGAAGCAGTGGCGATCCTTCGTTCGTTGCTCTGATCAAGAGCTTCCACCAATCTATTCAACAGCAGTTTCCTTTGTGATGAGAGTACTTTTGCATTTGCACCAGGGGACCCTGAAACCACTGTCTGTTTCTCCCATTCTATTTCTGGCACTGTCAACTTGAAACTGGAACCAGACATGCCATGGGACTTGGAGGCAGTAGTAGATTTACTTGTATGGTTAGTTTTGTTTGATCCCGCTTTATTATTTCTGGTGGTGAAATTCTCGGATGCTGGCTTAGTGGTACACGTCTCCATTAAATTGTCGGTGGATGTAGTAGGGGAGTGTGAAGGTGAAGGTGTATAAAACGTAGCATCAGACATACTGTCAGACATTCTAGAGATGGCCGGCTCGCTTGAAGGAGGAGTAAAGACTGATTTATCAATGGTCTTAACCCTTTGGAATCGAGTCAACGGAGACTTCAAGGTCGGAGTGAAACTTGAAAGTGACTGTGGAATTGGGACCGACACTCTCTGGGTTTCTGTGGGGGGATCGTGAGAATCTGTAATGGAGTAAACAGATGCTTGCCGGCGTCGAGACGACCTTGGAAGTGTATCAGCCATAGTTATATTAATGTATGGAGTAATGAGATTATATATGTTGATTAGTGGTTAATGTGCGTGGGATGTACTCCCAGTCAATGTTGGCTTTTCTTCGTGGTAATGAGGATGAAAGAAAAGAAGGATTACAATTAATTTGATGATGACGACTAAAGAGAATAATAATAAAAATAGTAATAATTTTTATCTTCTCTTTACAAGAGTATTATTTTATTTTATTTTAGTATTAAGTTTTTTAACTTGTTAACTTTTATTTTAGTTGTTTTATTTTATTTTATTTTTTTTATTTTTGGTGTGTTCGGTGAGAATGTCATGTTTCAGGGGAAGCTTTTTTTATTCACATCGCATATCCTATTAAGTGCCTGATTCTTTGGGTGTGCATACACGGCTAGCCACATTAGGAATTGGGAGTGTATCTGCAAACTTTTGCCTGCCATTCAGATTAAGTACTGCAACATGAGTTATGACGGAGTCGTGTCTGTAAATGGTTGGTTTAGTGGCCGTTTAGAACAGAAATGAGCGACTACTTTTATACGGGACAATAGCCAAATGAAACAACATCTAGCCGACACAGGAATATCCACTTTTACAGATGGTACCACTACAATGTGTTTTTACAACAAAGTAGAATGGGTTAAAGTAGTATATATATGGACTTGAGACATCAAGGTGTAGGAGTCCGACTTGGACCGACCCACCCCCACCCCCCAGTGACTGTTCCCTAAGTTCTAAGTTATGCAACTGAACAATAGCAATACTATCCTGACAAAACTTTGCAAGATTCTTCTTGCTAAAGAAGGCATAAACTACAGAATATTTTTCAAACTTATAACTTACACATTCTTATAGATGTAATAGATTTCACAGCACTTGTTCCATTGTTTGGTGTACCCCTTGATTCTAGTTTTAAGTTTTGTACTTAAACTTCCGTTCTAGTTATAGCAAACGAATGACAAAAAAAGATCTTGAGTCTAAAAAGAGTTTATGGACATTTATTAGTTCAGTCATACCTTAGTGCTTTAATAACCATTAAATTTGGTTCCGGGCCTAAACACCCACCAACCTAAAATGTATCTTGTATCCCCCTTTTCACTTCCGTATCTGTTTCCGTAAAAGTCATGTGTTAGTGCATGTACCTATATGTATGTGTTTATGATGTATGCATGTAGGCATGGATTGTCGCACTTGGCTAAGGACAAATCTTTATTCACTAGACCAAGCATTTGGTCTAGAAGTAATACTTTGCTTTAGTAATTGTTTGAGTCTAGGCAGAGCGCGGTCTCAATGTCCCAATGACTAGGAGAGTGGCTCTAACCCTTTAACAATACCTTTTGGCGAATTATGGAAGGAGTCAATCAAAGAAACACATGAGCTTTTGTGTGTGTATCATATGTACAACAGAATCTATACTTCATCTCTCATACATTAACACACATTGAGACAACTTCATTAACCTTAAAACAGACATTTGTAACATGGAATTACGTAGTAGACTTCAACTTGTAATTGGAACGACATCGGCCTTATAGTTAACAAATCTTTGCTGGAAACTTCAACATTGTAGCTTTCCCCAGAACGCCCTTGTTTCATATTTTTCATTGGTTAGATTGTGCAAAACAAGTTTGCCACATTTGATGAAACTAAAGTCCGTAAAGGATGCTTCACTTATTGTTCTAGGACTAACTCCAACGTATCTTCTATTTCAGAGGTTTTTGTTCCCTATAAATTATATGGAAACGGTCATGGCAATAGAAGATACACGGACCATCGGATATTACCCCTTTCAGTACATTTTACATTGTCACACTTATGATCTAAACGATCATTCATAGAATAAATACTATACTATAGAAAGTGATAAAGACTGATGGACTACGGGTACACAACAAAATTTATGTCGTTATAATGACAATATTATGTGGCGACCCATAAGTATATGCGATAAAATACAAGTGATGTGAACTTGAAATAACAAAGTCCCCAAAGATGGAATTGAAAAATGCAAGATTTGCAACCTCTTATCTGTATGGAGCATCGGCATCAATACAGTATTGTAATTCTTGTTCCCATTTATCACCATTTTCCAATAACTTTTCCTTGTTGTATAACAATTCTTCTCTAGTCCAAGTGGTATACTCAGTGTTTGGAGTTTCAACAATTGCATCCACAGGACATGATTCTTGACAGTAACCACAGTAAATACACTTTGTCATATCAATATCATACTTATAAGTTCTTCTGGAGCCATCGATTCTTTCTTCGGCTTCAATGGTAATGGCTTGAGCAGGACAGATGGCTTCACATAACTTACAGGCAATACATCTTTCTTCACCACTTGGATACCTTCTTAAGGCATGTTCACCTCTGAATCTGGGAGAAATTGGACCCTTTTCAAAAGGATAATAGATGGTGAAGGGAGTCTTAAAGTACATTTCCAAACAAACATACATCCCTCTAGCAATTTCATTTAAGAAAAAGAATTTGGTGGCTTTACTTAAAGCACTCTCATTATCTTCTTCCCATGATTTGGGTTGAGGTTGTCTGAACCCTTTAGGTAAAACACCCATGGCAGAACCTGCAGTGGCAGCATAATCAGCAGCTACAGCTGGCTTGAACAACATACCAGAGTTGGAAAGGCCCCTACGAGCAACTAATCTGGTGGATATAGACTTGAGCATATTCGGATATTAGTGTTGTATATTGTGCAGTGAGGGAGATCGAATAGTCTGGAGGGAATGGTTTGATTAGATGAATTAATTGATAATAAACTTTCAATTCTCAATCAATCGCCAACCGTCAACAAAGATCAACAGTATTATTCTAACCAAGAATCAAAGAAGGTGAAGTCAGATTTTTGGTGGTGATAATTTTTCTGCTCATTTCCCGTTGGGTACGATTGTTTTTCGAGTCTCAACCAATGAAACAATTCAATTTGGTAACACGGGTCGTGTGTAGGATAACTATCGCATACTTACGTAATAAAGTGCATTGTCTGTACAAACGATTTACTTAACCCATTAATCTCAATGCTAATTCTACACTAGCAAAAGTACCAGCAGAACATGGGATAGCTCTTATTAAACATGGTGCAATACCTCTCCAGAAACCTCGGATACCACTGGTTTCCCAAATATACTTAGTAGCCTTCAAAGCACTACCATTGAATTTCCCACCTTCGAACTTATCAGATTGAACATTAGACTTGATGACATCCAACGGATACGAAAAGAGCCAAAGAGCATCTCCAGCTATAGCCCCACTAACGAGCAATTGCCACGTGGGGATCTGTGATCTTGAATCATAATGGAAGTAATGAATCCACTTACTAATCAAGTATTCATACGTTGTGAACCAAACTCCATATGCTTGGATTTCCCTTAGTAAAGTAATATTCCAACCTCTATAAATCCCCTTTCGTATCCCAGCAACTTCATAGATATGTTTGATGGTATTTGTCCAATTCAACTTGACGTTCTTATCATTAACCTGAGAGATAATACGTAACTGCTCAATAGGAGACGTCACTGGTGTATTGACAACTCCTGCCATGGCACCGCAAATAAATGTCTGGGGCCATAAATTGATATGTTGACTCTTGCTCTTGGTCTGAAGATATCGTTTGGTTTCATGGAACCCATAAAATTGTAAGGATACACAAGCTCCTACTCCTACCAATGGAGGTAATGTTCCTTTATAGAAAGCCAAGATTCCTTCATTCCTAATAACATTCTTGATCACTTGAACCGTGGTGGTGGATGCTGAACTTGTTTGTAATCTAATCTTAACCAAATCAGCAGGCTGACCAATTAGAACTTGTGTGGCTCCCCCAATAAAGCCAGCTGCCACATCTTTTACTTTACGAGAGAGACTCAGGTCAACTTCGGACATGATTAATCAAGGTATGACTTCAAGTATATTATCAATAAGAATATTTAATCTTATCAATGGACTAATGATTTGCACCAATCACGTGACATGTGAGATTTGTTTGCAATATCACCTTACAAGATCACCTTGCACTTTGCATCGAACTATACTCTCTCAATATATATGTATCATTCCTAGACTTATCTATGTAGATGTGCTTGGCTAAACCAAGTAACAAATATGCCTAAATATTATCATTGTAAAATCTCTCACCATTAATTATTTAATAGCCCTCCAATAGACATAGAATTCTTATTAGTACTCTTGTCATTACTCTTGAAAGAGTTGGTGAAGTCAATGGCTATAGGGGTGTTCTTTTTAGCTGTTTCTTCCTGTTTAATTGCCACCTGATTATCCTCCTGCTTAAGTACTGAAGCTGGTGCCGGACTATTCATTAGCTTTATCGATGGCAAAGTAGTAGACATCCCATTAGATATTCCACTGGATAACGCACTTAACGCTCCAATATGTGGACCGGGCATCGGTCCAGGCCCATTGGGCAATCGACCATTGCCAGAATATGGTGGTAATATCGAAGACATTTGATGATGGATATTTGGGAACGTCATGGGACGTATAGACGGTAGACTTGGAGGAGTAGTTGTAGTAGACGATGCCCCGTTGGGAGAAACAGAAGATATCGTGGTAGCGGGTGGCAGTATAAGCATCAGTGTCGATGGTTTATGAGGAAGCAATCCATAACTAATCGGTTCAGATGATTGTTCATAAGGAATAGAGTATTGATTTGTTCCAGGTACGGGAATTGAGGTATACGGGGTGGCCAATGGTGGTTGGACTGGATGTTGCTGGAATGGTAACATGTATGCTGCTTGCTGTTGAGTTTCTGTTTGAATAAACAGTGAATGTGTGGACGCAAGTAATGGTGGGGTTGCTGTGGGGGTACTTTTAGTAGTTGTAGTAGTTGAAATGTCCGAATTAGTTGTTCGGACATTTACTGATCGAGGTATTGAGCTGCTAGATGCTGTAGAAAGGGTGATGCTTGGTTCTGAAACATCGGTTTTAATCTTCTTTGTCGATCCTCCAGGAGAATTGTCTCTACTATCATCTTGATCATCTAAAGTAGGTGATACGGTTTTCAGGGAAAGATTCCGTTTTCTGCGTTTAATAGTACTCCGTTTCATTCTTATAGGTCGGTGAGAACCATGAAGCCGATAATATAAGCCACAGGCATTACAGATGGTTTTCCCCATATCATCCCGTCTCCAAAGTGGCGTAATAGTAGTTCCACAATTATCGCAAGCAATAGCCAAATCTTCTGCATCACAATTAACGATTGATTGTTCGTCTTGTGATTCCTGTTTTGGTGAATCCACTTGGCCTGAGCCTGATCCTGATCCACATCCAGAAGTAGATCTACTGCCATTTTGATTCAACAGAGCCTGAAGCCGTTCTTTCTGTAAAACGGCCCGGTTATTATAAGCAGGGCAACCCTTGCATGCAGCTGATCCTCCAGTACCATTGCATCTACCATCACCCTTACATGACCCAGCCTCTTTTTGGGACACGGAGATGATATTGGGGGGACGTTTGAGGTTAACAGGTCTATGAGTATGGTTGGACCTGAGATAAAGTCCGCAGGCGTTACAAATAAGTGTACCATCTGGAGCTCTTCTCCATAATGGAGTCTTAGATGTACCACAGTTCGAACACTGTTGACCTGTAGCAGGATTAACAGGACTTTGTGGGGACGACTTAGTATCATTCTGGTCCCCAGCTTGCAGGCCAGGGATACCAGACGTTGGCTTAGACATTAGTATTATTGTGATCGGTAATGGTATATATTTCGTGATGAATGGATTGGAAGCACGGTGAGAGAACTGATAGTGTACTCAGTGGGAGCTAATGGAAAAAGAATAAAAAGCTATTAGTAAACTGTAAAGCGGGGGTTATCACAAAGCAGACACTTGGAACATTTGACAGTAAAAGATGAAGAGAAGTCCTTCAGTCGTCATCGTGTATGAAAGCCGTTACCTGTGTGCCTCTTATTATGAAAAAAGTGACACAAAAATGTCTGATTATAGTTCCTTCGCAGTCGGATATTTTGGGTCTTGTCTTTGTTGCTGCAACATATCGGAGGTCAGTCAAATCAGCGTATTCCAAAAAAATAAGCATATGACAAAAAGAATGGGTAGGTATTGGAAGCTAATTCAATGATCTTAACTTTTTAACATAGAGTTTCGGATTATCTTGCTAGGATTAAGAATTATATGGTCAACTACAAAATTTGTTGGGAGACTTGTCTGATAATGTTGTAAATGTTCGTTGTGGCTTACCTGGCATCTTTGTCAGATCTACATTATCCACGTCGCAGACATTTTTACCACATTCAATGACTACGCCTTTTAGACCGCAATATTTGAAAACTACCAAGGCCGGTTTTCTTAAACGATGTGAGGTCTTGCAAGCGGTAATGTTAGCCTATTGTCACTAGACAAGCTTGGGCCTTGAGCCAATGACATTGTCAACGATTAATGACTGTTTGTTTGCGCCATCACCTCAGACATTTTTACACTATCTATTTCCAAATTGCGACACTTGACAGATTTTTAGCAATTTGGATGAAAAATTCCTATATGTAGGATTATCAAGAAAATCAATTCTGGTTTCAACCAATAAAAATTCGTGTATTTGTAATATGTGACGACAACAAATGTTAGAACTATTTGTCATCTTAACTTCTTTTAAAAAGGTCCCCGTGTTTACAGAAAATTACAATGATCAAGCAATATTGTGCATGCATGTGTATATCATATTTCAAATTGATACTAAGTATCCAATAATGACGGTCTGATACAGTATGTATTTACATTTAGCCGGTCCAAACTGATGCAAATCATCATCATGCATGATGACCTTGAATAGAAATTTGTCTGTCTATAATATCCTTTTATTGCAATAACCACGATATCCTAATAGGGGTGGTGTTGAAAATTATGCCCGCCCCTAGAAACTGCGCCCCTCATGCTTATTCTAGTAATATATCATAATTAGAAAGAGCTAGCAACAGCGACGATTTATCGGGACACTTTTTTGGTATCCGATTAGTATTTAGTAAAAGCCTTGATTGAAAGCAAAAGCCTGTTTCGGGTTCATTCATAAATTTATTCTGTCGTATACTCCTGTCAAAAGCTTAAACTTTTTCTTGGCATGCACTCCACAAAAAAATGGCTGTCGGATTTCCAATTGAATCTACGCAGTCTTTTATTTGGTAATAAACTATTCGAGGGGGTGACACATATGCCCCATTTTATGTATATGGAGATTGACATTCTAAATTAAGTAATTAAATCAAGTAACTATCAGCTACAACACAAGAAGCAACAAACTCCCATGTATTTATGATGTACACATGTATACGTCATCCTATTCAGGTTTCACAATATGAACGGGGACTTTGACACTAATTGTATGATCGTCTTGAGTCACGAATAATAACTTAAGACAATAGAAACGTGCTGTCTGGCATGATTGGAAATCAGGAATCAATGTATAATCATCACTCACGGGAGCAGTTGACTTAGAACCTAACAGGGTAGCACTGTTCAAATTAACATTCAAATAAAACTTCTTACTCATAGTAGTCTGGCCAACTTCATTCTTTTCAGCTTCTTCCCATTTCATTGCATCAATTGCTTTACTTGAGTGGGCTGATGATTGGGATGCAACCAGAGTGGTAAACTTTTCACTAGGAGTTAATGGGCTCGCAGACACTGAGACATCGTTAACAGATAAGCTAATGGATTTTGTATGGGTATAGCAAATCAGCTTCAAATCATTAACCAAATCCAATTCCACTTTGAAATTTGATGTAGGAAGTTCCTTCAAATACTTATATAGTTGTGTAGATAACTTCTGGAAGGGTTTTTGAATATTCAGAACAAACGTATCAGGATCATTCAGTGAGTCACATAGTATGGCTTGGATCTCACTTCTAGATGGATACTGTTGTTGTGTATATATCAAGTCATGCTTAAGTTCAAGTGGAAGAGGTTCTCTGTCGGATTTCAATGAAAGAATGGTCAAACTAGCGTTAACATGCTTGAAAGATGGAAGGTAGTTGCCCAGAGTTTCACTACCCGAAAATTGAAACTCAATTGGAATAGATAAGTGCCAGCCTTTTCTTAAATCCGTCAACTTTTCCAACAGTTGATGGGATCTAAATTGTGGAGGCGCAATATAATTGATTTGATAATCAACTTGTGGGGTGTTCAAGCTTAACACACCAACCATACCACCTGTATCATTCTTCGACGGCTTTTTCAATAATGAAGATGTCAACGACTTTTTCCGAGTTGTAATAGGGACAATAATAGAATATTGAGGTTGTTGCAGCTCTCCCTTCTTCTGATCAGCATAAAAATCCTTATGACATCTTTTGTTATAGGATTGACGCAACTTTGCAAATTCCAACTCGGACTGGGTCATATATTCACCCACTTGAATTGACTTATCAAATTCTCCACGTTCCAACAAGTCAACTAATTTCTGACCATTCTTCAAATGCTCTTCAAGTCTTTTCACCATATTTTTATAGAGTAAAGTCTGTTCAACAGATTTCATTCTTTCTAGTGAAGGGCTTGAAGGGTGATAATTGGGGACAATACGAATGAAATTATTTGTTTCCTTAAGAATGATGAATTCGTCACCCTTGTTATTAATCAACTTGGTATCGTCAATGTCCTTTAATTTCTCATCCACATTGTACAAGGACCGTTTCCCAATGAATCTCGTCATGACTGAGTAAGAGACAGCAGCATCAAAAAACGCAAAATCTTTCACCTTGCAATTTTTGTACAGATAGTTTTCGAAACGTGACATACCCATTGTGGGAGGCAACTCTATGTGACTTGAAAGTGTGTGGTTCCCACATTCACTATCCAATAGTCGTTCCGGGATTTTAAATGTGAAAAACCGCTTATACAATACGCCCGGTTGAAGAAGTCTCCCCAATTGGATCCCCAAATGTGATCCGTCTCTTGGATCCACAGTGTAAGGACAAACATAAGGCTTGTATTTGTCTGTAGTCAACCGATTAACGTAAACATCATTCCAACTCGCACTCAAATCAAACATTTCCAAAAACTTCTTATATATGATGGGGTTCTTGGTATCCTTTGGATTATCAATCATAAAATTCCCTTCGAGCAAAACATAAAACATATCGAATGGAACAGGCTTATCCAGGGTATTCTGGATATAAACAAACCCATGAACAAAACATCCTTGTTCATACTCGATTTTAGTAGGGTCGATTATAGTTGGTTCAACGCCTGCTTCACAGAGATCCTTCGTGAAATGCACTGATAACTTTATAGCATTGGAAACCTTATTTTTGGAAGACGTTAAATTCTTTAACTTGTGTACGTTATTTAACACTGTATCTTGCCATGAACCACTTGTTTCATCGGCCACGATAAAGTTTGTATCGGCTTCACCAGAGACAGCAGTCAGCGCACCGGTAATTGTAGTTGGTGTAGTTTCAACCGTATCGGCTGACTGCGATTGGCCACTAATGGAATTCTGACTGGAAGATACCGTTCCGGAAGAACTGTGCGAAGTTGGGACATTCCCGCTTGTAGATGAATGAGTTGAGTTTGCGTCTTCGTAATTTGGAGGTTCCTCTGTAGACATGGTTCTGTTGAAGGTCGTGTTATACATATAATATGAGGGGAGAATATTCCATAATTGTGGTTCCAGAGAAGACAGAGTCTGTTCCCCTTTTTTTTTACTCTCTGAAGACATGATTTATGTTTATGACTGTAGCAGCAAATGAGCTATGAATAAATTGACTGAGATAGTATGTATATTGTCTGACTATAAGAATAGTGTCTGTCGGATATATGTTTATCACCTGTAGACAGAAAATACTCTGGAATAATGTAGAATGAAGGATGTTCTATATAAATATTTTCTTACAGATACTACCCCGACCTTTTTATAGATGATCATATGTGGCCCCAATGTTTATTCTCTGCATTAAAGCATTACGCAAGGCAGCCACTCGCAACACAAAACATCATCGCGTTAAAAGATGTTTTTGTACTAAGGAGAGAAGTTGAGTCATAGCGGATCTACACAGGACATTAGTAATAACACTCAATTGATCTATTCTGAATTACGGTATTAATGCGAGGGGACTACAATAGACGAAACTGATCGATACGATGTAGCATCGCTACCACGACTACTACGGCTACGACTCATTGTAAATTGATAGCAAGTAACTGAATTTGTCTGGCCGTTTGTCTATTCCAAAAAGTCCGATCGACTTGGAACTGGTATTTTACTTACAATGCTTCTATTGGGTTCGATTCGCTAAGAAAAGTTTTAGTTTTAGCTCCTCCAGTAATATGGCGATCCGGCGATAAATTTCAACTAATTCCGATCGGTGTGATTACAGCCACTCACAGGTGTTGATGGGGAAAGTTTGGAAGCAAATCCGCGTGGCACATTTGCGCGTGGTTATATGCAGAACCGTCCAAGTGGGTTATGACTTAGTGGGTCGTGGTGTGGTCACCAATCAGGTCCAATAACCTAAAGAGGCGACGATAACACGTAGCCGTATATAATTGAACAGGTGGACCAGTGGCAAATAATTTACACCAGCAAGCGCTGTATTGAGCTTATTGTTAAAGCATTGTACCGAGTTTATTATTGAAACGTTGTAGCGAGCTTATGCTTGCGTTTATTGCAATGGGTTTATGCCTGTAATATGTTGAATATGTGAGTCACGGGTAGTATGACCATAGAACTGCAGTATGTATAGTTATTATGCGTGCACATGTGGTTGTACTACAATAGAACTTATCAAAGTGTAGGTATTGGTCAAAAGCCGGATTTAAGAACACAATAATTAATTCGGTATATTACGTTGTGACTCAAGAAGCTAATGTAATTTTTCTATCAAGTTGATTTATTATGTTCCACTACATTCTATGGTATTACGCTTGTTGTATCATAGTGATTATTGAAGCCAATCGTTCATGTGATAGTACCTGGTATTACTCATAGTTGTACTCATAGTTGTACTCATAGTTGTATTCATAGTTGGTTTAATGATTCTATTCATTTAGTTGCTGTACTATTCATATTTAGACTCCGATTCATACTCAATAGTATGTAATTACAGTGTGCATTGCAATTAATTTAATTCTTTTATCATATTATTTTGTACCTCATCTCATCTCATTACAGCTATGTCTTACGTCACTTTATTACCTGTCCATGTCTTGTTCTTACGTAAGCCACACCACGCGACTGGCCCTTACACAAACGCGTTTGTCGGTCCTCAAAAGTAAACATTACGCACTAACCATCAAATCGTAGTGACAATCTCAATTTGGGTACCACCAAAGAAAAATCACCAACCCTCAACAAAAACAACAACCAAATCCACAGCTACAAATACCAAAGCCAATCGTTCGGACAAAAGGCTGGAAGTTCGCATCGCATCGTCAGCTGTCAGGACGCTTTATCCTTTTTAGGTTCCTCGTGACGCCCCAAATCCATCCTTCGATCCAGGGATCGCATAAGAGTCGGCGTCCCTCCCGTCCATCCCTAAGACGGTTCGACTCCAAGATCAACAGGGAAGGCAGCGACTGTTGTGGAATTAATAGCTCCAATCCAGGTGGACTCACCAACTATTAGCGGACGTCATCATATATTTTTTCGAGATGCAAAGCAATCGATCTCGAAAGCTGGGCCCAACTCTTAAACGTGGACCAGGTATGGTAAAGAATAGAACCTCCAGAGAATCTCAAACGAGAACATGTCATGATGATGATAATGATTATAATGATACTGAAGCACCGTCAGTTACTAACAGTGAAGCTGACGCTAGTTCTACTGTGGCTCCTGGAACTACTTCATCAGATTATTCATCACCGTTAGACTATTTCACAAATAACCATTTCTCTCGTTCTTTCAATAGTTTGATATTAGAAGATTTGACCACTCACGCAAATCAACACTCCCAAAATGGCCCTGTGAACCACCTCGATGGAGTGGATGAAGAAGATCAGTTTAATGCAACTCCCTTGAAACATAAACACAAACATAACTTGACACTGCTTCGACAGCCATCAAATCCTTACCTTGATCTCAATCGAAAAAAAAGACAACGTTTCAGTCTAAACAAAAGTCCACCCTTCAATGTGAAAGAAGACTTATTGTATGATGATTCCATCGATACTTGCTTAGAAAATGAATCTGGTCCTGGTGACCGCAATAGAAATAAGTTGTTTGAATTTGAAGCCAATGAAACATCACTACATAAGTTAACAAATGATGACGATGACGAAATTAATGACAACGATGATGATGATGAAGATGATGATGAAGATGATGATTTACCAACTTTACTTATTATTAAACCAAAGAAATTGCATAACCATTCTCAAATTGAGGAGAATGATGACGAGACCGATAGTGACATGGAAGAAGACGAAGAAGAAATAAGTTGTCAGCAAATACAAAAAGAAGATAGAACAAATTCTTTTTCAAAAACAGGACCACCTTCCACTATCAAAAGATCTTCCAAATTCCTCAATTTATCAATTGAATCTGACTTAAAACGCATGAATAAAGATATTGATCCAATAAGTGATTTGAATGAAATTGACATGTTGAGTAGTTCATCTAGAACAGCCACACCTTGTATGAACAAATTCAAGAGACCTCATACCCTTGTCAGTCAAAGTCCGTCACCTTCCCCAAAGGTGGAAAACTCAGATAAGTCTTCTACAAACTCACTAATCAAATTCTTTAGAGAATCGCCCACTAATCGGGCTCATCATTCGCATACACCTTTGCATATTAGTCATTCAAGAACAAAACTACAGCTCATGGAAACAAATCCTCAACTTAGGCAAAACACGATAATACCTGGAATAGTTCATCCAAGAGATAAAGCCATACAAACATTGGCATCCAATAGTCACAATAATAGTTGGACTTCTCTTTCGACTCCAAAATTGTCTTTGAAAAAGCTAAAAAGAACGACATACTCACCTTTCAATAAATCTTCAAGCCCAATTCCACCATCATTCAATTTTTACGATTTAGATGAAGATTCACCATCAAAATCTCGAAAATCAACAAACATAATTGTTTTCCATGATAAACAATCGAAAGGGAAGCAATCTCGAACAGCTGATAATAAAGTTGAAAACTCGCCTACATCACCAAATCAAAATTTTGATTCCAATTTGAAGTTTCCCAAGTCACGGCTGTTAAAGAATTTACTTCAATCGAATGAAAATCTCAATAAATTAACTTCATCTGAACTCATGGATAAAAAACCACAATTAGGGTTCGATGATAAGGAAAATAAAAGCTATAAATTTGTAAAACCTTTACAGATGGCTTTCAAATCTACGGGTTTGGTTAAAAAGAACTCATTGTCTAAGGAAAGTCGGAAACCACCACCTGAAACTCCCATAAAAAAGAATCCATTGGTTTTAATCAATACCAATATTCCACCAACCATAATGAAAGGAGGTAATCTGACAAATGTGCCTATTGGTTGTGTTCCCAGTGATACATTAGTACAATCTATGGAAACTGATATTGATGACCATGACCTGGAAGTGTCAATTGAATTTGGCAGAAATCACTCAACAAATATTTCCAACCAGGAAGCATCATATTTTGGTATAACAAATAGGTCAACTCATCTGTTACTTTCCAGTAATCAAGAACATTCAGGCGTTGATATAAACTTGGATTTGGACTTAAGCATACCTGAAACACCAACAAAGAAATCAATACATCAACACCAACCTCAGCCTCAACAAACGCATAAACAAGTACGCTTGGATCAGAATACAGAAAGTTTTGAAACTTTTAATCCAAACCAAATTGCGAAAGAGTCGTCGGAAACAGTTTCATCTCACTCGGATATGACTGAACACCACTCTTCGTCTTCGGCTCCAACTGTAACAACCTTGTTTCTTCCACCAAATGGGAGAGTTGATTCCGCTGTTAATCATTGCAAACCAATTCAACTATCATCAATTTCAACTGTGAAGAAGTCATGGCTGAATCCAAAAAGTTTGCCAACTTCTACTAACGTGAAATCTCCCTTGAATGGCTTGATTACTACAAACTCCGGTTCAAACAGTTATCCTGGTAGCTCAAAAACTAAGCTACAACAAATGGATTCCAAGTTTTATTATGATGAACCTTGTACACCTACAAACTTGTTTGCTGCTAAGGCTGCTGCAAATTCAATTCCTCCAACATCACAAGCAATAAGCGGTCAACATGAAAGAGCTTCAAATTCTTCTTCTTTTGAGAATAGGAAAGTTTACGACACGGCTTCTGGTGCCATTGCAGATACTAATAATATGGATGGGCAATTTGATGACAATATTTTAGGGAATGGTGACAATGAAGATGCGACACTAACACAGATGCTGAATACTAGCCTTTCACGTATTGATGATCATTTAATTAAAAAGTTTGGAATGAAGAATATTAAATTTATTGGGAATGGTGAGTTCAGTATAGCATATGAATGTCAATTTCAAGATCAAAAATATGCCATTAAAAGAACGAAGAAGCCAGTTATTGGTAAGTTAGAGCGTAAGGCTACTTTACGAGAAATTGAGGCTTTAAGAGCCTTGACTAATGTTGGAGATATTGAAGACAATGATATTGATGATGATGCAAACGCAGGTCGTGAAAATTTATTATATTTCATTGAAGCTTGGGAGTTTAATAATTATTTCTATATCATGACTGAATTTTGTGATAATGGAACATTATTTGAATTTCTTGAAGAGAATAAGCATTATAAGATTGATGAATTCCGGATTTGGAAGATTTTAATTGAGATTTTGAATGGAGTTCAATTTATTCATCTGAAAAATTATTTGCATTTAGATTTGAAGCCTGCCAATATATTTATAACCTTTGAGGGGTCATTAAAAATTGGTGATTTTGGGTTAACTACCAAGCTTCCCATATTAGAGAAAGATTTTGATCTCGAAGGTGATAGAAGTTACATTGCACCTGAATTGATCAACGATAAGATCTACACTCCATTTGCTGATATCTTCAGTGTGGGGTTAATTATACTTGAAACGGCTGCGAATATAATCTTACCTGAGAATGGGACACCCTGGAGAAAGTTAAGAAGTGGAGATTTAAGTGATGCAGGTAAATTATCCAGTGATAACATTAGTGAAGCTTTGAATAGGAATAGTTCATCTGTTACATCATATGATTCCATTGAGCATCAATCGAGTCCAAAGGAAGACACTAGTACTACCATTGAACAACTTAACAATCATCCATCACCCATTCATCACACTCAGCAAACTAGACATCAATTATTTCAAGCCATTAGTCGTTCGGAACAACACCAACCTACGAGGATATCACCACACGATGATAATTCTTATCTTTTCAATGCCGATGCTATGTCATTAGATAAGCTTGTCTCGAAGATGTTGAAGCCTAATCCGTTTGACCGACCTACAGCGAGAATGATCCTTGATATGCCTGAATGTTTGATCGTTGATAATAAGCGGAAGGCAGGAGCCACGATATTTGAAGGTGAACTTGGACCTGAATGAGAATATAATAATACATATACATAGATACTTTATACATATGATTTATCATATATAAATGATGATAGTAAGTAGTAGTGTATGTTTTGCACCCAATGCCATTGGTCGGAAATGGTTCGATATATGCGATGACAACAGATTTTTCGGTGGGCTAATAGGAGTAAACAACGGGTCAACTACTACACAAGTCAACCACTATAGAAAGAGAACACTACAAGCTAAGTATCTGAATGTTTTTTATTAAATAATGTTGAAAATAGTATTGCATGGAAGACCAAAATGATCAGAGCCAATTGAGGTTGACTGATTTATATTTTAGATGATAATTCCGTAAACGATCCAGTTGTTGTATGCTTAGGAGTTATAAGGAATCTATTGGTATTGGAAAACCATCGGTACAAATGTCGAACAGAAAGAGATGTAGTAATAGTAGTTGTAGTTGTTAAAAACCAGAGCAGCGTAAACCACACAATTTCTAATATGCTTATTGGACTTGGGAGTAACCGGTGAAAGGGTTTGCATTCTTTGACTTCAAGTATTCATCCGAAGCTTCTTGCCATTCTCTGTTCATAGAAACTGGTTCTGGACCAGGAGCCAATGATCTGATACCAGCAAACAAAGCAATACCGGCAAGACATCCACCAACAGTACCCCAAAAGACCTTGGCACGTTCACCTGGAAGGTATAAAGGCTGTCTTGGACCCCATTCACCAAATGAGATGTAGTAGGCAGCCTTCTTTTCAGCTGGAGTCAATTCAGACCATGGTAAGACTTGTCTAGCCTTCAATTCATCTATCAAGGTAGTTTGATCTTGCTTTGACAAAGATTCCCATCTGGCTTCTAACTTACCAATATGAGCATTGGACAAAGCTCTGGGAGCAGTTTGGGTCACAGTTGATTGACTTCTCAAAGCAACTCTTTGAATAGATTGACGAAACATTATCAAGGAAAATTTTCACGACAAATAGAATGAATAATACAACAACTAGTGAATACTAATTATAATAATAACAATATTATTAATATCAATACTAGTAATATCAAGTCACTGTAGATCTGACAGGAGAAAGGAGAAGGAACTAAGTTTGGAAAATCTTTGGTTTAACCGGCACTCACGCTATAAGTTTTGGGTTTCAGTGGTGGGAAAAAAAATGTACCGTACATTTGTGGTCTTATGGTTGCGCGGACAAGTCAGAGAGGAGAGGAGGTGGTGCGATTATTATGAGATGTCGTTATGTTCGCAGCGATTTGATTGGTGGACGTTACGTGTACTGACGAGGAAATGTCGTTTGATGGATTTTCATTGGATTGTTTGTTGTTGGTGCACGACCGCATCACGTGAGTTGGGTAAGTGAAATGTTTACACTTGCCAGTAGACACTCAAAAGGGAACAATGAATGAATATATTATTAGTGTATATTATAGCTTATTTATAGACGTTCAATTTACTGAATGTACACTAACAGTCGTTTAAGTCCACCATCGGAAATCTCTTCAACTAAAGGATACTTGCCAGTTCTACGGTTCCAATAACTAACAAAATCAGCTATAGAACCTCCAACTCCAAAATAAATAGATTTACCAGCAACGATAATCTGGCACATTCTATTCAACCTCTTTAAATGTATAAGCACTTCACTTAATACCGGGAAAGTCTCGGGTGAATAAATGGTTTCACTTGTAATTACCAAATCGATATTTAAATCTTGAATCATATGGGCGAATTTTAAACCCCAAGACCCACTAATTAAATCGATCGTTAATTTATAAAGCTTCAAATCTTCAAGAAACTTATCAATTAATTGTCGTGACATTATAATTTCATTTGAAGGAATTGACGACCCCCAAAAGGGTTCTCCCTTGTGACGAGTTATGTACCAATTGAAAACAATATTAGGAACAGTGACTAATTTTAAAACCAGATAATTGAAATCAGATAAAATTATCTTCTTTGGGTTGTCAAATTCAGCAGCATCTCTTTTAAACATATCACTCAAGAGATATGCAGAGGGCAACGCCGTTCCACATCCCATCTCCAAATAATTGGAACAGTCTATCAAATCATATTGTTTATCTATTATATCGTAGGAACACTCCCAGCTTTTAAACCCTCCTTCATAAACATTCTTGTGAAGATCATTCTCTTCAAACACATATTTGGCATCAGAATCTACGCCTTCTTCTGGTTCGTTTTCAGACATAAGTTGATGTTTGACATCGAAAAGCTCTCTTCTGTAAACGGTGATCTTATTCTTAGGCGTGTCGACTTCTTCAAACGACATTCGAATGTTTTCAAGACTTTCAAGTATGCTTTCAATGCTATGCCATTGAGGAGCGACACTAGCATCATAGTCATCGGTTAAATTGTCCAAGGGGGAAGCATCATTTGTTTGAGGAATTGCTGGTTTGCGAGTTAAATCAGAAAAGCCATTTTCGTCTACCAAATCTTCGTCCGTGAATCCGAAAGCAAATGACATGATTGAAGGAGCTTTTAGTTGATGATTATGGTAAGATGTCGTAAACTATTACAATGTCTAAATTCAAGATGAGTTGGGTCGTGCGCAAACCGATTGTGGAGAGATTCCATAATGCATTTGATAGTGGTAAGTACGAGTCTTAACACTATGCTAAGGATAATGTTATACTGTTAATAAGTTTCCCCTTGGAAAAAAGTCGTGTTATCCTCCATTGTAGCTTTCATGAGTCTACTGATAGCCTCTCTTTTTTGTTTTTTACATAAAATATGGTCAAGTTTGGAGAAAACCGCTGCCGAAGAGCATTCGGAACCAGAGATATAAAGAGAAAAATAATATATTCAGAAATATTACAACAAAGCGTTAGATAAAGAATAAATCCATATTTCTCAATGATGCTACTCCTAAGTTACTGAAAGGGTTCTACAATAGCTTTATGGGTTAATTAAACTAACCTAATAATACTCCGGGCGCTACCAGTCAAGTGTATACCTCAAGACAGGTTCTTTTAATATATGCAGGTCTGTTGGGGATATACCAGAAGAGTGAAACGGTCTTCAGGTGGGGAATTTTTCCGCTCTAATCATATACCAACCACTTTGAGCCATACCGCAACGGTACTTCTTCTGTTTACACTCAGTACCGTTATAGTAACCAAATGTATTTACATCATTACAATATGGAACAAACAACGATAATCACCATATATGAAAATAAGCTAGTAACTATAAATTTAACTGTGTGAGTAAGTAGTTATGGACTTGACTCGGTACAGGAAACTCCGACTTTATCGAAGGGTACTGCATACAAAACAAAGCCCACCTGTTCAGGCCTAATAGTCATTATTTGCTTGAGCAGAACGGAAATACGCAAAACAAGAAATTTGTTATGTTAAAAGAGATAAGTGATAGACTTCACATTACTTTGTTCATTACACACCAGAAGAACCGAAGAGGACGACATTCTGGCAGTACAGGTGTCTCCATTCATCCGTATAAATTTTAAGGACACAGTAACTGGAACTGCTTTAGAGGCAGCATAAAGCTAGTCCTCCTTACCATTAGTCAGTCATCCTTACAGTCTTAGTTCTACCCCCATTTACGAGTTATAGCATAGATACGACCTTATGTCTAGTGAAATCTCTCCTGTTACGACTAACACTCATAACACCAATCAGGCGTCAGATACGCCTCCTCGAACCCGCATATCTCGAAGAAGAGCTCATTCCATTTCCAATGCCGTTTTGCTGCATGCGACAGCAGTTCTCCGGCAGAAAGAACTCCAAGAGCAACAAGCCGAAGCTGGCTCAGCAGCAGCTACTTCTTCAAGTATCACACACAGAGATAAACATCAACATCGTTACGGAGAACTGACTCCTCCCAAATCAAATGAGACTTTGACCAATGAAAATGAGACTTTGACCAATGATAATGCTCACCACAACGCTCGTACGACTCCACCGCCCACGATCATCAAGAAAGTCCAATTTACAACTTCTGGAAACTCATCAGATGACGACTTTACCTCACATACGCATACCCATGGTGGTGATCAATTGGAAGCTTATCGTACCTTCAATTTGAAGACTGACTCCCCCCTGACATTTCTTTCTTCTGGATCATCGTCAGGTCAGTCGACTCCGCGAATGGTGCCTCGGAAGCTGCTTCCCTTAACTATTACCCTGTCGTTAGATCAACAGCTACTTACGAATCCTGCCAATGTGTCGAATTCCAACCTTCCAATGTTCAATAAAAGACCGTTAACTGATACGCCTATCGTGTCAACAGTTACTTCACCCTATGAAGGTGCAGTTGATAATGATGGTTACATCTACGGAGAAGAAGGTGAAGAAGAAGACGATGACTTGGATCCTGAAAGCACAAAGAAGGACCAAGCCTTGCCTAAAACAAAGAGGATATCCCATTTGAATTTATCGGAGTTGAACGAGAAGTTCTCGTTTACTGAAGCATCTAAGAAACACATCCATAAACCTGAAGAAGTTATTTCTCCTTCTACTGAAGATCTAAGCCTAGTAAAAACCGTATCTGAACCAGGTGAGAAAGTTAAACAATCATCTAATCAAGCTTACCCATCTATTAACAAATCCACTCCAGATGCTGCAACACCAATTGGTAAATCAGAGTCCATTAGTCCCACCACGTCACTTGAATCATTCCCTGAGAAAGAGGCTATAAAGAGCATGGATAGTCATTTAAAGAACTTACTTCATGATATACCTAAGAAATACCAAGAGGAATTTGAAAAATCCCCTTCTATTGAACAATTGAAGAATATGTTACTCAATAAACCCCCTCCAAGTGCAAGGAAAACATATACTTTAAATATCCCTGGCCAAACATCATCAAAAATATCACCAGATGGGAAAATTGCATCAGTAGATGTTGGTTCCAAAATGGTCATTGTAATGGTAGGGCTTCCTGCCAGAGGGAAGTCTTACATTACCAACAAATTGACAAGATACTTGAACTGGCTTCAACATGATTGTCGTGTGTTCAATGTTGGGAATACCAGAAGAAAGGATAAGAACAATCAAGGTCCAGAAGCTAATCCTTTGCCTGATTCAACTACTCCCAACCACAATTCTCCTGCAAGCAGCTCTCCAAACATCTCTGCATTATCACCGAATGATGCGCTCCCTCCTACTGGGAAGCTTAATGGGTTGAGAATGACATCAACAGAAGATGCTAGAACAGAAGCGGAAGAGGAGGAACACCATGATGGAGAAACCCAACATTCTGCCGATTTCTTCAACCCAAACAATGAAAGCTCTGTGGTATTACGGGAGAAATGGGCAATGGATACTTTAGACACCCTTTTGAATTATGTTATCGAGGGCCCTGGTTCCGTGGGTATTTTCGATGCAACAAATTCAACAAAGAAGAGGAGATCAAGGGTATTGAAAAGAATCCAAGAACGTTCAAATGGCGAATTGAAGGTTTTATTTCTTGAGAGTATATGTTCTGATCCCGCAATCATTGATGCTAATATTCGTTTGAAATTATCAGGGCCAGACTATAAGGATATGGACCCTGAAGTGGCATTGAACGACTTTGTCGGAAGATTAAAGAATTACGAGAAGGCATACGAAACCATTGATGAAGAAGAAGAAAAAATCCCGGGGTTCCAATATGTGAAAATGATCAATGTTGGGAAGAAGGTTGTCAGTTATAATATCAAAGGGTTTCTTGCTTCCCAAACCATCTATTTTCTTTTGAATTTCAATTTATGTGAAAGACAAATTTGGATTACCAGACACGGTGAATCTGTTGACAATTTGTATGGTAGAATTGGAGGTGATTCTCATCTTACCAAAAGGGGAGTTAACTTTTCCAAAACCTTGGTTCGGTTCATGGGCTATCAACGGAAGGAATTCCGCAGACAACAATTGGAAAGATTCTCATCTCGATTACAATTGCGCTATTCCAAGAATATGTTCAACGAAACGGATTTTGCTACTCTTGATAGTATACCAAATGAAGCTAATTTCTGTGTTTGGACGTCGCTGCTTACTAGAGCTATGGAAACGGGCCAATATTTCAATGACCAATTATATTCCATTAAGCTGATACGGATGTTGAATGAACTTGGAGGTGGTAAGTTTGAAGGTCTTACGTATGACGAAATCCGATCTAAATACCCCAAGGAATTCCAAGCCAGACTTAAAAACAAATTGGATTACCGATACCCAGGTGTGGGAGGCGAATCATATTTGGATGTGATTACAAGATTAAGACCATTGATTACTGAACTTGAAAGAACCACAGATCATTTACTTATAATTTCACATCGGGTTGTTCTTCGTGTTTTACTAGCATATTTTTTGAATTTGGATAAGTCTGCCGTCGGGGAATTGGATGTTCCATTGCATACATTATACTGTTTGGAACTGAAACCATATGGAACCGAATACAAGATGTATGAATATGATGAACGTATTGATTGGTTTGTTCCTGTTGAACCCGAACACCAAAAGAATGTTAAAGAAGTTGGGGTGGCTTTCAAGGAACGGAAATATAGTGTTATTCCTACAGCCCCACCTTCTTTTCATAGTCATCACAAGCCATCCACTTTTCTTAGACAGAGTAGTATTCGAGAAGGTGGCCCAAGTGGCGCTGGAGGAGGAGGAGGTGGTGGTGGTGGCCAGCTTACAATCCGTGGAAGTCTTATGAGCGCAACTGAAAAAGAGGAAGATATACATTCGAATAAGTTTAGGACAAATTCGAATAAGTTTAGGGCAAACTTGGATAAGTTACGTAAGCCATAGAGATATTGATGATAGTGAATGATTTAACAAGAAAGCATATAATTACAAACAGCATGTAATAGCAATCTCTTGATTGTAGCTTATAGTAGTTAGCGGACGTCCCAAATAGGGAATATGTTCCGAGATAGCCAGTACCAAAACAGTTATGTCGCATGCTTACGTCAGCACAAGGGCTTGCTCGATGTGTAAGCCGTTGGGTCGCCTACACAGTTAGCAATAGACCCTTGCTCAATTTAAAGTGACACTTATTGTTAATACTAAAGTACGGCAGCATAACAAAAATCCAAGGAGGAAATACGCCCCAAAAAACTAATAAGCCAATAAGAATTGTTGAGATTGTTCTGTTCTGGCCTTGAATACAGAAGCTTTAGTCCCTCTCCATCAACACCCACACACCTCAATCATTTGTGCGGCATCGACTACAAATAAGACTAAGACCACTTGTAGATGATACACGGTGTTCTGGAGTATAAAGGCTTGTGATTTGGACATAGAAAACATAATCCGGTGAAGTCTGAGAGCTTGAGCGAGCGACCATCATGACTGGTGAGACGACTACGCACCAAAAGGTTGGAGTTCCGCCCTCCAACACAAACAGTGGTTCTAGTAATACTGGTACTACCGGCAATAATACTGGCACTACTAGTAATTCTACTCCACGGATCCCGCCTTTGAAACGGGGTACATCGACCGTTGATAGTACTGCTTTCAAGCCTGGGGAGGGGGCGACGTTCGTAGGGGCGACCAGTGGTGGAAGCAGTGGCGATATGGAGCCTCACAAACGTATAGAATCCAGACCAAGCGTCGCCACTAACAAAAGCGGTGTTTACGGTACTACGGCAGAGAATATAGAGAACAGCGGAGTGTTTAAAGTGCCCAAGAAGTTACTTGTTTCAGATGGTAGAGAAGGTACTAGAATCATGTCATCTGCAACATCAACACCTTCAGTTGAAACGTTTTCCATGAGCATTTCTCAACCCCCTAGAGTCACTGATGTGCCTTCCTCCGGGACAGGGGGGATTCCCCCCAATGTTGTGTCAACCATCATCACCCCCAGCCAAACCAGTCTTTCCCTTCCGCTTCTTGAAAGAGCAACTTTGGAAGGTGGGGCAGGAGGTCAACTATTGATCAATAAGACAACAAACAACACTCCGTCTGTGGAGATGGGTTCGATGATCCCCAACGAAACCGATACATCTAATAATGATCACCAACCACAGCTGGAACCGAAAGAATCCACTACTGCTACCACCGATGTTGACCAAGATAGTAACAACAGTGTTAACGTCAATAACTTTTCAAGTTCTCCTGTGAAACTTAGCATCAATGCCATCTCCAACTTGAACAAGTCCTTAAAGGCCAAACAGAAAATCATCAATGCTAAAGAACCTCACTGTCGAAACGTCACTGGGACTTCAGATCTCCTTAATACTTCCCCCCACGCATCTTCTGTTGGGATAAATTTGCATGAAATCGACGACGATACTTCAAAGGATCATCCCGAGGACCCCCCTGCGGTGGTGGATCCCACCACATCAAAGCAAACAGAATTAAACAGCAATAACAACACCTTGAAGATAAAACAACAACAACAACAACAACAACAACAGCAACAACAACAGCAACAACAACAACAACAACAACAACAACCAACAACAATAAGGAATAAGCGTATCTCAAAGCAAGCTTCAACGAAAACAGATTTCTTTGCTGCCAAGTTGGCAAGTGCTGTTGATGATGCAGATTCCAGTGATAGTGACGAGACATTTGTGTATGAAAATAACAACGATAATGCTCCACCAGCAGCTGCAGATACCCCAGAAGCCAATAATACCCTTACAACTAACGACCTTGATCCTAACAATTTTAGACAGCAATCTCAAGGCGATAATGCAAGTGTTGCAGGAAGTGTTGTCCCCACCACATTCAATTCACCTTCTTTTGAACGAGATGATTATCAGGAGTCGGTTTATTCAGTACATTCTTCAAGGCCACCACCTAGCCCTCCTCTTAATGCTGTAACTGGTGGTGTACGGGCACCGTTTTTACTCTCGGCCAACAATTCCTTTAATAGTAATAACTATTTGGAGAGTTTTATGAAGGAAAAGAAACCTCTCATGAACCAGAAATCAAATTCTGCTTACTCTTTTAATGACGATTCCCAGAAGGAACTCAAGGAGGTTTTCGAATCCGAAGGTGACGATGCTGACGTTGATGAGGGTGCCTTTTCAGAAGGAGAATCTGAATCCGGAAGAATGAATTCAGTGGTAATTAGAAACAACGGCGAAAATAATTCAACCTTGTGTGGACAAGAGAAGCAAGAGTTTAATGCGGAATCATCATCAACACCAGCACATATACCAGGATATAATAATAATATCTTGCAAAGTGGTGGACCAGCACTAGGGAGGAAGAAGAAGCCCACTTCTTCCATCTCATCATCATCAAAGCTTAGATCAACTACCTCCAAACTATTTGATAAAAAGGGTTCACATCCTCGAAGGTATAGCACAATACCGGACGATATTGATATTGAAGACTTTGATGATGAGCTCATTTATTATGACAATAATATCAGGTTCCCTTACAACAACAGCAACACTAATTTTAATGAGCAATCCCCTTTATTAACTCAGAATGGGCAAGTACGGATTCCCCATTATCGATCACTTAATTTTAATTTCAATGGTGGGAAGCGGAAACCTTCTAATATGAAATCAAAACGGTTTATTTCTGCTAACCAGCCAATTAGTGCACTGAACAACGGGAGCATCCATAATGTGGATGCCAACCCAACTGGTGGTTCAGCCAATGGAGGAGGCAGTCCAAATAGCCCCAATGCAAATGGAAATAATCCAAATTATGATATCAATATGTTCCCATTTCCATACGGTAAGGCCAACCAATATTATTATGATATTGATGAATATGACCCTGTTATACAGGCAGAAAGTGGTGCAAACTCACCATTGAATCGTAATGATATGAATTTACCATTTGATGATTTGGGAATAAGTGGTGGTGGTAATGGTTACAGGGGTAGCAATGGTGGCCCCTTTGGATTCCCCAGTAAGAATGATCATTTTGCACTTCCTAGAAAGCAATCCCGAGAATTTGCAAGTGGATCATATTTCATTCGCTCTTTTGTGTACACTGTTTTCAGTATACTTTGTATACTTATGCTTGGGTTCATGATGGGGTTTATTTTGGCTTCTACTAAATACCTTTCTGATTTCGAAGTTAGTTCAATTGAAAACCCTATAGTCAGTCAAGATGAGTTAATTTTCAATATGGTTGTCACAGCCATTAACCCTGGTTGGTTTAGTATAAATGTTCAAGACGTTGAATTGGATATATTTGCCAAAAGTGGGTTTTTAGAGACCGAACATTTATATCATAGTTCAGTGGAAACAGTTCTTTTGGGAACCATTTACGAATTGGAAACACCATTAGAATTTGCTGGAGGTTTTTTCGATCGTCATCCAATTGAGCAAATGACTGCTGTGAAGTTACTTTCACCAGGTAAGAATTTAACTGGAGTTGCATCTATTCCTGGTAATAAAGGCGACAACTCAACTATTCCAGATAATTCAAAGAAATGGGAAGTAATTTCCAAACATCCTTTTGATTTAATTTTACGAGGTGTTGTCAAATATACTTTACCCATTAGTCTGAATGTGAAATCGGTGGTTGTGAATAAGGTTGCTTATATTAATCCTGAGGATATGTCATTTGACTACAAAGAACAATAGCTAACTGAAAAGGTTATAGTATAAACATTCATGAGCTGGAGTGCAACGAGGTTCTAAACGAACTTTGAATAATTTTGGTTCGAAACAAGTTGCACTTGGATTTCCATTCATTTCAAATGGAGAAAGCTTCATTTGATAATTTGGATCCATAGGAGGTTTGATGTGGAACATTAAGATGGTTTTAGCAATTAAAACATATAATTGCTTACAAGCCAAAAGGTTTCCTGAACACATCCTTGCCCCAGCTCCAAAGCTGAAATGATTCAATTGCTTAGAATTTAGCCATCTTTCAGGAAAGAATTCTGTTGGAGATTGAAACACTTGACTATCATGATTGGCTTGATAAGCATTCATTATTAGGACTGTGCCTTTTGGAATCAAGACACCTTTGTGTATGATATCTTTTGATAAACATCTTGGAAGAGCCAATGGAAGAACGGTAAAGATTCTTAAGGTTTCTTGGATCAATGCAATGATATAAGGACAAGTTGATTCTGATTCGACCGAGTTCCAAGCCAATTGAAGATCGTTGTCATATAATTCCATTAAGGCATTATAGGCCTTTTTTTGGATGACCTCCCCGGTAGCAAGCTGAGATAAATGACCCATTAAATGATTATAATTTAGAGGAGTGTTGTCTAATCCCGCTGAAACCATTGACAAACAAATACTTTTCAACTCAGGAATATTTAACTCATTGGAACCATTTACCATACCCAAATATAATTGTCCCATGATACTTGCGATTACAGTGGGGTTCCCCAAGTCGATTTCTTGGACCATGGTGTTCCAGAATTTGTTCATATATTGATCCCGAACAGATCTTAGGGTTTTTTGCTTTGAGCTACTCGATATGAATCTTAGAATTGGAATATAGTCTTTGAGATTGGTGAAGGGAGACCTTAAATGAAGGATTTCATTTTCGGTCCGGGTGATATCAATGGTATGATCGTTGCCCTCTAATGCTTTATCCACATTCAAGCCATATATCAAACATATTGATAAACCCAATATCATGTTTTGGACATATGGCATCATATTTATATCGGGAATTGCACTAAGATTAGACTTGGACATGAAATGACTTGGAGGTTGACTGGCGATGAATTGTTTGAACATATCATTCACATGACTTCCAATAGTTGAAGATTTTAAATGGACTTTAGATTGGTTTAACACTGAAGATATGGCCTTTTTCTTCCTTACATACGATTCATTGAAAGGTGAAGACCCGACAGTTAAGCCTTGAGTTGATGACACTATATCATGGAAAGTATATCCTAAGGGTCTGGAATTATTGGCGGCTATATTTTTATTTTTACACCATAGTACTTCAATATCGTGATAATCATTAACAATAACCGCCCTGGTATTTCCTAATCTGATTTGGAAGATGGAAGTCTTATATTTGTTACTCCATTCAGTGTATTTTAGTGATGGGTTGTCTAAGATTTGTAAGAGATTACCGACCACCGGGTACCCGGGAATAGACGGGATCCCCTTAATCTTTCGGAATCCAAGTGTATCGGCTATGAACCATAATAGGATAGCAAGTATAACGAATTGCAAGGCATTGATCCAAGAAGGCATGGCCAATGATAAAGGAAGAGTTGGGTGCAAAATATTACATACAGAACATATATATGAAATATATGTACGACGGAAAATATCTATGCATCTATGCGAATATATGCATAAATACGAGTACAATAATAATACGATTATATACATGCATAAATACGAACACCACAATAGTACGAATATATTCACTATATATATTCCTGCTCATGATTACAATCTACAATGATACAATAAAACACAATCAATAACTAAACTAAAATGGTGAAACAATAAAAGCTCATGTGGAATGAGCAGAATAAGATCCACTAGCAACATTCTTAACAATATGAGTATTGGATTTATCAAGGGCTTCAATCTTACCATCATTATAAGCAAACCCTGGAATTTGGAATCTTAATTGAATACCTGCTTCATGTTCTTTGGCTAATCCCGATGTCATAAATCTTGCTAATAATCTTTGGTCCAGTTTTAATTCATCAAATCTCCATAATATCCGATTTTTAACATCACTAAATGTCCCACTGGGTCTTGATAAACATTGAGTGGTCCTAACATTAGGCGCAACCATTGCATAAACAAAAACATTAAATAGTGGTTTTTGAACCTTCAAATCAAGTATTAAACTAGCTTGTTTCTCTTCAAACTTCCACACATGATTAATGGTCACTGGAAGTTGTCCCTCCGGTATTTCATTCACATATTTCACACCACCTATGGTTCTTGAAAGGATGTCTTGAGGATTTATTTCATACAAATTGCTAGAATTCGTTTCCACAAGTATCAGATCGTTAATCATAACTTTATCAAACGCCTCCCTCTTCAAGATAATCTCCAAAGGTTGTTGATGATGGTCTTCATCCGTCTCACCTTCATAGTTGAAAACAATCTCTCCCAATACTTGCCCAGTGGTAAGAACATCATCGTTCACACTAACATTCAACATCTCCGCAATAGAAATATTCAACCCTTTTGTACCATTACCTCCATGTTTGAATTCATTAACATGATTAGAAAGTAAAGTGTTCCCAGTGTTCTGTGATGTTAATTTAGTAACACCTGGCGAGAAATGATTATTTGAAGATCCAAGTATCGATCCTCCTGTTCCTGGTGCAGCTCCTCCAATACCGGTTCCAGCTATACTTGCTTTAGGAATAGAACTTTCATATTTATCCCGAGATTCTTCAGCCTCTTTTGGCTCTTCTTCTACTGCAAAAGATCCAGGCATAACTTCAGATTTAACTGGTTCAAAGTGAATTGATTCGGCTGGCTCGGAAAATTGCTGACTATTGGCTGGGTTGTGAGCCACTTTTCTGGCTGGTGGTGGTTTAGGAGCAGATACACTGGAATTGGGATTCGCATTGTTATTCTGAAGTGGTGCTTGCAATAACGGTGAAGGTCCAGTAACGTCCTGGGATGACTTACTAACCATTGGCACTTCAATTGTGGGTTCAGGCAATTCCCTGTCGTTAAAAGTCGATGATGGTTGCTGGCTATCAAATATCTGATGATCATCACCAAAAATATCGCTTCGACTATTATGAAAGTTATAAGGATGTTGAATTACCTTGGGAGAAGTTTGAAGAGGTTTGGCTTCATCACCAACTTCAAAACTGTACTTCTTCAATTTATCAACAGGGATAGGAAGAGGCTTATTCATTTGAGTGCCATTCTTTGGTTCACGAGAAACTTCATCTGAAGATTGCGATTCGTATCTCACCAAATTGGGTTCCTCTTCAGGCACCACTGGTTGTTGAATTGCAGGCTTTGGAATTAAAGGTTCTTGCATCGTTTCTCCTTGTTTCTCAATAGAAGGTAAGGGTCTGTCATTAGTAGAAGCAGATGATGGAGGAGGTCCGAAGTGAGATGACCGTTCGGATCCTCCGATACTACCAGCAGCAGCACCAGCAGCACCAACAACAGCACCAACAGCACCGGCGGCACCCATAATAGTACCAGAACCAGTACCAGCACTAGCATTGGCATCACTAATACGATCAGCACGTTCAGCCCCACTAGAACGATCCGCACCATCACTAAGACCAGCTCCAGCACTTGTACTATGACTAGCACCTGGGATAGGAGGAAGTGGCGAGGTACCAGTTGTGGTAGCTACACTATTCTTTCTTCCGTCATTTCTTAACATATTTTTTGAGTTTGAACTTGAAATGGTTTCAAGATCAGTATTCATGTCCGAATGCTTTGAGTGTCTGTTCTTCTTTCTACCGAAAATAGAGCCGACTTTTGACTTCAATTTCGAAGGTTTACCATTACTCAGTTCATTATGGTGATGGTTATTACTACTGCTATGAGAAGTTCCAAACCCCGAGTATCTTTTATGTTTAGGAGGAGCTGGAGCTTTCTTCAAATCAGTGACTGAATCTTCGCCTTCTTCCTGATTAGGTTGGAACCCATATTGGTTAGTGACTGCTTTAAACTCGCATTTCATCAAGAAGTCCAAGTACTGCTTCATTTCAGTGTCAATGTTGAACAGCGACAATAGAGTGTTGACTGAGGTTTCACTGGACTTCAAAGTATTGGCCATGGCTGTGTTACCCAATTGGAAGTAATTAAGCACCGAGTTGAACAACACTTGTTTCTCCTGTTTCTTGAAGTTTTCAAAGTTAGCCAATATTTGAGGAGCCTTGACGTTCCACTGGTATTCCGAATTGGGTTTTTGCTTCTGTATGTCGTGGCTGATCTCCTGTAGCTCCTTACAGTTGATCACCAACTCCGAGAACCGTATGTCGTCTTCAAATAAGTTTCTCAAGGGCCCAATGATTTCCAGCTTGAAACCGGCGAGCTTCGTTTCGTTCTGAACGATTTCCGTCTGCAATTGACTCAACAAAAGCTTCCAGTTATCAACAAAGGATGAGAACTCAGGACTGGTGGCACTGGTGGCATGGGGGGCGAAAAGGGACGACCCAAAATTGTACAAGTTCTTCAACTCGGCATTATGGCTCCGGAGATTGGAATAGTATTGTTGAAACCAATTGGTTAGGCTTGTTTGGATCAAATTGGTCGACGAAGTTAAAGAGTTCGGGATAATCAACCCGGCTTGTTGAGGAGACTTGCTGGTCAAGATCGAAGTGGCATAGCCGTACTGTGAGTCCTCGGCCATTATCGAAACCCGTTTATTCGTTAAGTGACTTGACTCGACGGCAATTAGTTATTTACGGGTGGCCCGGTTCGGTAATTGATGTTTGGAGATTCCGCCCGCTGGCTTATAACTTACCGATATCAAGACGACATTTGTATTTCCTCCACGACATTGTGGGTTTTTGTACGACATGTCATTGGACAAGCTGCACTAAAAGACTAGCCACAACGACCTTGCAATGTTTTACAGTGATACTATTATGATTATTATATGTTGATTAAGAAGGGCACTTGCACAGTGCAAGGAATTAAATAGTAGTTATACAGAAAGAAGCTCTCAGCGAGAACCAAAAATGTCTTCATTTACTGGAAATGTTCTCACTGGTGTTGTTATCAGAATGGGAAGGATCAGCGGCCTTTTCATTTTCTTTATTGGACTTAATGGCAGCCAATTGCGCCTTTCTGGCATCACTTGATCTGATTGGCTCCAAAACATAAGGGTTGGTTTCCACATCATCTTCGTAGTAAGCAAATTCACCGATTTGAGCCAAATCAGTACCCAACATTTCTTCGTCTTCATGTAAACGAAGACGGAGGAATGGCACCTTATCCATTGCGAAAAGTAACAATGCGGTGAGGGTAAATGACCATAACCCAATGGAACAAGAGCCGGCCAATTGGTAACCAAGTTGCTTCCAGTGATGGTTCATCCATCCACCAGGAATAGCCAGAGATGGGTCAGAGGCAACAGAACCATCTGATGCAGCAACGTAATCGGCAGCGAAAAGTCCAGTCATAAAGGAACCAAGGAAGCCTCCAACACCGTGTAAAGCGAAAACATCCATACCATCATCAATACCAATGATTTCCTTCAAATCAACAGCATAATTACAGACGATGGCAGGAACAACACCAAAGACAACTGAAGTATAAACAGGAACATACCCGGCAGCTGGAGTGATACCAACTAAACCGGCAATGGCTCCCATGCACAACCCAACAGTAGACCATTTACCACCGGTTCTAAAGTAATCAACAAACATCCAAGTCAACCCACCAGTAGCAGCAGCAATATTGGTGTTAACACAAGCGTACCAAGATCTGATGGTGGCGTTACCGGTAGAACCACCGTTGAAACCAAACCATCCAAACCACAAAAAGATGGTACCAAAGACAATATAAGGAACAGAATGAGGTTTATATTTTGGAACCTTAGTTGTTACCAAAGGATCCTTTCTCTTACCCAAAACCAAAGAGTAAGCCAAAGCAGCAAATCCAGAGTTTTCATGGACTGGACCACCACCGGCAAAATCCAAAGCACCCAAATTGAATAACCAACCGTTACCATTCCAAACCCAATAGGCAATAAAGTTGTAAACAACCGTTAACCAGATGAAAAGGAAGACCAACATTGGACCCAATCTTGCTCTTTCGCAACCAGCACCAACAAACAAAATAGCCGTGACGGCAGCAAACATACCTTGGTAGAAACAGAACAAAATATCTGGAAGGGAACTAACTGGGGATGGAGCACCAAACGTTTGCTTCAAGGCAAACTTATCCAAGTTACCAATAAAGTTATTACCTGAAGTTTGGGAAAACGACAATGAATAACCCCAAAAGAACCATTGGAATGTGGTAAGACAAGCGGCCATAATGGAAGCCCATAAAAGTGACAAGGCATGCTTCTTTCTAGAAATACCAGAATATAAAAGACCCACCCCTGGAATCATAATCCACACTAAAGCAGATGCCACCCCGATCCAGGCCATGTTTGCAAGATCATATTGGTCATTTAAATCCACTTTCATGATGTTTCCACCGGTACCGGTACCGGTGAAACCCGATTGATCTGAAGACATTTTTTTGATTAAAAACTTTTAATCAGACTTACAAGGAAAGTACAGTAAGGTAATATAAAATCTGTTAAAGAAAAGGAAGAGAATTCAAACCAAAGAAAAATTACACGATATCAACTGGTATTTAGGAGGCAGATGGTCCCCTTTATATACGATCGACTTGCCGTATTCAATAGTACTTGGATTGAGCCATAATGACAATAAAGCGAATTCCAGTACATAAAAAAATTGTTTTCGTCCCGTAAACTGATATTGCCTTAAGGAGAAGAGCTATTAGATACAGGGCAAAAATGGCTTTACCTTACAGCCCGTTATTTTAGTCATTGTTATCGGTAATGGTTCGTTCTGATTGCTCGAATGATACTAGAGCTTGTTGGAGAGTCGATCCACCGTTATCGGAATGTAAGCACACTTTATTGCCTACTGCCATATTTTAGTGCGGTTACTCTTCTTCCTGTTGTACTTGCACTTGCACTCACTAATCGTAAGTGGTTCCACTATCACAAGAAAAGTTTACCCCTACGTATTCATAATATTTTTTTTATCATTATCATCCAATTAGACTTTGGTATGTCACTGTTAGTTTGCTGTAATGTAACTTTATTTTAACCCTTCTCGTGTCACATAAAGATAGGCGCTGCACGATATGATATTGCAACCGTAATCGGCCAATCAGCTTTCATATCGCTCGTGTCTACCATCTACCGATAAGAGAGAACTCTCCTGCAGGATGGTGACTCAAAGCATTGCAGCCGTTAGAAAACACAAACAATTGTAGTGTACGTATTGCTAACCGTGGGATTGATTGATCATATACATAATAATATTATTGGACTATGTTGTTACTGTTATGAAATTCAGATGGCCTGGTCCTTTGTTAATCATATTATTATTGTGTTTTCCCTTTCTTTCTTTCTATCTATCCTTTTTTTTTGCTTTTCGAGCTGGAAGTTTCAGCGAGATTAATACCTACGGTACTACGTAGTTAGTCATCAATAGTAACGTGTAGGGTATAGTTTTCTGGGCAAAGGTTGTGTGATTATGTGACGTAAACGTCATCAGACCTCGATATACCTTACCCCATTAATCATTTCAGGACGTCACATTGAACATTTCCAATGCGAAACGAGAAGTAGTCAAACGAAACAACCCGAAGTAAACTACCCACAAGATCAATTGAGTCGTATTGAACCTCTCGATTACCTCCGTATCTGTAAGTTTGTACAGATTAGCGAATAAGATTCGATTCTTTCCACATCTTTAGCCCCGTTTGGTACACTTTCTAGGGAGAATTGTAACCTTATAGTCCGGCTGTATCTTGTAACACAATATCAGAAGATAAGAGACATTTTATTTTGCTAACCACTTTTTCGTGCAACTACCATTGGACCTACACTACCAGAAGTGAATAACAATAACACTGCTGGTTATTATTCAAAAGATCCACAGATAACGAAACGAGGGGAGGTATCAAAGCCAATAGTCAATACTTGCTTGTTTTCGCACAAGTGTTACATTGTTGCCATTCTGTATCGTTTCCACAAAACTGCATGGAGTACCACTGATCAGGATTACACCAACCTCTCTGTTTCTACTACTTGGGCAATGTCAAAGTACATGCAAATACTCTGTAAACCTCCAAAACTTCAATGGGAGATGATTTGAAGTGACATTATGCAGATGGACTTGATTGTTAGGCATTTACGGCCCGTGGGATATCATTGAATGGTCAGCATGTTTGACCTCGGTCAAATTACTATCAAGATTTGCGACTGTAACCCACTATTTGTGAGTGTAAGTAACCGCTAAGAAATTATACTATTAGGCAACACTGAAAGCTATTAACGTGCACGGTACTCCATAAACTAGATATGGGTAAGTGAGTTCCTTACAGATCTTACAGAATTTAATTTACATTTCGCTGCCGTATAAATCCTAGTCTTTAAACTAAATCACCACACTCGGTATACATCAGAAATATCACGTGACCAATACTCTTCCATTTTGAGACTTTTGCTATAGGCACAAGGCAATGATTGGCATAACTATAGCAGCTCTATAGAATACGTGAACTTAAAAATGCGTCAGGAACAAGTGTATGTAATATAAGAAGTTGACTATATGATGCTCAAGATTCTAACTAAATGTATAGGGTTTCTCGGGATGCGCTATTTAACGATTTCAATAATGATACTTCCGATGACCTGGATTTCAACTATGACAATGAGTCAGATTTTGAGTTTGTTCAGGTAGAAGATTCCGTAAGCAAAACCGATGTGGTGATGAAGGAAGGTGGGCTTCTTGAAGGAGAAAGAGAAGAGGAGGGTGGTGAACCGGAAACGGAGATGTTCAAGTTATTCAATACACAAGACACTCAAGCAATTAGCTTGCGAGATGACATTGAAGATGAGGTAGTAAATGAACGGCCAGAATCATATTACTTTTCCAGTTATTCGATAGAGGAAAGGGACCAATTTAAAAATACAGCTATAACGTTTGAGCAGCTTTTAATGCTTCAACGCAATACTGCATCGATTTCATCATCTACTTATCGGGTATTAGACGTTAATGCATACAACGAAGCGATTGAGAAGGCCAAACTAGATAAGAAAAGAAGAGGTAGGCCGGGGAAAAAGAAGCGATTGAATAGAATAGCGTGTAAGGAACGGAAGCTTGAGCGGAAGAAGATTGAAGCTGCTAAAGCTGCTGCAATTAAGAAGAAGAAGTTTCATAAAAGAGGAGGCAAGAAGAACAATAAAAAGAAAGAAGTTTCAGCCAAGCCAAAGTACAGAACAGAGTAATAAGGAAGACTATATAGAAGTTTATTGTATACTACCAGTACTATTCTGTACGACAGCACTATACTGTACACTCTACCGTGTACCATAGTGTGTGGTCTTCTCGGTATACGAATCCTCCATGTTCGTGTCCATACTAATAAACCACGTACAAATAAACTCAACAGTACACTCAAACCACTAGTAACTCGAATGATCCCCGACGGCCCACGATGGAAGACTTCTCTGACTTTGAGCCTTTTCTAAAGAAACCGTTTGATCCAATTGCACTAGGAAACAGTTTCCTCTTATCAACGAACGATGAAGACACTACAGAATTGGATATAAGCACCACCGTTAAGAAACTTGAGTTTGATCTCCAAGAATGTGAAAAACGTATTGGCAAAGTGTCGACCAAGAACTCTGAAGTGTTGCTTGATAACTTTGATAGAGTGGCCGATGTGCAAGACCTTATGGAGACACAGTTGAGCCCCTCTCTTCAAAGAGTCAACCAATCAATCGCACGCGTGGAGGATCAAATCATTCAACCGTATAATGATTCAGTTAAGTTAAACACCGCTTTAAAGAATCTTCATCAGACTTTAGACTTGCTACGGAACTCAAGGTTTGTGGTGAGTTTGGTCCAGCAACTTCAAAAGTTCGATATAGGTGATGACATAGATTACATCAAGTATCTGAAAATATATCAGTACTTGCACAGAATATACCAAGACCCTTCAAGTTCCAGTCTACTTTCGGTCAAATTGGTCAGAGACTACTACCCGATATTCACGAGTAAATACGCGGACATGAAATCCAAACTCATCACCTTGATCTCCCATGAAGGTAACACCAAAGTCTACGTCGTAGCCTTGTACAACGTTCTAGACGATGGTTCAGACAACCAAGAGTTCTATAAGCAAGTGGACACGTTGTTGATCAATAAGAATATCCAACAGAACCTCAATAGGTTGACCAAGTCTCTAACCACTCCTAGAACCTTTGGCATGGTCGTACAAGAAGTCAACAAGAACGCTACAGGATTCATATCCAACTTAAAGTTGACTCTTGCAAACTGCCAGGTAGTTAAAGATGGAGACTCTACAACCCTATTGGATTTGTGTGTCAAATACTTCAACGCAACAGATTTTGAATCTTTGTACTGGACAAGATTAACGGTACGATTTAAAAAGAATATCGATTCAACGGTGTCTCGTGGAGGTCCCATTGCTAAAAACTTGAAGGTTTACCGAGAGAACTTGAATAAGGCTGTTGACGATACCTTTTCTAATGATCAAGTTAATTCTATGTTCTCCGAAGCCATCATGAGAATACGATAATACACAGTCATGCTTCACTTCTTTATTCTAACGAGTATATGAATATAATGTAATAATGTAAATTATATAAAACAGAGTGTCATCCTCCTCTTATTGGGTAACTTGGTTCTTCAACGATGTCAAAAATTCTCTATAATCAGGAGCATTGCCAGTCTTATCTTCTACCAAACAACTATGAGCCCACATTCTCAAAGCTATCAAATCTCTTTGTTGGGAAATTTCAATAGGTTCGTTAGAAGATCCTCCCAATACAATGTACAAGTTCTTCCAAACAACAGAGTCCTTTTGTTGTCTAAGCTTGCCAATAATTTGTCTCACTCGATAATTGAATTCACTTTCTTCAGTTGAAAATTCAGGTAATTCAACCTTACCAGTTGGAATCTCATACAAGTTCTCAGTACCAAATAAGTCTGCAACCAACCCGGGGACAACATCACCACTGACCCAAAGAAATAATTCACTAGAAGTATCAATCAAATACAATCCATAATTTTCCCATGAAGCACGTGAATCGTTAATTGGATCGGGTAAAACTATCTCACCTGTTTCAAAAGTTTCTTCTTCTCCTGTTTCTTCATTTACTTGATTATAATAACCAGGCAATCCACATTCATCAGACATGTTATGTAAGGAGTAAACACTGGGGTAAATATATTTGACAAGTTGTGGAATGGGAATAGACCCTAATAAATTCAACGCATAAGCACGATGATCGGAAGGAACCTTTTCAGCACGGAAACCAAGATGTTTGCTTAATGCAAACAATAATAAGGGTAACATACGTAAATTGGTTGAAATCTGCAATGGGGATGCGCCACTAACATTACCAGCAACCAATTCCTTCTTGTAAACATTCAAAACATCAACAACACATTTGGTAAGATAATCTCTGGCATCTTGTAATGTGGATCTTAATGCCTTATCAATAGCCCGATGAGTAAAATAATTGGCAATAGCCAATTGATCTGCAGAAGCATATATATCATCCAATTTAGATGATGTTGGAAGTGCCAAAGTCATCACTCTGATTCTTCTTTCACCATAGGCGGATTCTAAGACAGCAGCTTGGAAATATACCACTGGTTTGTTGATGTTTTCTTCAACAGTAACTTCAATAGTATAACTTTGATCTCTGGGGAAGGATGGGAAGGAACATAAGTCGGATGATCTATTGTAAAAGTTACCATAATAAGCAGTCATACGAAGACCAGTGGATGCTCTAACTCTCAAGACCGCTTCAGTAGCAAATTCTTGAGACAAGTGCTCACTAACTTCTCTGGATAACTTAGTAACATCTTCTGTCTTTGCAGAAGTCCATGCTGGATAAAAATGAGTTTGACCAGCTGTGTATCTTGGCAAGTTAGATAATGTAGCAACGTCTTGATATGTTGAAGAAGTCAAGAACATATCCACGGAGACTTGAGATCCATTACATTCAACTGCAAATGATTTATAGAATGAATCAGCTGCATTTAATAACTGTTGAGATTCCTTAGGTCTACCAGAAAAGGCTGCTTCATCTCTAACTGATAATTTCCCGATACCAACATTTGGTAAAGTAGAGCCAAAAACAACCATTTTACCACCAGTTGAAGACAACATTTTATGACCCGTTTTTAACGCAGGACCTAAAGCAAAGGATGAATTTGATGTACCTTCAAAGAATGAAGGGAAATCAACCAACAACTTTTCGATCGATGCTCTATTTTCATTCAAATACACCAAGAATCCATCAGGACAAGGTAAGAATGGATCGTCATGAGCTGAAACAACTAAAATTTCGGTTCCATCCAAACCTTCATTGAAACGGAACAAGTGTAAGTTGGAGTCAACACCAATGAAAGCCACTCTGGCGGTCTTTTGGTCATCTGGTATTCTATCCAAAGTCTCCAAAATTGTTCTGGTAATGGTTGCAGTTAATCCACTTTCAATTGCATCCACTGAAACGTCTATAAGGAAAGTGTAGATGATAGGTAATGGAGCTCTTACCATATATTCTTTGGGAGCAACAAAATCAACCACATTATTGGATAACTCAACTCTTTCCCATCTATTTTTTTGTTGATTGGTGTTTTCATCGTAATCAAAAGCCTTTGGAACGTTATTTTGTAACCCACAAAAGTTACATCTCCATCTAACACCATTTTCAAGAGTTGTAACAAATGGGTTGATATAACCTCTGCATCTTCTACATCTGCAAACTTCAGTGTCAGAAGTGATTGGAATGTTCTCATCTTTTTGGTGTAAAGCTGTGTACGGTCTGACAACCAAAGCAAAGGGTAATTTGGATTTTTTCAATAAGGCAGAATTGGTAGGAACCACATTCAAAGTAGATCTAAAGTATTCTGGAGCTGCATTCTCAGTTCCAGCATTAGGAATTAATTTGGAATTTGCAGGTAACACAATTGGAGGTGGAGGTAAAGATAAATCGCTAATTGAAGGAGGTAATTCTCTCAATAAATCACAAGTATACAATTGATTCAAAGGTAAAGCATTAGGTTGTGTAGGTTGAGCATAATAACCACCACCTGTAGTATCTTGATGGCCACCGACTGCAGCGGCACCAACACCTGAAGGATAAGATTGAGAGTAGAATTGACTGCTGGAGCTTGTGGTTCGTTTATGATTATTGTTATAAGCACTGGCATTTTTAGGAACGCCACCACTACCACCATATTGGGCTCCAGCGGATGAATCATATTGAGATCCACCATACTGAGACCCACCATACTGAGATCCGCCAATGTTTGCACCAGCAGCAGGACCACCACCGATACCATTGCCAGCATATGCTCCGCTTCCATTTGAGGGAATGATAGGCGCAGAAACACCACCACCGTTAACACCGTTGGCACCACTTCCTACACCGTTGTATTGGGCACCTTGCGCTCCTCCCACGTTCAATTGTTGAAATTGTTGGGATAACGCATCGGGGTTTGCACCATAGACGGGTTGGCCAGGCTGTTGTCCTGGGTTAACACCGTTAAAGGCTGGTTGATTGAAACCACCTTGGGCATACTGTGGTTGTGGGTAATGTCTTCTTCGACTGGACATAATAAAGGAAACTCGGGATTGTACTAAGCCGACAGAAAGGAATGAAATAAAGCGAATCGACTTTAAATCAACTAATTATATCAACAAATTATATCAACAAATTAGATCAACAGATTATATCAACAAATTCTATCAACAAATTGATTTAATCAACGTCAACTGAATGAAAAAAAAATAAGCAGGCTCTCTTCAATTGACAACAACCACAACTAAACTAAGCTTACGTTAATTAACTTAACTTAACTTAACTGGACAAGTATCTCTGGAGGATGTAGACGCCTAGAGGTTGATGCTAATGAAGCGAGTATAAATCAATGGAAGAAATTAAGTTTTCAACCTACGTTTCCATTAACGTATTCGTGTACGCACGATTCGTTTTGTATGAGGTGTTCGTTTGTTTTCTTCCGGCTACATTTTCTTTTGTATGTCGCGTTGGGTAAAAATGTCGTATTTACCTCAGAGCATGTTTACAGCATGAATGCTTTTACCGTAACTCATTGCGTGTTCTGATAAAATCTGGTATGTACAAAAATCCTCCAGTCAACGTTGTCTGGTAATGACGATGCTAGTGTCTGTACGACATGAAGAATCTTTTCATATGGGAAGCATTGAGTGTCGATTGCAACAGACATAAGATGCTAACTATTTGTACACCTTTGTAACAAATATAAGCAGAATCTATAATATATATGAAAGCTCTTTGTACTTATCAATCTTAGAAGTACTCCACATTCTGTTATTAAGCTTTTCCACGTTATTATTGCCTATTATTCAGGGGCGCCGCCGGTACCGGAGAAATTATCTGCCGTTTTTTCCACCATTACTAAATTTTCTTTCGCGGTATCCGTACCAGACGAACGCTGTAATATTCGTCCCACCATATGATACTACTTAACCCCCAAAGAACATCGTAACAACAGTATTGAGAACTGCTTGAACTTTGACGCCCATTATTATCATTACAATTAAGAGTGTTGATGTCGATGCTGCTGTTGTTGTGGCAACTGAACGTGCGCTGAGTCTAGTCTGTGATTACCCCACGAAATGTACCCGTTGGAGAATTTTGGTCGTGGCTCACTACATCAAAAGTGGTATACCTTCCCTCCTGACTCATCTCGGCAAAAAAGAAATTCCCCACATGTCAACCTGATCATATCCCACCTTATACAAGAGTTTGTAGTTTAAAAAAATTTTCAACTTTAGTTGATGTTTTCTGTCTTGTATTGTATTGTCTAGTCAGTTTGGATTTTTTGTCTGGGGGTTGGTTTCTGGTGATATTTCAACGTCTTTTCGCTACTCGCTTTCTCCTCTATTCATTGCGCCGAGATATACAGTCGACACTGGTTGTAACAAGTTGACAACAATATACCCCCCAAAAATCCATTGCATGTCATCCCATGCTACATAAATCATGATCGCTACTAATCCGTTGGAAATTATAGTCATTGGTGCCGGATTAATTGGGCCTAGACATGCGGAACATGTTAAGAAACATCCCGTGGCCCATTTATTTGGAATAATCGACCCTAACCCTGCAGCAGCTGAAATAGCTTCGAATTTGGATACCGATTATTTCCCTTCTATTTCCGATTTGGTACAATTTTGTAAAACTAATGAACTCAATCTTCCAGACGGTGCCATTGTTTGTACTCCAAACCATACCCATGTTGTTATTAGTGCCGAACTTGCTTCTTATGGTATCCATTTGCTTGTGGAAAAACCACTTAGTTCTACTCCAGAACAACTGGCTGCCATTCGAGATTATGCTGAGTCCAAAAACGTAAAGTTATTGGTGGGGCATCATAGACGCTTTAATCCTTTTATTGTTGAAACAAAGAAAAACATTGATAAAGTGGGCCAACTCATTGCCCTTCAAGGCTCTTGGGCTTTAAAAAAACCTGAAGATTATTTTATCAAGGGTCTCTGGAGAACTGATGCCAAAACTGGTGGGGGCTCACTTTTAATTAATTTGGTACATGATGTTGATGTGTTACAATATTTAATTGGACCTATTGAAAGAGTTTATGCGGAAGTGTTGGATAAACAAAGGGATCATTATCCAAATGCAGACGAGGGTGCTGTACTTACCTTACGTTTTAAAAATGGATGTTGTGGAACATTTATTTGTTCTGATAACGTTACTTCACCTTTTAATTTTGAATCAGGTACCGGTGAAAACCCCCTGATCCCCTTTCATGATCAATTGGAAGGGGTGTACCGTATCTTTGGCTCCAAAGGTACATTGTCAGTCCCAGACTTGAATCTTTATCACCAACCACTAGAAAAGGAACCTTCTTGGAATTGTCCTGTAGAAAGGACTCCGTTGGTTGATAATAGATTTGAAACTTTGTTTAGCAATATGCCTTTTGATTTACAATTGGATCATTTTGTCGATGTCATTAGAGGCAAACAAGAACCTTCTTGTAGTGCCAATGATGGAATGGCTGCTTTACTTTGCATTGAAGCCATTATCAAATCCATTGACACTGGTCTTCCTCAATTGGTTAAACAAGTGGATGACATCAAACCTGATTTCTCATGCCTTGGTCTTGAGAAGCTTAAGAATGGCTCTGCCTGATTAAAAAAAAACCATTCTTTTGGTTTACATTTTATACTACTAAATTATTATTATTACTATTATTATTTATATTTAACCATCTACAACACTGGACTATTAAACATATTGTTACTGTAATACAGTCATTTGTTAACTGTGCACCAATATCTTTAGCGGTACACTTTATAGTAATCTATCCATATGGTCGTGTACATATGCTAAATGTCGCACTCTCAAGTTTTGCCAAAATCAACCAGTCAGAGAAGTCGAAATAAGCTAATGGAAAATTTCTTACTACTAGAATACATTCTCCATATATCATACATTGTCATCAGATTCAATCATAATGTCCAAATTTGCTATACCCACAGCCTTAAGAGAGTTGAGATTCCATTTGTCTCAAACTGGTGAAGCCTCAGTCCCATTGAGAAACTTTTTATCCAAGAATTACACTGCTTTGAAGGGTACTTCTAAATTGCCCATTTTAGTTAGAGAAAGCTTCGGTATTCCCCCAAGTGTCACTGCTAGATTTGTTGGTGGTGTTGAAAAGAAAACAAATTTGGATAAATTGGATGCTCAAGGAATCGAATCGGCATTGAAGGATATGTTGAAGCAGTGAACTATATTCTATAGATTGAATTCGACCTACTGGGAATATCAAACGTGTACCATATTTATAAGCAAAATTATACTATAATAAACAAATAAGAACGAAGCAGCTAATTTGTAACTATTTACAAGAGAATACCCATCTTAATTCTTTATTGTCTTTGACTGGTTGATGTTGTGTAATCACTACCAAATTGATAAATACCCCAACCTAATGAACCATCGTTTTCATTATACAATTCCTTAATAGCCTTAGAATCATCAACTGTACCAGCACCAACAACAATAGGCAAGAAATGCTCTAACGTGGGATGAGCACTATGTAATAAAAGTCTGTTGTCTTTCTTGATATCATTTAGTGACTCCAACAAATGTTGAGAAGTAGTCAAGGTGTTGGTCAATAATGTATTGAATTTACTAGTATATGGCAAGCTTTTACCTGGATTAGCAAACATCCATCCCAAGTCTCTCAAGTTGTGAACTGACATTCCTGACATGATCAAAGCACCTTTTAAGTATCTTTTCTTTGTTGGATCCCATATCAAGTTTTCTCTAAATTGGTTCAATGCCTTACCTAACTTGTAGTGGTTATCGAAATCAGAATCAGAGCCGGTTAAAGATACTTGAATAACAGGGAAATCGACATCAAATTCTCCTTCAGCAGGTGGATGCCCCGATTTCAAAGTAGTATAGTCAGTAAAGGCAACTTTTAATGGACACCATAGCCCATGATCAATACCTCTATTTGATAAAGTAGAGTTGAACCCATTTTTAATCAAGTGATCTTTAACACTTTGAGCCACAAATGCATCATTCTTTGTATGAAACTCCTCTCTATACATATGACTGGGGAACCCATAGAAATCATAGATCAAAGGGTTCTCAATGGTATTTTTTGTTGGAGGAGGAGTGGAAATTTCAATCAAGTTTCTACCTGTTGATTGCCAATGAGCAGATACAACTAACACATAATCTGGTTTCCAATTGTTCTTAATGTTAGTGCCTAACTTCTTAACTGTCTTCCATGCACCTTTGTGATCATCATAGATGAAGTTTGGACCTCCGTGACTAAAAAAATAGGTGGGGAAGGGTGAAGGATTAACTTTGAAGGGTTGAGTCCTATCGGAATCATAAACGGCTCTAGCGGAGCTCATTGTTCTACTTATAGAAGTTGTAGTGGTAGTAGTCAAAGTTGACTTATTAACAACAGAAGTTGAAATAAAGAATTTGGAAAACAATATGGCAGCTATTGATGCAATTAATGTAACTATAAGGTAAATGTTCATTTATCAAGAAGATACTAAACTGTATTTATATATACATGTAATTCCAACAAGCTTCACTCATATATAGTCTATTTCCATACTGCTTATATATATTCAAAACCACTAACACAATATCACCGCCTGCTGCGTTCCCTACTAATGTGGTAGATCCACTTCTAAGAGAACAATATGTGTCAACTAATCTGTTAACAAATAATTATTCAGCACTTTACTAATTTGAGATTATGTTACTAACTGTGTCACAAACCCGGCAATAGTGAATAGGGAAAGCCGACGAAAAATATTCTGTGAGGACAAAAGGCTATGTTTTGTATTCTTACGTAATACTCTCCCACTTTCCTAAACGGGATGTTTGCTTTCTTCGATACACAAAACCTCTGATACAAAGCAACAGTTTAGCCGTAGCAGCAGTTATCCTGATCATCTGAAATTGGAAGCTGGTAAATGGCAGTAAAAGTGATCAGTGGTTAAAAAATTATTCTTGCTTGGCCATACATGAGACATTGAAGGTCGTCCCTGAAAAGTTATATATATTTATTTATTGGACTGACTTTATCCATCACCCACTATAATCAGCCACAGTGTGAGCCATGGTCAGTTTCTTCACTCGAAGAGTATGTATTCATCTTCACAGTGGTGTCATTAGAGAATAATCATATTAACAATTTTAGAAGAGAAATGATGGCTTTAAAGGGTTTAGCAGATATCACGACGAGATAGAACGCTATAGTCCGGCAACTCCCCCCTCATCCATAAATAATAACATTCCACCGAAAGTATCCTCAAGTGCAGCTGCTGCTGCTGCTGCTGTGAAATTACATTCACCTAATACTACCCTGTTTCCTAATATCCCAAATCGTACAGCGTCATTAAACAGAAATTCAACTCCTTATTCAAACGGTGGTGGTGGTCAAAATAGAACTAACTCCCTTCGCACTTATTCTTATCATCCAGGAGCTTCATATGTTGCTGGTCAACCACTTCAGAAATCCACCCCCGCTCCTCCATCTCCACGAGTCATCCCAAGACGATATAATAGTCTTACCAATGCCACCAAAAGACTCAACTCGTTGTCCTCGCAAAACTCAAACCTCAGAAGGCACTCCATTGATGAATTGGGTCCAGAGTTAATAGGTGAAGATGAGGAAGTCACTATTACTACTCAAACTACGGAAGTTGTTGATGCTCTGGGTCGTACACAGTCAATAACAACAAGAACAATCAAGCAATTGCCGGATGGTTCAAATATAATTGAAACAACCACCAAGAGTGTTTCTCGAGGTGGTTCTCGTACAAGCTCACTTCGGGCTGATTCTTTAATGGGAGGAAGACAAAATGCAAATACTAATTTGACTATTATCGATGAAGATTTACAAGATTTTGATTATAATTATCAATTGGATAATCCAAAATTGGCTGCTGCAGTTCCTCTTGTTTTGAACCATAATCATCAAGAGCCCCCCACCACCTCCCTTTCAAATCCAATTTCATCTCCACCAATATTATCTCCAAAATTAGTACCACCTCCTCCAATACTCAAAGATAGTCCACAACAACAACAAATAATAGAACGGAGTAGTTCATTGGTTCTGAATGGGTCAAATAAACCATTGAAACTGATTATGAAACATAGACTGCAAGATGCAGAATCAGAGCCAGATTATGCAGATGCCCGCGATTCATTTGCACCATCTACAAGTCCAGGAGCAATTAATAAAGAGGAGTTTTCTCCTCCTCCGCCTCCTGCTGTTATTCAGCATCCATATAAATCATTATCCAATTCTCCTACAAGTCCTCTGCTTCCCTCTAAAAAGGTGGCTGCTGTTCAAGACTCACAGGCAAGAAATAATCATTGGGGTTCGTCACATGAAACAGCTTCACAACTTTCTGGTAGCAACTCTATAAAATTCAATGAGGTGGTTGAAACTATAGCATATACTCCCGATGCAGCAGAAAGAGAAAACGATTACTTCAATTCAGCCCAACACCAGCCACCACCAGCACATAATAATAAAGTACAGCATGAGAAACGTAAGCAATTAACAGATGATGAAATGTATTTGGTTGCGATTGAAGCTGCAAAACGGAAAGTTTATGGAGATCGTGCTGCTGATGAACTTGTTCTGCTTCCTTCAAATGGCCCTCACTTTAAAACTTCTTTAAGAAGCCCACCTCCTTTAAAAAGTCCTACTTCTCCTCAGTCACCAAGGAGTGGTTATAATGCTGTTATTTCTACATCATCACCCACCGCAATTTCTGCCACTTCTCCAGCATTTGCGAGTACCAGTGAGCCTATTGCAGATGATGTTACATTGAGTTCTTCTACCCACAAAGCAATGCCAAAGAAGTCCAAAGCTAATCAAGGGGTTCCTAAAGACTACCAATATAAGTCTCACAACAAGCCACTTTCAGCCCATACTTTAAGAGGTTCTGAAAATATAGTGGAACAGAAAGTTGTGGCCAAGCAGCAAGAAAAGGAAAAGAAGGAAGTGGAAAAGAATGAACGAAACTTACAGAAGAAACAGCAAAAGGATGATGCCAAAAAGCAAAAACTAGCTGCAAAGGAATTAGCAAGGCAAAAGAAGCTTGAAGCTAAGGCCTTGAAGAAACCTCATAAAGGGTTTTTATTTTTCAGGAAGTCATCCATGGATTCCTCTTCTGAACAAAGCAATCATAGAGTTTCAACCGATACCAATACCACTAGTGCATTGGGTGATACCACTTTTGAAAGCAGCATGAAGAGTCATGACACCTCAATACCTATAACTAGTCCACCTCAAAAAGGACCTGTGTATGCTGCTGAGACTAATGGTGAACATACCAGTGACATTTCAAGGTCGGTATTTGCTGTGATTGATAACTACAATTCAGAGTCGATACCAACTATCAAAGAAGAATCCAAATCAACTAGTGATCGAAATAAAGTGAATTCCCTTGATGTAGATAAAAATGAAGGCTTGGGACTTGGACTGCCATATGAATTTCAAAAAACAAACACTATTCATCAGGCAAGTGCTGAAAGTAATGAGAAGCATGGAGAACAACATGTATCAAAGCAAGCGGGACAAGAAATCAACACTATCCAAAACGATGAATTGGCTACAGATGCTGATCACAAACAAGTTCCTAAAGAAATCGAACTGCATTTGAAGGATGTAGATACCGAAATGGAACATGCAGATGTTGATACTAAAGTAAATGGCTCTCAGAAGTCATCTAACTCATCAGCACCGTATGAGGTTGGCATGCAGGAGTTATCGGATGAGGTTGAAGCGCCAGGTACTTATAAAGAGGATATTGAAACGGGTTCACTTCATTCAATTGAAGTTGATCATGAAAGAGATGATCGTGGCAAAGATGACCATGAAGTCTTGTCTTCGGAAAGCATTAAGAACATCGCTAATACTACACCTGATAACTCTGTACTTGACGGAAAGCCGGGTAGTAAAAAGAACACTAATTTATTGTCCACTGCAATTGCTTCTACTAAGACTGAATCCTCGCCAGATAAACATGAAGATCATGGCATCAACGAAGACATTGCACCAAGTACTAAAACTATCACCAACGTTAGTATGTCTGAAGAAGCTACTGATGATCTACCTTCAAACGTCAATGGTGAAAATTCCGCCTCCAGTGATGTTTATCGGGACCTACAAGAAGAACCAGTCGATACTCCAGTCATGTCAGACGTTGTCAATGAAAGCTATGGTTCAGTTACACCAGATATTTCCCAGAATATTCGTGAGTCTGGGCATTTCATCGAACTGATTGATTTTGATGAGTCTCAACCCGAAGACAACAACGAAGAAGATGATCGTACTATCGAACAAGGGGTGGACGTGAAGACGAAAGAACATGAGAAAACAGTGCTGGAACCACCCAATCACGGCATTTCTACTCTTGAAAACCAGAAGCAAGCGCCAAAGAAGAAAGGAAAGTTTAGAATGCATGTGTTGAAGTACTTTGTCAATGGCTATGATAAATAGTGCAGCTTTTTAATAGTTAATATGATTAACCAAATTATGTGATTGTAGCAATTAATGGGTGTAATGACTTCTGGGAACTGTATGGTATTTCTGGGAATCCTGCATTGGATACACTGTCAAAGATAAGCACAGGGCAGGTTCAGTCGATCTAAGGTCTCTACCTCTTTATGCGAGCCAGTTCAAGCATGAGCTTTGACTTATTGGTCTTCACCAAATCATGGTTTCTCAAGCATCAAGACAACCATGAAATGATGGTAGGTATACAAAGACTTATTAATCGGTCGTATGATAAGCCGAGGTACAAATATGGAATCATCACCACGTCTCGAATTAAGAGTCCACAGCTGTTTCTAAAGGACTTTGGGTTGGATGGTACTGACTATGGTTTCTGTTTATTTGTTCTTTTGGGGCCCAAGGAGACGTTTGATAAGCTACAACGAGACGATGGATATTTCAGAGATTTTGAGACTCCAGCCACTCCAGGAACAATCTATGATTGTGATATAAAGAAGGAATATGAAGGGTTGTTTCAATTTGACCCCTTGAGTTTGAAGCCAACTGTTACCGTAGCTGATAATAATACAGTTTTGAAAGGTCTGCTATTGTCCCGAGTATTGGGATGTGTAGGGTTTAAGAGTTCGGGATATGAGTATCACCCCAATGACGACGCCTGTATTAGACTTGACTTGACTGCGTTCACGTCATATCTCCGAGGAAACGGACCCCGCATGATTGATTTGGTGCTATGCAATATCCTCCAAGACCATCCGAGTCATCCTTTTCTCGAACAACAAGGTATGGTTGATCAAAGTACTGGAAAGTACATCATCATGGCCGATTGCATTACTGAGCATAATCTCATTGATTACTATGTGCAAAAATGCGGCTTCAGCTTAACTGGAGAAGAAGATTTGTTGATACAAGTAGGAGAAGATGGCAGACTTCGGAATAATCCTTATGAAGATGGCATTAAGGCTACTCAGAACTTCCACATATCGTTCCTAAAGAAGTGTCTTTCTGTCAACAGAAACATATAGAACACACAAGAGACATAATACTGTAGAATAGTTATATTAATCTTGAAGCGTACTATTACCTTATTGTATGGGCTAAGTTCACCATAGTGTCCAACACTTAGCATAAGTTCTGTAATGCTTCACCATACCTCAGTATGCTTGTGCTGTATATATAAACAGTATGTTGCAGACTATACTTCACTTTTGTGTACGTTGTAAAAAACTGCGATGGCATCGCAGATCTCAAGAATATTTATTTTACTACTGAAGCCTACCACCTTTTAACAACATCACCCATCACTATGGAAGATAACAATCCAGACGGAGGTCAGCTGATCGACCAGTTTGCCTTGGAAGACAGACTCAGTAAGATCCGGTCTCAAATCAATTCCAAGTTGGAAAACCAAAAACATCATGCGGTGATCTTAGCAGCTGTGGAAGAGAACATTGATGAACAAAAGAATGAAAAGACTGCAGTGGCATATTTTGTGTCCTTCTTATCGCTTTTGGAACAAGCCATTAGTGGTGATGATATTGTTGATAAGGATTTGGCCGTGACTGCTGCTTATTTCTTGGATATTGTTTTGCCCTTCACTCCTAGACCATTATTAAAGTCGAAGTTCGGGGATATTTTAACCAAATTGGCCCCAGCTTTAACACATCCAGATTCAGATGCTCCTTTGATTAGATCGACTATTGGCGCCTTGGAATCATTATTATTGTCTCAAGATTATCAACAATGGGCTTCCAATGGGAATGTGGCCCCCAAACGAGCCTTTGTAGGTTTACTTGAATTAAGTTTCGATGGACGTCCTAAAGTAAGAAGAAGAGCTCAAGAAGCCGTCCACAATGTTTTGACAAACCCACCTACTTCTCCCTCTCCTCTTCATGTGGCTGCTCCATTGGCTGCTGACATAACCTTGAATAAATTGCTTGTGTTGGTAGATGAAAGCAAAAAGAATAAGAAGAAGGTTCTGAAAGACCTTAACACACAAATCATCCATTGTCTACAATTAATAGCATCCATTACTACTGCTAATACCTGGCCTCCAGCTCAAATAGAAGCATTATGTGACATTTTGTTGGAAGTCTCTAGAACTTCAGATCAATATTTACTCACTTCAGCCTTCTCTGCATTCGAAGGCTTGTTTTCCTCAATGTCTAATTCTATCGATGTTGATAAGTTCGTCAAAGTCTTGGATATTATATTTGATTTGAAACCTTCAATTAACGATACTCATTTGGCTGGTGCTTGGCTTGCAGTCATTGCTAAAGCTTTAGAAAGCTTTGCTTCATTGGCTCCAGAATTATGCCTACAGAAGTTTAAGACTTTTGTCCCGGTGATTTCAAGCTTTTTAGGCTCAGAGAATAAAGGTATTTATTTGTCAGCCTCTCAATGTTTAATTGCTATCATCACTCATACTGTCCCTGATAAGTTTCTCTTACAGCCAACTGCTGAAAATGGTGTGACTGCAGAAATATATGAACTTGTTGATGATACCATTGAATATTTGGGAGAGTTCTCCAAGAAAGAATTACTCAGCATCAAGTATCAACGTGCCACAAAGGAAATATTAGAGTTTTTAACAGCTGCGGTTTATAAGTTTCGTTCAAGAGGGAATCCAGACTTGTTGGAAATTTTGGAGATTGTTGGTCAATGGCGTACCACAGAAGCTGAATCGTTTCCTCATAATAAGGAAGCCGAAGATTTAATTGCTGCATTTATTTCATCTGTGGGTCCTGAAGCAGTCTTGAGTGTTTTGCCTTTAAATTTGACCACTGAATCTGATGGGAGAGCTTGGTTGTTGCCATTATTAAGAGACAACGTTAGATTTGCTGAATTGAATTATTACAAGACTCAAATCGTCCCCTTGGTTGATTTTTTTAAGGGTAAGATTGAATCTTCTCAACATAAGGAATCAATGCTTAACAAGATCTTTCAAACCATTATCGATCAAATTTGGTCTTTACTCCCACACTTTTGTGACTTACCTAAAGATTTAAGAAGTGCTTTTGATAATGAATACGCAACTTTCCTTGCTGGCACCATGTACTCTCAAGTTGACTTGAGAGTTCCTATTTGTCATGGTTTAAGATTGTTGGCCGAATCCAACATTGCATATAGCGAAGGTGCTATGGCTGATGACATGTTGATGCAACAAGAATTATCAATTGAAGACTCAAAGTTAAACGTCCAATACTTATCAGGAGTGGCTTCTAATTTGTTGTCTGTTTTATTCAATGTGTTTTCATCAACAATTCCTGAAGCTAGAAATTATATTTTAGAAACTATTGATGTTTACTTACAAATCATCCCCAAAGATGATTTAACAAATACTTTCAATAAGGTTTGTGGATTGTTTAAGAATGCCCTTGATGAAGAAGCTCAAGCTCCTCAAAATAAGTCTAAAGCCCAACAACGTGACATTCCCAAATTAAGTATAACTATGATGGATTTGATTGTTGCCATGGCCAAATATGTTCCATCATCTTCACATAATGCCTTATTTGCTATTTTTGCACAAACAGTTAACACTGGTGATGTCTTGTTGCAAAAGAGAGCCTATAGAATTATCACTAGATTGGGTGATACCGAAGAAGGTAAGGCTAAAATTGGTTCATTCATTGGGGAAATTACCAAGGTCTTACTTGAAACAACCGAAGTAACTCAACCATCTGCTAGAGCTGTTAGATTATCAGCTATTAACTTGGTCTTAGAAATCTTACCTGCAACTGATTTATATTTCATTCCAGCCATTGTTCAAGAAATCATAATGTCCACTAAGGATGTTAATGAGAAATCAAGAGAATTAGCTTATCAAATCTTAATCACCATGGGTCAAAAGATGAATGAAGGTGGTGAAATTGATTCTTCAAAGATTCCAGGGTTTGGAGGAGAATCAACGGTTTCACCGGCTTCTTTGAATGAATATTTCACTATGGTTAGTGCTGGTCTTGCAGCTCAAACTCCGTATATGATTTCTGCTACTATCACTGCCCTTTCATGTTTGATTTTTGAGTTCAAAAATGAATTGTCTCAAGAAGTATTGGTTGATATATCTTCCACGGTTGAGTTGTTTTTAACACATGGTTCTAGAGAAATTGCAAAGGCAGCTATTGGGTTTGTTAAGGTTGAAGTGTTGTCTTTGCCTGAAGATTTGGTTAGAGCCAATTTGAAAGAACTCTTGGAAAAGTTGATGAAATGGTCTCATGAACATAAAGGACATTTCAAATCCAAAGTTAAGCATATTTTGGAAAGGCTTGTTAGAAAATATGGTATTGAAGAAGTCGAACAAGCAATTCCTGAAGATGATAAGAAATTAATTGCCAATATTAGAAAGTCAAGAAATAAAGCTAAAAAGAAGCAAGAAGAAGGAGCATTGGCAGATGCTAGTGCGCAAGCTCAACCTGCTCCTGGTGATAAGAAGTTTATGTCGGCCCTTGAGGAAGCTTTATATGATTCTGAAGAATCTGATGATGATAATGATGAAGATGACTCTAAACCACAAGGAAAGAGAGTTAAACAACAAAATAAACAATTCATCATGGAGTCAGGTGATTCTCCATTAAACTTACTTGATAGACAAGCTTTGGCTCAAATCACTTCGTCTAGACCCAAGCAAAACAAGTATAACGTCAAAGAGAAAGTTACTGAATTCAAAACAAATAATAAAGGTAAGATTGTCTTTTCAGAAAATAATGAGGATCCTTTGGCTGAAAAGGGTTCGGGTATTGATGCATATTTGGATGCGGTTAAGCAACAACCTGTTCGTGGTCAAAGAAATAAGTTGAAGTTCAAGAGAGGTAAGAAGGCAGAAGATGAAGAGGCTTGGTCAGATGATGATCAACCCAAACAAACCCTTAAATTTAAGTCCAAGGTTGCATCAAACTCCAGAATCTCAAAGCACCTGCTGAAGAATAATAATAAATTCAAGGCTAGAAAGAAGCTTTAAGTATGATGTATAGCTGTACAATAGATTATTACTAGTAATTGGGTTAATAGTATACAAGAACGTCAAACGATAAAAGTGTCTGGTTGTTCTAAATCGGGTGCTGATTAGTATGTGTACAGTATGTTAATATTTCATTGAAGCCGTTGCACTATTGAATGTTTTGCAATTGGGGAGTGGGGATGTGGGGATACGTGTAAACCATCTTCGATTATGTCGACTAGTTTATTTTTTTAAGATTTAGACTCATGTTTATATGATATATTGAACAAGTGTATATGGGTGCGAGGTTTGATTTTTATTCATATCGATCTTTTATATACGTTACATATACGTTATTGTTATTATGTGTAATCATGATATAGATATTAGTTTTCTCTTATACTATCAATTCCATTGCTTTTACTGTTGGCGTATACAAAAGCTGTGTCCACGATGAAATCAATGCCATATTTAAATAGTGAATCTCCGCTTTGACTTCCCACGCTTTGTTTAATAGCTAATTTATCACTTGTTATGTTGACTTTTTCTAATATTTATAATATATACATTAGATAATTCTTTATCAGTCGTCGATTTCATTATTGGAACTATCGCACACTAATTCCGTTAAACTTATGTCTTCCGCTAATTTATAATGGTTGTATTTATTAATACAATCTCTGAAATATACTTTACTTTTCAAAATTGAAGATCACATGTTCGTATTATCATTTGACGTTTTTTAGGCTATATCTTTATGATTATATCCCTTTTTGATCTTAGCTGAATCTTCAATTTCTCTACAAGGTATACAATGGAAATCGGTGTGAACATACTTTCAGTGCCTCAAAATCATTTTCAAGACTATGATCCTTATTGAAATCACTATTCTTAATCTTTATTTTTAATGTCATTTTTGCTATTGCATATGAACCAATTTAATCAATAAGTATGAAATCTGTTTTAGTTTCTTGCTCCTTTCTAACAAAATTGTATTCTACAGTATTCTTAAATATAAGTTCTCTTGACAATTCTTTTCTGACTAACAAATATATTACAAATGGCGTTATGCTTACAATGATTAATTATATTCAGGTAAATCTAGTAGAATGTGGTATCACGTATATGTTTTTAATTAGAACAACTCAAGCTGTAGAGGAGCATTAGCTTTTATCTGACTATAAAACTATTGGAAATCACACTACCTTTCTGTGGAAAAAAATTTTCGAAATATCATTACAACTACTGTAACTACGCTGCTACTACCATCTTCATATCACTACTAAATCACCTTTAATATCAACAAATGTCGTCGGCAATAACTAAGGCACCCATAAGAATAAGACTAGCTCGTTTTGGGAGAAAAAACCAACCCTTATATAACATTGTGGTAGCCAATAGAAAGGCTGCAAGAGATAAGTTGCCAATTGAAGTATTGGGAACCTATGATCCTGTTCCAATTCCATTGAGCCCTGAAGAAAAGGCTAAAGGAGTCAAGCCTTATAAGCATATTGAGTTGGACTTCGATAGAGCACAATATTGGCTTGGTGTTGGTGCAGAAGTGAGTGAAAGAGTTGGATTCTTATTCAAGAAGGCTGGATTGTTACCTGAATTCTGGCCTCAACCTTCAAGTCTCTCACAGCATGTATCTAAACCATTAGTATCTGGTCCTAAGACCGTTTTAGAAGAGGAGCAAGAGCTTATCAGAAAGAGATAGTCTACTTTCCATTCGTGTACATAGAAAAGTTATATTTTTATTATTGGGTTAATATATATACAATTTTGCATCAAAACGCATATCATTATTTATTATCAATGCTTATACATTATCATACCTTATACATTATCATACCTTATACATTATTATACCTTATACATTATTATACCTTATTCGTTATCGATGCTTATGTAGTGAGAATCCTCGAAAAAATCTTCGAAACACATCACGGAACCTTTGTCTAGAGCCACCTGATGGTGCTGTTATTGCTGTAGGGAGACCTATGGCATTCTTAACACTAGTAAATGTGATATCTTGAGTAGTGGGTTTATCTTTGTTTGCCAAAGGAACTTGAGACTTGATTTCATCAATGTTGTCATCATTACCATTGACCTCATTCTCATTCTCAGCGAATGCATTTTGACTTTTAGACACACGAAGAAATACATTAGGAGCATTCTCTTTCCCTAACTCAAATTCAAAGCTGCTAATATTTCCGCCGCTGGTTTGTCTATTAGAAAATGGCAGTGCCAATTTCTTAAGTCTATCTCTTTCTTTTCGAAGCTCTTTGTAACTAGCTGCTCTACTTTTTGATGTAGCACCATTTTGATTCTTATTGGCATTGATTATTGTTGAGTTTCTATTGTCGCAATGATGTATCACGGTGGCGGGATGTAACCTTCTTAATTCAAAATCATGTAATGCTAAAGCTCCTTCAATATATGGTTGTTGTTGTTTCTCGTCGTTACTAATATTCCTATCTAGAAGTTCACAGATATTTACAATATGTTGATCTATGGCCTCCAGGTTTCTTTCATTGGGTTCAGATTCGTAATTGGAAAAAAACAACTTGAACAAATGTAGATAAGTATTATTATCTGGTCTTTGAGTCCAGAACAGCCCTTCAAAAAGACAAAGAATACCCAGTTTAGGTTTGGATTTCATTAATATCAATTCAATGATTTGCTGGGGATAAAGGGATTTCCAAAAGGTATCTTGTTTTAAGAGCCCATACGTTTTCGCTAGAACCTCATTGGTCAAGGCAATGTTTGTCTCAATTGCAAACAGATCCACTACAAAGTAGATTGTTTCCAAAAGACGATAAGTTTTAGAAACTAATAGGAGGTTGGTTCCGTTATCTCCTACAAAGTGAGGCAACAAATAATCAATCACGATGGAAAGTATCTTGGGGACTCTCAGTGTTAAAAACCCTTTCAGGTCATTGACCAAATCTGGATACACTTTAAGTAAATCAGATGAACTCTGAAGTAGTTGCTTAATGTAATCAATTTGACCTACTTTAGCATAAGAATCAACTTGGGGGAACTCATCAAGAGAATATTGAAGTACCGCAAAACGGCGGCTAAGTTCTTTACTTGAATCTAAAGGGAAAGGATACTCCTCACATAAAGATGATGCTGATTCAACTGATGATCGATCATCAGACGCCATCCCAGTACTATAAGTTTTCCAATCAACGTTGGATCGCTGTGTTAGATATTTATTCATTGGTAGGACAATGAGTAAGGTAATGTTTGTAGGGGTGTTTTTTTTTTCGCAGCCAAAACTCTTTTTCCCTATAAGTACACTTTCAATTGCGGTAGTGGAAGTTGAAACGTTCAGCTGAGGAAACACATTACCGTGGATTACAAGTACAATAATATCAAAAGAATTAACTTGTTAAACTATAGTATACAGAAGGTTAGACCTAACTAGTTTAGTCAAACAAACCGAAACCCATGTCATCATCGGATTCGTCAGCTTCTTCAGCAGCAGCTTCTTCAGCTGGAGCAGCATCTTCAGAAGCAGCAGCAGCAGCTGGAGCAGCAGCAGCGTAAGCTTCAGGGTTAGCCAATCTGTCCTTGATAGCTTCAGAACCTTCAAAAGTGTAGTCAGTGGCAATAGACAAAGCCAAGACATTCTTGTAGTGGTTGATAACAGAGTGACCAACAGATGGCAAGGTTGGGTAGCCAGTAGCCAAAGAGATGGAAGCAATTTGGTTGATGGCAGCGACAAAGTGAGAGATCAATTCATCGTCAGTGATATCCAAGATAGAAGATGGGAACACTTGACCATTGTCGTAAACTTGAACAACAGTCAAACCGTAGGTGAATGGAGAAATGTTCAACATGTTCAACAAGGTAGCTTCTGAAGGACCAACCTTTTGGTCCTTGGACAAAACCTTGACATCAGAGACAATTTCAATGGTACCTCTGGCAATCTTGGTTGGGACACCTAAAGCTTGGAAGAAAGAAGTCTTACCAGGTTCCATACCAGTGTTACCGGCTGGGACATAGACATCCATAGGAGCAATGGCACCGGCCTTGGCTGGAGCAGCAACAACGTTAGAGACAATATCATCTCTAATGGTCTTCAAATCCTTGTTGGTGAAAATGAAACCAACGTTACCCTTGATGTAAGGCAACAATTTTTCAAATTCAGGCAAGTCAGAGATGAAACCTCTCAAGGCTCTTCTAACCATGGTGTTCTTACCCATCAACACAACAGCATCACCTCTCAAGGCCTTTCTGACTTCGTGCATTTGTTGGGAAGAAACATTATCAACACCGACGATGAAGATAGACTTGTATTCTTCCAACAATTCTCTTAACTTGGCGAAATATTCAACCTTCTTTTCACGAGTACCACCCATTTCGACTTAATGTATTTGACGATAGGACTTTTTAATGGTTCCTGATGGAGAAAAGAGAAAGCCCGTATATATTTCCAACTAACAAATGTCAAAAATTTTTCATCTTTCTCGATCGCCAGTCGTGCGAACAAAAATTTTCTTTAGGGCACTGACCTATTTGTCACGTGAAGCTATATTTTTGTATTATTTGGTAGCCCCGTTTGCACCCAAACTAATTGGATAACCACAAAGGGGGTTGTTACTCCACTCTTTACTTCCCTGGTATAAGAAGCCTTCTGTGGAGATCTACAGGCACTAATTCTTTCAATATAAAGTCAATTGGAAATCCATCGTAACTGTATGTTTGTTTTTGTATATATTTAATTGGGAAAGCATCGAGGCCGGTAGTCTGCAAACTAACCAAACTCTTTATGTTCGTAATCTGATGAAATAAATACATGATGTAAAAATTCCTGCCAAACTTTCTCTAAGTCAGAGAATCCGTTATTGTCGTCATCAAACATCTTCTTCTTTTTATGCTTTTTATTCTTCTTTGTAGCATCAATTTCTGTAATTTGTTCCTTCATTTGATGGCATTTGATGTCACGCTTTTGCTTTGGTTTGCTGGCCTTAATAGGTTTACCTAAAATTCTTCCCAAGTTTATCCATTCCTCCGTAGTTAAAACCTTCATGTTGTAAATGTCAGTAGAATATTCGTACTCATAGTGAAACTCCTTAGTACCATTGTTGACTGATGGTAAATCAACAAAAAATTGTACATATCTTTCGGGAGTGAACAATTGAGGAACGTATCCTGGACCTAAAGGTAAGTTTGCGGGCTTTTGAGGTGGGAATGTCTTATCAAGCTTCTTCTTCTTCTTCTTCTTCTTCTTCTTCTTTTTACTATTTGCCTTTCTTTTATTTCCTTTTGTGCGTATGGTATCAAACATTTCTGTTTGCTTATATTCATCAAGTTCTAATTCATCCCAAGCCTTCATCATGTTGTCAACTCCTTGAAAAAATTCATCCCAAGGAGCAAATTGGACCTTTGCCTCCAAACTTGCTGCCAAATCGGTGATATTATATTCCCATACTCTTAAACCAGGGTTGAAGGTGGGGATCACAGATGCAGAAACATGACTAATAGAATATCTTTCACAACGTTCTCCAGACTTCTTACGTCCCTTAAGTCTAGCATAGTAATCTTCACGAACACTTTCTAAGAATTTGACTTTGTTATAAGGAACACCTCCCAGGGCATGATAAAGATCCCTCAAAGTATCGTTCTCTGTGCTGAACTTCTGCAAAAATTGGCTAATTGCTTCGTTTTCATCAGAATCAGAATCAGAATCAGAATCAGAATCAGAGTGTCCTTCTGAAAAGATCGAAGGGTACTCAAAGGATTTCAATTGAGAGGTAACATCAAAGTCTTCCGAAATTGAAGCATAAGCAGCCTTTGCATCCAAGGGAATAAAATGGTCCATGTTCATATGGCCGTATAACCCTCCAATAATGACATCGCGGTATTCGTATGCCCAAACACTGTACTTACGCCAACATGAGATATCATAATTCTTTAAATTTGGTGGAACATGTCCTGAAAGCCATACTTTCATCTTACGAAGTCTCATTTCCTTCAAGACAACACCTAACCATTCAAATAGCTGGTAACCGGGTTGCTTGGGGGAATCACAATTGTCAACTAAAGGATTCGATTGGAAAAGGTAAAGTGTATTAAGAGATAGCACCGTTAAATGTCCGGGAATGACTTCTTGAAAAAAGTAGGCTCCTCTATTGAAAGTATGTAACTGAGCAGGAGGAATGAAACGCTGCCAAATACGGAACATTTCTCTTGTTTGTAAAGTAGGACCAGGACTAAATAAATTATGAGGATAAACATCGTTATTACCAAGAGAGGGAACTAGCAAAGCTTCCAAACTTCTTGGATCATTGGGGTCGGTATTCTCAAAGGCTGAAAACAACTTATCTGCCATCACTGAATTCATATCAAAGATATGCATTTCAGTACGAGGATTCATACGATCATTATCATGTCTAATATTGTCCCCAGTCCATACAACGAAATCAATCTTATCTCTCAAGTTTTCTTTGACCCACTTAATAGTATCTTCGACAAGTTTCATGGGCGAATCACATCCCATGATAGCATCTCCGTATTTAGAAGCTTCTCCTGCCTTTCCTGAATGGCATGCTTCCTCAAATGATGATCCCACTTTATACAACTCGTCAGGATGCATGTCGGTGATATGAAGAAATCTGCCATGAAACTTTTGGCCGGAATTCTTCATTTGAACATAAGGCTTGGGAGTCAAATGAAGTTTACGTAGTTCGGCAGCAAGTTTATCGGAAGGGTATACAATCTGTGCTGTCTCCGCATTCTTTTCATTGAAACTATTCTCGTGTGACACCACCTTTGTAGTTGTGACTTCGGAGCATTCAACATTGATAAGATTCTCCAATGATTCCTTCCATGATACAAACTGTTTCAGCCATTCTTCTGGAACTGAAATAGACGCCACAAACCCTAACACTAGTACCGTTAACAAGGTACAGTAGAAGGCAATGGAGAAAGTTCTCATCGAGGATTGGCGTGGAAATGTTGGTTTGACAAGCCAATTTACTGTTCCAAAGCTCTTTATTAGTCTCCTAAGGTTTAGATGTGGTGCAATGAGGCAGTGAGAACAATTGGATCTGTTTACTAGAAACTTAGTGACGACTCTCAGTACCTTTACAATGTCGTCGAATGTGGGGTGAGATGGACCTTCAGCAGGTTAGTGCAAACTCCTAATTAACCACGAGGCTACAATTCCTGTGTGGCACATAACTTCGAGGATTCCTTAATATAAAGGTACAAGAATATTGGTAGCGATGTAAGTGGTTAACTACATTGTTGTGTTCAATTTTGAGTGTCTTTTTTCTTCCAGGGAAAACCCCAAACTTTAATTGACTAGAACAAATGACATTGGTTAATTCGTTAGCCTATCTGTCGTAATCAAAAGGACTTGTATGTGGAAAAGAATAAAATATCATTATAACTAAGTAGTTTATGAAGTTGGTGCTTCGATTTCTGGTGTAAAGATCACAACAATTTTTCTTTTTCGATTCTTGCCGCGGGGCTCACATTGTTGTAGATCTTTATCCGTCACTAGTTGCAATTACAATTAGAAATACGCCATTCTGTGCTACTAGTGTGAATCCCACTGTTTGACCAAATCATATGTCGTTGCTTTGATAAGCAATGTCGCACTAACTTACTGCTCTCTATTATCATAGTGGTACCACGCAAACAACTTGTCGTATTACGTAATTAGGTGTTCTTATAATGCACATGGTACTCTGCTATTAGCTTGATGCAATAGAAACTGAATCATAGTCTTTACTTATTTGTTAATTATGAGAGAAGAACAAATCGCCAAAAGCTAAGCGAATCGGCTTGTTTTAGTGTGTGAAAATTAACCAATGAGGAAAGAACTATGTCAAATTGCTCTTGATATCCTATTGTGCATAATTGATTGCGAAAACCTGTGGTTTCATAACAGTGGCTCAACTTCAGCTCTATAACTAAGCCAAATCATCAACAGCCCAAAACGGATCTTTGAATAAATGAAATTTCAATAAAAAATACCAGATTTGAATCGAATTAAGTTGATGGGACATTGCATTTCTGCAATTAGTCCCCGTTTTCCAAATCTGGTAACCTTGGACCTCCTGTAAATAAAGTTCACAGCTAAGGGTAAACAAGTAGCCCAAATAGATTGCAAGCACATGAATTATTTCGTTAATGCTTGATTCAAAGCATAAGGATTTGAAACAGGGGCATGAATGATGAGGTATAGTTTCAGACGTCAAAGCATATTCATAGTGGAGTTTCAAATAGAGATCCAGGTTAATACAATTACAAGAGTTGGTTTAATGGCTACTTGAGTGAAACTGTCTCTCGTAATACAGTGTATATATGCACCAACAGTAGGATGTATTTGTAGAAACATCATCCAAAACTCTATCCACTTAATTAGAGTATCTCCTAACAATAGCCCTGAAGGTTTCAAACTCGCGAATTATTTCATACCAGAGAAGAATATTTTAATAGGGGTGTACCTGTGCAATGGGGCGTGAATAACACAAAATCACGGTCTGATCTGATTGTTTACATTGACACCATAAACAACAACAGAAAGCCCAATTGTAGTAAACAAACGGTAATGCACTTAATTCGTTCACCCCTTCACCTACAGGTCAGGGATAAAAGACCCATTTCGCACAGGAAAAGCATCCACTTTATGTATCCTATTTATCTGCAGCTAATTAGTAGATTGCCTTTGCGTGCATTTTTAGCCTTTTTGACATTTGACCGTGGGTTGTTGTTGCCTGGGAGAAGTATGTCGATGGTCTCTTTGGGTAAAAATACGCCTCAAAAAGACACCTACATTTCCTAAAAGCCCACTGCACGCAATTTGTCAAACGCCAATATAAACAATGCAACACCTTTTCTTGATATGCTACTCTAGGTTGTATTTTTCATCATTGGAACATGAAAAGTTAATTTGAATATATATATATATATATGTACTTTAAGCAATCCTGTCATTTTTTTTACATACTGTTAGCCTTTGCTCTAATATTTCTTAAGGTACAGTTGACCCTTTGATTTATTTTAGTTACTATTTCTATTTCACACTCATTAAGCGTTATATTATATATATCTATCATGATGGCTGAAACTGCAACTCCTCAAAGGCCAGCATTGCCTGTCACTCCCTTCACAACTAAAACAAGCTTACCTCCATTGTCATCTATCCTTAATAATCCTGGTATGGAGTCAAGCAATCGCCCTAAACTCCCAGGGTTACCCTCCTTAGATACTTATTCAACTCCACTGACTTCAAAGTATTATTCATATCCAATGTCTGGCCCTTTGACTGCCTCTGCTTCCACACATCCTTATTTGCCATTTGCTACCCCTTCTAAATCTCCATATTCTGCATATCCTACCTTACCATCATTGGGTATGACTGTTTCTACTCCTATTGCTGCTTCTGCAGCTAATCCTATTGCTGTTACTGCTATTACCGCACCTGCTCCTGCTATTGCTGCTACTGCTCCTGTTGTGCCTCCTCCATCCAGTGTTGAAGCTGTGACTACTAGTGTTACTGTGACTGCTGCTGCTGCTGCTGCTGCTCCCCTTTCAAGTGTGTCACCAACACTTCTGGCTGCAGCAAGCTCTCAAACCTCTACCCCCTCAGCCTCTCCTACTCTCAAGGTACAATCCGCCACAATTGCATCAAGACAAACCACTACATCATCCAATTCATCTGAATCCTCGAAGAAGGGAAGAAAGAGAACCTCAGATAAATCATATGCATTCATTTCCCATTCCCCAGCTACATTTCCATCACAGGAACCATCGATTGATAACGTACCATTGGCTCGTAGGAAAAGAAGAAGAACTTCTCCTAACGAATTGTCCATTCTTAATTCTGAGTTCGAATTGGGTTCTACACCAAACAAATCCCGTAGACTCGAGATTGCCTCAAGAGTAACAATGAGTGAAAAGGCTGTTCAAATCTGGTTCCAAAACAAACGTCAATCTTTGCGTAAAGCCAGTAGTAATGAAAAAGAAGTTACTGAATTGCCTCCTACTCCGCCAATCTCAATGCTTTTGCAATCTGGTCCCATTTCTCCATCGACCTCAATGCCATGTTCAGCTTCTGGTATAACTTCTCACCCAGTTGAGAATTCATTATCTAGATCTCACTCTATACCGCATATGAGTTTTGGTGTCCCCATCTACCGTCAATTCAATCATTCTTCACCAAATATTGCATTAAGTGAGGCCACTCCTAACGTACCAAGTGCCGTCAACTCTTCATTTGATAGTTCTTACGATAACACATTCCATGACAAAGAGAATTTACCCAAATTAAACGTCAAGTCAATCTTGGGTGATGAAAGCTTCGCATCAGAATCAAAAACTTCCTTGCAAAAAAGTCCTATTAAGTTAGCTCCAGTGAGAAAGCCATTAGGTGATATTACCACTAATTCTACAAATGGTAAGCCTAAGAAGGAATCAGAATGTATTCAAAATTTGCTTTCCTTGAGAGCCGGAACTTGGAAATAAAATCTAAATCTACGTTAAGTTGCTTTTATTTCTCTTATGGGGATGCCTTCAATTCATTAATATGTTAATGATCATATTTTATGGCTGTGTATATTTATTATTTTGGGTGTATTATTCGAAACGTATGAAATTGGAAATCTGATTTAATTGTTGTATCTGAGTGTGTATCATTCAGGTTTAGCCTGGAATATACTTTGTAAACACGTAAGTACACGGTCCCATCGATAACAATGGCACTGGTTGTAATGCAAAATCTGTTGCCCTGGTGAGATGATTCGAATCGTGCATCATATGAAGGAACAGCTGTAAACGCGAACACGTATGTAAATATTGCTTGCATTCCTTCCTTCATCGGGAAAAGAAGCAGGGTACACCAAGAAGCCACGTTTGCGTATGATATTAAGGTACGTTGTAATCAGAAGATTTGTGTTCAAAAGGGATTAATGAAACATGGACCCCTTTTGCAAATTGGAGTGCATAACTCTTACAAGTGCTTAACTCCTACATAAACAGATCCTAATAAAAACGTAAACATCGACAGTAGTGTGGAGCTGACGTTGATACAGACGTCTTATAAGAATTATTGTTCGTTCGTAGCATAGTTGTAGGATGCTAGAGAATATCTGCGGGGAGTTATTGTAGTAATTGTTGGTTAATTCAAAATGAAGTCAAATTGAAACTGTTGAAGGTGCACCACAATAGCCTATTCGGAAGTTGACTAAAATCTTTATAACTTAACATAGGAAATTTTAATGCTTTGAATAGTTTGAAAGGCTTTCAGTTATGTCATGTACGTCTCTCCGTATTTGTTCGTCATCGTTTGAAATCTCTTGTAATTAAATTTTATTATGGTGGAGAATTACTTTTCGCAGCCATAGGTGACTTTTTCGTTATATTCGTAACCAATCTAAGGAAAACATTAGCATGGAATCCTATTAAAACGTCCTCTCTAAAGAAAGCAAAATAGTAGTAACTACATTATATAGAGGCTGGGATTCATATAACTGCCCTTGTAGGTAATTGCTTAGCCTCATATTATAGTAAGCACAGAGATACCCAATACAAAGCACCTTTTAAAAGATAAGTCGATACTACTTCTTAGCCTTTCTAACTTACTTCAAGCATAATATAGATGTTATTGTACGCATTTCTCCCTTTTATTTCTTGAAGGAGGTTAAGAGATTGCTGTGTAGTATGTCCTCAACGGTATGATACAACTAGTGCGACATTAATTACTGGAAAAAGAATGAATGCGAATGCTTGGTCATCAACACCCAATACCTACATTTTATCAAGATTTGCATTACACTTCACAACTTACATAGAACTATTAGAAAGGCGTATAATTTTATATTAAATTACATGGGAAAAATGACAGAAACCAATAAAGAACTCATATATAAACTCTTCAGGCAACTTAACGACCACGAGAAGTGGTCTTGGTGTGTTGACCTCTGACCTTCAAACCCAAGAAGTGTCTGAAACCTCTGTGGGACTTGATCTTCTTCAATCTTTCCAAGTCATCTCTCAACTTGGATTCCAAGTTGTTGGCTAAAACGTGGTAGTCCTTACCGTCAACGTGGTCCTTTTGTCTGTTCAAGAACCAAGCTGGGATCTTGTAGTTGGTTGGGTTTTGCATAATAGTGACAACTCTTTCCAATTCTTCTTGAGTCAATTCACCAGCTCTCTTAGCTAAATCGACATCAGCCTTCTTACAGACCAAGTTAGCGTATCTTCTACCGACACCTCTAATCTTGGTCAAGGCGTACATAATCTTGATTCTACCATCAATGTTGGTGTTCAACAAACTAAAGTCAAATGTTAGTATTCACGAGCGTGAAAATGTGTGATTTCAAGTTTGAATATAGACAATATAATGCTTGGACTTTGCTATCCGTTTTGCTTTGGAAGAAGCAAATGAATACAAAACATCGATTTCAAGCTTCCAGCTTTACGGAAGCAAATATATTCAAGTAAAATAATTCAAACTATTACTGAAAGGGATATTCGAATATTGAGTTCATATCCTCGATTATGGGAGTAGGAATATGGAAAATGCAATATCATTGTAAATTGAGGCACTTAAAATGGCCTTTTGGAATCCACATATATTGTCTAATTCAACGGCTTGATAGCATGGATGACATACCGCAAAATGTGTTGGAATGAACCTTGTTCCAGAACAACTAAAGACATCTTGGATAAGCTTCTAAGGTGATATGACTAGTCAAGAAACAGAAAGTAATAGTAAAGAGTCTTTAAAGTGTATTTTTTCACTTTTTTTTTCCTCACAACCCTGCTCCAGCCCAACGCTCGCACTAACCATAGAACAAAAAATTTTCACCTTCGCAACCTGCATGGTCAACTCACGTGACACCCCTTTATATATCCCGGGTAACTTACTGATTTAGACGCATATTATTGAGGGCTAAACCCTAACCACGTGACACACTGGATTTCTTCAAGTGACCGCCACAATATACTCTTTCTTATGGTAGTTTATTATTGTAGATTACAATCCAATTGTTGATTAACATGATATTTACAAAGGTATCTATCAACATATGTACAAGAAACCAATTCCAGTGCTAGCTTCTACTAGAAATATTTACCATCAACTTTATGCTCTTGGTGATTTGATTTAATTAATGTGTCTAAGTTTGGTGCTTCCCAATCAACCATTCCAAAGCCGGTAATTCAATAAATATACGCTTAGCCTTCAAGATATCTCTGACCTCAACTGCTTCCTTAACCAATACATCTGCCTTTGTACCAGCGTATTCTGTAGATTTTATCAAATTGTCTCTTTGTACATCAGTGATAAACAATAAATGCAATCTCTTCAATTGGTGATGTTCTATAAATTGTTTGGTGGCTTCGGGATTAGAATATTCAAAATCCACAATGCTAGAGTCTGATTCGGTAACGGATTCACCACCAATTACAAATAACTTACCATTCTTGTATTGGTCAGCAAGTGCTGTCTGGAATGCCTTACTGTATATCTTTCTGGGTAATTCTGTAGACCAATCATGAGGAGCTTTGATACCATGAGCCTTTAAACCATTATCTCTAGTAGGAGAGTTACGATCACCAACTCTGGCATTACCAGTACCTTTTTGTCTTTGGATCTTACGGTTGGAAAACGGCTTGTCTCCTTTGGTAGGAACATAACCAGAACCCACTCTGGCCTTGTCTGCTTCGTAGACTACTGCACTCCAAAGTAAATCACGTCTTAAAGGTACATCAAAAAACGTAGCTGGAAGTGGAACAAATGTTTGAGGCTCCAAGGATGGAAATGTCCGGAGTGTTGCCAATGTATATGATGATGGTTGTGCTATGTTTAACTTGCCTGTTGTGGCAGTTTGAGTTGCCAACCTACGGATTGAATTCTTGAGCATTATAATATAATGTGGTTCGGTGAAATAAAATATAAATGTGTGGCTTAATTACTGTATCACAAATATCAAATATAAATCAAGCTAGACTTCACCAAATGCAAGATTTGCTACCCCAATATTGTTTAACAACAGTTTCCAATCCTTGTTCTCTTCAATATCAGTTGTGCTTCACTTCAGTAAAATTTTCAACTACAATTTCCAATTTCGCGGCCTGTATATAACAAAAGGGTATATACGGTTCATTATAGTAGGTTTACATTGCTAATCTAGTAGATATAAGTATGGTTAATTATAAGGTGTCTCTGGGGTGTTCTGGTAGTTGTCTATCTGGGGATGCCTCGTGAGTAGGGGAGTTTGAGTTTGAACTTGAACTGGAGGTTCCTTCTTCATATTCATCGTCACTGGTGATTATGAAATCATCGGCCACATTATGCAAAATGTTCTCACCCAATTCAATATCTTCCAGTGGTCCAACGGAAGTATAATGACCTCTGGTAACGCCAAAAATTTTATTGAATGTCCTCTTTATAAATGATGGTTCTTGGGTTGGGTGTAGTGGATCTGTAGTCTCGATTTGATCTGCCCACTGGACAATTTTCTTTCTATTTGATTGTTTCCCATTAGTTTTAATGATCGATTGAGGTCTGGACTTATAAGAGGCATATAACACGTATATGCTCCAAATCACAACAACAATAACCAACAATTGAATAATTCGGGTAAATCTTCTATTGCCCGTGGCTGTGTTTTCTGTCTCTGAAGAATTGTCTCCAGTATTAGATGGGGTGCTGTCACCATCATTATCTGTTGGATCAGGCTTTTGATCGTTTAAGTTTGAATTTGAATTTGAATCTGAATCTGAGGTAGTATTATCATCTTCAATAGGAGCCTTTTGCTTTTGTAGCTCTTCCCATTGTCTTTTCAATGTGAACGTATTCAAAGTAGTTTTATCGTTATCTTGAGTCACATTATAGTTCCCTATCATCAAATCTATTAAGGATCTCGATAATTCAGGATGATCAAATGGAACCATGTGTGAGGAATTATACATGTTGATGTATGTCAAATTCCGTTCCAGTTTAACAAACCCCGAAATTGTTCCATTGAAATCCCAATCCATTTCAGGAGTACTCTCCGAAAACCCTTTGGCACCATTCCATTCTAACTTCTTTATCATATTTTGAGCACCCATGGTATTGCAGATAATGTCTTTGTCACCATGGAACAAGATAATGGGAATTTCTGCTAATATATCTTTGAATAGATGGATTGAAGGTAAGGAATTTCTTGCCCTGAACCGATTCGTAACACTTCCTGAGCATTCACGCCATCTGGGCTTGTAAACTAAGTTCAAATGGGATTGCACTTCAGGTAAATTAAGAAAAGGGGTAACAGTATGAACATCTGGTGGCCAATTGCTACCACATTGAGGGTACAGATCAGTTAATCTGTAATCGTACATGTTGATACATTGTTGCTCTGGTCTTACTTGTGCTAAAATGTCGGTTAGAATGGATTCACATAGGTCACTGTTTGTTTCAAACTCATTAACCTTATGTTCATCAAATACACTATCAATCTTGTTGACAATATTTTGGCATTTCTCTTGCTTCCTCAACAAATTAGCCCAAGCTGGAGAATGCTCATCAATAAGACCTGCATTTTTACAGAATGGAATGTATGACATACTTTGCTCGTTAGGAGAGATCCATCCATTCCCTATGAGTAACCCTTTCAAATTGTACCTATTGTCCGAATTGCCCTTGTTATGTTCCAAAATACGGTTTCCAATATAAGGAATATACTGTCCAGCATAAGACTCCCCAGCAAAGTATATTTCATTATCTCTTTCTTCTGGAAAGATTTTAAAATATTCTTCCATGAACTTTAAAAAGGTCCAAGTGATTTCATCCAATTCATGAGAGAAGACAGAACCATAACTGAATCCCGTATTGACTGGTTGATCCACAAAAACAATGTCGGCTACTTCATGCCATGAGCCTGGATTATATATCACCTTATTTTGGTTATTCACTCTTAAGGGACCTACTTCCATAAGTGCACCATCCATAGATGAACAGCCTGGACCACCATTCAACCAGAAAATGGTTCTATTGGATTTAGGAATGTACCCATTTTCATCTTGTTTGAAAGACCAAAAAAAGTAGTTGGTTTGGTTCTCTGGATGTAGTTCCAACTGACCAGCAAACATTAAGGGCTTATGATCATCTGGTATGTTCTCAAGCAAACCTGGTAAGTTCGTAACGAGGTATGAAGTGGGGGAGTATTTCTTATCGTCTACCGAGGCTCGGTCTTTCAATACACTCACCCCATCAGCTATACGGCAGTAGATTCCCAAAAGTAATAAAATCCATCCGAACTTAATTGCCATTGCCATTTTGGCTAGACAGAGTAATAAATAGTAATAGACTCAAGTTGACGCCGAACAAGAATTTGATTGCGCCGAAACTTGAAGCCCAATAGAAAAAGTTAATTAATGGGTATCAGACAATGCACCGGCAACAGTCTAATTTAATGTTGATTTAGTATGTTCCCTTTTAAGGTCTACAAAGTTGACCTTTTTGGATTGGATGTTGAAGGCTTCACAGCATCCATGCTTTCCACTTTGTGGTCGTACTGCGTCTAGGTCTTTCCCCTTTAGGAATGTCAAAAAGGGATTTCAATTGAAGCACTACCATTAAGAGTATACGGAGTTAATAAGAGTACAAAGTGGAGTTATACGGATTTATATTAATTAAAAAGTTAAATAGTAGAAATAAAAAACACTGAACTTTTGGGCTCAAACATTCAAAGGTTCAACATCCCAAATATTCTCAGCATATTCATCAATACATCTATCAGAAGAAAAGAATCCCATGTTAGCAACTGATAACACAGACTTTGGAACCCATTCACGCAAATGAGTTGGATCACCGCTACCCAAACCAAACATCTTCTCCAACTTCTTGTGAGCATCCAAGAACAAGTCAAAGTCATCAGTAGCCAAGTAGTAATCACTATGATATCTGATGGAATCCAATAATGACTTGAATTCTTCTGGCAGACCAAACATACCAGTATCAATGGCATTGAAAACTTCTTGCATGGATTCAGGAATTTTAACTCCTTCATAGTAATGCTTGTGTCTTAATTCATCAACACTTTCAGCCAAGTTACCAAAAAGGAAAATATTCTCTTCTCCGATTTCTCTGGTGATTTCAACATTAGCACCATCTACAGTACCAATAATTAAACCACCGTTCAAAGCAAACTTCATGTTAGAAGTACCTGAAGCTTCAGTACCAGCTGTAGAAATGTGATTAGATAAATCAGAACCTGGAATAATGATTTCAGCCTTTGAAACATTATAATCAGGAATAAATACAACCTTCAACAAGTTACCAATTTCTGGGTCATTGTTGACGACTTCTCCAACCGTGTTGATCAAGTGGATAATAATCTTGGCCATGTAGTAACCAGGTGCTGCCTTACCACCAAAGATAGAAGCCTTTGGAATATAATGCTTTTCTGCAATTTCTTGCACAGATAAGCCTTCGGCCAACAATTTCTTAATATGCAAGTATCTGTAGATAACAGCAAAAATGTTTAATTGTTGTCTCTTGTACTCATGGATTCTCTTAACTTGGATATCAAATAATACATTGGGGTCAACTTCAACACCAGTAGTCTCCTTAATCAAAGCAGCCAACTTTCTCTTGTTATCAAACTTAATATCATCCCATTCCTTCAAGAAAGCTTCATCGTTAACAAAGTTTTCCAATTTCTTCAAGTTACCTAAATGAGTCAAGTATTCATACTTTGGATCATTCAACTTTTCAGAAATTAGCTTAGCCAACTTAGGGTTAGCTTGTCTCAACCATCTTCTTGGGGTGATACCGTTTGTAACGTTGGTAAATCTCTCTGGTCCAAAGATCTTAACAAAATCCTTGAAAATAGTCGTTTTAATCAACTCAGAGTGTAATTCAGCAACACCGTTAACCTTGTGAGATCCAACAATAGCCAAGTATGCCATTCTAACAGACTTAACTTGACCTTCTTCAATGATAGAAACCCTGGACAACAAATCCCGGTCACCAGGGAACTTGGCTTCAACATCCTTAAGGAAGAAATAATTGATTTCATAGATAATTTCCAAATGTCTTGGAATTAATCTACCAACCAAATCAACAGGCCATTTTTCTAATGCTTCAGTCATGACAGTGTGGTTAGTGTATGCAAAGACTCTTTGAACAATCTTCCAGGCAGCATTCCATTCTAAACCTTCTAAATCAACCAAGATACGCTGTAATTCAACAATAGCCAAAGTAGGATGAGTATCGTTCAATTGAATAGCAACTTGATTAGATAAGTTGTCCCAATCCTTGTGGTTCTTCTTGTACCGTCTAATGATGTCATGTAAAGAAGCAGCAACCCAAAAGTATTGTTGTCTCAATCTTAATTCCTTACCCTTTTCAAAGTTATCATTAGGATATAAGACAGATGTCAATGCTTCAGCACGTTGTTGGGCTGCAACAGATTGTTGGTAGTCACCGTTGTTGAACTTGGAGAAGTCAAATTCCATTGTTGGCTTAGCGTTCCACAATCTCAAGTTATTGGTGTTTGTAGTGTTGAAACCGGGGATGGGGAAATCAGCAGGAACGGCAATAACTCTTTCACCACCTTGCCAAATCTTTTTAGGCTTACCAGTATTGGTGTCATAGTGTTCGTAGACATAACCATAAAAGTCAACTGGAATTTGAATTTCACTTCTCATCACTTCCCAAGGGTTAGAATATTTCAACCAGTAATCTGGAGTTTCAACTTGGTAGCCATCGATAATTTCTTGCTTAAAGATACCGTATTGGTAGTTTAAACCATAACCCCAAGCTGAGTAGTTTCTGGAGCTCATAGAGTCAACAAAACAAGCAGCCAATCTACCTAAACCACCGTTACCTAAAGCAGCATCTGGTTCTTGTTCCAAAACGTCTTCCAAGTTGAAACCCAAGTTTCCAATAGCTTCAGCAACTTGATCTCTGGCATCCAAGTTAATTAAGGCGTTATCCATAGCTCTACCCATCAAGAATTCTAATGACAAATAGTAGACACGCTTACCATCATGGATAGTTTGTTGTTGTTGGGTGTTGGCCCAATCAACCAAAACAGAATCTCTAATGGCGTTAGAAGCAGCTTGATAAGCTCCCAAATCGTCACAGTTGAACATATTACGGGCCAAATCGGATTCAACATGTCTGACAAAGGATTCTTCAAACTTATCTTTGTTGTAGACAGCAGAGTTTTCCATCTTCTTCTCTTCATAGTTTGTACTATTTACAGAATGGTTCAAAGGCTTCAATTGAGAATATTTGTTCCATACTGACTTTGCTGTTTCTGGGATTTGGGCATCATAAGCCAAAATTTGGTTAGGAGTGAACCCCGTATTGGTTCTCTTTAATTTGGGAGAAGGTAACTCCGTTGGAGTCAAGTAATCACCCATTTTCTCTAACACTATCTACAGAACGTTAAGAGTATCAATTAATAAGTCAAAAAATATTATCACTTGAGTAGGGAGACGGAGAAGTATTTATAGTTCTGATAAGCTCACAAAAATTGTCGAAACCGGATTTGCTTTTAGGGGTAGTGAGGATAAGGAGAAAGACGGCCAAGGGGGGTGGTGTGGGTGTGTCCAAAATAGAGAAAGAAATAAAATAAACAAACTAAAATAAGATAAAATATACTAACATAATTAATTCATTCCAATCGTTCTTGCTAACGTTTTGTTCACCGTTGTGGTTGTGGTTATGTCCTAGATAGAAGTATGGGTTACTCAGTTCCTACGAGATGGAAGGTCTTGTATTGCATGGGTATAAGTAGGTAGTGAAATTGGGGTTTGCCCTGTTGGCCTAGGCTAGTGGGGCAACAAAAAAGATTAGAGGCTAGTTAATAGAATAAAGTACTGGACATTGCCAAATGCACCAAGGGGTAATAGAAGTATTAGAAGTAGTTAACGGGGCCTAACTGAGAAATCGACTGAGAATTCACAATTCTGTTACTTTTATTTTTTTGCAGTCGGTGTTCTTGCTGACTGAAGGTAATAGTGTAATAAATTCTTTTATGGAGATTATACTTGTAGTAGAGTTATATACAGCATGCAATTGATGTTAGATCTATATGAATGACTAAGTAGATAGAGGCTTACATTTCTGTTTGAACTATACCTCAATAAATTGTAGCAATGGATGTCACGGGGCTATCGAAAAAAAACTACATTTTTTATCTTTACACATTGCACTCGAAACACATGCAAATATCATCTTTGATACCGGAATTAATGGAGTTTAATACTTTGTGTTAAAATGGTCTAACTCACGTAGGCTTACTTTTCGGAAAGATGGAGGAGGATGTCATCATCAGTTGATGTTTAATTTTTTTTTTGCTTTTTTTTTGGGGGGGGGGGGGGGGGGGGGGGGGGGGGGGTA